AGAAATAAATGGGAAATGTAAATTATCATCATTAATACTATATATAGAAATAGAGTACTCCTTTCTTAATTTAAATGATGGACTTACAACATGTTACAGAGAAAGAACTCTGCTCTCAATTAACTTAAGCTCATAGTGTCTATGAATATTTTGATGAATATTTGGAAAGAGTTATAAATGAGTTAAGTGAAACTAAATAATATTTTGATGAAATTGAAATAGTTGCTATGCTCCATTGTACAGTAATAAATTGAATTATATAATTAGTTAACGGCACTATAAAGATTGAATGATCAATAAAAGCAACATGGCGATATCAGACCTTTAACTATAAGTTTGACATCTTATGCTTAAAGGAGCTAATTTCGATAGAACCATCCATTTTCAGTTTTCAAATTAACAGATATCCAAGAAATGACTGATATGACTGCTTATAGAAGATGCATTGCTAAATAATAAGGCTAGTACAATTTGAGTCCTGAATAATTATCATCTCTTAAACATAAAGTCTTAAGACCCAACATTGACTAAAATAAGTCAGATGTATTTTGTATTGGATTAACTGCATTATAAATGGCAACCTTAAGTTTTGTTTAGGATATTTATGATCTGTAAAGTTATACTTTTAATATGGAAAAATTAGACGATTATTTATTTTTCTTGAAATCTTAATATAGTTCTGACTTATATGATATTGTCGAATCTTTACTTATAATGGCCCCAGATAATAGGCCCATTCCAAAACAGGCTCATGAACTATTGTATAAATACAGATTTTAATTGGAAGACTATTTTAGAGTAATAATATATAAATATATACATTAGTCCTCTACGATTGGTGAATTCATACCGAATTACTCAATTGATTTCAGAGAATAACACAATGGGTTTCATAAGCAAAGAGTTGTTGACCATTAATCACATAGTTTGCAAAACTAAGATCCAAATAATTAACTATATCATTAAGTTGAGAATCTTGATTAAAGAGCAAAAGTTGCTTTAAAAAGAAGTTAAGATGCCTAGATTAGATTCTAAAAATCCCCTAATAAAAAGTTTAAGGCTCCTATTCCTAATTGGGAACCAACCAAAAGTTTAAAGGAGTATTCTAGTTTATAACCAATTACTTTATAAGAAATTCTTCCTTTATAAAATAAATAAATGAATATCTAAAATGATCAAATCATTATCTAGGATCCACCTTCTAATAGGCAATCATTTTTTAAGAATTTAACCAATCAATAATAATATTAACAACAGAATTTTAGCGAACATGAATAAGTTATTCATAATGATGATGAATATGCATATAATCATTAAGAAATAGATGAATAACCAAAGTAAAGTTTAGTTGAGTAAGTCGAACTAACCAATTCAAATCTAAAAACATTACAATAAAAACCTATTACAAATTAGTATGATAATAACTTATTTTAATAATAATCATTATTTCAGTCAATTAACACCGACTAAAAGAAATTTCCATAATAATAATAATAATAATAATAATAATAGTAACTACAACAATAAACTTATTCTTAAATTTAATAATAATCATATCAATATTCAAATTAGGTTTAATCTAAGTAACTATAAAACATTGAATAGTAATCCTAAGCTCGATCTTCAGCCTATAATTATCCCCAAAATTAAATAAATGAAAGTATAAATGATCATCAAAGATCTCCTTATGCTTTATAATAAAGATAATCTTTGGCATTATCTTAAGACAAAGTAATTTCATAATAATTAACTGGCCAATAAGTTGAATAAACACTATAAAATCTATAAAATAGATAATCTATTCGTCAAGATTCCTTTGGTGTAGGATCTAATAGACCACAATAGCCATTGGTAGCACCAAAATCTCCAGAAATAGAACCTAAAAATATTTTCCCCTAATTGGATTAAGAAAAGCAATCTTAATAGAATCAAAGATCTCCTATATAGCCACTTGAAAGAATGGATGATGATGATTAGGAACACCATTACAATCCACAATTAACTGAATCTAATGATTCCTAATAAGCCATATCTGTACAAAGCAAACCCTAGAGTATGAGAGGCACTATGGTTGGTAGTTAATCACAATTAAAGGTTCCTCCATCTGTGGCATCTAGATAATAGCGTCCAACTGTCTAAAAATAATAAACCACTGCTTCCTAGAAAAACATATATAATCTATCATAAAAGAAGAGTAGTAAAATCATAAAAAAATGAACTTTTACATTATATTTATTTACTATAATTATGAAACAATAAAACTAAACATTCTACTATTGATTTTGAGATTAAAATTACAACTAACACATTATTTTACAATTATTTTCATCTTTAATGGCATTCCTAATAAATTGTAGTATAATTTGTTTGATATTCTTGAACCTAAAACTTAAGCTTATTGTATTTTATTTAGTTTCTTTAATATAAAAAATAAAATTATAAAATGGATAAATTGTATAGTTTTAAAGCTAAGTCGTAAGTTGGTCACATTAAATAAGTCATTAATCAAGAATAGAAACTACAATTTTACAGCGAAGAAGAAGGTGAAACGACTAACTCTCAGGAGAATACACCAAAGACCATAGTAAAAGCAAAAGTGAAATCGCCAACTTAATAAAATGGGTATTAGACAGATGATTCTGATTCTGGAACCCCAAAAAACCAAAAGCCAAGAACCAAGTAACCTTAAGGTAGCTTTATTTTACTTAATTAGCTGCTAAAATGTCAAGATTCAGCAATTTAGTAAATACTAAGAAAATTGATGGAGATGTCGAGATCGAACCTGAGTTTAGTGATAATGACAAAAAGTAATAGCCTGTTTAAATGCAATAATAAGAGGTGAATTATAACATTGAAGAGTAAGCTCAAAGGATTCAATAAAAACTAACTCAACAACCGTAGAACCCAAAGCTTAATAAAACTAAGTATTAGATCAACTATAATTTAGACAAGCTGTCTCGATGCAAAATTTAAATGCGAATTCTGATAATGAGTAAAGTAAGAAGAATTCACAAAATAATGGAAAAGATAAATTAAGCAATCATCCTTTCAGACATTTGATTTTCGGTCCAAATGTAACTGAACAAACATTCAAGAAACATCTTATTCTAACTCAAAGAGGTTTAATTTATGCTAGAAAATGCTTGAAAGGTCCTTCTGATAAATTTATACAATCGAAGAAGGTGCAACTTTCGGAAGCTTACCCTAAGAAAGAACGGGCTCTTATCTTAGATTTAGATGAAACTTTAATTCATTCGTGCACTCAAAGGGAAAATCCTTAAGTTTATGTTACTGCTGTTGGTGATTTCGGAGAAGAAGCCAAAGTAATTTAATGTCAATGTTTTAGATTGGGATTAATATTCGACCCTATACTTCGCTGTTTCTATAATAACTGTCTCAATATTATACAATATATATATACACTGCTTCATCCTAAGCATATGCTTAAGCTATCATTAACTATTTGGATCCAACTAAGTAGTATATATAGGGGATTATGACGAGAAATAATTGTATGGAAACTAAAAATGGTTTCTTTATTAAGGATCTTAGATTAATTAGCAATAAGGAACTAAAAGATATGCTCATTGTGGACAATTTAGCTCATTCTTTTGGTTTTTAAATTGAAAATGGAATTCCGATTCTAGAATGGCATAATGATTAAAATGATCAAGAACTAAAATATTTAATTGATTATTTGATAGAGGCAACTCATTATCAAGACCTTCGAGAATATAACACAAAAAAGCTAAGACTAGATGATTTATTAGAATATCATATTGAAGAATGAGGTATTTTTATATTAAATTATTTTATTTTAATTAGTGTTTTCAAACTTATTAAGTATATTTCACTATAGAATTAAAATAGTTGGCATTAATAAAACCCACCTCTAAGATTAATCTCTATTAAAATTTATCTCGTTTACTTGGGAACTTCAAAAATTGATTTCTAGTTCCTAGTTACTTGATTTAAATTTTGAATTTCTTTCTTTTTCTAAAGACATATTACTATTTTGTTCTTTTGTTAATTCTAGTTATACTTTATTCATTTGATATCCAAATATCACCTTTTTCTTCAAGAATAATTTTAGATTTATGAATTAATTAAGTAAACTAAGTTCAAACAAATTTCTAATCTAAAAGCTACAAAGATTATCAATTTTAGGGCATGTTTTTTGATAATAATGATATTTAATTAAATTATAAATCAGATTGAGAACTAATAATGTTAAAGTTAAAGAGCTTTGAATTGAAAGTAATAATTTATAAGAATAAAGAAGTCAAATTTAAATTTAACGTTAAAAACACAAGTGATTAAAACCATATTGAAAAAAATTCAGAGCTTTTGCAACTGTTGGATGATATTAACTAAATCCTCCTTTTCTTTAATATGTCTGGATATTTCATTCTGATATTGATGCAACAATGAATTTGTTCTTTAGACAATTTCTTACAATTAAGTTATGGTTTATCTGTCCTTTTCTCTGTTCGACAGTAATTAGGTAGTTTCAATTTGTGATTTCTTTTTAATTGTTTCTTTATTTGCACTCCTCATTCTCGGTTTGATGCTGCCTGACATTGTTGAGTTTTGAGAGAGTGTTGCTTTTTTAAAAAAGTTCTACTACATGGTTACTTGTGGGTTGGGAGTGTAGGCTGCACTCATGTCTTTTAAATATTATTAAGAAAAGCTCTCATGAATAAGCATCTAAGAGTAAACTTTAGATTGAAGTACTTTATTATGTGGGCCCATCTTGAGCAATTATTATAAACCATACACTACAATTGATCAAAGTGTCATACTTTAAATTTTATTAGTTAAACTCTTTTAGGATTATTGATTTTTTCCTGCACTTTCAATCTGTGAACTTGTAAATCTTCTATGAAAATTTTATGATTTTTATTTTTCAGGTTCAGGACTAATTGTTTACTTGCGTAACTAATCTTTCATAAATTAAGGGATATCTATTTTAGTATTCATAAAAATAAACAATTTAATTAATGAAAAAGGGAGCACCAAAATATTAAAACAAAGTTGCATTCAAAATGAGATTTCACGATCATTACACAGAGAAGGTTTAGAATGCCTCTATGGATAGGTATACTTATAACATTGAAATAGATTGTGTGAGTTGTGTTTAGCTTAGATTGAATGGAAAATTAAATATGGTAAATACAAGACTCCCCATGATTTATCAAGATGTTATAAATGTGAAAAGAAAAACATCTTTAAGGCTTACAGAAGATTATGTGATGCCTGTTCTGATGAATTGAAACAATGTTCTAAATGCACAGAACCTATTGAATTAAACGATGACAGTTCAAGTGGTGAAGAAATGGATGAAACATTAAAATGTTTAAGGGAGAGATCAAAAAGAACTGTTCTTAGAAAAATTGAAAAAGGTAAAATTCTTTATATATTAATAGGTGAAATTACATGGGATAGACATAATAAAAAGTTTATTGATTCTGAAACTGGAGAATAAGTCATAGTTCAATACAAAAAAGATTATATTGATGAAGAAGATGAAGAATTATGGGAAGATAATGATAATGATGAAGGTGATGAAGATGATGATGATGAGGATGATGAAAGTGATAAAAGTGAAGAAGAAGATAATAAAAAATAAAACAAAAAGACTGTTTAATTCTAAAAGCAATAAAAGAGTTAAAAATAATAAAATGAATAATCAAAAAAAACAAAAGCTAAAAAAGTTGAATCTAGTGATGATGAGTCTTCAAGTGAAGATTCAGATGATGAAAATTAATTCAAACAGATTGAAAAAATTAATCAAAAAGATCCTTCAATATATTCAGATGGATCAAATGAAGAAGAAAAAAAATTTAGAATGGAGAAAAATTTCTAGTTTTATTTTGATGAAAAATATCAGTTCAAGAAGGATGAATGATTAAAAATTTAATATTTTTTGTGTTCTATTCAGTTATTTTCAATATAACCTTCTTATTATTTATATCTCTTGTTTTTCTTAGCTATTCACAAAACATTTCAGATTTAAATGAAATTTAGGAGAATTTAAATGAATTCAAAATCAAAAGAACAATTTATTTCCTATATTCTTAATAGTATTAAACAAAAATATCAGATGCTCTTTAAAATAAAATTTGTCTTTAAACATTTAATGAGCATAGTTTTATAAAATCTTGCTTCCTTAACTAATTTTTAAATTACATATTACTAAATCATCTTTTATGTATTTACATATCTTCTTATCTAATCTAGTTAAATTAAAAATTCTTCACATCCATAATAGACATCCCCTTTTTTATAATGAGATTTTGTATAAAATCTATATACATCTCTTTTATCAAAATATTATTGATAAGATAGTAACTCTTCTATTAAAAATTGTATATATTTCGAAAATATTTAACCATTAACCCCTATATTGTCACAAAAGTTACTATATATTTATATTCTATCAAATTCATGGAAATAGTGAAAATGAGTATGTGAAAAAGATCGGTTTCTCCAGGCATATTTGATTGCTTCATGCATCTATTCAGGATATTATGTCTTGATTTACAAATATTGTTTCTTTCTTCCAGAGTAGNATGTGATGCCTGTTCTGATGAATTGAAACAATGTTCTAAATGCACAGAACCTATTGAATTAAACGATGACAGTTCAAGTGGTGAAGAAATGGATGAAACATTAAAATGTTTAAGGGAGAGATCAAAAAGAACTGTTCTTAGAAAAATTGAAAAAGGTAAAATTCTTTATATATTAATAGGTGAAATTACATGGGATAGACATAATAAAAAGTTTATTGATTCTGAAACTGGAGAATAAGTCATAGTTCAATACAAAAAAGATTATATTGATGAAGAAGATGAAGAATTATGGGAAGATAATGATAATGATGAAGGTGATGAAGATGATGATGATGAGGATGATGAAAGTGATAAAAGTGAAGAAGAAGATAATAAAAAATAAAACAAAAAGACTGTTTAATTCTAAAAGCAATAAAAGAGTTAAAAATAATAAAATGAATAATCAAAAAAAACAAAAGCTAAAAAAGTTGAATCTAGTGATGATGAGTCTTCAAGTGAAGATTCAGATGATGAAAATTAATTCAAACAGATTGAAAAAATTAATCAAAAAGATCCTTCAATATATTCAGATGGATCAAATGAAGAAGAAAAAAAATTTAGAATGGAGAAAAATTTCTAGTTTTATTTTGATGAAAAATATCAGTTCAAGAAGGATGAATGATTAAAAATTTAATATTTTTTGTGTTCTATTCAGTTATTTTCAATATAACCTTCTTATTATTTATATCTCTTGTTTTTCTTAGCTATTCACAAAACATTTCAGATTTAAATGAAATTTAGGAGAATTTAAATGAATTCAAAATCAAAAGAACAATTTATTTCCTATATTCTTAATAGTATTAAACAAAAATATCAGATGCTCTTTAAAATAAAATTTGTCTTTAAACATTTAATGAGCATAGTTTTATAAAATCTTGCTTCCTTAACTAATTTTTAAATTACATATTACTAAATCATCTTTTATGTATTTACATATCTTCTTATCTAATCTAGTTAAATTAAAAATTCTTCACATCCATAATAGACATCCCCTTTTTTATAATGAGATTTTGTATAAAATCTATATACATCTCTTTTATCAAAATATTATTGATAAGATAGTAACTCTTCTATTAAAAATTGTATATATTTCGAAAATATTTAACCATTAACCCCTATATTGTCACAAAAGTTACTATATATTTATATTCTATCAAATTCATGGAAATAGTGAAAATGAGTATGTGAAAAAGATCGGTTTCTCCAGGCATATTTGATTGCTTCATGCATCTATTCAGGATATTATGTCTTGATTTACAAATATTGTTTCTTTCTTCCAGAGTAGATATAGCTCTAGAGCAAAAAATATACCTCAAAAGGATTATTTTATTAGAATATTAATTATTAAGGGGCTTAAGAAATTTAATTATTGTGCTAGACAATATTTAATTGCACTTCTGTTTTTATATATAAAATAAATGAAAATTTGATTTGGTTGATAAAAAGAAATCTTCTCTCCTCTTTGAGATTATCCTTCTAAAAATCTTGTAAGTAATCGCTATAAAGCAAACCCAATAGAGTTCATAGTAAATGCAAATCCTCCACATGCTGATAGCAAAAGAATAATTCCGAACCTTCTATCTGTTTACATTATTGGACTAATGTCTCAATAGCCCACTGTTGTCATAGTAGCAATACCAAAATATAAGGAATAGATATTTCTTATTTCCCAATCAGTATTTTCATTATCTCCAAGCCAAGAACCGTTCTTCTTTTGAAGTAAAATGAAATATAAAACCCAAACATAAGCTAAAAACAAATAGTTTAAAAAAGTTAATACTACTCAAATTAACCTAAAATTTAAAATATATTCATCCAATTTATCAAAAATTTTTATTAATCTAGCCAATCTTAGCGGTTTTATATTTTGAATAAATTTTTAAAAATTTAAGTAATCTGTGTAATTTCAAACTTTATAGTAGTAAATCGATCCAAACCAAAATGATAAGTAATCTTTTATGATTACTTCCCTTTAATACAAATAAAACATCCAAGTAAACACCTGTGTTGAAATTTAAGAGAATATCAAGAGAAAACACTCCTAAGGAAATTATCCTTATTTCCTTATCATCTCCTACATATTGAGAGATATTGTTCTATAGTAAAATTTCCTTTATTTTGAGCTCAGAATAGTTAAGCTTCTCTGTTCTCATTAAAATTATTTCTTTTGTCTTTCAAAAATTTCAATTTCCTTATTTTATTATAAATCTACAGCTGTGTCCCTCAAGAACTTTAAATATTTTAAATTCAGCCATTCTTTTATTTCTTAAGTGTTAACAAATATTCATTTTATTTATTCATTCATTAATTATTGTAAAATAATTAACATAATTTGGTAAATAGGTTTTATTTTGTCCTAAAAGGCTCAATCTTTTCATTCAAGCAAATCTTGATAAGGACTTGGATTTCAACTAAATTTTTCTGATCCTATTATTAAACATTATAAGAATTCATCTAAGCTTCATAAATTTTTAAGCAGTAATTCCCTTGTCAAAAATGAATGTTTAATTCATCGCATCTATTTAATTAAATAAAAAATTAGATTATTAATTAAGTCATAAGGCATATTGAAATATTGTTAAATATATTAGTAATATGTAATATTTTGATATCCATATCAAACCTATAAGAATTGAATGTAAATTTAGAATAAATATGAAAAATAATTTAATTAAAAAGATAAAAACAAATTATACACTTTTATATATAACAAAAATAGTCAAATAACAATTTTATTTAAAATATAATCTCAATAATAAGGATTTCCTTTAAGATAATCATCAATATCAGTAACTATCCAATTGAAATTTGGTATATAAGATTCTAATCTTATTTTATGGTATTAAAATTTATTATTATCATAATTGCCATGAACTAATTTTCCTTCTTAATCTACAGCAATCAATTTCTTGCTAGTGTAAATTAAAATATTCGCAACTAAAATTTGGTTTTCATATAGACTAAAAGGATTTTTCAGGTTTACATAATAATTCCTTTATAGAACATACATAGATACCTTGGAGTGACAGGCAAAGCAGGAATCTAAAAAAATGGAGTCTTTTCATTTTCATTTCTGTTAATTTTCACACCAAATATGCCTTTGATATCAATATTACATTTATAATCATTTTCTTAATAAATATGATATGTCTCATTCTTGCCTCTAATGTAAATAAATAATATGTACTAATCTTTTTACAGTTTTTTTGAGAAAATACTAAACTATTGTTATGGTTATTAGCCTTCTTCTTCTTCTTCTTCCTCTTCTTGCTTTTCTTCATTTTGCTATTAATCTTATTCAACATATTGTAATTTTAATTGCTGCCCTTCTAGCAAATCCATGCAATGTGAAGTTGCGTGAAATAACTTAGGCTCTAGAATTTATTTCAAAAATTCTTTGTCTTATTCTGCAATAGATTATAATAGGGATGTGTAAACTTAAGATGTTTGATTCAAAAATCCTTCGCCTAGTTTTTAAGTTTAATATGAAGGAATCAGATTATATAATCTTGCTAAAGGAGGCTCATATAAATAATCTAATCCATGGAATGCATAGGGTAATATTCTCTACATTAATTTAATAAATAATCATAAATATAAATGAATTTGATAAAGGTTATTCAACTCATTTTGAAATTTTTGAAATGTTTTAATATATTTGAATATGATATGTATAGATTTAATATGTAGATTTTAATAATTTATTGATATTTTAAAATTGAATTCATACAATAGATAATATCAATTAATTTATTTTAGCTAATGTATATATCAGTTTCAATTATAATAATTAATTTCTATCATATAATTCAAGATAAATAAAGTTTATAAGATATGAAATTCATTATAAAAAATGAGTATTTTTAGGTCTGAATATTTTAGGATCAAATTTTACTCGTTTTTGACTTTTGGAGGTTTTTTGTGATTATGTATCATCGAAATTGATTGGCATTTATTATTATTTGAGACTAATACCTCTTTTTAGTTAATTAGACTGTACAGGAGATTTATTTTTCAAAATACTTTTTTTAGTATTGGTTTCTGAATCCTTCCTCTATGATATTGAAGATTCGTCATTTAAGTTCTATGCTCTTTAAGCTCTTGAATTATTACTCAAACTTCTGGCGAATCTATCTCGTCTTTCATTTTATGTTTCGCCATTAGGCTTAAATTGTGATTCCTTATGCTATTATTTTCTGTGTATGATTGGTTCTTCCTTGTTTTGATTAGACTCCTGGAAAGACGAATTATTAAGCATCTATTACATTACAGAATTAGGGGTAGTTGTATTAAGAGAATGATTCAGACTTGGATTGATTTTGAGAGATTAGCGATTGGCACTACTGCTATTAAAAGTTGCGGTTTTATGAATGCTAAAGTTGATGTTCGGTTCTTGGAGTGTCGATTCTAGTTGTTCTAATGATTCTTCGCTTTCGCCTAGAAATTACAAAGGAGGGATTAGGATATTCTATTTATGAGGTTTTTTTCCTTAGGGTTTTCTTCTAAATATCATAGGAACACTATATTCAATTTAGGAAGTTGAGTGCTTTTCTTTGATACATGTTTATGTGACTCCCATTATTTATTTATTTATTATTTTTATATAAAAGAACTTGGATGTAGGGAGAACAATAGACTTTATTGTTCTTTGATTTATTTTTTAAAATATGATATTTAACTATGTTTGATTTATTTTTATATCAAAGCAATAAATAAATTGCATCATTTTATTATTCTATATTTCTGAATTATCAAAATGATCAATAATTCTTTGCTCTCAGAGGAAATAGATCTCACTAAATCCTCAATAAGAAATGATTAAGAAATTGTTCTTATGTAGTCAGCAATGAGATATAAAACAATTAAAAATAATCTTTAACTAGTAATGATCCTAAATTTTATTTGCCTCATTGGGACAACGTATAATTTCAATTTAATCAAGTTTTGCCATGGCATTTTACTAATGGTTTTTGATAGTGCTTCCAACTACTAAGACAAGGATTTGGTTGAATCTATTGTATGTTTATGATAAATAAGTTGAAAAATATATGAGTTATAGCACATATGAGAATTCAGAATACAATTTCTGTCTTTATGTCAAGGATTTAACCTAAAACGATTGTCTCCATGAATTAAGAATATTAGAAGCAATAGGTAAATCCATCTATTTATAGAGCAACAGGAATCTTTTGTTTTTGCTGCATTTTGATCTCCTTAATATTTTTGAGTTATGACATTGTTAGACTGAAACATCTCTTGAAAGCATTTGAACAATAATAAAAATATTAATCAAGACTCAAAGGAGTTATAGTATACTCACTAATAATTGTAGGCTTATTCGTTTCTTTGCTTGTATACTTCTTCACAACGATCTTCCTTACAAGCTTGAGCGAAATTGAAAGTTCAATATTATATTTAATTTAGCCCATTTTGGATCATCTTTTTGGGTAAATTTGTTTTGCTGCATCTCTCTTGTAATCTTTGCATGCTATTACAGAAAGTCAAAAGGTAGAATTCTTAGATTTTAAATAATGGAGAAGTTAATAAATTAAGAACTAGCAGAAGATTCCTTAAATCACTTAGATAGTTCCGAAGCTCATTTTTGATCTAAATTCTATTCAATTTATAATGATTAATTTTTGTTTATTTACTGAATTCAAACTTAAAGTTAACTCATACTGTTATTCATGTAAGCAATAGTTTGAACTATAATAATTTGAGACAGAACTTTGAGGCAAATAAAAATTAATAAAAGTAGGCTTCCTCAGGCATTCAACCCGACCTACTTGTTGCAAAATCAAATATGTTATTACTTATATATTAGAAGGCTTCTTTCTAATCACAAAATATTTTTATAGATAAGATTTTTATAAACATAAATTATTATTATAAGTTTCGATTATCATTTTTTAAATTAATGTTATCGTTATAAAGAATTCAGAATTATTTTTATGATTAAATAATAAATTATCAGTTGATGATAAATTAATTTTCAGTTCATAAAATGATAGTGCGTACGCCGAGGGATGTTTAGAATGTGTAATTTTCAAATACTAAAGAAAATAAGAACAATAATTAAACTAATAATCAAATTGAAAAAACAATATAAGAATGCATAGATAGATCATCATTGCAAATTGATGTTTTAGAATAAATACGAGCTAGATCAAAGGACAGAAAAAGCAGTCAGAAAACTACTGGCAGGACAACTAGAAGGTATGAAGAGCAAAATTAGAATTAGTTGATTTAAAATCAATTAACTAAACCTATTAAACTCGATTTTTAATTAGAAGAGTAAGAAAACATATTCACCCATGAAGAGATATAAAGAAAATAAAGTGAATTGTAAATTAGATTAAAGGATCTCGATTAAATGTTTGAGGAAACAATTACAAAAAGCAGATAAATTACTTAAAAATTTAATTTTATTAGATGAATATTGTTAAAATAATTTATGATTATAAATTTCATAATTATTCAAGCTTCTTTGTATCAACTAATGGATTGTTTTTGATAAGTTATTGTTTTGCTTGTTCTGCATGATCAAAAGTGCAATTGTGATCTTCTGGCAACCTATGCTTGTTGCAAAAGACTATTTTGCATTTACATTATATGCCTGATATACCTAGTTTTCTCTTGCATACATAACATTTTGAAGGATCTTGCTGATAATTTTAAATCATTTAAATACCTGAACATTCACTTATTAATTTTATTATGCTTTTTCTTCTGGTATTTATTATTGCTGTTATAGTTAGGGTTATTGCTCATTATCCTTTTATGAAATAGTTCTATTACAATCAACGATTATACTTATAGCATTTCGAACAATAAAAATTAGTTTTGGCACTTCCAAAGAAAGTTTGGCATAATGGACACAGTTTTGTTTCCTATTTTACTTCTTAGTTTTTTGATTATTCCTCTGTAGTTGCCTATTAATTATTTTGCATTTTTATTATATTTAATAAAATAAATAACTAATCCTGATAGTGATTTAAATTGAAAAAATATAATTGTTATCATTTTTGTAAGTGTTTTTTCCTTAACAAACTTTAAAGTTTTTATTCAAGTTCCTGCTGTCTAATTTAAAAATAAAAATATACCTTTGTTTATTGCTTTACAGCAGTGCACCCTATTCGATTCCGAGATCCTAATTAGTATCTTAAATAAAAGGTTTTTTCATCTCAAAGCTGGACCCAATTATGGAGGGATCAGAATTAGGATCATCTAATTAAAATTCAATTTTTCCTTATTAAAAATTAAAAAATGGATGCTAAAGTAATTTATCAGCTGAATATTATTAATGATTTGGTACAAAAATAATATCTAAGAGATTTTTAGAGAGTGCACTGGCATGTTATGGATAAGGGGGTTTTAGTATTTCTGAACTATTCTTAATCACATCATTAACATTGACTGCACAACCCCCAAACATCTCTATTATTACAGCCCCTAAAGATAAGATGTCTATTGCAAATTTCTCCTTATTCCTTTTCTATTCCTCTTCTATTGTAGGCGACTTTTATTTTTGATTTGTATCAAAATCTTGATCAATCTAAATGAACTTTTTAAAATTAGATAGTTTGATTGTGCCTTCGCTATCAACTAAGATAGTTGAACTCTTAATGTTGCTATGTACAATATTTTTTTTATGGAGATACTGAATGCCTTCCAGAATTTGTTTACTATATATTCTAATATTGGATTCCTCAAGATCAATTTTACTCAAGACCCTCTTTAAGGAACCTTATGATATATATTCTAGAGCAATATCAACTTAAGTAAAATCTGGGCTTATTTCTGTAAAATAATACTGGATTATGTTCTTGTGTTTTAATTGTTTCAACAATTTAATTTCAGCCTTTAACTAATTGATCAACTGATTATTCTTATTGATTATTATTGTAATATACTTATTCTTTAGTCCCTTGAATCTTAACAGTCTTAATTGCCAATATTTTCCCTGTCTTATTATCAAGAGCTTGATAGACTTCAAATAAGGATCCTTTTCCAATTAATTCACTTTTTTTGTAGTCTCGCTTCTTGTACACTTTTTGCTATTGCAATGAGCAATTAAGGTTAGTTGATTATGACATCGACTAGCAATAAATTAATGGATTACATTTTGCAATTGATACTATTAAAATTGCGAGTCACTGATACTATTTTTGTTGATTTGTTTATCCTTCCTATATTGTTTGCTTCCACAATACCCCATAAGTTTTATAGATAAAATAATAATAATAAATTATTATTTTATAATCTATAAATTTTTTAGATGAAACCATTTAAAATTTGTAATTTATTGAGAAATATAGGACAAGATCTATTGTAAATGGACATAAATGAATAAAGAGGGAATGATGATTAGGATCAGAATTCATTTTATTAACTAGTTCAAAATTTTATCAAATTCAATAAACTTATTTTAAATGTGTTTCTTTCTCTATTGATCTTTCTTTTTCTTCATTTGCTATTATTGTTATTGATATTCTTCCATATTAACAAAACTCTTAATAATGGGTAAACATTGTTATTGGACAGCCGATTGCTAATTCTGTTATTAATTTTCTATCGTCTTTTGTCTAATATTGGAGCTGTTCATCTTCACCCGAGATTACCTATTACGCAAGGGAGTATAGTTGATTTTTTTGATTTCTCCAAGAGAAGGTTATTCTTTTTAGGTTTTGTCAATTTCTCTGGCAACATAAATTCTACGAAAGACTTGCTTTTTTAGTTGGTTAGCATCTTCTTGGTTACTGGAAGTTCGCTGTCTTACACTATTTTATTAGAGTTGCTGTTGTTGTTATTAAATCTATTAGAGGGTGATTTATTATTATTGCTCACTTATTTTCTTACCGAAAACCTCATTTAGCTTTTATCTCAATTACTAGTAATCTTCTCCTTTAATTAACTCCTTGATCGTCTTAATATCCTTGATAACACTTTGTTAAGCATACTTAGGAGAATCAAATTGCAGGACTGCGGATTTCAACATTAGTTCTGGATTATGCAGAGTTAATTTGACATCACACTCACCAAATAAAGTTAGATATTGAATATCCTTATATTCATATTCTATATACTTGATTTTTTTAAGCCGTACAATCGACATTCGGTGATGGCTACAGCCTCTCCTTCGAAATGATGAATCACTTGTCTTCCGTTCTGAAACATGATGCCATCAGCTATGAACACAATTGTATTCTCCAGATTCACAACCTATTTGTGCATAACTATAATCCTGTCTAGGTATTAGAATAGAAATGTAGGGAGGGTAGAGTATTTGTTTAAGAGTTTGTTTTAAGTTATCAGTTGTAGATACTTGAGATCTTCCTTAATTTCGTAATCTAGATGTGGCCAAATGTTAATCACTTTAATAATTAACACTCTGTGATTATAGCTTTCTTTCTTTAATGCATAGAAGGTTTACTAGCATAGACCCATTTAGGTGAATGCTTGATTTGGTAGAAATACAAATTATTCTGTAGTGAGTTTCCCATCTAATGGAATGTAGATGTTTTCTCCTTTGTCATACAGTTTAGAACTACTGCAATCAAAGTTTGGTTCTATTTTGGTATTCAATTTTTTGAGCATTGGAATTTCTAACATCATAAAAATATAATTATAAAATATATAGATATTAAACTAAATTCTAATAATCAAATAAAGTACATTCACAAGAATTCCCTTTTTAAGAGTAAGTGATTGACTCTAACCATTAAGAAATGGAAATATTGATTACATTCAACCCAAATAAATATTTGTTTTTATTAGTATTAATTATATTAAGAAATGTCTAATTTTACATAATCATTTCATGGGGCTTCCTCTTTTGGAATTGGTTAGAGATTGAACATTGTATGATAACTCAATAATAAAAGTTTGCATAAAAATAATCAAGTCCTAGTCCTCATCAATATACAATTCAATCAACTTTATCCTCAAGTGCTTCCAAATTTGGAAAGTCTTTACGGACATAACTCATTAATGACACGCCTTCCGTTGGAAAATATGAATTGGATTAGGACAATGTATCTACATCATTTTATGTATTATAGAATCGAAAATTAAAAATAACAATCAAAGGCAAAAGAAAACAAGAGAAAGTGTCCTCCATCGTTGGGTAAAGAGTCTGCTCTATTCTTAGACCTGGAAGTTACACTATCGAACCTCCGAAATCAAACAAAAAATATGGTTTCGGAGATAGATTTTTGATGACTTATGAAACCGAAGCACCTGCCCCTAATCAATATCATCTGAGTAGCAATGGCTTGAAATCCAGCATTAATAAAAAGAATGGTTTTATGTTAAGTTCCAGCAAACAAGATAGCATCTATCCTCGATCAATAACTCCTGCGTATTCTTATTTAAACAATCCATAAGGCCTGGCCAATATGATAGTTAACTTACTCAATACAGCACAAATCAAACCTTCTCTAAAGCCCCAAGAGAACCTTAATATATAGATACCCCAGGTCCTGGAAGTTATCATTATGACTAAAAGGAAGCCAAAGGATTCTCATTCTTAGCTAAGTATAAACCCCATGACCCTTCGAATTATCCTGGGCCTGGCACTTATGATGTCTAGGACAAACTGAAAGGCAGTGGAACAATCAAATTCAATTCCATATTGAGATAAACCATTTTTGGCTAAATCAGAGAGGAAAGTCCTGGACCTGGAACCTACAACTATGATTCTCTAACAAACAAGAGCAAAGGTACCAAATTTTAAAAATCTCCTAAATTATATGATTACTCCAATAAAATTCCAGGTCCTGGGGCTTATGAGAGTAAACTCTCAACTTTACAAACATAAGGGGGAGTCATGGGTAAACTGTATAGATCAAAAAGGATCTGTACTACTCCTGGACCTGGATAATATGATCTAGATTAATCATTCGATGATAAATTACTCAAAATCAATAGATGGAGCAAATCTAAGAGATTTCAAGATGAACGAACTGACTTTGTCGGTCCTGGAAAATACGAAATAGATCGTTCTTTGATGAAAACAGGGGTTTCATTTACTAAATAAAAACATAATAGAGATAAAATTTAAAAATAACTTTTCGAATCTCCTGGTCCTGGACATTATCTAATCGATTCTGAAATTGGATATATACCTGAATACTTAATCAAATAAAAATGATTTCATTAAATTATATTTATCTAAAAATTGATCAGTTAAATTAAGTTTTTAATTAGAAATTCTTGAAATTTAACTGAATCCATTTTATTCAATTTACTTCTCTATGAACATACATAATCAAGATGTAATTTCCATCTTTATATGATCTAATTAGTTTTAAATTAGTTTGGATTTAATAGTTAGCACAATTTTAATTTTTATATCCTTTTAGTTCTTTTATTTCAATGATTTTATTTACATTTTATAAATTAGGGCTAACTCAAAGATGATCATCAAATCTAAGATTTTAATATGCTAATCAAAATAGTACATGGTTTAAGGTTTAAAATTTGCAATTATTTCCTTATTATCAACTAGTAAGAGGGATGACAATGCAAATAGCCTATAAAGTATGAATAGTACTGGATGGATTTGATATTAATGTTCTAGTACTCGATATGTGGTTTTTCTAACAATATTTATTGTTAGACCAAGAATCTGGATAAGAAATTATCAAAATTCATTTCGATTTACTATTCCAAAGTAGATAAGAGATTCAGTAAGAAAATAGGTTGAAAATATAATTGAATTATCTTTTTTCTAAATATTTTATGTATCATTAATTAACATAGACTGGAATGTGACGTTCTGAAAACTTTTTAGCCTTAACTTTGATGTTTTCGACAATCAATGGCTAGATATCACGACCATTAATTGGTTCATCATTTGGTTTAAATTGAGGTAATATTGCAAGAATAATCCCTCCATTTTAATAGTGTGAAGATACTTCTCTAATTTACACTCTGGTAAAGAAAGCTGTGCCTTTTATTAAGGGGACACACAAATGACCTTTTAATATCTATTCGCCCTTGTTGTTGACTTTGATTTCTTTAGGATATTGTTCTTGAGAATAGATTGCAACAACCAATTCGACTTTATTAGGATTTCGGACTAACTCTCCATTCTTATTTTTTAGCTCAACTCTTAATTAAAAGATACGATCTCTATAAAGTGGAGTTTCAAGAGGATCCGCTAGTGTTAACTTGTATTTGTATGACTTCTCCAGTAACTAAAATAATAAAAATCAAGTTACAGATCTTAGGTTGAAGGATATGTTTAATTGCGAGTTGGTGAATAATTCGTCATTTCGTTTAATTTAGATTTATGAGCAAGATAGTTCAGGTCTTCCTTATTAAAGCAGTTTATTATTAATTTATTGAAATTTAAGCAAATAGTCTTGTAGAAGATTATTAAATTTATCCTAGCTAGTATTGAGCTAATCAAGAAGTGTCTTGTAAGCATCAACTTACTTGTCTAGCAATTCAAAAAACTGTGTTTATTGAGTTAAAATGTTTTGCATAATTTTTGGGGAGTAAAAATATTAATATATTTATTTAATTAAATAAGTATAATTATTTAATTCAATTAAATTAATTTCTCAGCTTGATAATTAGAAAATGGTTTAATCCTTTAAGGATTGGATTAAAAATTACCTTAGATTTTAAAAAATCTAATCTAGAGTTGAATCAATCAGTTTGGAGACAATTAAATAAATAAATAAATAAATAAACTCTTTATTAAAACCATCTCTCCCAATTAAATCTAGAGCTCCCATGATGGCATATCACCTTTTAATTACTAAATTCCTTCAATAAACCATATTTAGATTAATCTACTATTACTCTTCAAAATAAATTTGACTATTATTTCTAGGACTAATAGTTCATTAACTAATCTCATCAAAGTTATAACCATCGAAATACCTTGAACATTCATATTTTGTTTAATCTTCATTTGACTACCACTCATAACCATTAATAATTAAAGGATTTTAAATTTAATAGATGTTTAAATCAGCTGATAATTTTATAAATCAATAATTCATACTGTATTCCTATCGATATACCAAAGTTGTAGTATATTATCCTCGGTCCTTCCTATAATTCATAAATAGAATTGCAATTGCTCTCGAGTAAACCTAAACAAGACATTAAAACTATTTAAAGTAAACTGGTTGTATGAAAAATTGTTCATAAATATATAATTTTAGTATATCATAAAAATCCAGATCTATATCCTGATCCAATTTCGTAGTTTCCATATTGAGCCAATTGATGTTATTTAATGATATAGACTTCATCTTATGAGTTAACAAAGCGATGCCTAATAATCCACTTTATTATATTACAATATGGCTTATCAATTCCAATACTCCGAATCCCTTTAACATAAGTAGCGTAATCAAAATGAAGAAGCCAACCCATACAAATATTATCAAAAATCCAAACAATTACATTCCTAATAACTTACCATCACATCCATAAACCTGCTTTAGTGTCAAAAAATGCTGAAAAGAGAATTCCCAAAAATCCATTACTCTATTTGATTTATAGAATATTTTACGGTATAACCTCAACAGGATCATCGATTTGGTGTTTTAGAACTGCTTTTGTCAAAACACTATAGACACCAGCAGCCAAGAAACCTTAAAAGAATGCAGTCCATGACTTCATATCATCAGTAGCAGCACTTACAGCCACTAAAGCACTACTTATGCCCCTAGATAAAGCCACCAAACTTGTGGTTTCATATTAGAAATATCTAATGATGAGAGCAAAGAATCTTCCTGTGACCCTGTGTGTATTTGGAATTAGCTCCTTATGCAATAACGCCTCCATTATAGAAATGCCATCCAGATAACACCAAAATTGAACCAAAAGCAATATTAATTGGGGAATGCCTTGAAAATTACAAGTTTGTGTTTGGATCACATCTGAATCTTCTTGGTTTCAGCAATATTGTCATAACCAATCCAACAACACCTGAAGCAAAAATTATAACACCACCTTCTGAGAAATCCTTATATCCCATAATTGTTAACCTTTTTCTATTCTCATTTAATCAATATCATCCTTGTGCTAATGTCCAGTGAGCTAACCCAGCAGATACTAGAGCTAAAATTGATCATGTCAAGAATGTCATTCGTTCTGCTGCTGCTCCAGCTAACACTGAAACAAAAATTGCAGTACGGATGCTCTAGAAACTTAACAAGTTCAATAATAAAATTACCAAAGTATGTTTAATCATTTCCGTATGGATTTGCTTCCCAATTATATCCTCCTAATTTTGTACCACCCATAAAGTTTGTTTAGAAATAATATCCATACCCAACTATAGCTATCACCTTTATATCTTACCAACCACCATATTAAGATTGTAAGGAATAAACCCGATATCACTTTTATTGCTATTGATTAAGAATTCTAATATCTAACTAATCCTGCTTCAATAAATGCAAATCCCACTCATATCAACACTATTATGAACCCCGAAATTAGAATCCAATCATAATCAATACTAGATGCTTGAGGTGCTGGAATATTGGCTATAACAGGAGGTTCTCTATCTCCAATATTGGTGAATAAAAAGATGAGCCATACTTTCACTATTTAGTTTTAAAATTAATTTATTTTATAACTAAACAAATTAAAATACTAATTATATTCAATGATCCTAAATCTCACTATCGATTCGTATTTACATAATACTAATCATACTCAGATTTAATTTGAGGAATTTTAATGACAAATTTTAGAAAAAATGAAGACTGGAATTCTAAATAAATTAATTAAATATTATTTATGTGCCAGAGAATTTAATAATCTAATAAAATGCTCTTATATATTGAAATTAATAACATTGTTCTTCTATTAGTTAATCAAAATTGGATTCAACAATTAATCAATATGGAAGGAATAAAGAAATCCTTGTTCATATACATTAGAGCTTCAGACTTGTATCTTTCTGTAAATGCTGGATATAAATTTTGTCATTTTATATATAAAAATTTGAATTTAAATTCAGAGGGAAAAATTCATATTACAAATGAGCTCAGATTTTAAATAAGATGGAACTCCTTTTACTAAATTGTTTTAAAGATTAGAAAATATACATCAATCTCCTGTTTTTAATGCGGATTGTCTCCAACACCAAGATGACATGTATATAAAAGACTAGTCCCCTGAATAAGTCTGTAAGAAATTGGAATTCACTCCATATTTGAAATCTCCTAATCAGTATTTACCCTCCTTAATAAATTTTAGATTTCAACCTTATTCTCCATTAAATCATTAGACAACCAAAAAAGCAAATATATTCGTTATTTCTCCTGCCAGATAAATCAACTTTGACCACACCAAGACAGAATAACGACTTGTCAATATAAGTTCACCTCTCAGTTCAATGAAGATCCCAGATGATCTATTATGCGAGGAAGAAGAGATCTTATCAGAAGATCAAGACAATCGTTCTCAATTCAGAAGTCCTCCCAAATCACCTCACAGAAAATTAGAAAGAGCTACTAAACTGAAATTCATCAATTTCGTTACCTTAAAAAAGCCACTCAAATTTACAAGTGATTAAATAACCAATAGAAAACGTACTAGTTCCAAAAGAAGGAAACCACAAACAGAGTAAAAACCTAAAATAATTGTATGCAATTGTAAGAAATCCAAATGTCTTAAATTATATTGTGATTGCTTTGCTGCAGGCGTAACATGTGGTAAAGATTGTAATTGCTGTTCTTGTCACAATAACGATGATCACACAAAAGAAAGAGAAACTGTTATCAAATAAATTATGGAAAGGAATCCATCTGCATTTCGTCCTAAAGTTGAATCCAAAGTACTCTATTATTTTAATATCAATTAGAGCAACTCAGAAGATGAATAAGACCATAAGCCAAGACATTTCAAAGGATGCAATTGTAAAAAATCGAATTGCCTTAAAAAATATTGTGAATGCTATTAAATGGGAGTCAAATGTTCTGAATTATGTAAATGTGATGAATGTAAAAATTGTGAAATGCCTGTCAAAAAAGATTCAAGAAAAAGAATTAAACATGTACACCAACATTTTAAACATACTGAAATCTATTGAGTTAATGATTAAGTTTTGGGCTTTTTTTCAATATTTTGCTATTCATTTTTTAACTTTAATTTCATAATAAAAATATTCATTATCAACCCATAATGTATATATTACAATTAATAGTTAATTAAAAGAAGATGCTTCAATTTCATTTTCCAATTCCATTATAGGGATGAGTTTTTATAAACATCATTAAATTCATAATTTAAGGCTAATAACAAGAAAAAAAGAATAATAAAATGCGTTTATAATCATAAATAATTCCAATATAGATTTACACCTCATTTTTTTTTGCCTCCTTTGGCAGTATCTCCAGCTTTTCCTGCTGCTCCTGTTGCTGCAGCCCCTCCTTTAGCGCCAGCTGCTGCTTTATCTTTATCACCACCCTTTCCAGCTGCTGGTTTATCGTCATCATCTTCTTCTTTTCTAATAGCTGGCTTTCTTGCTATTTAATAAGTAATTAATCAATGTTACCCTTAGGTGTATCTTCATCATCTTCTTCTAATTCTTTGAGTCTTGCTGCTTCTTCGGCTGCAGCTTCTTCTGCTAATTTCTCTTATTAAATATGCTCCAATTGATCTTCTTAGTCATTGAGATCATCATCACCAATTACATCTCCATCTCTATTTAAAGCTGTGTATTTATTCATTAAGATAATTCTCTGTCTTTTAATACTTCTAACAATACTCCTCACATGACTTGCTGGAGGGTGCTAAATAACAAATTATAGCTAACATAGGCTTTATCATTTGCTGCGATTTAAATAGAAGCTACGTCTATGCTGTCTAATGGCACTGCCAATTCTAATAACCATAAAGGATACTCATCAATCTCTTTGATTTCTGGGTCTTTTCTATCTTTCCAAATATTAATTAAATCATCTGAAGTGGCAACTGCCTCTACTTTTGCTTTTTTTGGACCTCTTATCCACATTTAATTATACTAATTTTAAACACTTCAATACAATCGATGTAGTTCTGATAAGTAATCCTAAACTTCTATACATTAAATATAATTTAATTATATAATATTTATTAATAGTGAATATTATACTATCTAATAAATACAATTCAAAAGATGAAATATATTCAAAAAATTTCGCAGTTTTGGCAGACTGTTTTATCTTATGATTTTTTTCCAATTTAGTATTTATGGAGTTACAACCCATCACTTGCTATAATCATTTTATCAATTTATAAAAAGCACATAAGTTTTGCTGGTTTTGAAGCATTGACCATGAGTTCATTTCCTTTATTTTCGATCAATTGATTTAATTGTGTGCTGATTTGAATAGATCCAATATATTTTTCACAAACCCAAACAAGATAATTATCAGATAAAGTTAATGCTAGAGGTACATTGTTACCATTAATTTAGCACTTTTACACAATGGTTATGTTGCCTAAAATTATATAATAATCATACCATCTTTAATATGAAAAATTGGTATTTAAGGTAGGTTCTTACTTATTCCTGCAAAATGTTCAGATGATATCAACTATAGATTATGGATCTAAGCATCAAATTGAAATTTAGCACTAAGATAAGTTTGGAATATTACGATTATTCATATACCAAATATTTTCCATAAATTATTAGGTTCTCATGAGATGAAATAATCTATTTGGTTTCATCATCATAAATCAAATCCACCACAGATCTATCCACATCTTTGTATTTTTTAATTATAGAAGGTGGCTAAGTATCAAATGCCAGAATCATAATTTCTCCTGTTTCCGACCCTAATATACATAAGTCTTTTCTCATGTATTTCATCACCTAATAAAATCCATGTTATATTTACTGTGATCTTATCAGATTGAAAATTTAAGATTTTCTCACAATAAAATGTTTTGCTCTTCAAATTCACTCCAAAAATCTCTCCAGATTATGTGATCCCAACACAAATATTTAAGGTCTGCAAATACGATAAAAAAGAGACGTCTGCATTAGGATTATTTAATACTTTAAGTAAAAATGCATTCTGATACACCGTTTAAGGATATCAATCTTACTCCTTCATTTGAATAGGCCAATATTTAACTACCTGCTGAGATAATCTTCTTGTGATTGCACAAATCATTAAGAGTCCCTAAATACCTCAAAGTTGTATTTTAATTAGAATAAAATTTAATAGCCTTGGCCTATTCATTAATCTGAGCTGGATGAACAGATTAATCCTTTTCACTAAAATAATTGTATTGTTTACTCATCCTCATAATCTGGATTCAATGCTTTCAAAGCTTAAAGCCATGTAAATCTGTTTCGCTCACTGAATTCTGTCATTCCTTAGATACATGCCTTGATTTAAGGATTTTAAATCCTGCTAACTTAACTTTACAATTTCTTCCAACCCTAACAATCTTTCTTCTTCATTGGATCTTCGCTAGAATCTATAGCATTTCCAGTTTTTTCTTCATATATGATTGGATCATTCAATTTCGAAAGATCTTTGTCACTTAGAAGTAAAATCATTTGAAGAAATGTAATTCCTAATGAAAATATATCACTCTTCTCTAAATCATGTCTAACTTAAGTTTAGTATTTACTTAACTTTTCCTGGCTAATTAGTTGTATAAGCAATATAGAGTTTAGGAGACAGAAATAAAGGTGTTCCTACTAATGTATTAAGCATTGCTTGTCCATTAAAATTCTCTTTTCCAGCCCCAAAATCTGCTAATTTAACTGTGTATGGTTATCGGCAGGTAACTAGGATGTTTTCTGGTTTGATATCTCTGTGAAACAAATGTTTGTTTTTTGCAAGATAATAAAATGCTTTCAAACATTAATTCATAATGTCTATCAGCATTAAATCTAAAAGAATTTACCTACATATTATATACCCCCAAATTCTAATTAAGCCTTCCTTCTTTCATCGATATCAGCTTTCAAGCTATTCTGAGCCAACTCCATTGCAAAAACTAAAATATATTTCTTTGCTGGCATCTGTTCCATCCAAGAGTAGACCTTATGAACCTTTATGACATTCTAATGATAAGTGATCACTTGATATAAGTTCAATTCTTGAATAGCAAGCTCATACGCTTATTCACTTAAGTTATTTTATTTTATACTTCGATGTTTCTATAATTTTCAGAGCATAATAACCAGGTGGAAGAGATTTTAAAGCTTTTGCCTTATATACTTTTCCGAATGTTCCTTGTCCTAACATTTATGAATTCTTGAAATCAAAGTCTTCCTAAAATTCAACTTAGGTTGGAAATTATTGCATATTGATATAATTTGTATTTATGGAAATTAATATAATCTAAAATTAACTCACTAAACATACCGATGTTTTCCTATGCTTATAATGTACTTGAATGACTAAAATTACCATTTACTCTAAAAATATAATCTATATTAAACTATATCTCAATAATCAATTTAGAAAATTCATAGATATGAAAAATTATGGATATTTTTGGAAAATTAACATAAATATTCAAAAATCGCATGATGCTTTTTGAATATGATTATTTGAATTCAAAATAAATATTTCATTATTGCCTTCTATCCATATTTTCTCAAAAACATTATTTTAAACGGGCAACTTAGATAATTTGGAGGTTGTCAAACTCCATCTTATCAAACAATTTCCAGTGTTCAAAAATAAATACTTTATATTTTTAGAATATTTGAGATCGCATATATTTTATAACACATTATCAGACAATTTTCTTATTAGTTTTTTACTTTATAAATTTTTAAAGAATAATTTGTAATTATTATCAAAAGTGATTATCGACAACAATTTATTCGATTCAGTAAAATGAATTATTTTATTACTTTCTACATATTTGTGCTTCTATTTGCAAAAGTTATTTTTCAAATACATCACTTGCAATTCATTGTTGAATGCTATATTGATAATGAAATCCGAGCTTGTTTTTTAAAGAACCCTATATTCTCCATCAAACTATAATAATAATTCCAGATTCTCTTAATTCAAATCAATTAATTTTAGTGCATCATTTTAATATAAATAGATCTTCTTTTCCTGTTCAACTAGAATATAACTGTCAAGAGGAAGGAAAATGGAGGGTAATTTATAACAGATTTCAGATCTGGTGCTTAATTCTATTATTCTCAAACTTTTGCTTTCTTCTTGAGCTATACATATCTTTTTTTCGTCTGAAGTAAATTGTAAATCATATAATTCAAATTTGATAAAAGTCATTTCAAAAATATTCTTTTTTGTAATCAGGCTGATCACATACAGCTTTTTTCCTTCTATTACAAAAGCTACTAGATTTCCAGATTTAGATACTAAAAAATGAGATATGAAATCTTTTTCCCTTAATTTCCAAATAGTTTACCAATCTTTTGATACTTAGGCATATTGAGACTTTTTTGGTTAATACATGTTTACTTTTTCTTAAATTTCTTCTAATTTTATAAATAAATAAATTAGACAAAATTAAAAAGGGATTACGATAAAAATTATTTAATTTTATTTAATATATTGAATAATAAATTAATAAAGAGAATTAATTTATAAATATATAATAATATGTAAGTTTAAGTTTCGATAAATATTAAGTATTATAAAGACAGTCAATTATTAATACTATCAATCAATTGTTGTAATTAATCTATTTCAAAAACACTTAATTGTCTATTTAATTTATAGAATTAAGATTCTATATAATCAAGAGCTGCTTTTGAAAATTTTATGCCATTCTCTTAAAATAGATCAAACAAATCCTATTATTATTATATTTTAAGTTACATTCACACTATGTTTGTTTCTAGGACTTTAAAATTTAGATTAAATTTGATTACAAATCATTTCAAGATTATTTGCATTCAAATTTGTTTGAATTTCATCAAACACTTATTTGTTCGGCAATCGAAAATTATCTAATAATGTCTTTAAAATGCTTCTTATCCTAGAATTATTTTATGGCTTGTCTAAATTAATTTCATCTTCTTAATCGAATAAATAATTTGCTAAAGTGCAAGCTTGTTCCTTAGTTAAACTGAAAATTTATTATTGCAAAGCATCTTTAAGCTCGTCTAAAGTAGTTTCTTATTAATTTTTAAACAAATACTATTATAAGTTAAAAGTATATTACAGCATCTAATTCATCAAAAGCTAATTTATTAATAATCATAGAAAATTTGATAATCTTCACTATTTAACAAAGATCTTGTTTGTTAATTTTAGAATATTTAGATTTCCCTATACCACTTAAAGATCTTTAAGATGTAATTAGTGAGAAATCTCCAGAACCTCGACCAACAATTTAATGCTGTGAAAACATAGAAGGCTTGATAATCGAGCTTGATTTCTCATTCTTTTTAAGTTTAGCTTTTTAAATATGCTCTTCCTAGAGAGCCTTACATAATGACTCACATCTCTCTTGCAGCGATTACATTTCATCATCCTTCTCTATAATTCTTCTATCATATTATTTAATTTCTTGTTAATGTCTCTCTATTAATTATTCTATATAAATTTCATCTTCTTATCTCTTGGAACTCAATTTATGAATATCTGAGAGTAGTTTTCTAAGTATAATTAATATTATTACTTAATTTATTAATCTTGTTTACTCTTTTGATTGTGTTTAACTGCAAACAATAAATCTCTTTCCTTGTATTATCTAATCTCTTTTTACAATTCAGTAATGAGTTATTTTTATTACTAAATTTTGACTTGCTACGTTACGATATGCTTTTTCATTTAATCATAATCCTTGAGTTTCTCTTCCAACCCTGATACTATCTAAACTAGTTTAATATTATCTTGTTCTAATTCTTCAAGGATGGCAAATTGTGGGGCTAATATATTTCTTTGATTGCCTAATAATTTTTCTTTTTGAAGTTCGAGCATATTTTACAGTTCAGCTATTTTTTTTTACTAATTCACGATTTCATCCATTTTCAACTTTTTTTTTAAACCTTCTATCTCAACATCTTTATTCTATAGTAATTTAAGTAAATGCTTGAATTTCTAATTGTTTCTAACAGTTTTCACTTATATATCATCATCTGATAACTGCTAGTGAAAGCTTTCGACATCTTTCTTGATATTAATAATCCCTTACTTGAAAATAGATATTCTAAGACTTTAATTAAATATTTTCCAATCTTAATTAATTGAGCTCGTGTTTCATTTTTAATAATTGATCCTATTGATCCTCTTTATCATAATAAGAGTTTCTTGATTCATGTTTAGACAAAAATCCAATTGAATTGACTAGATGGTGTCTCGGACGATGAGATTCATGACAAGATTAATTGATTGATCCTATCGATCGATTTTTGCAAGACTCAGGAAACATAAATAAATTTAATAAAGTATTATTTAATAATATCCCAAAATTTTTATTAAATGTCCTTAAAATAATCTATATAATATAATTTTATCTCTATAATTAGAGTATTTATTTCAGATAACTGATATAACTTTTGAAGTATATCAATATTTTATAAATTTCTCAAATTACTGAAAAATATAGTATTGCGAGTACTTTAAGTTTTATATGCTGGTTCTTTTAATGAAGAGATAATTAAATAAAATAATTAAAATTAATAAAATATTTATATAATGGGTGATTAGACTTAACATTATGCTTATCCAATATTATTTCTAATAGATACATCAATTATATTCATTTAATTACAATTAAGAATTATTTCTAAATTTGCCAAGTTAATATATCTTTTAATTTCAATTTCTGTTATCAATATTCGATTTGACTATTTTCTTAATTAATTTCCTGTTTTAATTATACACTTATTAAAAATGGGAAGCGCATGCGATTCAAGAATTATTACACCTTCTAAAGAATTTGATTTAGAAGAAATTAACTTTGGAAAAACATATATTTACGGTCCTCCATCAATTGTAAAACCATAACCTATTCAAATATTGAAGTTTCCTGGCGATGAAATAAATTATCAATAAGACAACGAATTTTAGTGTTATCCTTAAAAGGATTACGCAGAAGAGTCAGCAGTTGTATTTAATCCAAGTGGAAATTTAAGACCTTTGGAAAAAAAATTGTCAGTAGATGAAACTTTGATATTCAAAGAAATACCGGAATAACAAGAACAGAATAGTATTTCAAGGAATATGAAGGACTCCAATTAAGATATTGTAAAATACAAATCGATATTAAAACACAAAAGTACAAATACCCTAAACACTTCGTATCCGTAAAGTCCTTAACATCACTTCAAAGAATCTTAATCTTCAAGTTCTTAAAATTCCATAAAAAAAGTCACATTTGATAAAAAATAAAGAGTTGCATACAGTAGCTTCAGAAGGATCAAAAATTGAGGCAAAACACTTTATTTTCATTTGATTGTTTTTAAAAAAAATTAACATGTATCAATAATTATTTTATCATAAATTAAACTTCTAATTATATCAGAAAAATAATGTAATCATATAAATAAAAGCGATATTAAGTTCGTTTAGTATAAAGTCATAAATAGTGGGAAGAGTATCTTAAACTTGTCAATAAAGTTATTGAATCAAAAAGGATTATGGTTCTGACTTCTTTATTCTTCCTTAAGCATGTTAATCTATTTACTAGAAATATTCATTATTTAATTATAATCAAAGGTTTGACGTCATTTATATATTAATTTTAATGAAGCTTCTAATTGTTGTCTTATTGATACTAGCAACAAGTGCAATTTCCATCAACTCGAAATGCACAGCAGAAGTAACTAAGCTCACTCCAAGATTTTCCAAATTATATGGAAATGTTAATGAAAGAAAAATTGTTTCAAGTGTTAAGGAATTAGTTGGAATAGTGAAATAATTAGTAGCTGTAAAGAAATCTTGTTCTGGATCAGAAGGAGTTGATTTATCTACTTTTACAAAAAAAATAGGAGTTTGTTTGAAAGGAGGTTTTGATTTAGCCACTAATGCTTATAAATCATATAATGAATTTGAAGAAGATGGATTCTCAGACATTCTTGTTGATAGTTTAGTTGAAATGTCACATTTGGTGGAACCTGTGATAACCAACTGCTGGGGAGAAGAAGTGAAATCAGCCTTAGGATTTGTCTTACCTGATTAATGCATCTCACTTTTGGATAATGTTGCATAGGTCTCATTATAAATTATAGAATAAAAAGAAAGACCATTGATGGTGACTAAGGGGTTAATCAATTTGTAGAAGATTTTCAAATAATCTAAGAAGGCTTGTCCTTTTGTAGAGAGCTTAATTCCAAAGAAGGAAGAGAAAGAGGATGATAGTGAGGATAGCGATTTTTCTGATGATGATGATGATGACATGGAAGGATTGTTTGAATTATTCTAATGATCAATATATTATAAAAGGATTAGAATTTATTTAAGTATTTTAATAACAATTTAACGATTGACATTATTGAGGATATAAGTTTTTATCTTGATTTTTATTCAAATAAATTTATTTTGAATTATGAGTTCTCTCTTTGTTAAGTGCATGGTTTGCCAACAAAGACCAGCCACTATAAAGTGCAATTAATGTTAATTGGGCTAAACTTATCGATTGTGTTACAGTTGCGATTCTTAAGTACACAACAAAAACAATCCATCAGAAGACTAGCATAAAACTGAGATTATCCCATATCAAGGTATAACTATCTTTTTTATCATAAGAAATGTATCAAAAGGCAGGATCTGCCTCAGCTTTGAAAGATTCTTCCTTGAAAGTAACTATTTATTTTTGAATTTTTGTAGTCTAAACCTGAATAGTAATAGCAAAAACAATAACCACAAGGTATAGCAAAACCTTAATCCTCGGCTTCATCTAAGCAATTCTCGAACAACTTTAAATCAGTAAAGCCTGATGTACCTTAAAAAGAAGAAATTTTGAATAATTAAAAACCTGTTAAAGAACCTGTTTAATTGGTTTAATAGTAATCCTTACCCAATAAGTTTACTAACAACTATATTTACCCTTAATCTTAAACCAAACAAAAAGTAGAACCTAAATAAGAAGAGATCTAAAGGCAAAATAATTCTGCATCTTATATGAGCAATTAAAACAATAAACTCAAAGAGCAGATTTAAGAAGAATAAGATTAAAATAATGAACTAAGGAGAGAGATACAGCAGACTAAAGACTAAATTAAAAACATCAATAGTGAAATCGATAAGAAAATGTATATTTTTAGAATATTTTAGATAATAAAATTCAAGAGATTTTGAAAAGAAAATAAATGACCTAAAGAAAGAAAGCACAGAAGAGAAAAAAAAAATAACTAATTTAACTGATGAAGTAATTTTTAGTTTAAATCAAGGTTAAAAAATTAACTGAATAAGTTAAAAGTGTGGATCAATAAACCTAAAAAAAGTTGGATAATTAAAAAAAACAATATGAAAAATAGATCAAAGATATGGAATAAGTAATCAACGAAAAGTAGCAATAAATAGATGAGATTGCTGAAGAATTTTAGAATTACAATTTAGAGGACATTTAGGCTAAAATGGATGAAATGGCTAATGAAATTGAAGAAAAGGACTAAATTATAGAAGAATTGAAAAATTAACTGGAATAAGGAGGAGGAGAAAAAAGGGAAGACAATGATGAATTAATACAATAACTTGAATAAAAGGATGAGGAAATTAAAAAGCTAGAAAACCTAATAGAAAATTTCAAATAATTATATTAATAAATGTAAGATGAAAAGTAAGCAATGATGGAAGAGAATGAAAAATTACAAACTGAAAATAATCAATTCAGAGAATTGTTTAGTGTACATTTTATATTTATTCCATAAGTAAAATCTTCATCTATTTGGTATTGATCCAAATCAATTGGAAGAGGAAGATGGGGAAGGCGAATAAGAAGGAGAAGGAGAACAATATGAGTAGGATGAAGAAGGTAATTTTCTTATTTATTCTAGAGAATTGATTATAATAATAATATCTATATCATTAATCTAAAATTAAATATTTTATTTATTTTTAAAGAGACTCTTTTGTCGATATAAACCGGTTGTTTCATCTTTAATAATCAAATAAATAGGAATTAGTAATAGTAATATATAGTTATAATAAATTGTAATCAAGAACAATATAGGACCACTTAAGAATTTATAATGATTGATATCAATTTGCACATTTAAGATGTCGTCTTCTATTACATCTTACAGCATTATCCTGACTTAATATCTATTGTACCATTTACATAATCTAGAAGATAAATATTTTCTGTAAGTAGTAACTAATTCTAAAATTGTTAATTCTGAGGTAAACTTAAAAAAGATTCTTGCATAAAATTTTTAATCATGAGCATTATTGAATTTCTAATGATCCAAATTTACAAATATTTGAATTGATAAAATTATAGGTCCAATATAAGTTTTATAATATTCTTATTGAAGGATATAATTACTTTCTTAACTCTTCATTAAATTTCTATTTATAAATTCAATGTTAAATTTTTTATCGTTTATTTTTAGTATTTCAGGAATTAGAAAATAGAGGTTTCTTAATTTTGTTTTAGGTTTTACAATGACTCTCTAAATTACAAATCCTTTAGTAAATCTAATTTCCTTTAATAACTGCATTAAACCTTCAAAATCAAAACAAATTTGGATTTACTATATTTTATTTTAATTATATATTCTTCAACCTCTATGCACCATAATCTTAATATAATTGCTGATGATTCAATTAAAATTGTGTAGCTTATTTCATAAATTAAATTCATATTGATTTTGTTTCTCTATCTATTAGGCAAATTTATCAAAATTTCATCACCCTTCTGATTATTATTGCAATTTCAAATGCATTTGAGCTTATTGATTGTATGAGTTGAAAGCATAAGTTTTGATGTGTTAATAGTCTTAAGGTCTTGTGTTATTAAATAATTATTTTATTTTAAAATAAATGGAAGATTTAGGTTTCTCAGAATAAGACAGAGATGCTTTAGAAAGAGAATTTTAGGAAGTAAGATATCTTAGAAAATATTTATAGATTATCAACGAGTTAGCTAATGAGCCTGCTTTAGAGAGATTTAGACAAGAATATACAAAATTACATCAAGCATTTCGAAACGCTTATGATTAAGAAAGAAGATTATTAAGAAAGTTGAGAGATATTAATAGTGATATTTTAAATAATGCTGGCAAAGTAACCAATGCTCTAAAATTTTCACAAGAAGATAGCGAGAGAATTAAATTACTCAAAACTGAACTTGATAACACTTACAAAGTTATAGAATAGGCTTAGATGAGGGAGGACAAATTGAAATAGAAGATTGAAAACTTTTAAGCTGAAATTAAGCATTTATAAGATTTGGTTGAGTAAGGTAATGCTCTATAGAGTTAAACCAACAAAATCACAGAACTCTAAACATAGAAGGAAGATTTAATGAAAGGTATAGACATATTATACGGTAGAAAGGGACAGTCTGTAAGCGGAGTTAATCAAAAACAGATCAGAAACAGGTAATCTAATTGAAAAGTTGAAACTGTTAGAGAATGAAAAATTAATACTTGATTAAAGTTCTCAGTAGCTCAAAAAGAATTTATAGGAAATGTAAGAAAAGGTAGATAAGGATGAGTAAAGAAGAAATAACATTAATGAAGAATTAGAATAATTAAGGTAGAACTACATTAAAACAAAAAAAGAGTATGAAAAATAAAAAGAAGATTTATCAAAAGTTTAAGTCGAATTAAAGAAACAAACAGAAACATTGTAGAAAAAGGATATTGACAAAGAAATTGAGGAAAATGAACTTAAAAACTTAAGAGATCAAGTGACGGATGTTAAAAAAATTTACAAAGAGATTATGGCTAAAAAAGAAGAAAATGAAGATATCAGGGAAAGTAATGAGGCTGAAATAATTAAATTGAAAAATGAGAAGAACAATGCCAGAACACATTTGAATTAAATAGAAAAGAAAAATAATAATTTAAATAAGAAATTACTTGATTTATAGAAACAAAGAGATAAAATTATAAAAGATAAGGAGGTTGCAATTAATTCAATTCAATAATTAGACAGACATGTTACAGATACAAAGAAGTTTAATGAATAAGATTAGTAGTTACTTGAGGAGTTGAGAAAGGCACATATCAATTTTGCTAACCATAAAGCAAAGTCTGAAGAATATAATAGTAAATTAAATGAAAAAATTAATTTGATTGACAAGGAGATCGAGTCATATGAAAAAGAAATATTATAACTTTAAGAGGAGGTGGATGAAAGAGAAAAGTAATTTGTAATCAATACTAAAAAGAAGGAAAAATTTGGAAAGGATGCTGCTTTAATAAATGCGAAGTTTTTGCATTCTCAAGAGGAGATTAAATTGAAAGATAATTTAATAAGTGAATTTTAGAAGAAAAACATTGAAACAGATAATAAATTAAAACAATAATAACATTTATATGAGGAAGTCAGGTCAGATAGGAACTTGTACTCTAAAAACTTGTTAGAAACTTAGGATGAAATTGCTGTCATCAAAAGAAGACATAAAATAGTTCAACATCAAATAGCTTAATTAAAAGAAGAAATTGATGCAAAAGAAGTGGCTTTGGCAAAGGAACATTTTGAACATAAAAAGAAAGATAAAACTATAGAGGAGTGTTGTAGAATTTTAGAGAAGAACAGAAAAGAGATTGAGGAAAAAGAAGAAACAATCAAGAATTACGTTGGTGAAATATCGAAATTGCATTTTGTTTTAAAAGATAGCGAAATTAAGAGACAAAAACTAAAGGAGGAATATGAAACAGTAGTATCTGAAAGGGATATTCTGGGTACTCAATTAATTAGAAGGAATGATGAATCAGCATTATTGTATGAGAAAATTAAAGTACAATAAGAGACTTTGGCTTATGGAGAATAGTAATATAGAGAAAGATTGAGTGACATTGAATTATTGAAATTCAAGATCTCTGATCTGTAAAGAGAATTGAAGATAAAAAGAAAGAAGGCTGGTTAAGCTCCCATTTTAAAGGAAAAAATAAATAATTTATAAAAAGATTTGGTCGAAGAAAAATTGAGAGTGAAAGCATTAAGTGAGGAATTGGAGAATCCATTAAATCCTTAAAGATGCAAAAAGCTAGGAGGAGTAATAATTGATATTAATTTTAGAGTGATCCAGATGTATATGAAATGAAATAGAAAATAAAGACTTTGTAAAGAAGACTCATCTATAAAACTGAATAAGTAGTAGAGAAAGAAGTACTAATTCAATAGAAGGAGAAATAAATACTTGAATTAAGAGATATTATGAGAAAGTAACCAGGGTTGGAAGAGGCAACCTAAATCTCAAAATTATAGGAGTAAATGAAGGCAAAGACGAGACAAATGAAAAGTTTAGCTGCAGAGTTAAATATGTATTAGGCTTAGGTATGAGATCTTCTTATTTGATTATAGATCAACGAATACAAGTATGATATTGAAAGATTAAATAAAGAACTTTAAGAGACCAATAGAAAGTATTTGGAATAAAGAAGGAGAGAGTAGATTCAATAGGAACAATAATAATTAATGGAATAAAATCAATAGAATTAACAACCAGAATGATCATATATTATAATATGTTATATTATCTAAGAAGAAAGCGGCTATTTAAGTTAGTTTTTGATTGAGTTGATAAATAAAAAAATTGAAGTAAATGAGTATGAAGCAAGAAGAAGCAGCCTAAGGTAACATGTTCTGAGATTCTCTAGTACGTAAATCATCCAGATAAAAGAAAATGACAGAGAACTTTAAAGAAATGCTTTAAGAGATCAAGGAACAAAAACCATCTGCCAAGAAATCAGATTAAAAATAAGACAAGTACTAACAAAAGAAAGTATAAGAATAGAAGAAAGGTAGACTAGTTCATTAGTATTTAGTGTATGAGTATGGACATATGACTGATTGGCTTGATTGCATCTATCCACATGATAATGGATAAACATTCGACTTAGAAATATAATTCTGTGTATTAAAGCCAAAAAAACCAACCATTAAAAAGCCTAAAAAGGAATAAACTGAAGAAGGAGTAACCAGTTTCTATTATCCTAGATAATGTCTTTAATTCAAAACTTATTAACCAATCTTAATTAGAATCCAGAACAAATGAGGAGACAGAGCGAATAGTAAATATAGAGGGTCCAAACAACTAATGATGGCATCGTAGTATACCATCCTTACTTTAAGAAAAGTAATACATAATCTAATTCTAAAAGTTGAATATCAAAGCAAGAAACCACAATAGATTGACTAGATTGAACCATCTATAGAGTTAGACGGTCTAAAATAAAAATTTGAAACTATCAAAAAGACCTTTAGACCTTTGATACTTATTTGATTTGCAATTAAATATATATGACATATTAATACAAATTCTAGTTATAATAAGATCTCTTTAAACTAAATTCTAATCTATATACATGAGATCGCTAAGTTCATCAGCATCGATTTGCATATTGAAAAAACAATATTGTTATTATTATAATATTTTTTCAAATTTATTAGAATAATTGTATATAGCTACTTATTTATAAATATATCAATAAAATTAGAAACTTTATAAAATCTTATTAATAATTTATTATTGTCTGAGCTTTATTTCCAAATCAACGATTGCTTAAATTAGTTTTTTCATAAATTTCTCTAAACACCAAGCTAAAATTATATTTAAGGATTTGAATTTCTACATTTATTAAATTCAAAATATATTATTGAAAGATTTTTTATATGTACTGCGGTAGAATTAGAATACCGAATTGTTGATGTTTATACTCAATCTTCTAATTGTATTAGTAGTAGATTATTTAAAAATAATGAAATCTTTATAAAATTTTAACTTATTTCATTTAATCAAAATCAAATTGCAAATTTATTATTCTATAGCTTTTTAATTATTGGAATGCGTGATTTAAAACTTAGTACAGATTTATCAGGCTTTTTATTTCTCCTTAGAGACAACCATGCTCTTTTTGTCTTCATTATTTATTTCTTGATGCAAATACTATATTTGTTATGAACTCTAATCTTTTAAAGAAATGATTCAGAGGCTGAAGCTATAAACCTATAAGATATAATACAATTATGATATAAGAGTATATCTTGACTAAAGTAAATTTATAAATGCTTTAAATTACCTCATTATTGGTTACATTAAGTTAATATTGAAGAACATATCCCTCAATTTAGGGCTTCTTAATCTATTATTAAGTTCATTGCATTTTATAAATCATCCGATTCGAATTCTGAAAAATCTCATCACTCAAAAATCAATACTTCTACAAACACAAATATTTTACTGCATTTTCTAATCAATTTCTAAAGAAAAAGCTTTCTAATTATTTAATTTATTTTTAGGTAGAAATTAAAAATTCTAAAAGAGTATAAAAAATATTATTAAAAAATAAGTTAAATCAATAAAAAAGTAATTGAATGTATAGAAACTCAAATTTTTCATTTTAAGAACCAAAACCAAAAGAAATAGATTTTTAAGCAGTTGATAGGCTCCTAGAGTACACAAAACAAACTCATTAAAATTCTTAGAGATAGATTAAATAGCCAGATAATGATGATAGAGAAAAATATAGAAATATTCGACCTAATTCGTTAACTTAAAGAATATCCCTCTACGAATCAAATTAATAATAATCTAGAAGGGAGAGGTTATCTTTTTAGGATATTGACTTTTGTAAAATAGTTATGTTTTTAATGGCTACTGAGATTGAGAGGTTAAGGGAATAATTAGAAGAAAATTTAAATTAAGAATAAATCAGAAAAAATTTTGAAGGTATGCAATCCTCAATTAATCAATGGAGACTCAAATTCGAACGAAAGTAATATGCTTATTAATACAATATAGAGAGGAGGAGTGCGATTAATTAAGAGAAGAATTAATGAATTTAAAATAATTAAGCAAAGAAAATTATGAAAAAAATGCTTAAGCATTATACTTGTAAATTGAGAAGTTGAATAATGAAATTCAAGAAGCCTAAATCAACTTGAAATAAAAGCAAGATGAAATAAATTCCTTATATCAATAACTCCAATAAAAAAAAGGTTAATTGGACTAATGTGATATCACAATTAAGCAATTGAAAAATGAAGTGTAGGGTTTATAAAACAAACATGATATTAAATATGATCAATTCATAGATGAACTTAATAATGAAATTGAAAACTTATAACAAAATTATAGAAAACTATACAATGATTATTAATAATATAAACTAGGCCAAAGTCAAATGTATGAATAATAGACATAGGTACCCTATTCGAGAATTCAAAGCCAATAATAATACATTCTCTAGGAGAACTAAGAAATAAATATGCTGAACTAAATGATATAATAACTGTAAAATGAAAATGCGAAATTGAAAGACGACTTATTTAAATAATCCAGGAGAACAGAAACTTGGTGTTGTTGATAAATCGTATTACTTTTCGTATTTATTGATATATATAAACCTTGTATTTTCAAATTATAGCATGATTTTGTGATATCTAGAATTTTGAACTTTTTAAACATTAATTATTACATTTTGTTATGAGTTTTGTTTCAAAGAAACCTCTGTAAGCTCTTAAAATTGTCTGCCAATTCTACCCTCCTGCTCTAGGATTAGTGTATAAGTAAGAATGTTGAACTAAAGAAGACGACCAGACAATAAAACAAAAATGTATAAGATTTAATTTAATGAGATGGTTCAAATCAACGATGCAGAAAAAATTACATTTTTTTTATTTGATTAGCATTCATTATATTTTAATGAGCAGACTGTTCCTTATTAACAAATACTTGAAGTTGTACAACTCATACTATCAAATTAAAAACTTATGAAATCAAGTTCTTTGTCTTTTAAGAAGAAACAATCGCCATTTACCTATGATTAAGCTTTTTCTGATGAAGATATCGACCTTATTTGAATTTAATATTTTTATAAACAAAATTTTATTAGAAATAATATATTTTTTAAAAATACATCGGTTTCATTTATGCGATTGACGCTTATATTGAATGCCATGTTTGCAAAGCTTATTATATTGTTAATAAGTTTTAATAATTGAATAAAATTTATTATAAGTTGTAAACATATAATAAGAATGATAAATATGTGTCACTCATTTTTTTTTCATTTTTTCTGCTAATTCTTTTTTTTACATCTCTGCTTTTGCTTTCTAGTGAGAATTAATAATTAAATTACCATTTATTCAGTGCTCAAACCTTTTCCAATCTCTCTCAATCTATCTGCTGTATATTTGTAACTATCTTCCTCTTTTAATCTTTTATCTATTATCTCAGCAAAAATAACTTAAAATGCCTCTGATATGCCTGTTTGTTGTAAAAATTTCTTAAATTAATCCATCTTAAAATGATATTAAGCATCATACTTATTGTTATTTTTATTCCTCAGTTAATTACTGTGCTTAACTTTTATTATTTATAACTTTCGAATCATTTTCTTTAATCAAAGAATTATTAGTTTAGGCATTGTCTTACATTATTGGATTTTTATTGCTCATTATATAAATAATATTAATGATAAAAAAATTTCTCTCTTCAAATAAAAGTCAATCTTTAATAATATTGTTAAATGGGTATTATCATATTCTGATATTAATAATAAGAAATTTAACTTGATTTTACTTGATTGTTTTAAATAAATTAAGATTTTGCATAATATTATGAATTAAAATTTATTTTAGAATATCAAGAATGACATCTTGGTTAATAATGAAAACATTTTGTTTACTAAACTTATTGGTATTATTAAATTAAATATTAGAAAATGATCATTGATTTCAAGTATGATAAATACTATATTGAGGATTGTCTTTTTTGAATAATATATCATATGTTAATTCAAATTGCCTATTTTGATTTGATTTACTTTCTTTACTGTTAAAATTAAACTAAAAGTTATTATTCAATCAATTCCCATTCATTAATGTCAACATCTTATAAAAGAGGTGATATTGTCTATTTTTAAATGTATTTATACCTATTAAAATGATTCGAGCGACTACATAAATTGTGTCTTCATTATCTTTTTAGATTCTTCACTTGGCTTAACCCAAAACACCTTTTCAACTCCGCCAAATTTAATGACTAATTATATATAACTACTTACTTTATTCTTAAAATTGAACAAATTGTTAATTTTCTTGAAGATCAGAATACTTTTAAACAATAAGTTTAGTAAATTCTTAAAACTCTTAATTATAAGCAGATTAATCAACAAAAGTAATTTTAATATGCATTTCATCCCCATCATTTAATTAAACCAAAATTGAATTATTAAAATCTAATTATTCTCTAAAAACCGGATTGTATTTAAGTGCTTCATTTTACAAGTTCTACTCTAATTACTCCTCTTCTAAAATTACAACATGTTAATGATCATCCTCTTATTCTTATAAGAATTTGTCATTGAGTAATTCCGTAGCGGTTGGTCTTTTTTCTTAATCTTCCAAACATTTTAAAATAAAATCTTTTAAATCTTAATTCTATATTAGATCCAAAGATTTGGGTTTTATTCTGTTCATTACCTTAATCAATTGCGTAAATTGTTACCTTTTAATAAATTTGATTTGGTGCTGTGCATTCCTCATATGGTCTTTTTTAAGTAGCCATCTCTAAACAAGTCATGCCAAACGCATAAATATCAACAGAAGGACCATACTTCTCTTCATATATCTCTGGAGCCATAAATTCAGGTGTTCCTAATACAGATTAGGTGAAATCTGATTATTTTAATTTTATGGCCAAACCAAAATCACCAATTCTGACTTGATTATTGTGTGTATTAATAAAGATGTTATCACATTTAATATCCCTATGTATCACTGGATATGGCACTATGCTATGCAAGTATTCTAAGCCTTTCAAAATTTCCCGACACCAATGTTTGAGTATTTTTAATCTGGGTCGCTAAATTTTTCTCAAGTGTCTAGAATCAATTAGTTGAATACTTCTTTAGTGACCCTCCGTGCACTATTTCAGTTATGAAAATAACTTCACTTTTATTTTTGCTTACCCAAGCATTGATAAAACTTATAATGTTTGGATGCTTTATATTATTGAGAATACTAAGTTCCTCAGATATTCTCTTCCTTTCCTCTTCTATAATACAAGTATTAATATATAATACACTATGGCAATTAATCTAAATGAATAACATTCCAAGCAATCTCACACCCAGACTCTTCATCATATCCTCTATAAACAGTCTTATATGTGCCTTTCCCGATTTGTTCATTAAACTGCCTTTTAGCATTGTTATTTTAATACTCTAATAAATCGTCCTTTTGGGCTTTTTTCCATTATTTGATCTGGCTCCGATTTCATTATAAAAAAATTAGTGTTAATTCTGCAAAAATAAAATAAAACACTTTACTTTAAATTAATCAAATAAAAAAAAAGCCCCCTGACGGGGTCGAACCGTCGATCTTCTCCTTACTAGGGAGATGCCTTAACCACTTGGCCAAGAGGGCAACCTATTCATTCATGACAATTTAGCCTATTAATTTACATAGTCTAAATATTAATGATTCCTTTTAATAATATACGAAGTCTTAATTATATAGAATTTTCATATAGAAATTTTATCAAATATAACTTTGCCTTGTTACTTATAAATTTTTAATTTAATTACAAGATATTATATTAAGCAAGTAATTTTACTAGAGCTTTGGTATTTATATATAAATATCATTATCATCAATTATTATCTAAACCTTAATTTAACAGCCAAAAAATATATATTAAATCGGTTATTGATATCAGTTTGATGAATTTGGATGATTTGCTATATGGAATTTTACAAAATTAAGGAGTGAGACAAAATAAAGGAACTAATCATCTAAATTAATAAATAGGATGCAAATTTAGGTAATTTCCAAGCAAGTGCATTATAAATCAATCATAGTTAAAATTATTATTATATAAATTTGATATTAATTATAATCAGCAGGCTTAATGAAGTTTCAAGGATGAATTCTAATTTTACTTTTCTTTACTCAAATTACGAAATGGTAATTAATTTATTTTTTTCAAAATAATTTAATTAAAAACACCTATAATAATATAAAAATTGTGAAAGGCTAATTATATTTTTGATTGAGTGAGTAATTTTCAAAAAAAATTAGAGATTAACATAAAATAAAAGTTCATTACTTAGCGTTATTAATTTTTTATTTTAATAATAAATGGTAAGGAATTTGTAGATATTTTACTTATTCTAGCTTTGATATTTGAATTAGATTACATATATACTTGAATATCTGGTTGGCTAAGAAAATTTATTTTTAAGCTTAATTATTTCTATGTTATTAATAAAGGAATATTAAATTAATTTATAATTCGTTTCCAGCCATCCATCGTTAATTTAAGATGAAAGGGACTAATAGAAGGGTACTCTAAAAAAAATCAAAGCATACAGCAGAAATTCCTTTTGGGAATGATTATTCCTAACTAAAACAAATTAGATGTTTCAAATGATCATGATAACAAGAAAATTGTATTCAGTAAAAAGTAAATTTGATAAAACATCTTTAAGGCCTTAGTTTCATATTTAACATTCAAATCTGAACAAAAAGTTTATGGTAACAGAATAATCTATTACCTCATAATTAGTAAAAATAATAGTTGAATAATCGCTTCTGGAAAATCTAAAAAATAGTTTCTTTTGGAATTTCTTTCAAATCCTAAGGGCTCATTACTAATTTAGAACAAAATTAGATAAAGTTTCATCACAAAATAGGGAACTGTTAAAAAATAAAAAAACATATTTTATTCTAAGTTATATATTCAACTTTATAGACTTTTTATAATAGCTAAATGCTATTCATTTAAAATTTATTTAGTTTCTTGTATTTATTGATCAATCTAATTATTTTACTTGATGAAAACGGAGTCTAATAATTAAGAATCAAGTTGACAATTTTTTTTATTATCCTACTTCTAAATATTTTTGCAGAATGAATTAACTTCTTTGAATTATTATTAAATTTGTGCAAAAGATTTGCAATTTTGTTCTGATTGCAAATTTCGACATTTCTTTACAATGCATTTAGACGCATTTTCTAAGCTACATGTTATGTTGGATGATTAAAACTCAGTATCATCCAGATATACCTCAGAACGGATGTCTTTAAAATTATATTAATTATGAGGGTAATGACCTCCTTACATAATTTCGATGTGGAGAAAATCTGATCCTATTTATAATTCTATCTTGCCACTTTATTTACAGATCTACAACAGAGAAATTGATCGCTTTAAAAAAAACTTACGATTTCTTTTTTCTTTTTTTTAATAAAATTCCTCATCATTCTCATCTGCTTGACTATTTTAACCTTGTTTATTATCTAGAAATTTAGCATTTTTTAGGGTTTAATCATTCTTGCTTTATTCAGAATATGTGGAATTTATATTCATATATTTTAATAATCTGATGCAAAATTATAAAGATTTAATTTTAAAGTCTTCACTTGTGAATAATAATAATGAATAAATAATTCTTCTTATTATTTAAACGCATTAGATTATGCGGTTTCCATATTCTTGACAAATAAAAATTAGAGTTTTTACAAAATTCATTATAAATTATAATTTAAATATAAACAAGATAAAAGTCTGTAAAAATAATCAATCAGAATAATAGAATTTTCAAGAAGTTAATTTTTTATAATAGGAACAAAAATTGATTATATCTACATTATTTAACCGCAAAAGTCTATGTTATAGAGTTTTGAAATTGATTTTTAAAATATATGAAAATGTAATTTAGAGAAATTATTTTTAGAAATTATTATAATTATTCTAATTTAATTATATTTTACTTAATATCTTGTAATAAAACAATATAAAAATCATGTTAAATTCATTAGTTAATGCTATGTGCTGAGTATGGTCTTGAATTTCGATAATTACTAATCAAATGATAGATATATTTAAGGTAATTAAAGTTTAAAGTATTATTGATATTTAAGGTGACTATTTTAAGATTTCATTATTTCTTTCAATAATTAATGTGATAATTCAGAGAGGACATTGTTGACAATGCTTTAATTATTACTTTATTATTAATTAGTCTGCAGAATAGTGTGACTAGATTTTATGATTTTAATTTTCCCAGAATTGACATCCACTATTATTCTCGAATTGTTTTCAATAATTTATCGGCATTTTTTTTTCTGTTTGGAGAAAAAATTATCTTTATCGCTTAGATAATTTCTTACAATATGTTTGGCTGAAGAATATTTGATTTTATGCAATATCGCTGCCTAAACAATATAATAAATTAAAAACTTAATATATAGGCAGACGATCAATAACAACGCTATTTATCAGACCTAGTTTAAATTGAGGATCAATGAAATTTCTTTTTTTTGTTTTCTAAAGCGGAGTCTCTGGTTCATTAATTTTTGCTTTAACCATTTTTTTAAAAAGAAATTACAAGATTTAATATAAAACTTTAGTATATTTTACAATTTCAATATCAAATTTTCATTTCATTGGTTCATATTAATTTCACATAATTAATATAATCCCTTTTTATAAAGATCAATTTCGTTAAATAATTGGAAGTTTCTCTGCTTTTACAATATAATGATCTCAATCAAATTCAAAGAATAATTATACTAAAACTATTCTCTAATGAATGATATATTTCATTCATTACAAATTAATCATAGATATTTATTATTAATTATGAGCAATAAATCCTACAGATAAGATGAAAGCCTGATTGAACCTGATTAAACCTAATTCTAACAGATTGATCAGGATCCTATTAAACAGGAAGAAATTCTTCCTTCAGAAAATTAGGAGCTAGATGTATTAGAAGTAACACAAAATATTACCTTCAACTTTGCTAACTTCACGACTTTTATGATTGAAATCCCAGATTTTGCAAAATTGTTCTCTTTACAACGGTATTACTAATAAGAATTAAAATAATTGCTAACAAGTTTAGAATTGAATTTTGAGATTGTAAAAGAAGGGTTGAAAATTCAAACAGAGGCAGAAGATTCACTTCATGAAGAGTTAAAACATGCAGTAAATAAATATCTTGAATAAATACACACAAGAAAATTAGCTTTAGATTATGATAGTTCGAGAACATTTTTTCGCTCTAATTATATTTAGAAAGAGTGTTAAAATAAATAGTATTATATTGTTAAATAAAAAAATTATGATTAACAAATAGAAATTCATTTGGTAAGCAAAAATTAAAACATAAATATTGTTGCTTCAAATTTGGAGTAAAAATTAAAAGGCTTAAGAATATTTTTCTAGGATGTCGTTAATCATATGACAACTCCAAAAGTTAATATAGATCACAAAACTCTACTTGGAACTTTAAGACAGGTTTATTTTCAAAAAATTATTTCTGATGATCTTGAGAAACAACTTCCAAATTTAGAATTTGTCGATATCATTGACAAAAAGAGGGCATATAGTTCTGCTATATTTGGACTTCATTTTCCTTATAATTTAGAAGGAAAATCTTTATTATGTTAAGAAATTTTTTAGTATATTAAAAAAAGAATTGAATCGCTATTAGTTATATTCATATCATTTGAATAATAAGCCGAATATGTGAATTAGGCTAGAAAAATGGAAGATCTTTTCAATAATTTTAGATAAGAAACTCGCTTTTTGTGTGTTTGCCAAGTTGACAATTCATTAAAAGTAATTGCAATTTTGGGTACTCCTGAAAGCATTAAAATTATTGTCAATGAAGAACTAAAACAGAGGGAGAAAGAATTTAGCATAGAATTTTTTAAAACTTTAAGAGTAAATATTTTATCGAAGAATTTTGAATTTAATGCAACGCAATAGATGTATTCTTTTAAAATATCTAAGGGGCACATTTTAATCACTTATAGAGAATATAAAGAGTAAAAAGGTGATAGACATATCAAGTTAAGAATAATTGCACACATTTAAATTCAGTTCTAAAGTCTCATTCTAATCATATTGTATATTTTTTAATTAATTAGGCAACTTAATCACTCATATATGCGATAAAAAAATTGGATAAGCTAATGAAAAAGCATTGAGTGATGATTTAAAAAAAATCAATTAGAAAATAAAAGCCTTCAATCTTAATGGAAATTTTTTTACATAATTGGAAGTTGTACCTGATCCAATTAGAAATTAGAATATAGCAACCTAGTGTAAACAAGAATAGGCGAATCAAATTCAAAATTAAAAACAAAAAAAAAAAGTAATTGAATAACCAATTCCTTAATAAAACCTCCCTAAGGATTAAAATACTATTATTTAACCCAATTAAAAACAATAAAAAATAATTGAACCTAAAGACTCGAAGAGTGAATAGAAAGAAAGTATTATNAGATTCACTTCATGAAGAGTTAAAACATGCAGTAAATAAATATCTTGAATAAATACACACAAGAAAATTAGCTTTAGATTATGATAGTTCGAGAACATTTTTTCGCTCTAATTATATTTAGAAAGAGTGTTAAAATAAATAGTATTATATTGTTAAATAAAAAAATTATGATTAACAAATAGAAATTCATTTGGTAAGCAAAAATTAAAACATAAATATTGTTGCTTCAAATTTGGAGTAAAAATTAAAAGGCTTAAGAATATTTTTCTAGGATGTCGTTAATCATATGACAACTCCAAAAGTTAATATAGATCACAAAACTCTACTTGGAACTTTAAGACAGGTTTATTTTCAAAAAATTATTTCTGATGATCTTGAGAAACAACTTCCAAATTTAGAATTTGTCGATATCATTGACAAAAAGAGGGCATATAGTTCTGCTATATTTGGACTTCATTTTCCTTATAATTTAGAAGGAAAATCTTTATTATGTTAAGAAATTTTTTAGTATATTAAAAAAAGAATTGAATCGCTATTAGTTATATTCATATCATTTGAATAATAAGCCGAATATGTGAATTAGGCTAGAAAAATGGAAGATCTTTTCAATAATTTTAGATAAGAAACTCGCTTTTTGTGTGTTTGCCAAGTTGACAATTCATTAAAAGTAATTGCAATTTTGGGTACTCCTGAAAGCATTAAAATTATTGTCAATGAAGAACTAAAACAGAGGGAGAAAGAATTTAGCATAGAATTTTTTAAAACTTTAAGAGTAAATATTTTATCGAAGAATTTTGAATTTAATGCAACGCAATAGATGTATTCTTTTAAAATATCTAAGGGGCACATTTTAATCACTTATAGAGAATATAAAGAGTAAAAAGGTGATAGACATATCAAGTTAAGAATAATTGCACACATTTAAATTCAGTTCTAAAGTCTCATTCTAATCATATTGTATATTTTTTAATTAATTAGGCAACTTAATCACTCATATATGCGATAAAAAAATTGGATAAGCTAATGAAAAAGCATTGAGTGATGATTTAAAAAAAATCAATTAGAAAATAAAAGCCTTCAATCTTAATGGAAATTTTTTTACATAATTGGAAGTTGTACCTGATCCAATTAGAAATTAGAATATAGCAACCTAGTGTAAACAAGAATAGGCGAATCAAATTCAAAATTAAAAACAAAAAAAAAAAGTAATTGAATAACCAATTCCTTAATAAAACCTCCCTAAGGATTAAAATACTATTATTTAACCCAATTAAAAACAATAAAAAATAATTGAACCTAAAGACTCGAAGAGTGAATAGAAAGAAAGTATTATTGATTTGTTTGTAGGTAACCATTAACATTATGAAAATGTAAAAGAAGAAAAAGTTGTTTTTACGGACCGTATTGTTTAAGAAATTTTAGATGGAAAGTGTACAATTAAAATTAGTGAAGAATACAATGAACATTTTAAAAATTTGACAAATAACTATTAAGGCGTATAAGTTGGTTACATTTCCATAACAGAAAAGCACCTTTTGTCATTAAAGGCCTTTAATAAGGAAATAAAAATATATCCAGATGCTAATGATATATAACGCCAAAATGATGAAATAATTGTTCTAGTTAAAGTTAATGGAAATGCTGAGAAAAATAAGGAGACTGAAATTTTTGAATAAATAAAATAATAGGATACATTTTATATGGTTAATAAGGATAACTAAATTCTTCCTATTCAATTGATTTGAGAAGTGATATTATAATAAAGTAGAATATATTTTTTTAACATCCTTAGTATAACTTATAGAATTTCTATGCATAAAACTTAACTTAAAATCCCATAACATTCTAATTATTGAATTAAATTTTCTGTTTAAAACCAATTAAAATGCTTGAGTTTTTCGCACAATTAACTTATCGTGGGCTTTTCTCATCAGGAATATATGTTGTCATATAGCTTGCTATCCTAAATTAGGCTTAGAAGATTTGGTTGTGTCTTCAATATTTTACACGTGTTTAATGAACTTAATTATAATCTCAAAAAAATATCATTCACCAATTATTTCTATTAAAAACTTGTGACTTTGATGTCTTTAATATTTCAATCATTTTGACCCCAAAAAGGCAGACCCTTTAGAATGTTTTTATCAATATCATTAAATCCTATTTTAGTTATATATATTTAAAAGATTTGGTAAGGTTTGGGTAGGAAGAATAATTTAAGACTAAAATGTTTGAATGTCGATATCATGATTTATATGATATATTATATGTTCCATTTTCATTCTTTTCCAATTTAAAATTTTCTTCATTTAATCCTAATTTTCCTAATACTGATTAATTTCCCCTATTCTTCAGTGCCTTCACTGCCTCAAAGTTTCTTTTTTCGTCCAACTCCTGTACTTTTAGATCTAAATCAATGAACTTTTTTATTATCACCTTATCCTAAGGTTATAATACCTTCAATTTCTTGTAATCTAGAATATTCTTTAAACTAATACCTTCTAATGCATCTTCGAATTTATCTAGTTTCTCATAACTTTCTGCTCTATTTATTAAAGCCTTAATAAATTCAGGGTTAAATTTAAGTGCTTTTGTGCAATAATCAATGGCACTATCATAATCTTGTTACTTCATATAGCAGATAGCTATATTTGAGTTTAATATGCATAGCATTTATAGGTCATCCAAAGGACAATAATCAAGAGCTTCTTTATATAAATCAGAAGCTTCTTCAAATTTTGATTCATTAAAAAATGTCCCTGCCTTGTTTTTTATTTCTAAGCATTTCTCTTTTTCCTTTTGAATTAATTTCACTTACTCTTACTATTTTTGAACTTGTGGTTAATCATTTTGAGCATTATTCTTATTCTCTTATTGATTGGTCTATTAAGGATCCATTTTTTTATAAATTAATTATTAATTTTATTTAAATATGAAGAAGGGTTATTAATTTTATCAATAAATTGTATGTAAAATATAGACTGTCTCAATTCATAATGCTAAATCTATCCATCATTTCAATAAATTCATTATAGTCAATCTATCATATGCATAGAACTAAATATACCTCTCCATCTCCGTTCTTATCAGCTTCCTTAATCATATCATCCCAATATTTTTCATCAATAATTTTATCAGACTCTAATTATACATCAAATTTAATACTTCCAAGAACCTATTGTAATTCTTTCTTATCAATCTTGCCACTTCCATCCACATCCAACATCTTAAAAGCCTAGTATAGCTTTTCTTCTTTCATGTATAACTATTTCTCCATAGTTGCTGCCAAGAATTCTATTAAAATAGTAATTACAGAATACCAGTGTAGTTAATGTTACCATTCCCATCGGTATCAATACTTTTTATGACATTGGCTAATTCCTTAGATTAATCATCGCTCATTCCTATTAATCCTTCCCTGATTTCTTCAATTGTCAATACTCCATCTCCATTCTTATCCAATTATTTAAATAATCTAAATTAATCATAATCTTACTTTCCTAAATGGGTTATTTCCTATTCATTTAATTATGATGCAATAAATGTGAGGGCAACTTTCTTTAATTTATTACTGCCTACAAAATTCTTTAATGCCCCATAATTCAATTTGAGTTCTTTATTTGGCTTATTCTTTTCCTTCATCCATTTATGTGATAAAACTTATTAAGCCTTGTATCTCTTATCTGGAGATATGATCATGTTTGCAATTAAATCTTTGGCTGAATCACTAACGAATTTGAATTCTGGGATATCTGTTGTGTATTGTCCTTTTTAAACAGCCTCCAGGATTTCAGGATCAGTATCTCCATAGAAGGGAGGAACACCAGAGAGCAATATGTATAATATTACTCCTGCCGACCAAATATCACATAATTCGTCGTAATTTCCTTTCAATACTTCAGGAGAGATATAATAAGGTGTCCCTGCCTTGGTTTTCATTGAAACCTTCTATGTGCCAGGTTTCTGAGGCCCTTCTTCAAATAGAATGCTCAATCCAAAATCAATAACTTTAAGAGGAGAATCTTCAGCCTTAGTTAAGAATAGAAAGTTTTCTGGTTTTAAATCTCTATGACAAATTCCATTTGAATGACAGTAATTCAATGCCTAATTTTAGGTATAAAAATACTTGCATAATCTATAGAAATATTATGTGTGCCTCAGCCTCATTAAAGTATCCTTTGTCCATGATTCTATCAAATAACTCTCCTCCTTCACATAGCCTATTGAAAATTAATTTCAAATTTACTCCATGACCAAATACACATTTCTTTAATCTTCAAATGTTTCATATAATTTAATAATGTTGGGATGATCCAATGCTCTGAGAATATCGATTTCTCTCTTAAATCTTTCTGGATTTTTGACCTTAGACTTCGGAATTACTTTAACAGCACGTTATTATTTTGTGCCTTTTAATGCAGCTTTGACAACACTTCCATATGTGCCAGACCCAATTACCTTAATGCTATTAAAACACAATACTTTTTTGAGATTTATGTCATAGAATTATTCTATCTTCCCTTCGCAAGACTTGATAAACCATTATTTCTTTAGGAATATGTCTTCTTAATTCATTTTTAATTAAAAAATTAATATATATCTTGCCGTAATTATTAGATAAAATCTAACAAAAATAATATTACCTAGCAGCCGTAATTATTATATGTAAAAAACGCATAAGTAAATCAACACATTCATAATCGAAACAGAAGATCAATTGAAAATCTCAAGCCAAAAGACCCAAAATAAATCAACATTCTATGATTCAAATTGATTTTAAATAATGTTAACAAAAACTTTTAGAATAACTAAAAATAATTCTCAAAATCCTTTTTGACAATTCAAATATATTCTTATGTTGTTTGTGTTATTTAAATGGATTAGAAGAGTTTGGTATATCAAATAATTAGATTAAAATAATAGATCATTATTTATAATTTTAAATGGAAACATATCAATGTAGTAAATGTTTTCTAACTCTTTCTTCATATTCTTCAACAATTCTATTATGATATCTCTCATAGTAGAGAACAGCATACCAAATTTTGAGATTTTCAAAAACTTATTCTTTATGAATGAAATCTATGTAGTCTCTTTTAAATTGCTTTTTTGAGCTAAAATAATATAAGCAAAATTACTATTCAAAGTCTTATTCAGGATTCTCCTTTTACATCACTAATGCTGGAATTCCTCTTTCCCTTGCAAATTGCCTAATACTATCAAATTTATTATCTCCAAATCCATTTAATCTAAATGCTTTGTCTTATCTTTCCAACTTGATATTTAAAGATTCATTTATACTTTTTTGAGATGAGATTTGATTTACATTAAAAGTAATGCCTTTTTTAAATCTTCAATTGGAAAAGGGAGGAGGGAATTCCAATTTTTTAAAACACTCTTCAAAGGTCTTCTTTCTGGGTTTCTAGTTAACCAATAGAAGAGATTAGTGAAATAGACTGGGAGATTAACAAAAAGTTTAGTGAGTTTCATAATGGTGTAGGTTCCTCTAAAAAACTCCATTCCTAAAAATTTGCATAACTAAACTCTCATAAATTTTATATACGTGCACCAATTGTTCTGAATTAAATTCTCTGTAATCCAACTTAGTCATGAAGAGATGAGAGTGCTTTAAAACAAGTTCCTATAAACCCTTCGCGTTGTAATCTTGATTGTTTCTTATATTTTCAATTGAAGGAATGCGTTGTTTCATCAATTGAAACAGATATCTATATGAATTCATTTGCTTTCTGTCTCTTGTAATATATCTCTTCGCCAGCTGATCATCAAACAAATAAGTAGTAGGAAATGCATTGGGAAACAAGTACAGATAAGGAGGCAACAGCAACTCTGCTCCTGGGACTATGAGAAAGAAAGAGAAAGGAATGAATTTTATCAAGTCTTTTCTAATTCTCGTAATTTCAGAAAGCATAAAAGCCGTTTTCTTTTGTGTGATAGTGTACTTACACATCATTTTAGCATCTACGCATTAATCCCAAGTGCCCTAACAAATAACTTAAAGCTCATACTTAATAAAGGATCTCCCAAAATTCATAAAGAAATTTGGTAACTTTCCCTTTTCCCTCAACTTTCTTTTGAAACTTGTCATGATTCAAAACTCCAAAACTGGGTATTTGAGACCTAAAAGTTTTCGAAAGTAATGGATTTTTCAAATTTCTAAAGATCATTTATTTTATTTGTGTTATTTAATAATCACTCTTATATTATTATAAATTTAATGTAAATTCGTTAAGAGTAAGTATATATAATCATTTAAGACGAGATTTCGATTGTGAATCAATTAAAAATGCCCTTAGAACTATAAATTAAAGACTCAATTATCTGCAGAAAATAATTCCACCTGAAATTAATGTAGAAAAGGATCCCAAAATACCAAAATTGAATTTAAAAAAAATAGGAATTGTTCAAGATGAAAATAAATAAATACAGAAATAAGCAGCTGCAAATTTTGGAACTAACCATTAGAAATCAACAGATTAATAAATTAAAGTTCCCTTCAAAATGAGAAGCTAATCATTTAATAATAATATTGGATAAACATTGCTTGAATAAAATCCAAAGAATTTATTTCCTTCAAATGTCTAAAATCCTTATCATTTAAATGAGAAAATTCAATTTAATAACGAATTTGATATTCAAAAAAGAAGTTAAGAAATACTAAATAAGGCAAATAACAATAAAGAAAATATTTCAATACAATATCAATATCATATGCCACCTGCTAAAATTGCTTAGCATTAAGAGCATCAACAACCAATCATATAGAATAATTAATCAAAGATAAATGTCACTCCAGTGAAAATCATTTCTAAAAAGTCTTAGCCCAACCCACAAATTAATCATAATCAATATTAGCATCCCATCATTCATCAATAGTTATAATTTCAGTAAGCTAGTTAGCAATATGTGAAGTAATAAATTCTAATTAGAATTTTAGAGTTATATAAAATTATGAATCCACAAATGGTCCAATTTTACAATGTCGACCATCTCAACATCATAATTCCAGATCTTCATCATTTCATAACTTAGACAACTATCAAATTGAAAAAAAAATATGAATTTATTAAAATTAATAAAATACAATCATTTTAGTTCAGAAGTGTTCCAAGGTTAAATGTCATCAAAATTATCTTCATAATTCTGCATTCCATCGCTTCCTAATGCTTGACATCCATTTGCTGCTCTGCATGTATTTATTTTATTGTTGATCTTATTGATTTTTTTTATTGATAATTATTTCATCTATTCTTAAAAAAGTTTTTGAGATGAATTGAATTAAGTTTAATTATGCTATTTGATTTTTTGAGGCATCTTGAATTCAGATTTATTTTGATAGTGGTGTTTCTATTGATTTTTTAATGTATCCTTTAATTATCTATATGTGTTAATTCTCTGCCCTTGAATATCATGCATAGTGAAGGATGGTTTATATTTTTGTTTAGCCTATATTTCAGTTTTATTTTCTAACAAAGATTTTAGGTAAGTCTAATAAGCTGTGGGTTTAGGAGTTGGAAACTTTTTAAGTTAATCAAAAAATGATGTTTATGTAGTTTAAATCAAATTTCTTGGTGAATGGTAAGTGTACTTATTTTGTTTGAGAATTGGAGGAGTTTCCGTTTTTAATCTTTAAGAATATTAGGGTTATTCATAATTTTTAATAATTCGCTTGTTGTATTGATAGCAATAATTATTTCTTAATTAAAGGAACTTATCATTCATTTAAAAAAATAAATGTATACAAAAAACAGTTCAATGAGCAAATCTCAATAGATACTTAATTTATACAGTAGTTTTGTGCATCCATAAACATAACATAAACAAGTATGATAGTTCTAATAGAGAATAAATCAGACAATGAAGTTCACAAACGATTGGGAGCCATCCTGAAAAAAAATTGTTCGCCATACCAGAAACCATTTTAGCATAAATCGAATAGCAAATAAGGGAATAAGCAAAGTGAGATTTTGCGTCATTTGACATCGTCTCCCATTTAGTCTCTGAGATTTAAAAGAATAAGTTCAAAATAATAATTACAGTTGGATTCATACGAAGAACCAAAATTGTAATCAAAAGAGAACATGGTGTATAAATATATATCATCCTATTAGTGAATAATAATATAATTTGATGAAAAGAAGCAACTAAAAGAATTTGTTAACTCTTATTGAGTCTACGAAAAGACTATTAGATGAATATAAGAATAGATTAGATAAGGCTGAGGGCGAGAAATAACAGTTGGAATAGGAAGTATAATACTGGAAATCAAAATCTGGTTATTGATTATATATTTGATTATTATTATTAACAGATGGCAGTCAATGATGAGAGATATGTGTTCATAGTCGAATGGTTTGACACTAGTGCATCTTTAATAAGGAGTTACAACCTCACGTATTTTATGTCAGACAAAACTATCGAAATGGTAACATTTTGATTAAAGGAAATTAGTTTGATTTGAAAAATAAGAGAATATTCTTAAAAAGGTGTGAATACCCATCAGTATAATTGAAGGATTTGTATGTTGGATCGATTGTGACAGTTTTTTCAAGATAATTAAAAATAGTTGATTATGCAGATGTATTTACTAGATCTAAATTCGAAGTATAAAGAGGAAAGTAAATAAATTGTATAAATGTTAGAACATTTGGAATGATTAAACCAGATGCATATACCCATATAGGTAAGATAATCACTGCAGTTGAGAGAAACGGTTTCGTAATTGGTAATTTGAAAATGACAAGAATGTAAATTGGAGATGCTTAGCAATTCTATGCAGAACACAGAGTAATTAAAAAACCAATTTCAATAGGGAAAACCTTTTTTTGATGAGCTGACTTAATTTATCTGCAGTGATTTTATAGTAGGTTTGGAATTGATAGCCGATAATAGTGTCAAAAAATGGAGAGATCTCATTGGACCAACTAAATGTCAAGTAGCTAGAGTTGAGGCACCAAATTCAATGAGAGCTCTTTATGGTACAGAAGGAGTTAGAAATGCTTGTCATGGCAGTGATGCTCGTAAGTTACTAATTTTATAATTGTATAGCTGGCTCAGCATAAAGGGAATTGGATTTCTTTTTCTCTGATAAATCTAATCTAAAGTCGACTGCTGTATTTAATAATTGTACTTGTGCCATAATCAAACCACATATTGTGTTAGAAGGAAGGGCTGGATAGATTATTGACATTATTTTAAGTGAAGGCTTTGAAATATCAGCAATGCAAATGTTCTATTTAGATAGAGCTACTAGTGAAGAATTCTTTGAAGTCTATAAGGTATAAATAACTTATTTATGTTTTAATTAAGGGTGTCCTACCAGAATTCTAAGCTATGTCAGAACATTTGACATCTGGACCCTGTATTGCTATGGAAATCAGACAAGAAAATGCTGTAATAATTAATCATAAATTATTAGGTGAAAGCCTTTAGGGATCTATGCGGACCACATGATCCAGAAATAGCTAAAACTTTGAGACCATAAACAATTAGAGCCAAATTTGGAATTGATAGAGTTAAGAATGCTATACATTGTACTGATCTTCCTGAAGATGGCATACTAGAAGTGGAATATTTCTTTAACATTTTACAATAAAAATGATATCATGGATGAGCAATTTATTAATAAATAATTTATAATTAATTATTAAAAGTATTTTTTCTACCTCTCTATTAGATTAACATAAAATTTACCAAGATGATCATAAAATAATTAATTAATATATTTGAATATTTAAGAGTTATGTTGATTAATTATGTAATGGATTCTCATTTTCCAATTATATCTACATACTTCTCAATCAATAATATTTGCTTGAATTTTATGCAATTATTTAATTAAAAAGATATTGCTTTTTTAGTTTGATTGTCATTGTCGAAGAACTATCATATGCTTAGACTTCACTTTGACATTAACTTAAAAACAAGACCCTTTTTAACGAAGCCAACTTTAACTTTCATAAATAAACAATTTTATTCGAAAATATTTCTACTCCTCTTCGAAATATTGGGATTTATTTGTTCTTTCTAACGTATATTTGTTTCCTTTTGATGGATTATTTGCTAGAGATTATAACGAAGTACCATCTTTTTCATTAATTAAGATATTAAATAAAATGTATTATCCTTAGCCCTATTATCCTTAAGCATATCCATAATATAGGTATTAACCCTATGGTGTACGTCCCTAAGTACCATAGTAATGGAGACCACCTGTTTATAATGCTCCCCAATATCCATACCCTGGATTAAGAATGCCCCCGCCAACATATCCATACAATCCCTACAATCCATACACTTCATCAATCGTACCACCCACATACCAACCACCATCAATGTTAAGCTAAGTCATGGCTTCTCCTTAACGATAATTCTAATCCCCAGATCGTTTGAAAGGAGCTTAGTCACCCAATAGGAACGTGTTGATGCAATCTCAACAAGTCCCAAAATCGCCAGCTCCTTAGTTGCAATCCCCAAATAGATAATATCTGACATATGAATAAGTGCAAGAGCGCATTCGTAATGCCTAACAGTAGCAACCTTAACCACCCCAAAATCATAAATAATGTTTATAGTATATCAACTACTTTAGATACACCATAACCCAAGCCTAGTTAATAAAAACAACAACCAGAGGCATCTAAATAAAAATAATAGCCAACCTAACCACCCAAGAAAGAAGATGATTTGGATAAAAGATACTAAAATGCTCTCAAAAGCACAGAAGAAATCATCAAAAAGTATAATATCGATGATTCTGGCAGCAAAGGTCGTTAAACTAATCAAGAAAATCAAGAGGCAGAGGATGGCGAACTCTAAGGTACAAACATACGTATATTTTAGAGTTGGCATTGTAATATGAGGACGGGTTCATTTATAGAGGATAGGGTTACCCTCCATAAACTAGAAGTGGATTCGGTATTTTAACAGATTCAGATGGACAATAAATATATGCTGGATATTGGAAGGACAACTTATATGATGGATAAGGAAGATTGACAAATCTTCAAACTGAAGAATTGACAGAACCAATTGATTGGAACAATATGACAACTATTGGCAATGGATGGGCATCTTATGAAGGTACATATACTTATAATCCAATAGGAAACTTTTGCCAAGGGAAAATGCATGGATAAGGAACACTAATCTTAACAAATAATGAGTAATATTTTGGAGAATTTGAGGATGGGATGGTACATGGTGATGGAGAATTCACAAATCTTGAAGGATAAGTCATTAAAGGTAAATGGGATTAGGGATACTTAATTTAATTATCAGAATAAGAATGAAATCATAAAAATATATTTTACAAATATTTAATTCATTTTATCAGAACTATATTTTATAAATATCTGATTTAGTATAACTATTTTTATAATTTTTGAGCACATTGCATCATGAATTTAATATAAATTATTTATTTATTAAAGATTGAATTTTAATATAAACAATTGCTTAGTTATTGAAAAAAGAATTTAATTAAGCCATATAATTAATAAAAATAGATGTATTAGATGAACACGAAAAACAACTTACAAAAATGAGGATTAACTTAAAGAGATAAAGAATTGAATCTTAAATAAAAATAATTAATAGAGTAGAAGAACGAAATAATACAAATACAAAATTATTAGTTATAATTTCAATACATAACTTTTATATTAAAACCTTGTTCCTTATGTAAATGGATAGATAAGTTAAGAAATCTAAGTATGATGAAATTTTGAATGAATGTGTTATTTCATTGAAGTAAGTGAATAGAATACTATTAATTCATAAAAGAACTGATTTAAAATCTAAATAATATTAATTAAAGAGCTATTTAAGAGACCTAGAAGAATTTGCAGAGAAATAATTCACAGTTTTCTTTAAAACAGTAATCAAAATGATTGGATGTGATTGTTGAAAATATAATACAGATATCAATTTTACCAATTAATTTCATGTGGTCTATTTTTGAAAGGATCTGGACTGAGAGTAATAGCATAAATATCTTTTACGTTATTCAAATATATTTGACCTTAAATTAGTTATAAATATATTAGATTGGCTATTATGCAACATACTTCAGAAATAGTAGGGTTATTATTCTGAGGATGTGATATTCGAAATGCCTGATACACTATATAGTAACAAAAGTACCTTTTAAAATTGATTTAATAATATTTTATTTCCCTTTTAATTGATCAACCAAACCTTTCTGCATAAATTCCTATAGCAGAGTACTTTCAATTGATCCATCAAAATCAACAGACTTCTCTTAATCCAAATTTACCTGTATTTATCTATTGCTTCTTATAACCCTGCAATATTTCCTTATTTTACACTTGTGCATAATAAATCATATTCTTTAAATTATTCAATCAATTCTTTTTTTGGATATCTTCCCATGAACATATTGATAGGAATTAAATATTTTAAGACCTGTCGAGCACATGATATGCCTTTTTATGTTCTTGGACATTCTTATAAAACTTTAGTTAAATATTATGATGCATCTACAAATTTAGAATGAAAGATAAGGATCCTACCCTTATAATAATGATAAGTGACTTAATCCTATTTGGGTGAAGTTAAAAGAAGATTTTATTCTTTTTCTACCTTATCACAGTCAGCAGCCCTATCAAACTTAAAACTTTTAAAATAAATCTTCATTTATTAATTAGCATTCAATAATTTAAGCCTTTACATATTTTGAAGATTGATTTCTCTCCCCATTTCTTAAAATATTTGTAAGCTTTTGCTTTCGAGAGTCTCCTAAGCATGAGAAGCCCTTTTTACAGCCTCAGAATCTTTTGCTTTTTTTTTCATTATCTATACAATTTTGTATTATTCACTAAAAACTTGTTTACACAAAAATTGAAATATCTATTGACGTTACTCATCTAGGAGCCATTTAGTATTTTTAAAAAGATTTTCAAAATGGTCAATAACATTAGCACTTCCTCTTTCTCTTTCCACATAATATTAAAACAAACTGCATAATAATTCCACCCATCCTGGATGACTTTAACGAGTATTCTCATTTAATCTCTTACAAGTTTCTGAATCATTTTCTAACCTCAATTGTTTCAACGTTTATTCTAAATCTAATCCTAATAGACTTTATTCTTTCCCAGCAAATATACGTTTCAAACAAGTCATTGCCTCTAAGCATTTCCCTTCACGAAAATACCTTAAAATAATGAGAAGAATATTTTCTGATTTTTTGGCAATCATATATTTTATTTAATTAATGGCTGACAAAATTAGGTACACTTTAGAAAAGTTTATTCCTGATCTCCTGGCTCTCTAAAAAAAGCAAGTATTCTCTAAGGATGAAGTCAAAGACATTCTCCACAAAAGGGAAGAATTCGAATACATGTTATAGCGTAGAACACACAATCTAAGCAATTACATGTAATTACTTGACTACGAATATGGGTTGGAAAGACTCAGAAGATAAAGAAATAAGGAACGTTAAATAAAGAAGGTTACTACTAGGGATTATGCCATTGTGAAAAGAATAATTTATATTTGGGATAGGATCATGAATAAATATCGCTACAATATCGATTTGTGGAAACAATATTTGAGTTTTTGTTATATCATTGAATCCAAGAAACATTTCTTTAAGGTTATTACAAAAGCTTTGAATTTTAATCCATTTAATACAGATCTTTGGTTGGCAGGAGCTCTCTTTGAATTAGAAAAAGCTCACAATCCAATAAAAGCAAGGAAAATATTTTATCAGGCTTTGAGAATTAATAATAAAAATATCGATCTCTGGGGAAGTTATTTAGATTTCGAATTGAATCAATTGCAAATTGGATAAGAATAAAAAGACGAAACCAATAATATCGATGGATTTCTACCATTAAATGCAGTAGAACCAATCACTTAAATAAAGTCGAAAAAACTAGATGGAATTAAATAGATAATTTAGTTGGCATTTGAAAATTGTGATAACTTTGAGATAAGAAAATTATTTAAATAAATTTTACTAAGACATAATCAAAATGAATTAGCTGAAGAAGTTTAATAAACAACAATTTAATTAGATGATTCAGAAAAAATAACTCAATTTCTATTGGAAAACAAAGATGATCCCCAAGTATTTGAAAAGTTGAAAGATTTAAATGTAGATTACAAAAATGAACTATTATCATTATTTAGAGATAAAGCCAATTGTTTGGATAATTTTTGGTTATTAGCGTTTTCATAACCTGATATAAGATAAAATCTATTAGATGAAATCAAAAACAAACCTACTAAATTCAAGATTTAGCTTGTTGAGAAAGGATACCTAAATATTGAATAAATAAATTTATAGGAAATTTAAAAATAAAAAAATAAAAAAGAATTACTCGACATATTACTATCATTAGTTCATTTATACAAAAAAGAGTTCTCATTTGATCTTGCAAAATAAAATCTTTTAGGATAAACAGAATTGTTTTCTATTTTTCTTGATGAATATTACCCCCTATTAAATAATGAAGAACAATAATAACTTCTTAATTGGTTAGAAAAGTAGAAATAATTTTGCCCTCTTAAATACCATAAATTAAGAAATTTAGATTTTGTTTAATTAATAAAATTAACAGAATATCATCCAAATGTAGAAACTTGGAAATTTGTATTAGAATAAACAAAATAGCGATTTCCTGAAAAGATTACTCAAATTATGACTAGTATATAGCTTTTAGACCCTAAAATAAGAATTTAATTGTTAAAATGATTGTGTTAATAAGTTTGTATGTATAAAAATTCAGATATATGATATATATAAATTATTTTGAGATCAAAGTGATTATCATTATTTTATTGATTTAATCTTACCAGCCAAATATTGAGGAATTGTAATTCCACATCTCGGTGTTCTTAGACTGTCTCTTAAATGATAACTAAAATAGAGCTCCGCTCTCGTACTTCTCGGTGTTCTTATTTTTTTTGGTTAATCCAAAATATTATGATTCAATTATAGAGTCACTTCTTTAAAAACCTCTGAGTTAATGCTGTGACATCTTTATTTTTCTCTTCTTGAAACTAATAACGATCTCATTTAATGTTATCGTTCGTCATTTCTTGTAGGAGACGACAATCTTTGACATCCTCTTGTTCTATTACTTTCTTAATAATTAGTTTAGGGAGACTGAATTTTTTCTTAATACACTATTTTTTTGGACTAATTGATTGACTATTTCTTACAAGCATTTATGCCATGATTATTGGATTATTCTTTATTTTTCTTGGTCTTATTGTGCAAGGCATCGCTTTATAAAATTTATCAACATGAGTATTATGATATATCTAAAGTTCATTTTAGTTCTCTAGATATTCTTAAAATTTTCTAAAAAGGACAGTATCTTATAATTCGCTTTTTTATTAGTCCATAAATTATTAACAGTAATAATTAGTTTTTCATTTGTTAATTACGTTCTTCTGATAGACATGAGAGATATTTGTATTCATTAGAGTTATATTTACTAAATTAAAATAATATTATATAAAAATGGATTGTCTAATTTGCACACCCAATAGATTTTCTTGGAGGAGAAAATCGAAAAAATTGATCATCAAGAACTACCAGTAGATTTTAATTAAATTATTAAGTTCTAAAGATTCCTGAATGGAGCCTCTCATCATTTACTCACAATAACCGGTTTGAACCTCAAAATTAGTAATTTATAAAAATTTGTGAATAAACTATTTTAGCTAATGTAAGTAGCAAATTTTGTTAGGATAAGTATAAAATTACTGAAAATGAATTATAATTTATGATAATAATACAGAATAATGTATAAGACTTCATAAAATCGTTATACCATTTAGAATAAAGAATTATTTGAAAATGATTTTTATAGATATATAACTTCAAAAGTTCATATGGATTTCTCCATATTAATAGTTTGTAAAAGTCATATTATAATTGCAAAAAAGAGCAAGATTAACATGAAGAAACAAATAGATGTTATATAATGTTTAAAAATAAGTTTAATTTTTTAATAGACACTAGTAATATACGTTTTATAGGATATCTAAGCTAAAAGAATTCTCTTCTTAGTGTTACTAATAGATCTCAAGCTCTTTTTCATAAAAACTGAAAAAAATTATGGAACGGAACTAACTCATAACAAATAGATTTATTTAAAAAATATATATGTTTATTAATTAAGCATGCACATATGAAATTAATTGTAAAAAGTATATAGATTTGTTAGTATGAATACATATGCAACTATATAGATTTTATAAATATTTTTTTAAATATTTAAATGAGAAGGTGACTGAGTTTGCAATTCAACTATCTTAAATTTGTTAGATATCACTCATTTTTTTTAGGATTATACCCATGTTTAAATGGTTTCTTTTATACTTAAATTTTTTAAAATCATTTATTGAAATAATCTTTATTGTTGATATTTTCGATATTACTTCATACAATAGGCTCGTCTCTACTCTTAAAGTTCTTCGGTTGTAAAAGATTCAGAAGGCTTTGCATTATAGATTTTCAGTTGTATTTGAATTGGTTAAATTTAGAACCCCATACTTTTGCCAATTTCTGTCTTCTAAATAGCTTGCTTGGATTATAGAGTAGGAAATCTTATTTGCTTTTTGATGTTCAATGATGATTCTTGAGTATCAAATCTGCTTGTGCCTTTCCTCCTTGACATAATTCTTGAAAAGTAGGTTCTTGTTAATTAATCATTGTCAAAACTATTATTGCTCACAAAGTTGAAAGATAAATCTATGTCTTTGGTTTCAGGTCTTTTGTGAAAACAATTATACTGTATCCCTATAACATTCGAACTATTAGACATAAATTTATATACAAAATATTATATTTAAAAATAAGAAATTATTTTTTGTTTGTAAATTTAATTACATCACAAATCTAAGATTTAGATTATCAAACATAAATAAGGTTAAGAGAATCAAATATTTTAGTTTTGCATAAAAAGCAAATCTATTTTTTGTGTTTCTAAACTAGAAGCATCATAAAGAATGCTAAAGATTATAGTATTTATATAATAATAACTAATCGGAATATTAATAATTTTAGACTGAAAATTCGCCTTATACAAAATACTATGTATTATTCCTTCATTAACGATATTTTAAATACCCAAACAATTTATCAGTTAATATTAACATGAATTCATTGATTTATTTTTATTTTTCTACAGAGATCCAAATTTCTATTGACCATTAAGTTTGCATTCAAGAAATCAAATTTTAATGAATGTTGGCCAATTTATTGGTATCAAATATTATTAATGACTTAAGGGTTTGAATTCAAGAATAGTATTTAATAATTTTTATTATTTATTAATGAGATAATTTAGCGGGTCAAGGAATAGAAGAGGAGGGAATAGGAGAGGCAGAGATTTTCGTGGAGGAAATCAAAATTTCAGAAATTCTAGAGGGAACGATTCTAGACCTAATAATTAATAAAGAAATTCCTAAAATACAAAATTTAGAAGATAGTCAAATTAAAATCAAAATCAAGGTTTTGATAGATAAAGAAATCAAAATTAAAAAAGAAGAAATTAAACTTAAAGAGGAGGTGGAAATAATTAAGGATTTTAATAATAAGGTGCTTAGCGAAGAAGAAGATAGGGCTTCAAATAAAAGAATTAAAATGTAATTAATTAGATTTAAAAAAGGGTGAAAAGAGAGATAATTAAAGATTCATTAAGACAGGTAGAAGAAAGAATTAACTAAATTCTGAAGTACTCAAAATTGCAAAAGATATCCAGAGTAAAAATTTAATATTATCTAGGAAAAAATAAAATGGAACAACAGTTAGACAAGTATTGGAAGAAAGCAGAATAAAACAATTAAGATGAAAAACCTGTTCAAGAAATAAACATTGATAAATGATAAAAATTAAAATAGCATATAAAAACATCATTTTTTCTATTCATTCTTTATTTATTCTTAATATTTGATTATATTCAAAAATTTTACAATTGTATAAAAGGAGTAAGATTTTAAATTGTTCATTTCTCTATGTTTTTAACTTAAAGGTAAGATGATCTAAATAGTCATCTAATAATAATCAGATATAAATTAAAAAAAATGTAAAATCAGTAAAATAATATTTTTATATCCATATCAGTTATTGAATTAAGATCTTTATAATTTTTTTTCTATTTGAGTATATCAATATCTAAGCAGAAGGTATTTACAAAATTTCACTAGTTTATAAAAGATACATTGTAAAGTTCTATACTTTATGTCGAGATCAATAATTTTAAGTATAAAATTTCTAATCTAAATAATAAACACCTTAGAGTTTTGTAATTATAAGTTGAATAAAAAATATAAATAAGTAGTATTTATTTTGAGTTTGTTTATTGATAAAACAATTGCCATCCTAAAAACCAACGAAACTTATCAAGAAACAAAATCACAATATATAAACATTTTAAGAAAACAGGAATTTTTTTAAATTAAAATTTCTTTGATAATAAACTTAATTTGTATGGAAAAGGAATAGTATAAATTAGTAGATGAGAAAAGTACAGAGTTGATGTTTGAAAGTAAATTGAGAATAAATTTTCTCAAGATTTTTAAAAAATTGAATAAAGTTCATGATTTTTAAAGTCGTTAGAAAGTTTTCGAGTGCTGTATTGATGCAAATTTTTAGAGCAATAAATTAATATTTGGAGAGCAATTTTCTAGCATTGATATTTATTAATTATGCTTACTTAACTAATATTATAAAGTATAAAGTATGACGTTATTGNGGAACGATTCTAGACCTAATAATTAATAAAGAAATTCCTAAAATACAAAATTTAGAAGATAGTCAAATTAAAATCAAAATCAAGGTTTTGATAGATAAAGAAATCAAAATTAAAAAAGAAGAAATTAAACTTAAAGAGGAGGTGGAAATAATTAAGGATTTTAATAATAAGGTGCTTAGCGAAGAAGAAGATAGGGCTTCAAATAAAAGAATTAAAATGTAATTAATTAGATTTAAAAAAGGGTGAAAAGAGAGATAATTAAAGATTCATTAAGACAGGTAGAAGAAAGAATTAACTAAATTCTGAAGTACTCAAAATTGCAAAAGATATCCAGAGTAAAAATTTAATATTATCTAGGAAAAAATAAAATGGAACAACAGTTAGACAAGTATTGGAAGAAAGCAGAATAAAACAATTAAGATGAAAAACCTGTTCAAGAAATAAACATTGATAAATGATAAAAATTAAAATAGCATATAAAAACATCATTTTTTCTATTCATTCTTTATTTATTCTTAATATTTGATTATATTCAAAAATTTTACAATTGTATAAAAGGAGTAAGATTTTAAATTGTTCATTTCTCTATGTTTTTAACTTAAAGGTAAGATGATCTAAATAGTCATCTAATAATAATCAGATATAAATTAAAAAAAATGTAAAATCAGTAAAATAATATTTTTATATCCATATCAGTTATTGAATTAAGATCTTTATAATTTTTTTTCTATTTGAGTATATCAATATCTAAGCAGAAGGTATTTACAAAATTTCACTAGTTTATAAAAGATACATTGTAAAGTTCTATACTTTATGTCGAGATCAATAATTTTAAGTATAAAATTTCTAATCTAAATAATAAACACCTTAGAGTTTTGTAATTATAAGTTGAATAAAAAATATAAATAAGTAGTATTTATTTTGAGTTTGTTTATTGATAAAACAATTGCCATCCTAAAAACCAACGAAACTTATCAAGAAACAAAATCACAATATATAAACATTTTAAGAAAACAGGAATTTTTTTAAATTAAAATTTCTTTGATAATAAACTTAATTTGTATGGAAAAGGAATAGTATAAATTAGTAGATGAGAAAAGTACAGAGTTGATGTTTGAAAGTAAATTGAGAATAAATTTTCTCAAGATTTTTAAAAAATTGAATAAAGTTCATGATTTTTAAAGTCGTTAGAAAGTTTTCGAGTGCTGTATTGATGCAAATTTTTAGAGCAATAAATTAATATTTGGAGAGCAATTTTCTAGCATTGATATTTATTAATTATGCTTACTTAACTAATATTATAAAGTATAAAGTATGACGTTATTGATAAATAAAAAAGTTGAATTGAAATGCTCAATCAATTAGAGGATATTAATAGGTGAGAATTTAGAATGTGACTATATAAATATAATTAATAAATAAATTATTTAATGGGAGCTTGCACATCAACCAAGCAAAAAAGATATGAGATAGTAAGAACATTGATGCCATATAAGTATACTTTATGAGAATCTATTTAGGGTTCATATAATGGCAATAATATGGCCGAAGAATTAACACAACTTATTTGATTTCGAGTCCAGTTCGTATTGTGTGAAGGAGATAGAAGTTGATTTTTCAGGTAATTTGATGTGGAATCTATTATTTTAGCTCAATTAGCAACGGTGGACAAGGAACTTGTGGCTTTGACGAAAAGTGAATGGGCTCGTAACTCGATTGAAATAGCAAACATTACATTAAATGAATAATAAGCTTTTATTAACAGTATATCGTAATAACAGGATCACAAATTGTGGGCTGTGTTGAAATCGGAGACCAATTAGTTTTAATCAATAGATGTAAGAGTTTTATTAAGTATAAAGCATTGGGATTTAAAAATTGGAGATATCATAAAGTTGGGGAGAGTAAGAATGCATTTGTTGGAATATGCCTTCATGACTCCTTGCGATGAGGCAACCCAATATCAAGATGATTAGGAAGAGGATATTTAAACAATTAGTGATGTTGCCAGTTGTAGAATATGCTTTTCAAGTAAGGCAAGTGAGATAAACCCTTTGATAAGTCCATGCAAATGTGAGGGATCAGTAAAATACATCCATTTAGAATGCTTATAAAAATGGATAGGGATTTAACTAAAAATTAAATAAGGCGATCATTTTATTTAATATCTTTGTAAAAGATTGGATTGTGAAATTTGTAAGTTCACATTTAGAAATACATACACCTTTCAAGACAAGAGTTATTCAGTTCTAAAATTACCAAAGCCAAAATCCTCCTATATCACATTCAAAGTCACAAACGATGACAAATCTAAGGAAGCAATGATTTACGTAGTTGAAATCGGAGAAAAAACGGAACTGAAAATTGTAATAATTAATTTCTAATAAATCTAGGGTAGAATTCCAGATTGTGATATTAAATTGAGGGATATCTCCGTTTCTCGATCCCATGCTATGCTGAAATTGATACCCACTAGCAAACACACAGCCGATAATCCAGATTATACAATCAGAGTTTAGGATTGTAAAAGTAAATTTGGTACTTTGGTCTTGGCTCAAGATGAAGATTTACTTATAATACCAGAAGATGGGAAGTCTCCAATCTTATTTTAAACTGGGAGAGTTCTTTTACAATGCGTTCAAAAAAAAAAAATAAATTAAAAACCTGCATATAAACATCCTGATAATGTAGTATTGATACAAATCGAAACAAAACCCTAATTAGATCAACAAGAGCAAATGCAAGATTCATTTGTAACTCATGATGAACTTACTGCTGGTGATATTATCATTAGTAATTCTTAAAATCCGCATAAACCTTAACCCAATTTGGATGATGTTAAAGAAGATAGTATCTGCGATGAAAGATGATACAAGGTTAGTATTATTTCATTGATTTATTTTAATATTTTATCTATATGATTTCATATTCGATTTATATGAAAAGAGTAATATATTGTTAAATATTAAAATCAAACTATTAATCAAGCCAATCACCTTACTTATACCAAATTCTAATCATATTTCAACAATATTTCAATCAAATTATAGTATAGTTTATAATATAATTTGTATTCTAATCCTTTTAGAAAAGTAATAAATCAAAAGTAATTTTGAAGTAAATAAATTTGTTTTGTTGAGAAATAGGAAAGTTATAATTCATCTGCATAAGTGAAATTTAATTCTACATGGAAATTCATACCTTTCAAGAACATTTTGATCAATTTTGAGGTTATGGTAAAAAAGCATAAGCTACTGAAAATTAATGCAACCTATAATAATAAAGCAATCATTGATTATTTCAAAAAACACAAAAAAATTTTTCACATTAAAGGTTTTTTGAGAGTACACTACTAATTCAAATTATTATTGTATGATTTCATTAGATGCACTCTTAGTTTTTTTTCATATTCAATCAAAAAGTCCCTTTCAAAGAAATTAGGTTTAAATGACTAACTATAAAAATCATTGTTTTTAGAGTAGAAACAAAACAGAATATTTAATACTTATTCAATATGGAGAAAGAAGATTTTCTTATCTAAAAACTTTAGGTTAAGTTTTTTAATAAACTAAATGAATTATCAATAATAAATTAAATATAGGGATATTGAATAGATACATAAATATCATCTGAGGGATTACTTAGTATTCAACTACTTATCTATCTGCAAAATCAACTTTAAAAGAGTAATCCTGATAAATAGTTTCAGATATTAAATTAATCGATTGACAACTCTAATGAATGAGAAATTGCTTGAATAGATAAATAATGAATTATAATGAATATGTTTATCATTATTATTATTACTTAAATTATTAATCAACATCTTCATCTTATTATTAATTATCGTCCCCTTCATATAATTATTATTTATTTTCTTATTCATCTTCGTCATCATTTTCATCTATTTATTCCTCTCGTTCATAATCTTTCTCTGCCTCATCATCATCGATGAATAAACTTGGGTCGTAAACAAATAAGGCTCTTCCTGTCATTTAAGAATTACCTCCAGTTTATTTAGCTCCTAAAATACATTTAAATATTTTTGTACCTTTTTTCTTCTATTCTTCTAATTTTTATTTTTCTGCTTCTAATTTTTTTTTTTCAGCTCTGTCTTTTTTCCATTATTCAAAAACTTCTTTAGTTATTTTGGTTCCTCCCTTTTATAATTATGAAATTTATTCATCTATTTCTTCTTCTAGATCACCTTCTTATCTTTGTTTTGGCTCTTCTTTCTTTCTAAACACATACCCTTAAGGTAGACAATGCTTATAATGACAGGTCATCCCATTGGGACACACCCATCTCCATCCATATTTGCCTTTCTCCAAGGCGTCTAAAAAATAATCGCAGACTTTTGCTGATGGGATTTGACTAGTCTATTGAATTATTGTATACCTTTTATAAGTCTTCTCATTGGCCTCAACGATATCCTTCAAAGTCTTCTCATCCCAATTTTAGCATGAGTCCCATTCATCCCCCATTTATTCTCTCTAATCAGTATATAAATCAAGTATTGCAGTTTTTTATTCCAAACTCATATCATGAGAATACATACATTTCTTACCCTTTTAGCACAGACCTAGCCTTATCATATCAACCTACCTTATTTGTAATATTCACATAAAATTGATTTTGGATCCACTTCCTCTTCAGATTCTTCCTCCTTTACTTTTTCGACTGTTTTATATAGTGATTGCATTAATCTTTCTTCCTCTTCCAATTGCTTCTCAATTCTTTTTCTTTCATATTCCTCTGATTATAATTTTGACAAAGAAACACCGCTATGCTTCACTTATTATGCTACTCCTTTACAAAAACTAAAATAATACAGAATAGGAGTACTTTTAGACCTGTTTGCTCTTGTTTTTATTTTTTAGGCCAAAAGTTCTGTCTTCAATGATCTTTTCTTGCTTTTTCTTTTCACTCTTTTTACTCATAGATGTATTATTTTAAATTATTTACTTTTTATTTTTTACGTATCTAGTAAAATTGAATGCATATTATCATTCTATTAACCTAACTATTAATGTATAACTTTGATTAACAAATAAATTTTTTTGTTGAAGGTTGAATGCAGAAAATTATTTTTTTGGCATTACTTAACCTAAAGGTTTATTCTTGTAATTCATAATTATAAATAAACAAAAAAAGATTTTCCATGAATAAAGAAAAGGAACTCATAGAGAATAACTTTTACTATTAGGATATGCTTGATGAGAATGTTGAAATGAATGATTATTGCCTGTATGAGAATATGGAGATTGTTCAATAACCAATTGAAAATAAAAACTTCACTCTGATTGGTATTCTAAATTAAATGAACCTAAATGAGAATACGGAAATGATAGTAGAAGAGCCCAACTATTGAACAGGAACTACATGATTTCCTCATACTTATTTATTTATATATATATATTGAAAGTTCATTGCTATGCAATTTTTCTAAATGGCATTATGGTGTCCAATTGCCTTTTGCTGATCCTAGGACTAAATAAATGTCTGTGTATATTGATTGTAGTTTAAGTGCTGATTTGTCTTGCCGAGTTTTCTTTATTTTATCTGGTGGTAGTCGTGCTAATTGTCTTCCTCTCGGTCAATTGCTTCTTGGAAGTGAAGTACTTCTTGTCTAGGTCAAACAAAGGAGTGAATGTCTCTGTCATTATTTTTCTGTGTCTTGGTGATATCATTCTAAGTAGTCCTAAATTATACCGTTTTTAAAGCAATTCATGGTTAAAAAGATTCGAATAATCCTCTCCAAACACCGTCTTATACAACTCAATTGAAGTTTATGTTTTTTTTGAACTAGGCTTCTATATTTTTTTATCACTCAATAACCTTTGCAATCTTGAATGGTGAAACTTCTTCTCTAAAGATTATGAGTCTTTTTTCTCGAATTATTATATAGTTTCAACAGGTAATAAATATAATTCACACTGAGAAGACTTAGAAACAGCTCTGTATTCTCTAGGAATGGATTACTAAACCTCCTCATGTCCAAAGACGCAACCTACTTAAAGTAAGGTGATTGAGACAGTTTTGTTCTTAGGAAATACTTTGAGTAGTTCAATCTCTCCTTACTTGATAAAATAGATATATTCTGGCATTGAATTTTCCATATAAATGATACTAAACATCGTAGGCTTTTAAACTACTATATATTCCAGAATGCCTCTCAGTCTTTTATCATTCAATTTGCTAAAGAGTTCAAAATTTCTGAGTAGCGAAATCTTTTCGTTTTTAACCTGATCATGATATTATTATAATATTGCTCGAAAGTCCGGATTGGCTAAAGTTATCATTGCTGTATCCTGTGTGCACAGTACAGTGGCTGTTCTAGTCACATTGCCAATAAGAGCGATCTCCCCGAATTGGTCTCCTGTACAACACATATTCACTATATGCAAACTGGGAAAGAGTCTTTTCACCAAATTATCCAACCACTTATCGACTGATATTCGATTGGGATTATTGGTATATTCCTCAATTAAGGATTCTTAATCGACTTTTTGAATATCTACAAAAATCAACTATATTATTGAATAATTACTGATCCCTAAAAAATTGCCATAAGCCTACGCCATTATGATATCCTTTAGAGCCCTATTATTAAAGGCTGATAAGCGAGGACTGCAGACTGCTGACGATCTCCTTTGTTGAGTGGGATTGGAATCGATCCCTTTTTAATATTCTTCTATAACTTATTGATGAGTAATGTTTTTATCGTTTGGACATAAAATTGCAACTTAACCCTTCAGAATTACATAGAACTATTCAACATTATTTGAACCTACCAATCTATATGATTTTACCATAATGAAATACGACCTCTCCTTTTTATAATTCCTTCAGTTAGATCTTTTTCAGCATCTAACAATATAATGCTGGATCAAATAACTACTATTTTTCTCTGAAGAATTTAAGATCTTGAACTCCCTTTGCAATTACATCAATAATATCCTTGCTTCTATTGCGATAAGCCAATGCCTGTTTCAAATCAATCAGACTTTTTTCTTAATCCATTATAATATTATAGTTATAAATCAACAAACTCTGAAGTTCTGGCCACCCACCCACCTAGACTTGTTTTCATCCCTATGTTTGAAATCTGCCGGATTGCTATATGGATTATCATACAAGATAAAGGGAGTCCCCCCCTTGATAGTGCTCACAACACTAGTCCTAATGCTTCTCGGTCCAATTATTTATTTATCCTTTTATTTCTGATCCAACCTATCCCTTTCCAAATTAGTAATGTATGGAGATGAGCATCTGACTATTGGATGTTCTCTGCACAAATCATAATCCTCCTTCGTCGTGCCCTTAGATACTCTGGACTTTGCAGTTTGAACTCTAGTCAATTTAAAAGTCCGACTTTAAGTTGTAGATTACGGTCTCTATCTGATCCTCTGTCCACTACTAGCTAGCATTGAGGTATTCATAGTGCCAGGTACCTATACAATCTTGAATAACAATAAATACCCATAGAGGCTCATTCTCAGGCAATAATTATTCATCGATATTGGGATGCAACATCTATCTAATTTCAGCGGCTGTTTTATTGAACTTCTCAGTTGTGTCCCTATGTTCTTGATTCAATTTGGTCGAAAACTTAGCAAACTTAGACTTTTCTAGGTCAGTCTCCTCTGTTGATTGCTTAGTCCTTGGAGACTACTTCTACCTCATAGTTTTCATCGCCTCTTGCAATTGTCCTTGATCATTAATAGCATTATTCATAACAATCTCCAATTTCTTTGCCTTTTTACCTGTGAATCCTACATGCTTAAATTTAGTCAAAACTTCAAAATTAAAAGCAGTTCGCTCACCCTTTTATTAGCTTTCTGCTTATTATTTAGTCATGTTCTCCAAATCTAATTTGTTCTTTCTTAAATCATTATTAGCCTATTAGATGGTTAAGGGTTTGTTAACACACGATCGTATTTAAATCAAATAATGGATAATGAAGTTTCTAAGGATTGATTGTGTTTCTGGATATTTGGGATTAATGTCAAATTATAAACCGACAATGTTTTCATTTACTGTGATAACTTGGGGTCCTTTTGATGAATCTGCTAAAATGACAAATGTCTTCTTCGGATTTAATACATTGAATGAATGGATGTCCCATGCATGTTTAGAATGAACTAAGAATTCTTACATCACATCTTTAAATAAGTAATTTTGAACAAAGTTCTTCTTTATCATGCATATTTCCTCATCCTATGTGGAGGTGTAAAGCCCATAAATTTCCTTAATTTTCTATGGCTTATAAACTGGAGCCTATAGCATGTACTTTCCAACTGTATTGAACTCTTCAACAGCTCTTCTAGAGTGTATGCCACAATTCGCTATTGGAATCCAGCAATTCGCAGATTCAATCTTATCGAAGTAGATTCCATAGAGGTCCCCTGTTATGCTGTCTAAGAAATATTCATTCTTTGTTATTTAATCGAGTGACTTTTGCAGTTTGCTCATATCACCAAGAGGACCCCCTTAGGGACCATTTACTACTTCAACTGGCTAATCATATTAAAAAGTTATTCTTACAGTTTCTAAGTTGGTGGCTACAAAAAAAACCAATGCTTACATGGCTCCAGCTGTGGCCAATAGAACCTTATTAGTCCTTAAACACATTCTAATCAGCACCATAACCTAATATATATGTGAATGCGTTTACTTTTTTTAAATGTTTGGACCATGGTCTAAGGTTTGCATCTATTTCTATGAAAACAAAATCTATGAAGTTGAATTAATTAGCAGCCTCTTATTTAGAATATCCAGAATCTTGATCGTAAAGGAATTCGTCTAAATCATTTGCATCTCTAGAAAAAAATTCAGTCTCCGTGTCCAGTAATTCTTTTTAATTCAAAAATAACTATTTATATTGCAGATGGTTTACTTTTCGTATTTATCCGCAATATCTTTCAAATTATTGTTTACCAGTTTCTGATTTCCCATACCCATTTACAATTAATATTCTCATTATAAAAATTATCAATAATTATAATAAGTAACATCTTTATTTATTAAGTTCTTGATATTACTTATCATGATCAATTCCTATTTCTTTATTGCTTTTAATTTATCAATATTGTTATTGATAATTATTGGTAATTGTTTTGAATTAAGGACAATGATTATAAATTTATTTTATATATGATATGTAAAATCTACATTTATCATTACTATTATTATTATTATTTCTATAACATTTGTGGAGGAATGTTGCCCATCATACCACCTGGGGGTTATGCAAATGCTGTTTTTCCCAATAATTAAACGACTCCAGTTTCAATTGACTTTAGTAATTCCATCATATCTGGATCTTAGAATAATTCTAAAATAGTGAGAATATTGTACATGGATTTTCAAGATTCGAAATATAGTCTTCTTCTTCATAGCTATGTTCTTCAAATATCATATCTCCCATAACTAAATTTAAAACCATTGGAACCAATTATCCAGATTCATAAGTTGTAGGCAATTTGTCAATCATATTCTTCAAGAAATCTTGCTTCTCGTTTAATAATTTGATTTGATATCTGATGATTTCTTTAGTTGCATTCATCTAGACCTACTTCTATTTTGGTAGTTTATCCTTGATTCTTTATCTTGCTGAAGCTTGTAACATGAACACATGTTATCCAAGTCCTCTTTCCATTAACAACATTTCGCTTTGTTCAAGTGTTTATTGTGAGATATCAATTTTCTTGCAGATTTCTTCTTATGCCTTCATCAAAAGATTTTCAATGTCATTAACATAATCCAATAATAATTGAACGTATTTAGCTCCATCAGAATAAAGGACTTCTCTTCTTGCCTTTCTGTTTTCCAAAGTAATTCTAATAAATTCAGGTTCAGCCAATTCAACACTGCCTTCAACTATTTAAGTGTATGTCTTAATGCTAATCATGTTATTGGTGTTTGGAATGTGCATAGTTTAGATTTATGAAGCAATTTCATTTAATTTGTCACTCTTGAATGTGTAATTGGCTTATGATTAGAATAAATTATGATACATTTGTCGTTTCCTTCATTTTTTGGTTGCACATCCAAGACTTTATTAGTTTCTTAGGTTTCTTTGGGTTTGAAGACTTCTAATTCAGCTAATTTTTAATCAAGCCATTCATTGGTTTCTTTGATTTTGTCAGTCACTGACAAGTTATTACCCACCCAAGGTAATACAATACTGTTCACCTATCCTTTAATGAGTGATGGATTAAGTAATAATTCATCCTTATCATTTTTGAAGGCATATTGAGTGAGTGATTTTAAAACAATAGGTTCTAGTTTCTTATCTTTAACCTTTTAGACCAAATCCTTAGCATCGTATTATCTCAGATTTTTGATGTTTATTAAGAAGACTCTTTATAATGAATCTTTGAGGGTGTATAATCTCTCAAATAGTTAATCAAAATGTTTCATTAGGTTATGTTCGGTCTGCTCAACCACTTCCCAGTTGACCCTACAAGATGAAGACAAGATTACATTTTTTCATCACCCAAAGAGGCCAACACTGTCTCGATATTAGCTGCCAAATCTTCAACTGTAATGGACATTCAACCACAAATTAATTAAATTTAATTTATATTTCCCCAACCTTTTAATTTTATATTTCGATAATTGCAATACTATATCTTAATATAATTTGCATCACACAATCTCCAATTCTCAGTTTTCAACTAATTATTAAATATATTTTTATAATATCATGAGTCTAAGCATTCAACTCTTTTATTAGCCTTCTCTGACAGCATCCTACCTCCGAAACAATCGTTTCATGTCCGCCTATGATTTTACACTCATATTCCCCTCCATTCCACTTTCCTTTGGAATCTCGAGTGATTTGGCTGCAGGATGGTCCAAATTGGTTTACGAGTAAGTGCTAATGAACAAGACTCAACAAAAGATTGAAGTTGAAATCTAAGGCTTGACTGAGAAGGAAGCCTTTGTGGTTGAACAATGCGTTAAATTACTATTTGGTTTCAAAATTGATTTTTGCATTCAAGACGTCTGGCAAGCCTTGAAGGTATGCGACATTATTGGGATAACCCAATCGCCATAAATCGAAGGTGTTACAGTCCAAGAATAACTGTTATCATTCGCATTGTAACACATTCAATAAATCAATCTAATTGAAGGCTTAGATTATGCACAGCAACTATTGGAAGTTGGAGGGGAAGGACTCTTGGTGCATCGAACTGACATCAGATTACTGAGCCAATAATTGGTGGACAAAATTAGAGAAGCCATTATTTCAAGCAAATTCGAAATACTTACCAATTATGCTCACAATTAAGAACAAAGCATCGATAGCCAAACTATTAATAATAATAATAAATTCCTATTGAAAGATTTGAAGAGAGAGCACTACATCCAATTGAGAACTCTCTTTTACAACTTTGTCAACCAATAAAATACAGAGTTGACTGCCAATCAGAACATTGTTAAGATCTTATTCGAAGAATTAGATCAACAGTTTGAATTAGACAGCTACATCAACAAGTATTTTGAAGAGGTCACCTCTAAGATGTAGGCCATAGACATATCTGTTAATAAAATGGATAAGAAGTACGAAGCTCAATTGACTAAATTGAATGAATTCATCACCTAAGAATTTGAAAGTCTCAAAAGGGAAAACAAGATGCTAAAAAACCAATTATACTTTGCTCATAGAAGAATTGAATAGCTACAGAATCCTAGGATCATCTGCCAATATCAAATGAATCTTTTTTGCTTCTCCAATGGGATCATTAAGTATAAGAACAGTGGCGTCATTCATACAGAGAACATGGATAGTTACATAATCAATTGCATTGTAAAACAAACGGACAATACCATCGCAGTAGGAATGCAAGGGGGAGACATTCTCTTATACAACAAGCATTTGGAGATTATAACCACTCTTAAATTGTCATCGGTTATACAAATTTAAAATGCTTATCATGTTATCTGCATGCATGTATATGTAAGTGCTATTAAATTAAATTTAGAATAATTATTTAATTTCTTCGTATTCCAATAATGTATACTGCGTTTGGTGGAATTAGAAATCCATCTTTTATGAGTAGATGGAATAATAGGTAAGTGCGATTTTTAGCAATCCTTTAATGGGCAATTTCATTCTTCTGGGTTCTGTCGATGGTACAATCCATTTTATCTACCTAAATGAATCTAAACCATAATTGTAAGCAGATCATATTAAAAAACTCAAAAATTCAAATAATGAGGTGTTGAAATTAGAAATTATTCCTCAGAATAATGATCTATTAGTATCAGTGCACACTGATCAATTGATATGTATTTGGAATTGGGAATCAGAAAATGTGATACAAGTGGTTAAGATTGAATCATAGATATAAGATATATCGATATTTTTGGATCCAAAAGATTAGAAGATTTTGAGAGTCTTGTTATAGAATGGCTATCTGAACGAATACAATTTGGATTAATAAAATCAACTAATAGAATCTATTTACATTGATAATAAGCCATTCTAATTGGTAGGGGAACAATGCTTGACATATGATGGGAAGATCAAAAAGATAAAGAATGGGCCCTTAAATTAGTGTAACTATCATCTGCAACACCAATCTACTTATTTTCATCATCAGGATAATTGTGTATATGGACTGTTGTTAATAAACTACCCTTATGTGGCATCTTCGGGCGATGACAAGACCTTAGTCATTTTCAACTTGAAGTCTTAAGAAAAGTTGGTGTTGAGAGGACATCAAAGTTACATCAAGGCAATAGGGTTGTTGCAAGAAAATAAACACATAATATCAGGGAGTTACGACACAACAATTAAGATTTGGGAAATATCAACAGGGATTTGTTAAAATACGTTAAATGGACATACAAAACCTGTTTTATGTCTATAAGTGTTGTACCAGACTTAATAGATCGTAGTGAGTGGAGGAGAGGATGGAGCGATAAGGGCATGGAATTGGAAGACAGCTATTTGCATATGGAAGGTAGAAAGTAAATTAGAAATATGGTCGCTTTTAGCAATATAGGAACATTGCACAATATTAAGTGGAAATAAGTAAATAAACAATATTATGCTTATAGAGATGGGTCAATCAGGGTTATAAGTACAGGCGCAGCTGGGGAAAAGAGTCAAACCATAGCTGAGTTGAAGATTCACAAACAGTATGTTAATTGTATGATACAATTGAAAGGTTCCATAATAGCAAGTGGTTCATCTGATGCTACAATATAAATTACCAATTTTTATACAGGGGAGATTTTAAAGACTCTGACTGGACATTCAAATATTGTTTGGTCAATTCAAATGATTGATGATGACACCATTGCCTCATCCAGCACAGAAGGCAAGATTAAAATATGGAATTGGAAAGAGAGTCTTTGTTTGAATAGTTAGGTTGTAGGTAAAGGCTCAATCTATGTGTTGTTGAAGTTGCCGTTTACAAATAAGATGATTGGGGGTACTGCTTAAGGAGACATACTCCAATGGAAAATCTGTAAAGAAGAATAAAAATTAATATGATTGTTTATAAAAGTGATAATTAAAATATTAAAAAGATGTCTAATTATAGTCTGATGTTTAAGTTTATCATCATAGGGGATACAGGTTTAAGGATTATGTAATGATTAGGAGTGGGAAAGTCAAGTATTCTTTTGCAATTGATCGAAAATGAAATCAGAGAGCAACACGATGCCACAATCGGTGTCGAATTCGGGGCCAAAATCATTAAAGTGAATGGGATGAACATCAAATTGTAAATATGGGACACAGCTGGTTAAGAGAACTTCAGATCAATTATTCGTAGTTATTATAGATCAGCGATTGGTACTGGAATGTTATATCTGAAGGGGCTTTATTGGTTTATGATATTACGAATAAAAACTCGTTTCATAATCTGCAAAGATGGATGGAGGAAATAAAAAATAATGGGAATGCCAATATGGTAATTGTGCTATGTGGTAATAAGATTGATTTGGAATCTGAGTAATTAGCATTGATTTTATGTAGAGGCGAGCAGTAACATATGAGGAAGGGTGGCAATACGCCCAATCATAGTCACTGATCTTTCTTGAGATATCTGCCAAGTAGGGTATCAATGTGCAATCAGCATTCTATTAATCAACACAAAGGATCTTGCAGGACATTGAGGATTCAAAAATAATGCTTGGACAAGATGTAATGATGTTATTTTTAGATTAAGCCAGGAATCAAGATTGGGGGATAGTATAAAAAGAAGGACAAAGAAATTAAAGTTATAAATACTTACGAGGAAGCTGTTTAGTTGAAAACAATAGATACTCCTAATGGAAATAATTGTTGTTGATACTTGTTATAATCTATTAATATTAATAATTATTATTATCTATAATAATAAAATAATGAAAAGAATTTTAGGTTTATATAGATTTGGATCAGGGGGACATGGTCATCACCATATTAAATTAAACACAGTCTAAAATTGGATTTCAAATGAGAGTGGCAAATTAGTTGGCATCACTGGCTTTACTGATCTCCATGATCATCCTCATCATGACAATACAAATCCATATCAACATCTAGTAAATGCTCCCTTTTTCAGGTTTCAAATACTATTCTTATTCATAGTTTCGAGAGATTCTATTGGTCTGATCCATATTTCCATGCTGATGAAACTGATCCCTTGGCAAATTTACCACATGGCTATTTAGTAATGGATGATGTAAATGTTTATTTGTATCTCTAAGCCCCTTACATAATAAAATAATGTCGAGTTACCACTTTATGAATTGATTTTCGTATTTGCTGGAGCACTTGTATGAATTAATAACCTTAATTTGTAGGGTTTGATCATTTTGTATGGACACAACAATCTCCTTAATTAAAGCAGAGGCGAGCAATTCCTCCAGACACACATCACAAGAGAACTCTTGGAAGAAGAAGTGAGAAAGATTAGAGAAGAGACATTTTAATTGGAGCAAAGAAAATAAAAACTGCAAGAACAATTAGGTTAAAACTCTTGACCATTAAAATAAATCATATTCATATAATACATCAACAAAAATTAGAGTAAATAATCCTAAAATAATCACTTTGATAATCCAAATAACAATTCGAGAATTCATCTACATAACTTTATCCCTTTTAGTTTTCAATTTTAATTTATTCAAATTTAACAAAATATTAATTACTTACTAACTTTTTGTATCAAACATATATGTCATAGTTATTTGACTTAACAAACTTCATTTGAATATCTTTAATTGATATATTGCTTCTCACATTATTCATAATGACTCTTTTATCACATATATATATATATATATTTAAAGGAAATAAGGAGAATTAGATAATTTTTAATTGAAAGATAATTAAAATGAGCGAAATTGGATAATCAATACTAAATCATTTGATTCATAAGTATAGATCTAAAGAAAATCAGAGAATTTAAATTTTTCATAGCAAATGCAATTTAATTATTAAGATTAACATTTTATAATTGTAATTATGTTCAAATGGTGATTACTTCAATTCCTTGTTTGGTAACAATCTTAACGATGAATTTATTTTAGGCAATGAGGAATCTGGTTTATAATTCTTTTATGCACTTCTTAATTATTTCAATTCCTTCTTCTTTTGTTAGATTCTTATTATAATAATCAATTAAATACAGGTTTATATTAATTATCCAACAAACCCAAAAGGAAGTAATTTGCATAGCCTTAAGCTCCTCTTGTGATCTTTTATAGGGATCCCAAATAATCAAGCCAATAAAGTGAAGGTGTGCCATCTGAATCAACTCCTCCTAATAAGCCATTACATTAATGAGGACCATCTCTTGATCTGATGGCTTAAGCGTACATTGATCTTATTGAATCACTAAATCAAATACCTAACAAAATGAGCAGTTTCTTGGAGATTCATATATCCTCCTGTTTTATATCTGATAAGACTATGATTCTTATGTACTAATTCCCCAAAGGAGTTTCTGTCAGCTCCTTCTCCTGAAATACCAAAAATCTTATGATCATCAAGCTTAAGAATTTTGTCTTCAGTTTCCTTAATCTTTAAGATGCTGTGGGCTATGCTGCCATCGCATGCGATAATTACAAAATCACCACCTTATAAGCCGAAAATTGAATCCATATTAATTTAAAAATAATTATACCGATGTTAGGAAATTTTAGATTATATATACATCATATCTTGAAATGCTCATTACAAATATTATAAATAAATGGAGAAATTAACAATAGATCATTTTACACTCTTAAAAGTGATCGGAAAAGGCTCATATGCTAAAGTAGTACTGGTGAAAAAAAACGTAAGACTTGATTCTTTGAACTTAGGATAATAAGGAAATTTATGCTATGAAGATTTTAAAGAAAAAGAATATTGAAAAAAGGAAATAGGAAGAACATGTCTTGGGGGAAAGAAACATCCTAGTTGAAGTGAAACATCCATTTATCATAAAAATGTTTTACGCTTTCAAAAATGATGTGAAATTGTACTTTGTTCTTGAATATTGTTCAGGAGGAGAGTTATTTAATTTATTGTAAAAACGCAAAGTATTCACAGAAGATCAAGTAAGAGATACCAATATCATATTAGGCAAGATTCTACGCTGCACAAATTGTTTTAGCTCTTGAACACTTGCATAATCATGATATCATCTATAGAGATCTTAAACCTGAAAACGTTTTGATTGACGCATAAGGTTACATCAGAATCACCGACTTTGGACTGTCCAAAAGAAATGTCAAAGGTACAAAGGATGCTCAAAGTGTGTGCGGTACTCCTGAGTATTTGGCTCCTGAAATCTTATTGAAATCTGGTCACGGCAAACCAGTGGATTGGTGGACCTTGGGAGCAATCATTTATGAGATGCTTTCAGGATTTCCTCCATTCTATACTCAAAATAGAGAGGAATTATTTGAAAGCATCAAATTTGCATAGTTAAAATATCCAGTTAGTCTGACACCAGCTTGCAAATCCTTATTAGAGGGATTATTTTCTAAGAACGCAGACAAAAGATTGGGAAGTAAGGGAGCTTAAGAAAGTAAAATTAATCCACATATATATTTTAGTCAAGGATCACCCTTGGTTTTTAAATGTAAATTGGGATACTTTGTTGAAAAAACAATATAAGCCACCCTTCATCCCCTTGGTGAAGAGTGAAGTCGATGTTTCAAACTTTGACCCTGAATTTACTGAATAACCATTGGAATCACATGATCCAAATTCGTTATCGATGGGAGGTGAAAGCATTGGTTAAAAATATTAAGATTTTACTTATGATGCTAAATTGGAATGAGATATCATCATAAATATTAAAATAAATTAAATGTGTTAGAATAATGTATAGTCTTATGATGCACATTTATATTAAATAATTTATTAATGATCTAAAATGTTTAGAATAAACCTAAACTCTTGAACCAAATACCAGAATACATCCTAAACAATTCAGCCTTGAATAATGCAATAAGTTAGTTACCCAAACATTATAATTTTGAAATTCATAAGACAATAAGCAGAATTATTGAAACTCAAGAGAGACTCTAAAGACAAAACATTTTAATCAATTTGCAATTTCCAGAAGGATTGTTATTATATTCTTGCATGATATCAGATATTCTAACCACATTTACTGGTTGTGAAACCTTTATAAGTGGAGATGTCACATATGGTGCTTGTTGCATTGATGATTTGACAGCAGATGAAATGTAAGCTGATTACATAATTCATTATGGTCACAGTTGTTTGGTTCCAATTAATGAATGTGCAGTCAAAACCTTGTATGTTTTCGTGGAAATTAACATTGATACCAAACACTTATTTGAAACAATCAAAAAGAATTTCGCTGATAAGAATATTAAGTATTACTTAATGGGTACGATTCAATTTAATACTTATATTCACTTACTTAAGAAATAATTAGAGGAGGATGGTTATAAAATTGCAATTCCCCAAGAAAAACCTAGATCTTCAGGTGAAGTCTTGGGATGCACTTCCCCTAAATTAGAGGTATCTTAAGATAGTAGAAATATAGTCATCTTTGTATGTGATGGTAGATTTCATATGGAATCAACCATGATTCAAAACCCATAATTTGAATTCTTCTAATATGATCCATACACTTATAGACTTACTATCGAAAAGTATGATAATCCAAAAATGATGAATTTGAGATATTAACAAATTGTGCATTGCCAAAAAATATAACCTTAATTAGTATGCATCATTATGAGTACACTTGGAAGACAGGGAAGCACTTAGATTTTGTAGAGAATTGAAGAACTATTGAGAAAACACTAAATAAAATATTTTACGCTTTTGATAAGTGAAATCAATTTCGAACAACTAAATTAATTGAATGAAGTGGATGTCTTTATATAAATTGCTTGTCCAAGATTGTCGATTGACTGGGGAGTGTAATTTTAGAAACCGTTGTTAACTCCTTATGAAACTTATGTTATGTTGGGGGAAGCAGAATGGAAACAAATATATCCGATGGATTATTATTCTAATAATGGAGGGGCTTGGACTAACTACTATCACAAACAAAAAGTTAAATTAAATTATGAATGATTGATATTTTTTGTAATTATATGAATATTTAATTGGCACAAAAATTTGTTAATCAATGGAAAAGGTTTGTGGAGAGACGAAAGGAAGTTAGAGGCATACTCATTGCACAATACAAATAGAGTTATATAAGAGTTCTCAATTCATATAAGGATTTGAAGAGGCGAAGGTTTTAGTAATACATTATTAACAATGCATCAAATCTAATCTACAAGGCGTTGAAAATCAATTTATGGAAAGTAAAACATCTGAGGCAATTTTTGAATCAGAATCAAGTTAAGCGATTCTATATTTTGAAATCATAAGAGCAAATATTTGAAAATGCTTTTAACTTACATGCCAAAGAAGTAAACATCAAAACCATTAGGTTGCACGTTTAAAATAATTGCAAACACAAAAATCTTATACCGCTACTATTTCAAAGAGTCAAATCTGCAGTCATATTATTCAATTTTCACCAATTAAAGAAATCCTTTGGAGAAACTAATATTAATAGGGACGTAATAAAATATGAATTTCTTTATAATTTTACTAAATATGTCAAGGTTAAATTGTCATAAAAGTAATTTGAATTAACTACTCAGGAACTCATGAGACATTAATAGACAATCTAAAGAATAGATAAGTTTTAGTAGGAAGAATACAATTTAATAAAATATATTGAATTAGATAACGTAAAAGTTTTGAAGAAGATCTACTAATATAATTGTCAAAATAGAGATAGTTAACTGCATATCTTTTTTGATTTTTAATTAAGAGAAATAGCAGCTGTCTGTAGAATACAAAAGTACTTTAGAGCCAAGCGAAACATTGCTTAGAAGGGTATGAAATATGTCGCTATTATGAAATTTATAAATCAATCCAGAGCTATTTATGTCATCTAAAGATGGTTCAGAAGAATCAGATGGTATCACAGAAATAACTTCTTTAAAGAAATATCTTTCTATGTTTCACAAATTCCAACACCAAATCTTTATCTTGATATGCAAGCCTATTAAAAAATAGATGAAATTGCTAGAAATTAAAAACATTCCCTAAAATTCTTAGAATAATATAATACGGTATAAATATAATAATTTTAAGATTATGGCAGATAATGAAATTGTCAGATTATAGTTTAAATCTTAAATATCTGATGATTCAATCTAGTCTACATATGCACAATCTTTAGCTTAATTAGATCATTTAAATATTGCTGTTATTCCTAAATGGCTTATTCAAGAAATTCAAAAAGTGCATATTAATGAAGAAAAGATAATTGATTATAAAATAATTAAATAAGATTAAAACTCAACTAAATGGAATTGCAGAAATAGAGATTACTTAGGCAAGCACAAAGAATCCTTGAAAGAACTTAAATATTATGTAAACGCTGATATTTATGGATTACTTCATTTCGGAGCATCTATCTCTTTTGAATATATCAACAACAGAGATTACATCAAATTTACTTATTCATAGACAAGCGAAGCCAAATACAGAGTCATAGCATTGGCTTTGATTACATACAGATTCAAACTTAATGGAACAAAGATTCTTATGTTTAGTGATCATATTTGGGAGAGTTCAATTTAATAAAAAACTATCTTTTTATATAAATACTATTAGAAAATTTAGAATGTTTATTAACTAGAAGTACCTGCTTAAGATACTTCGTAATTATATGACGGAAAATAAAATTAAGTAATCTTATGCTTAAATAAAGCGTAAGCAGATAAATTTAAATATGATTAATAAACCATCTAACTATAATTTTTTAATGAGACCTCTCGTTTAATTGAAAACTTCATTTGGATGTGTCCAACAAAATAAAATAAATTAAAACCATCAAAAAATAAACCCTCTTTGTAAATTAATTAAAATAGTTTAAGAAATAGTTCTCATATGTAACAAGTAAGCACATCTGTTTGTGATATTTAGCATGAATAATCTGTTATTAAAAATAGTCACCAATAAAGATCTATTGATATATCTCCTTAATCTGGTCTAATTGATGGCAGTAGTAAATCAACTTAATTGCCTGTGAAATTTTCTATAATGTGTATAGAAAATCAAGAAATTTAATTTTAGCCACCTAAATTTAAAAAAAGAACTGAACAATCCTATTAAGAATTTGCAATGTCAAGTAGATTTAGAACTCAAAATAGTAGTTTGAAGAATTCAAAAATAAAAGAATAAAGTGAGTCTTTGAATAATAGTGTAATGTAACCAAAGAAATAATAATTTTAACTAGAGGATATCCATGAAAATATTGAATATTCTTCATTTAAATAAAAATACTTGGAGATGACTTTGAATGAAAAAAAAGCAAAAATATAAAGAATAAAACAAAAGAATGAAGATGAGATGAGTTTCATTAGAGAATTTCATAATTTTTCTAATTTAATACAAAGATAAGAGTAAAAGATAATTAATAGATAATTGAAAACTGCTCGAGCGAAAACATTAGAAAAAGCTTCAAAAACAAATAGTATAAAATAAACAATGAAAAGCTAATCCATAACAAAAAGGGAAGAATTTTAGGATGTCTCTATTGTTTTTCCTAAAATAGAACCAAAAAGTTCGAAAAAGCAAACCTTAAACTCAAGATTATCCAATTATCATAGATATGCTGTTTTTGCTGAAGAATTGTATGCTATTTCTAGCAACAATGAAACTTTAAAACTTTGACATTTTTAAATATATGATTATTGACTTTATGTTTAGATTTATTAAATTAAATGAATTAGTCTTAATATTTTGTATCACAAATTTTAAAACTTAAGGAATATAGATAAGAATAAGATTATTAATCAATATATTAAATATCTTTAAGACAGTAAGTCATTATTATTCATTCTATGTAAATTTCTTTTGTTCAATTTTTAGTTTTTAATTCATTTCAGTAGCAGCGATAACTTGATAGATATTTTTTTACTATTCAGTCATTTTGATTTTCAAAACTCTATCAATTTTCTAGAATAAATAAAATCAATTACATTTCGGCATAAATAACATTCAGCTTTGTTTTTCCACAAATCAATTGCACAATTATAGCAGACTCCTCCATGACCACATTACATAAATAATGAATTGGGCTCATTGTCAAAACAGATACAGCATGCATTTATAGATGATAATGAGACTGATCCAGGTTGATTGACCTATTAAAGTAAGATAAAGTACTTATTCAAATTCTTTTAAATTATTTTCTAACTCAGCATTACTCTGTTGGCCTTCACTCAACCCAATGTTGATTAAAGAAGATAATTTGATATTTTCATTTTATTAAGGTCTTTATATTTATGATGATAAGGCCTTATGATGAGTGGGTTTTTTACAATGGAGTTAAGCCTCTGACTTTTTATCCGAAAATAGATCATCAAATCCAAAGTAGGTTTTTGATATTCTTTTCACTACTTTTGGAATTTAAATGGGACGCTCTATCACTTGACTATCCATTAAATCTTATTTTTTGGATTATTAAAGTTGTTCTTCTCCCTATTAGGTTGGTAGAGTGTTTAATGGATTTACTGAATCATTTAAGGATAAGTAAGACTATAAACTTAAAACTAAATCTGGTTTAAATCTAACTGTAAAATAAGAAAATATAATTTAGTTGACTATTAGGATAATTCTTGTTGTGTCAATGACATTTTTACAATTAATTGCATTATAAAAATTGAGTATTAATATTGGGATTAAAAAAAGCATGAGAGCATTTGACATCATAAAAAATAATATCCAGAAATTAACGATCACTAATAATAAATGCAAATCTCAAACCTTAATTTTTTAGTCTACTACTTTATTCTAAAATTACTTGTATTCCCAATCCCAAAATCACAAAAATACAATAAATCACTATTAATGCAGAAATCCCAAAAAGCATCCAAAACATCCACAATGTGTAGACCCATTCTGTTTGAAAGTACCCTTCAAGTTTTAAGCACAAAAATAATGATGTTATCAATAAAGTAATGTTTCTGAAAACATGATACATATTGATTTATGAAATTGATTCTTTAAAGTATATATTTCCTTCATTAATTTTTAAAATCATCGAAAGGGATATATTAACTAAAGGAAGGATGTTTGAATACAATAGTAAGTCTCTTCTCTTAGATTTCTAATAAAAGTTAAGAATGAGTAAATAGGAACCTTCTACTAAAGTCGACAATAATCTAATTAAAATGTGTTTATCTGTTCTAAATAACTAATAAAAAGTGCTATACATGCTGAATTGTAGAAATATTCGATAAAAATACAGCTAATGGATCAATTGTAAGAGCAATTTTGATTCGATACAATAAATAACAGATAGCAGATTGCCATCGAAATTCAATTCAAAGCTGAATAACAAAACTGCTATGACATAAAAAGAATTGGACAGCAATATTGAGCTCAATACTTAAATAGCTTATTCAAACCGAAACCTAAATATAAAATATTGCATTACGTAGGCTGCAACTATGGGATGTTTTCAACAGTTTACGAACTTTGTTAAGTACTTAAATCTCTCCTCATTAGAAAAGAAAGGAAAGAAAGAGTATTATGATAAATAATTTAATGAAAAATATAGATGTCTATAAAGAATCACAAGTTTTAATTAAACTTCCCTATAAGAGAACCAACTACAGTTTTGTTATTATTAGGAGTATGACTATTCGATTGATTTTTTTTAGGAGTATTCGACAAAGCCTTTTTTGGGGTAGTAACTCTGGGAGGCTAAATTAAATTTATATTTTACAATTATTGTATATGTTTTTCTTAACTTCGGAGTAATAACAGTGACTTAATTTTAATTTTATTCTTTAATTTTCTATTCAGTTTATTGTTTTCTATCGTTTAATTGTTATTAAATCAGCATATCGATGCATTTGCCAACATATTAATTATAGGAATTAAAGCTATCTGGTTTATTCACATTTTGAACTTAAGGAGTAGGTATTATAGCAACATCCTCCTTAATTTATTGAGTTGAATTTTTCATTTCATGTTATTTTAAATTTTAATAAAATAATTTTAACCCTTCTTTACCAACCCATTAAAATGCAGGTTTCTTAGATGATGTCAAATGAGTTTTCTTAATTAATCCAATTGATTTTAAAACATTTGCAATATCATATAATCTTCTTACTTTTGTTTTTAATTTATTTTGATCAACTTCATTTCCTAAATATTTAGCAGCTTCTTCCAATGTCCAAATTGATTTTTATTACATAAATAATTTAATAAAACCAGCTGATAGCACTTCCAAAGATTTCTCTCTTTTATGTGTAGTTAAGTCTAAGTCAGATTGTTTGCTTGCATACTAATAAATATATATTTTATAATAATACTTGTTCAATTGTTTAATAAATAGTTTTGAATCCACTCCAACAATATTTATTTTTACATTTTCTTTTAACTACTTGCAAGCTTTCAAGTATGTTGATTATATCATATATTCTTCTTCTTTCAACCCCTAAGATTAAATAATACAATACCCAATTCTTCAGTGATCTAATCCAAACATATAATTTTCTCATCGTAATCAATTAGGCAACTAACAAATTTCTTACTCAATTCCTCCAAACTTTTTTCCTTTCGATTATAAATTTTGTATTTAATTAATTATTTACTAAAGTATACTCAGAATATTCAATACTTGTTTGGATAGATAATTTTGAAAATTTTTTTACTCTTGCTTGAAATTTTTTCTAACAATTTCTAATCCTACTCATCATTGAGTAATGATAATGAGACTAAGTCTAATGAACATTATATATGTATATACTTTGATCTTCTTCCATCTTAAGATAAAAATTTTTCCGCTAATTATTATATTCAAATTCAAATTCCAAAAAAAATAGGAAATATATAAATAAAATATCTCAAATTTCTATTTTTACTAATTCTCCTACTTTATTCTTTATCTAAGCTGTATTTAATATATATTGTCGAGTTACAAAGGTTCATCAACAAATTAACTAGGAAATAGTATTCTAGGGATTAGATATCGCAGGTTTATAGGAACTTATATTATATAAGCTTAGCCAATTTCTTAATTAAGTTTACGATCTATACTTTATTCAATTCACCTATTAGCAACTAACCCTTCTATTTTTTGTGACATTTTTAATCATTTGATATAGTTTCCTGATGGTAGGGGGGTTATTTGATATTTAGATTGATTATCAATTATAGTACCATTTTTATGATTTAAGGTTGTTCCTCAAGGGAAAATGTTGTGAAGTCGAAAAATTACATTTTGACTTTAGTTTAAAATTAAGAAGATCATAATTCAAATTTAAGATCTTTAATAAGATCGTTCAAGATTCTATAGCTGAATTAAATATAATACATTCTTTGTATAATGAATAAGTTAATTTTAACTCGTTAATTGTAAATTTATATTTAATTAACATCTTATCAAAGTTAGATGTTAATTAAAAGGATATATTTCGAAATATTTAATTATTTCTCTTTTCAATATTTTATGTCTCTATATTTATTAGCGACATATAAATATTTTTTCAATATCATATTTAAACAGAAAGAAATATATTTAAAATTGAATTTTGTTATTCTAATTAATCATACCAAAAGAATCATAGAATATAAAAATTGTGACAGTAATGTATTAAAATTTTTGCAAAGTATATGAAATTTTGATACTTTTTGAACGAACTAAAAGCGAGTTTTCCTTATAGATTAGAATTCGGAATGCATTTAGGATTAAAACTTATCACTAATTATATATAAAATAATATAATAAAAAAGATCTGATTATAACAAACCGCTTATTGTTATATTTATTTCCCTTTTATCAATTTGAGAAGACCTATTGAATATTAATAAGTTTTAAAAGAAATAATATCAGATTTAAACATCCTTTCATCAATATTAACAAGAATCTTTCTTCTATTATGATGCATTGGTTTTCTTTTTGTGATGATCATATGCAGAATTATTTTTATTAGTATTATAATAAATTTTATTCTTTTCCAACCCGTTAGTATTTCAGCATACATTATTTAAATTAAATAATATGAAGAGTACTTAAAAAGAAAAGCCCATTCAGGTGGTGAAGTACACTAAAGAAACATAAAAATTTGAAATAACACAAGAGGCTAGAGAATTTTTTCAATAATTGGATGGAGACATAGGTTTTGTTGTAGTTTGTGGGAAGTACAGAACAGGCAAAAGCTTCTTGTTAAATAAGTTATTAGATGCAGGAGGAGAAGGAGTAAGTTTATGATTAAAGTTTAAAGTTTAGAGTTGATGCTGCAACTGACTCTTGCACCTAAGGTATTTGGATGTATTCGAAACCAATCATTAACCCAAAGACTAATCTTTAGATTTATTTCTTAGATACCGAAGGAAGTGAGTCAATTGAGAGAACCACAAACCATGATGCAAAAATATTTGCTTTAGCTATTTTAATGAGTTCTATTTTTGTTTTCAATTCAAGAGGCTGCATAGATGAAACATCTATTTCTCAATTGCAATTAACAACGACATTAGCAAAGAATATATAGGTTTAAGATTAGAATAAGGAATCTGTTAATGAGTCCTAAATCAAATATTTTACGCCTAAATTTGTTTGGATTTTAAGAGATTATGTTCTTGAAATGAGAGATTAACATCAAAGAGAGTTGACCCCAAAAGAATACATGGAAAATTGTTTAACAGATGAGAGTTAATATATTAAATAGAATGAATAGAGCAAAAAAATTAGAAAATCTCTACTTAATTTTTTTAAAGAGAGGCATTGTTTCCCATTAATCACTCCTGTCGATGATACTTAGCTGAAAAATGTTGATTAATTGGCTTTGAATCAATTGCGACCTGAATTTTAAAAGACTGTAAATTTTATATAATTAATCTAAAGTTGATGAAATTGAAGGAATACCTTATTAGCAACTGTTCTCCAAAATAAATACATTCTGAAAATGTGAATGGAAGAATGTTCTGCGCAATGTTGGACAATTACATAAGTGTAATCAATAGGGGAGGTGTACCTAACATTGACACAGCATGGGACAGTATTCTGAAGAATGAATGTGTTTAAGGATATGAGTAGGCAAAAAAAAACTATTAGAACAATTACACTAATTTCTTCATTCAAAACAAAAATTCAAGAAAATTAGAGGAGACTTTTTAGGTTTTATCATAAATTCGAAGTGAATGCTTTGACACATTTCATCTTATTGCAGGAGTACGTGAAATGAACAAACATTATGAAGATTACAAATAAAAACTAATAGATTTAATGAATAAAACTGAAACTGATGTTTTAAATTAAAATGACGAAATTCATTAATCGTAAAATCTTGAATTTTATTTAGAAAAAACCAAGAAATCATAGCATAAGAAACCAAGAAGGTCTAGGATGATGTGGAAAAGGAGAATTATACTTTTGATGATTTACATTTTTTTTCATCTGATTTCGTAGGGTATTGACTGTATTAATTTTAGGTTTGTACTGAACTATGATAAACAAGCATCTGGTGTTAGGAAGGCAAGCACACTTTATGATTATTTAAAGTTAACTCACTCAAATCTTTTAAAAAAATTGGAGAAATCAATAAGGCAAAAATAGAATAAGAAAGGAGGAACTCAGACTAACATTAATTAAGAGTTGGCATAGGAAATTCGAGACTATGATTCTTAATATAAATTATTAGAATAGAATATTACCTAATAAGATACCTAATTGAAGAAGTTGGAAGTTGAGAAGCAAAAATTGGATGAAGAAAAAAAGAGATTAAAGGATGAACTAGAGAAGCTTCAAAAAGCCAATCAATAGTAAGGACCGAGCCAAATTAATAATGCTGAAAAATAAAAATTAGAGGATGATTTAAAGAAGTAAGAAAAGGATAAGCAGGAACTAAATTTAAGACTAAAAGTATTTAATTATGTTAAAATTTAGAATCTTACAAAAAAAAAGAAGGGCTGTTGTGGATGATATTGAATATAATATAATTTATATCTATAAAAATAAAATGGAATTTGAAGTTTAAGAAAATTAAGCTAATAACTCCATATAAGGAGTTATAAATCTTTAGCCTTAGGTGAATCAAGTCCAAGCTTAGCAGTAGGAAATCCCAATTAAGTAAACTGACCTTCAGGTGTCAAGCACACTAGAAGAAAGTGTAGCAGTCACATTGGTACAAATCAATTTAAAAACTAGCTTCGAGATTTGAGACAGATAGGAGTAAAATTGAGATGCGTTTTGGTACCGACAATGTCAACTAACAATGCCAGAGAACTCAGAAATTGTAAGTGAAGTATTTTTACTATGTTAGGGGATTTGTGGGGACCATTGGTATTTTGTTTGATGTTAGCATTGTATATTTTAGTTTGTAGTTTAGAACTTTGAGTATGAGTGGTAATAATGACGATGGTCCAGGGATATTTGCCACAATATTTGTACTTATTTGGGTTGGATCCTTTGTAGTTACTCTAAATGCTTAATTATTGGGTGGGAAAGTGTAAATATAGAAATAAAATTCAGATCATTTTTCCAATCGGTTTGTGTGTTGGGATACTGTGTATTTCCAATAAATTTGGGAGCCTTGTTTACTTTATTCTTCTCCTTCTTTTATTTGAAGATGTTGTTGGTAATTGGGTGTTTCATGTGGTCAACCTACTGTATAATAATATAATTTATTTTATAGCTGCGGTTGGATTTTTGAAATTATTGATCCCAGAATAGAAAAGAATATTAGCACTTTACCCAGTGATTCTATTCTATTTGTTCTTAAGTTGGTTTGCACTGATAGTTTGAATAACATATTTTATATTAATTTATATATAATTTTATAATGGGGAGTTGCCAGTGTCGTAAATTCTGTGAATCTGAGCAAGTTAATTCCAATACACACTTACAAGAAATAGCAACTAATGATGATTATAGGGTTAATAATTAGGAAGGAGCCGTTAAAGATTTGTTTATAAAGATAAAGACTTGGCAAAAGGAATCATTTTCACTTTTTGATTATGAAAACCAGAGTCATTTGAAAGAGTAGAACTTTTAAGTAAATAGGTTAATTATAAAAGATAAGCAAGGGAGGATACTTAATTAAAAACAATAACGAATTATAATGGATTGATGATGATGTAGATTGGAATAAGAGTGTAATTAAATAGGAACAGATTCTATTCAGAATAGATAAAAATGATGGAATTTTCAGCATAATAAATAAAAGAGGAGAATGCAAATAAAATTATGAAGACGACAAGTAGGAATAAACTACAAAATATCATGGTGATAATAAAGATTTTTAATAATCGGAAAATCTGGATTAATTGGAAGGAGATGAATTTCATTAGCCAAATGATTTAATTAAGAAATACAGTCATCATTAAAAAATCAGTATGAGTTAGAGAACTAATACTAAATTAATGGAGAAAGGAAGTAAATTATGGTTGGTTGTAAGATCCATGCAATCAATGATGAGCAACAATGGAATCAAATTAAAAGAAGGGGATGTCATAAAGATGGGCAGAGTGAAATTCAAGATCAGAGAAATTCAGTTAAATTAAAGATAATTAATGTAATCTTTCTCTTTTTATTGAAAGATAAGATTCAGATTCTGCAAAATCTAGTTAAACTGATGCAATTACATGCAGAGTCTGCTGCAGTAGTGCATATAGCAGATCGAATCCACTTGTAAATCCATGCAAATGTACTGGCTCTATTAAATATATACATCTTAACTGTTTAAAAAAATGGTTAAAGTCTAAATTCCAAACAAAATAAAGTGATCATTGTATCATTTATATGTGGAAGAATTTGGAGTGCGAATTGTGTAAATTTAATTATCCCCCCATTTTCAAAAGTGATGAAGGGGTATTTGATTTAATAGAATTGAGTAAACCTACAGAATATCCTTATATTCTGATGGAAATCACTTAGAAAAGATATGAAGTATTTATAATTCCGATAATCACATAGGAAATGTAAGAAAATAATATGAGTGAAGATACTTAATGGAATCAATGCAATGGGGTCTATATCATTTCTTTTGATAATAATAGTGGTGAAGCAGAAAACATCAGAATCAATGAGTTGAAGTAGGCTTTTCTAAGTGATTTCCATCAGAATATAAGGATATTCTGTAGGTTTACTCAATTCTATTAAATCAAATACCCCTTCATCACTTTTGAAAATGGGGGGATAATTAAATTTACACAATTCGCACTCCAAATTCTTCCACATATAAATGATACAATGATCACTTTATTTTGTTTGGAATTTAGACTTTAACCATTTTTTTAAACAGTTAAGATGTATATATTTAATAGAGCCAGTACATTTGCATGGATTTACAAGTGGATTCGATCTGCTATATGCACTACTGCAGCAGACTCTGCATGTAATTGCATCAGTTTAACTAGATTTTGCAGAATCTGAATCTTATCTTTCAATAAAAAGAGAAAGATTACATTAATTATCTTTAATTTAACTGAATTTCTCTGATCTTGAATTTCACTCTGCCCATCTTTATGACATCCCCTTCTTTTAATTTGATTCCATTGTTGCTCATCATTGATTGCATGGATCTTACAACCAACCATAATTTACTTCCTTTCTCCATTAATTTAGTATTAGTTCTCTAACTCATACTGATTTTTTAATGATGACTGTATTTCTTAATTAAATCATTTGGCTAATGAAATTCATCTCCTTCCAATTAATCCAGATTTTCCGATTATTAAAAATCTTTATTATCACCATGATATTTTGTAGTTTATTCCTACTTGTCGTCTTCATAATTTTATTTGCATTCTCCTCTTTTATTTATTATGCTGAAAATTCCATCATTTTTATCTATTCTGAATAGAATCTGTTCCTATTTAATTACACTCTTATTCCAATCTACATCATCATCAATCCATTATAATTCGTTATTGTTTTTAATTAAGTATCCTCCCTTGCTTATCTTTTATAATTAACCTATTTACTTAAAAGTTCTACTCTTTCAAATGACTCTGGTTTTCATAATCAAAAAGTGAAAATGATTCCTTTTGCCAAGTCTTTATCTTTATAAACAAATCTTTAACGGCTCCTTCCTAATTATTAACCCTATAATCATCATTAGTTGCTATTTCTTGTAAGTGTGTATTGGAATTAACTTGCTCAGATTCACAGAATTTACGACACTGGCAACTCCCCATTATAAAATTATATATAAATTAATATAAAATATGTTATTCAAACTATCAGTGCAAACCAACTTAAGAACAAATAGAATAGAATCACTGGGTAAAGTGCTAATATTCTTTTCTATTCTGGGATCAATAATTTCAAAAATCCAACCGCAGCTATAAAATAAATTATATTATTATACAGTAGGTTGACCACATGAAACACCCAATTACCAACAACATCTTCAAATAAAAGAAGGAGAAGAATAAAGTAAACAANTAGGAAGAGCTAATGAAACTGAAATTCGAGTAAATGACATATCAGTTAGTAGAAATCATGGAACGCTTAAATTGATAGAAGGATAAATTTATTTGACTGACAATAAATCGAAATTTGGAACATTAATTCTCATCCAATAAACTGTAATTCCTTTGATTTCAGAGTTAAATGGCATAGAAATGCAAGTAGGTCGAAGTGTTTTATAATTTACTCTTGGTAATAACAATGCCAATTAGTAATCATAATAATAATAATACTTAGAATCTGAAATATTCGAGTAATTTAATTGTAATATCATAGTAAAATAATTGGTAGAAATTTTGAGGATGAAGAATTGGACTATCTTCAATGAACTATTAATAATTTATGTTTAACTTTATCTTTAATTAATTCATTTAAGATTAATCTAATCCATTGATGAAAGAATTAAAACAACAATTTTTGTAGACAGCAATTACAATTCCAATTTGATTGATTTAAATCAATTAATCTATAAACTCGTTATTAAAGGATATTTATTTATAAATAAATGTCTGAAACTTATCTTTCTTTAAATGACTTTTATGAGATGAAACATGTTAGAACATTAAAAAACAGACTATCAAATTTATCATAAAAAAAGAAGCTAACTTAATTCTATTTAAATAAAGCTATGTTAGAAAAGGAATATATTAAAACTAATTTGAGTTGTGATTGTACAGAATGTGGAAAATGTAATTAATTTATTAGGACAATAAAAAAACAATATCCATTCAACGGGACAAGGTAATTAATTAATAAATATAAAGATGGTAGAAAAGAAAGAGAGTTTTAAAAAGATTTAAAGCAGCAATTAATGCTATTATTTTTATTTTATCTTATAAAGTGGAGACTATAAAGAAATTCAGAAAAAGGATGCATATTCTTAAAGCAATGCGCAATCTAACAACAGTGAAAAAATCTTAAATAACTGCTTCTACTCATTAATAACATTACCCTATAATTAGTATTCCTCAATCTAGATAATCATTGAGGTAATAATTGAAATAAACAAATAAGGATAAAAACCACTCCTGATGATGAGACTTTTTACCGTCATACAGCAACTAGTGGCAGAGAGCCTAGAAAAAGTTAGGTTTCATTGTATATGGATAAAATGTTAAAAGACGTTATTCCAAAGTTTGTAGCTCATTTGAAGCCTTTGAGTTATTTAAATTAGAAGTTGATAAAATAAAATAATGCAAAATCAATTACGCAAGCATCTTTTTCTCATTTCAATTATTTACAAGTTTAATCGAATTCACAGAGGCTGCCAACTGTCCATGTTGAGTCAATTGTGAATAATCAATACAAAATGAATAACAAGGACCTTTTAAAATTGATAGATTCTCTTAAGGTTAGACATAGAATTATTAGATGTAAGAAATGATTATATAATTTATAATTTATTGATTTTATATTCATTCTTCTTTGTTTATAAATTAATTAATATATGGACCTTCTGAAAGATCCTGTCAATGATCGATAAGTAAAAACTTTGAAGCCTCCACCTCATCGTCCATTGTCAAGGAATCTAATGTTCCCAGATAAATTGAAAAGTAATCACAGCATTAACAATAGACAAACCTGATTGGAAATTGTTAAGAGATCATTTGCAAAAAGAAGGCAGAATTGCCAAAGAGGATCTATTTAAATTGGTTGCCGACTGTAATAAATTGTTGAGTATATACAATGACATTATTCTTAGAAAACGAAGGGAATGTACTATATTTGCAAGATCCGCTGACTGTTGTAGGTGATATACATGGGTAATCTATTAAATTTATCCTTAGTTAATATTATGACTTATTGAAATTGTTGGAGCCCAAAGTGGGAGGAAATCCTGAAAACACAAAGTAAATTTGAAAATATTAAAATAATAGATATCTCTTTTTGGGAGATTTTGTGGATAGAGGATCATACTCAATAGAAGTAATAGTATTGATGTATGCAATAAAATTGAATTTCCAAAATTCAGTATATTTCTTAAGAGGAAATCATGAGTGCAGATAATTGACGGCATTCTTCAATTTCAAAGAAGAATGCTTATACAAATATGATTAAGAGACATATGAGATGTTGATGGATTCATTTGATTTGTTCCCTTTGGCATGCATAATAAACTCTAAATTCATTGCAATTCATGGTGGAATCTCACCTGATTTGAAATCAATAGAAGATATCAAGAAGATAGAAAGATACCACGAACCTCCTAGATAAGGCCTCTTTTGTGATTTGCTATGGAGTGATCCAGTCGATCAAGAATAGGGTTATTTAGATACTGCATGGAAATCGAATGAAGTTAGAGGATGCAGTTGGTTTTTTGGAGGGGATTCAGCAAATAAGTTCCTATAGAGGAATAATTTAATTTCTATCATCAGAGCTCATGAAGTAAAATAATTAAATAAGATAAGGCATAATTGGATGGATATAAAATGCATAGATGGAATGGTGGTCAAGACTTTCCAGTTGTCATAACTATTTTCAGTGCTCCCAATTACTGCGATGTCTATAACAATAGAGGAGCAGTCATCAAATTTGAAAATAACACTTTGAATATACAGTAATATCAATACACACCTCATCCCTATTTATTACCTAATTTTATGGATATATTTACATGGTCAATTCCATTTGTGGCTGAAAAAAGTAAGTTCTTAAATAATATCAAATTAGTAACTGAAATGTTATATAATATCTTATAAACAGATATTTAGGGAGATGATGATGAGTAAATCAGTGAATCAGATATATAGCAATTTAAATAGTTGACCAAATAGACTGGCTTACAAAAATAATCAACCACAGGTAGTTCACAAGGAGCATAAAAAAGTAAGTTGTTAACTTATCATACTTAGACACTGAGAAATTGAAGAATAAAATCAAATTCGTATCTACAATGATGAAGATGTAAAGAACCCTCAGAGAAGAGAGAGAAAGCATCATCTAATTAAAAGGTGCTTGTCCAGATAAAAGATTGCCAAGAGGTATTCTAATGAAGGGAAAAGATGCCATTAATGATTGTAAAATTGAATACTAATTGTTAGAGCTTGCTGATTTTACTACTGCCAAAAGTGTAGACCTAATAAATGAAAAAATGCCTTATGCTCAAATACCACAAGAATCCATTCAAATAAAAAAACCATCAACATAGAGGAAAAAATGATTTCTATATTTTTATGTATATTTATTCAGAAATGATAATTGTATATATAACACTTCAAAAATCTAAAATTATTATTATTATTAGTATGAGTCTAGTAAAATCATTTGAATAGGCCCTAAAATAAAACGATGTTCTATCAAAGGTGTTACCACTATTGAAGTTCATCAATTAGACTATCCCATTTCCATAAAAGCATTGCTTGATTAATGAACCTAGGATAATTAGATTTTTACTATAATTACATGTTCTAATCCCGGATACCATAGATATGATTCTAATTTCCCTACTAAATATATTCAAACACTCTAAGGAATGGGTTGACGGTTGTTTTAAAGCGATTGAAGAATACGCATAACTTCCAAATCAAGGAAATGGAAAATATGTCGCCTTGGAATTTTTGGAAACTGTTTTAACCGAGATCTCAGAGCCAGAGTAATATAATAAGTTGTTAACATTAGTTTTGATATCGATGATAGGTGTTATGCTTTCATTATATTTCTTTAACATGCAGAAGATGAGAAATTAGTAAGGGCAGTCATGAAAAAAGTAGGATAAATCTAGTAACAATTGGGACATAGAATGAAATCTGCAAATCAACTCAATTAGCTAATTGAAGAAAGTAATTTAAAATAATTGATTAAAGAATAGCTGTATTAAAATTATACCAAGAAGAGGTTTAAAAGAATTCGGATGAATTTCATTATTAGAATGTTGCCATAGAATTATAAGAGAAGGGTAGCTAAGCAAGAAAGGGTTCAAAACCAAAAATGTCATTAATGGCCATGAATATACTTTAATCCTAGTCCTTATCTTCTAAAATGTCTTCCAAGTAGTAGCTCATGAATGATCATGTAAATAATAGCAATTCAGATGATTCCATAAAGGGGAGTGATGTGAATATTGATGAAATTTTAATCTAACACAAACCAAGAATTGATTCAGAGTAAAGTGAATATCTAGCAGACATAGATGCACTATAAAACTTGTTTTCTTACATTACGAATCCTGTGGCAACAGAACCAGGATTGATCTTCGCTACAGATGCCTTAGCAAATGACATTCAATAGCCTTGTGATGATAATCAATACAAATAACATGTAATCAAACCTGATAAATTGACTACTCTAAGATCCTATAAAGCTATGCTATTTCTAACAGATTACCATAATCATTAAATGATCATGTAAATCAACTAACATACTATGCAAATTGCTTGTAATTAATCAAATCAATTTAGTTCGCAGTATATCTGGGTTTTTTCAAAATTCAACATCAAGTGGAAATTTGACACACATTATTGGTCTACTCTAATTTTATCTAAAGTATGAATTGAAAGAAACTGTCTATAATTTTCTCTACTTTTAATTTCATCAACAATTTTTAGAATATCTTTGTAATAATAATTTTTATTCTATTAGATAATCCCCACTATTTAGATTTTCTTTTGCGATTTATGGATCCCAATTATTCAAAAATTCCTTAGGATTTAAGGAATTATATTTGGCAATTCCTAAATCGATAAGGATATGTTTCTCTCCTGGTAAGTAAGATTACAAACAATGAAAAAGAGGGAGTGTATCACAAAAGGAGAGATATTTCAAAAGAAGCATATTAATTTTTAAAACATATCAATGACTATAAATTACAATTAATTCAAGACGATGATTAAGCTGCCATCACTTATTCAATTAGTAGCAACATTGATTAATATTTGGGTCCATTGATTCCAGGAAAAACTTTGATGTAAAATAAGCAGCTTTTAGAGAGAAAAATGCTGTTAAGTTCAAACCTCAGAAGAAGCTCAGACTTATCAAGTTTAACTAGATAAATCAATAAAGTTATTATTTAAGAATATATTGATTTATCTGAATTAAATTAATCAGGAAGAGACATTGATAGATTATAGGATGTAGTTTAATTTTACAGGGAAATTAGTACTCCTGCAGAGACTCCTACTCTTTATAATGTATACAGACAAGCATCAGAAGGGATGAAAGGTTTGTAATTTGAATAGAGATCATAAAGATCCCAAGTAACAGAACCTCCCTTAAATATTATTTAATTACAAAACTCTATTAGACTTCCATCTTTAAATATTTAACCTCCAAACATAATACCAGAATTAACCACATCCAAAAATACTTAGCGTAAACAAAAGTCTATGACATTCTCTGAAAACAATCCAACCTAATCTGCTAGTAAAAGATCTGATCAACCTTAATATATGAGTTTACTGGGTACTAATGGTAATTATTTTCAATATTTTAGATTTTTCAACTGCAAGGTAAATTAATTTAACCTAAACACCAACTTCTTAGGCTAAACTGTTTGTTTATTATCCAAACTAAGATAATAGTGTTGTGGATACAATTATGAAAGAGGAATATGCAAAATATGAAATTTAAAATGATGAAACAACATCTTTAAGAAATAGCAATCTATTAAAGATCATTGTTTAATCTATGCAAAATTTTGAATATCATTATGCATTCGATGAACTACTAGATGATTAGTATATCTTGTTAGAAAAACTATTAAATCATTATTCACTTACACAAACAGCTTTGTTTTAAAGTTCATATGAAGAGAATAGTTCAAATAATTGTCAGATCATTCTTATTCATCTAATTCAAAGAATTAATAAAAAACCCATGAATGAAAAATTAACCAAACTTTATATAACATATCTACCGAGAATTTGCAGAAATTTAACTAATATGCATAAAATGCAGAATGAAAAAAACAATAGAGAAGAATTCTTTTCTAATTAAAATCATATTGGAAGTATACGAATTTTTAGTACATAAATAATTGACTTAATTTTAAGTAATTTCAAATAGAGAAATCATAGAATTTATTTAAAACTTAATGATACCTCTACATTTAATCTAAATGAATAATTTCATCAATTACCTAACCCTTTTTATTAATAGATATTTTATTCTATTATGAAATAATTATGTTTATTTTCTTAAGAAAAACAAGTTTAAGCTATATTATTTAAAGCCAATCTATTAGAAGGAATCAGTTAAGCATTTCGTAAAAATGTAGTCAACAAAGTAATAGTAAAGTAAGGGAATGTAGAGGCATACCTACTTCATTTAGCTTTGCTGAGTTAATTAATTATTTTAGTTTATGAATTGAGGGATGATTTATAAAGCTATAAAACTTCATTATTAAGATTGTAATGTTTTCAAAACTTAAAAGAAGTAGTTGAAATGTTTAAAAATAATAAGCTGATTTAATAGTAATCCTTGGATATTTAAAAATACCTTCAGAAAAAAAAATGATTTTATAATTATTAATTAAGTGCTTTTTAGTTTTTATAAAAATAAATCAAAAAATGTTCAATTATTGCTAATTTTATCAAAATATGTCTAGCTTTAATTTTAGACACAACAGAAAAATTAATACTTTTTCAAAAAAGTAAAAGAATGGATTTATCTACTTATAAACTATATCTGTTCATTTTTTGGACAATATAAATAGTAAATTAGAGTAGTTCTTGAGTTTAATGATTAATATTTTTTAATTTCAAAGCTTCGTCGCCTTTACATTATAGAAATATTTTAGCATTTTTATTATTAAATTTTACTTTAATCATTAATTATTAACGATTTTATTTTGTAAAAATGAGCAAATATTGCCAATAATATATGATTCATTCAACACATAGTTCTATTCCTTCCAATAGAAATGAACTGAGTTCTTTCCGGCGAGTAAATTCTCCTGGACTTCCAAATTCTTCTTTAAGGACTAGTTTCAAAGGTGATAATAAAAAATTAGAAATTGGATTAATTACAGATAGAAAACTCAGCTAAAGTCCAGAACTAAACAAAGCCATTTCTCCTGAGAAATTAAAGATCTCTAATAGAAATGATAGCATTTTTGAAACATCAGAACCATAGGCTCAACCGTTTTAGATGATAGAATTTATAAACAAGAATTTCAAGATGATCGAAAAGATTGAATCAGATAAATTATGTTTGAATATATATATATCTGAGGAAGACAAAAATTAAATCGTATTTACAGGGATGAGTAAGGAGAAAGCAGCTTCTGAAGAAAATAAAAAAGAAATATTATAAAATTTATAACAACTTTTCAAATCTGGAATGGAGAGATAAAATTAATATATCAAATTAGAATCTTTGGAATAGCAATTCAATTTAGAGAATCATAAGTATTATGGAATAAATACTAAAAATGTTTCAAGTTCAATCAAGAGAATTGCAACCTAAATGAATGATAATAAATCGATATTTGATAGGTCTTTATCAATTTCAAGTATAAAAGATTTGAAATCTTATTCATCTAATAAAATACAAAAAGACATTGAAATAATAGAACAAGGAATTATGAAATACAAAATGCAATAGAAACCAAAGTCAAAATAATAGCAGCCTTTTGGATAACATAATTGTACTAATACACTCAAATCTAAAAGCTCTGTCTGTAAAAGTCCTTTATTAAGAACTGCTGCTTCACCTTCTTGTAAATCCTAAAGAAAAACTGATTCAAGAGTAACAAATAAAGTCAAAATTAATACCAAATCCATGCATGCTTGACAAACAAAAATCAATTGTGATTATCTTTAAAAATATGTTCTATAATTATTATATTTTATTATATATAATATTATATTTGATGTTTTTGTTTACTAGCGATTGCTCTTCCATGGGCTGTGAACAATAGCAACCGACATTCGATACTAATCTTTCAATAGGTTTCCCAGAACATTCAAATTCAAAAACTAGAAATTTTTAAGCAATAGCAGAACATTTTGGGTGTTTAGGACTCAAAGAAATGAGTAAAACTGTTTGTGAAATCATAAAAAACCAAAAAAAGACAAATTTATAATTAATTTTATCAGAAATTAAGAAATTACATCCATAAAGTGTAATATTTATATTATTTTTATTAGACAAATACTGTAAATCAATCTAGAAGGGTTTACGATTGTTTGAATGTTATGATGGCTATGGGAATAATAAAGAAATCTGACAAAACATACGAATTCATTGAGAACTCAAATAATCTTCAGAATTAAGAAATAAGAAGATAAATTGATAACATATCAACGGTAAAATTTCTTATTGAGTAAAATTTATAAGAGAAGAGAAAGGTGTTCTCTCATTTAACCAAAAGATAAGCCAAATTGGATAAATTAGTTAATAGGAATCAGAATTTAGATATAGAAGAACAAGAATAGATCTTCCAGTTTCCTTTGTTAGTCTTAAAAACTCAAATCCAAGACAATATCTAGGTAGGATATAATGAGTAAGAAGTATTAGTTTAATCATAAAACATCATAAATATTTAGTAAGACTTAGACGTGATAATTGAGTTGAATTTTGATGATTGATTACAAAATTGATCTTTATTATCATTTTAAAAGTTTAACCATAGAATTTAGTAATTCTCTATTAAAAATGGTGCTTTCTTTTTCATATTTTTAAATCCAAGAATGTTACATAATCTAGAAAATGCTTAATCTTTTTTTAGGATCCTTTTACACTAAAGCACGCACAAAGCTTTTACATTCTTCACTTATAAAGTTTGGGAATTCAAACCCACTATATATAATTTTGTTCATGGTGTCCTCCTTTTTTTTCTCATAAAAAGGTGTTTCTCCAGTACATAATTCAAAAGCTAAAATTCCAATAGCCCACAAATCTACTGTATGATCATAATCTCTTCCTGCAGCAATCTCAGGAGACATATAATCTACAGTCCCACAAAAAGATTGTCTTACTTGATTTGCAGGATTATATGTAGATAATCCCATATCAGCTATTTTCAATAAAGAATGAGTTATTAATATATTTTCTGGTTTAATATCTCTATGAATAATGTTTTTGCTATGCATATATCCTATACCTTCAATAATTTATCGGATATACCCAGAGGCTGTTTATTCTGAAAATCTCTTTTTTGGTTATTTTTTTAATAGTTTAAATAGTTCACCATCGGTTGCATATTCTAGAATCAAAACTACTTTTGACCATTCTTAAAAGTACCCAAAAAGCTTGAGAATGTTAGGATGGTCTATATATCCTTGAATTTTGATTTCATTTGCTAGTTGTTTTTCCATCCCATATTTTGAAATTGTAGCTTTTGGTATAACTTTTAATGCAACAATTATTTTTGATTATTTATCCTATGCCTAATAAACATCACTAAATTTTCCTTTTCCCAAAAATTTACAAATCTAAAATCTTTCACTTATCGTTGAATACACTGGTGCTAGCACTTGTGCTTGCTTCACTAAATTTACAGGTTTCTTTCTAGGCGATTCACCCTATTACGGCAAAGGACTTTCCTCCTTACTTTATTCTTCCTCCACTTAATATGCCGGAATTATGTGCCGATTTCCAATTTCCTTATTCATCTATCCTATTGTGAAAGTGAGTCTTGTTTGCATATTTTTGATATTGCTGTCTATGCTTTAACACTTTTCCACCAGATTCTACCAATCCTTGTCAATTGATAGTATAAATCCAATTTGATCTTAATTTGTCATATTATTTATTTTAATTATGGAAGCATATAGTAAATTCGATTTTGATGGTAACGAAAACTTTTAACAATATTTACTAAATGTATATCCGCTGCCTCCAAATCTAGATAAAATAAAACGCAAATGGTATAAAAAATATATCGACCCAGAGTTTGATATCAATGCAGAATCTCAAAATCCTAATTCAAACACTTAATCACAAACGTAAGAGAATCAAAAACCTCAAAAATAAGAAAGTTATTAGTAATCATAGGAATCATAATAATAATAGTAATAATAGCAACAATAGTAATAATAGCAATAATAGAAATAATAGCAATAATAGCAATAATAGCAATAATAACAATAATAACAATAATAACAATAATAACAATAATAACAATAATAAAATAATTATAGATAATAATTACCATCAATCCCAATTTTAACAGTAATAGAAGGAATACTTAAAGTGGTTTATTTTCCAGCATTATTGCTTTTGATTTACCCTTAATTGCACAAGTTTTTGAATTTTGGATCCATTCTTATTTGCTTGCTTGCTATTTATCGATTATAAGGATTACCTAAAAATAATTACAAAGAATATATTTTCAAAATAATGTAGCTTGAATTCACCTCTAATATTTTCTTTATTGTTTCATTATTTACAATTGATAGTTTTGCATTTTAAATGCCTATTGCTTTACATTTTTTGGTCGGAGCTGCAGAGTTTTGGACATAAATTAATCGGGAATAAGGAATGTCATTGAAGATGGCATAATATATTCAATCTCATAGAAGCGAGATAATCCTTACAAAATAAAAAGTTGAAATTTACTTATTCTTATATTGCTTATTTGGAATATTCTTAAGAAAAACATCCTTTTTTCAAGCTCTTGTGATTTTCTAAAATATATTACTCAAAACTAAATTTAATAAAAATATGAGAAATGCTTAAGCATATATCAGAGTATGGTATGCTGACAAATTAAGTGAAAATAGATCAATACCTGAAGGTTTACGTAAAATTCTTAGTTTAATTTGGAAAGGATATGAAAAGTTATTAAACCTTTTCTGAGTGATTTATATAAAATTATACGATATTAGTCATTACATCCTTGTTTACATTTATCCATAATATTGTCTGGTTTAAAAATATATTAAATTAATTGTCATTTGGATAAATTTCAAATTATCTTTCTAGAATTTGATTTTAAAAATAATTATTATCATTTATACAAATAACTCCATCTTATAATCATTCCAATATTAAAATAGTAATAAAATTTAGGATTAACATTTTTGAAAGATAATTTTTACACATATGATAAGTCGATACTAATGCGATCTGATTATTTATCCAATAAATTATTAAATATATAAGTATAAAATTATTTAATATTAAACTTTATGAGAAATATAGCAGATTTTGTTGCTATATTTTATCACTTAAAACTGGTTCATAAAAGAATGTTTTTTAGAAAATTTAATTATACTTATCATTCTCTGAAAATTCTGAAACTAGTCAATTGTCCTTAAGTTTAAACCTCTTTTGATTACTTTTGATTTTAGTTTTGAGATATGGTTAAAATGAAGAATCAGATTTAGGCTAATTTTTTGAATTTAAATCTAATACACTGAATTTTATAAAACATATATTTAAACAAAGTCAATTTTTTATCAATTCATCATTAAATTATCAAAAAAAGAAAGTCCTTCTTTTCATTATTTTTATTGTTATCGAAGAAAGTAAAGCAACCAACATCAGAAATTAAAATTTAGTTTATTCATGATACATTAACTCAAAACAATAAGAATAATGTAAAATAATTTAAATAATTAATGCTGATCATTTTTTTTCAATAACTGTAATGCTGCTTCTAACTCTAATTATAATTTGTTTAAGATGAGAGGGCAAAGTGTTTAGATGGTACATTAGGAGTAATATTTGCAAATATTAATAGTCTTATTACTTTTAATAAGGCTTTGAAGGCGGTTAAAATAAATTTATCATTTATTTTGAGGGAGGAGAGTAAGTCTGCTTTAATATAAAAGGTTTATTTTAGGTAATACTGAAGAGTAATTTTTAATGAATGCTGTTCAAAAGTTTAAATATGAATTTAATTAAGGACCAAAACTTAGCAAGGAAGTTCACTAAATAGAGCTAGCGCTTTTGAGTTTGATGGAGTATTATCTTAGGATGAAATAAACAATTACTATTTCCATAATTGGAATCTAATCCATATTAATTATTGTGACGGAGTTGGTATTCTCCATCTTTTATAATTATAGGCTTCTAAGGGTATAAATTTGATTAAGTTAATTACTAATCAAACGTATTGTATTTTAGAGGCGAATTAATAATAAGAAGCATTTTTGACCACTTTATATCAAATTTTTAAAAAGCTGAAATAATAATATTATCGGGTTGTTCAGTTGGAGGAGTTGCAGCCTTGTAATGGGAATAGTATTTTAGTTCTTTGATTCCAGAAAACATCTCGATATTATGTGTTTCTGACTCAGGTATATTATATGATATGCAATCAATGAATGGATCTAATTTATTGTAGTAATCGTTAAAGATAATGAATTATTTTGCTAATAATGAAACCTAAGTCCCTCAAAAGAATTGTGCATACGATTTTCCGAATCAGAATTGGAAATGTTTTTATTTCTAAAATTTAATGCATTATATTTAACAACCAGTATTTATTATCTAGCCCTTTTATGATATAAGTTTTCTATATAAGTATCTTGAAATAAAATGTATATAAGACTTAACACTGAACAATTGTTAGAAAAACGAAATGAACTTTATTGATCATGTTTTCTAAACATTTCGCTAAGTGATTATAGAATCGTTAAATAACAATTCCAATACAGGGTCTTTTGCTCCCAGTTGTATTGCAGATTGGTATTTCTAAAGATAAAACTAGCTTATTTATAAGTTAGTTATCATTTTCCCCTAATTGGACAGTCCCTGAAGGTTCAAATAGGACAGTTTATCAAACTTTAGTAAGATGGGTTGAGAATCAAAAATACAATTCTTATTGCTAAATTGATTTTGGATTGATGGATCAATAACCATGGCCAAAGAATTCTGCCTGTGCTGGATTATCCTCTTCAATAAACTTAATTAAATTGATAAATATGATTTTATGGATTATTATTATTTTATTGTGAATAAAATGAGGTTTCTCAATTAGTAGGCTTTAATTTTCATTTGAATGTTATAAAAAATCTTTATCATGATATGAAAAATTTTGAATTTATATAAAATCAATTATTTTACTTAATATAAAAAATAGGTGTTCATCTTCTTTTATTTATAGTTTAAGAATTTTAATGAAGGTGCGACGTTTGTTACATAAACCATTATTTCTCTCTTTCATAGCTGTCCTCTCTATAACGATTTGGTGTTCTGGTCTTTTGCTATTATTAGTTCTTTCTCTAATAGGATAAATTATGGCTATTCTCACGAACATCCTTCTAATTATTAGAACTATAAAGGTTAAGATATTAATTAGAATTAGTTTTATGATGAGATTATGTATCATAATATTCTTATCCTTTTTAATGCTAATTATTTCTATTATTTTAAAGATAGTGATTTTGATCCTAACCATAATATTTATCCTAATTAGTTTCATTTGGTCTTTGCATTCTACTTACGGCAGCGATTGGATTGATTTTAGATGTTCTCTCATTTTGATTTTATCTATAGTATTGTTCTACTTATGGTATCCTTGTATCAACTTATTATTAGAAAATATCATCATTCGGTAGTCTGCTCTTCAATTCTTCCAAATATTGCAATCTTTATTGATATTGCTATTATTTTTAAACTGGATAATCTTGATGTAATTGCTAAGTAGATTATGTTTAATAATATTATTTTGATTATTAAAACTCCCTTTAAGAATGATTTTCATTTGGATCATTATATTATTGTCTGTTTGAATTTGAGATTTATTTTTAAGTGGTTTGGCTGACTGACTCTTGTGAATGATTTTGGGAATAAGGGAATTGCTGCTATATTGGTTAATTTTATGATTTCTAATATATCTGTTGCTATTCTTAAATTAATCCAAATGAAGGGTTTTCATAAAGACTTTAATTTGTTTTCTAGTATTTAGGTATTTAATTTTATGACTATTTATTTTAACCTAATTGCTGCTATTCTTATGAATCAAATTAATCCCTAGAATATAGTTTTGGTGATAAAATCGACTTAAATTAGTGATTTTAGTTATAATAATAATTTTTGACTTCCTGATACCTATCTCTTGATTCGTTGTTGTAATACTAAGAAATTGGTTCATTTTACTTTTACTAGTTTTGATTTTGGTTATCTCTTTATAATTCATTATTTTGACAATTGTCCTGAAGCTTATTTGGTTAATCTAAATACGTTATTATTGATCGACTGCAAACCTAATCTAAAGCAGCTCTATTATAATAAGGATTGTTAGAAAATGGATCATCATTTTTACTGTTTCCTTGATAACAATATCGATTATTAGTATCTTGAACTTCATTTTCAAAGTAAGCCTATTTTTTTTTTGGAATTTGCACATAATTTTCAAGATCCCTAGGTTCATCATTATAGACTGGCTTATTAGTTTTTTGATAATTATGAGCATGAGCTCTATTATGATAATCACTTTTCGAGAGTGGCTATTCTCTGTAATTAGCCATATTATTTGAAAAAGATAATTTAAAAAAATAATCTGTTAAAGTAATAACAGTTAATAAATTATGAAAAATAAACTTCTGAGTTTTCTGCTAATTCATTTGAAATAATTACCCCATAATACACTGTTTTCTATATATTACACCCTGTTTCAATGAGTGGCCTATTAGAACTCAAATTAAGTTGCCATTTCATTTGGATAAACTTAGATCTTTATCTAAAATCAATTATATTATAATAATTCTATTTAGATAGATTATAAAAATGTATTATATATTTCATTTAGCAAAAAAATTCGAAAAGGGATTCCAAAAAGAATTTTTTGTTTTTTTATTGTGAGGTTCTAAATGATCTAAAATATTTTTATCATTTAGTTTCAATTTACAAATATGACAGTATATTTTATCAGAGCACTTTTCACTATTGCATATTAAAAGATTGCCTTCTATTTTACTTTTTTAAGGGTCCACATTTAAACAGCTAGGACAAGGAATAACATTTTTAGGCAATTAATCTACTTCAAACCATTTGCCATTTACTTTTAGATTGCATTATCCTTAAAAAGAGTTCCCGTTTTAAAAATGACTGCTTTATTCAAATAGTTCTAAGGATTCTCCACATCTGAAACAGAAGTATTTTTTAGATTTACAAGCTTCCGATTTGCATGTCATAAAATTACAACCTTTAATCTTTTCTACAACTATGAGACAATGTGGACAAATTTATTGCATTTTAGACTGTTTAACTGATTCCAAAAATATTACTCTAGTTTTACTTAGCTGATTCAATCTTAATGCTTGAATACACTTTAAACCCTCGTGTCTCTAAATCTTGCATTTTAAGCAATACTACAATTTGCAATATGGACATTGAAAAGTATCTCATGTATATTGATATTTAAGATACCTGCATCCTTCCATATTATAAAACTTGAATTACAATTGATATTAAAACAAAAAATCATTTTCTCATTATCTTTTAATCCAAATAACACACCTTATTTTAAATATTGTTCATATTGCGTTTAAAAGTCCTCAACAAATAAAGATACGGTTTTTTCAGTTAATTTTTATCTACATTCATCAAGAGGACAACTAAAATTGTCTAGATTAACTTTTCCTTTATTAAAAAACATTTAATTCAAGCAAGACTTGCAATAAATATGTCCGCATTCTATTTTTACAATATTTTCTGCTTAGAAACAAATTCCACAATTTTAAATCATTCTTTAATAATAATATTTTACCTTTTAATTATAAATCTATTATTTANAGCATGAGCTCTATTATGATAATCACTTTTCGAGAGTGGCTATTCTCTGTAATTAGCCATATTATTTGAAAAAGATAATTTAAAAAAATAATCTGTTAAAGTAATAACAGTTAATAAATTATGAAAAATAAACTTCTGAGTTTTCTGCTAATTCATTTGAAATAATTACCCCATAATACACTGTTTTCTATATATTACACCCTGTTTCAATGAGTGGCCTATTAGAACTCAAATTAAGTTGCCATTTCATTTGGATAAACTTAGATCTTTATCTAAAATCAATTATATTATAATAATTCTATTTAGATAGATTATAAAAATGTATTATATATTTCATTTAGCAAAAAAATTCGAAAAGGGATTCCAAAAAGAATTTTTTGTTTTTTTATTGTGAGGTTCTAAATGATCTAAAATATTTTTATCATTTAGTTTCAATTTACAAATATGACAGTATATTTTATCAGAGCACTTTTCACTATTGCATATTAAAAGATTGCCTTCTATTTTACTTTTTTAAGGGTCCACATTTAAACAGCTAGGACAAGGAATAACATTTTTAGGCAATTAATCTACTTCAAACCATTTGCCATTTACTTTTAGATTGCATTATCCTTAAAAAGAGTTCCCGTTTTAAAAATGACTGCTTTATTCAAATAGTTCTAAGGATTCTCCACATCTGAAACAGAAGTATTTTTTAGATTTACAAGCTTCCGATTTGCATGTCATAAAATTACAACCTTTAATCTTTTCTACAACTATGAGACAATGTGGACAAATTTATTGCATTTTAGACTGTTTAACTGATTCCAAAAATATTACTCTAGTTTTACTTAGCTGATTCAATCTTAATGCTTGAATACACTTTAAACCCTCGTGTCTCTAAATCTTGCATTTTAAGCAATACTACAATTTGCAATATGGACATTGAAAAGTATCTCATGTATATTGATATTTAAGATACCTGCATCCTTCCATATTATAAAACTTGAATTACAATTGATATTAAAACAAAAAATCATTTTCTCATTATCTTTTAATCCAAATAACACACCTTATTTTAAATATTGTTCATATTGCGTTTAAAAGTCCTCAACAAATAAAGATACGGTTTTTTCAGTTAATTTTTATCTACATTCATCAAGAGGACAACTAAAATTGTCTAGATTAACTTTTCCTTTATTAAAAAACATTTAATTCAAGCAAGACTTGCAATAAATATGTCCGCATTCTATTTTTACAATATTTTCTGCTTAGAAACAAATTCCACAATTTTAAATCATTCTTTAATAATAATATTTTACCTTTTAATTATAAATCTATTATTTATATAAATATATTTACTCTTAATGTTGTTTTTAATAAAAAATAATTAAAGTGTAGTCAAATGATTTCTCTTGAAATTGTAATTGAGAAAAAATGATCAGCTTGTAATTTAATCAATTTTCTTCTCACAAGAACAGTTTGCCATATTTTAAACAATTGTTATTGAATTTTTGAATATCTTAAACAAAGTCAGAAGTATCCCTTAGTAAAGTACTTTATACGATTTATATATGTAATTGAATGAAACTAATTGAGAATTAGAATTAAAATAGGTAATTTGAAACAAACTCAAAATTTGTTGTTTGCATTTGGTTTAAAAATGAACTAACTTCTATTATAAATGAAACATTTAAATTTCATTAAAAATTCTAGAGTATTCTTATGATGGAACATACAATTATTTATTTATGGAACAAGGAAACATTAATAAATTTATAATTAATTTTCATTCTTATGTATGACATTTTTACTAAATATAAAAAATGGTTAGGTCGAAGAGTTAAAGCTAATTCCTAAAATAATAACATATTATCATGAAATATAATTGATTCTTAAGTAGCAGTATTGGAGGACAAATTATATGGAGCAGAGTGGCAAATAACTTCTGTAAAAGACTTAGGTTTTGTTATTTGAAATAATATTAAATATAATATTTATGGATCATTTCTAATCATTTGAAAACAATAATTTACCTGAAGGCAACCCAATAACATTAGAATAAAATAAAATTGAACTTGAATAATTAAGTAAATCTACTAGAAGAGCATGGACATAACAAGAGGATGAAGAATTGAGACAAGCAATAAGATTTCACGGCACTAACTGGTTGGTCGTTGCATCAGCTTTAAAAAATAGAAATCCTTCTCAATGTGCTTAAAGATGGAAAAGAATAAAACCAAATAACGTATAATTTATAATATTACACCAGGCATTTAGTAAAAGATAACCATGGACACAAAAAGAAGATCATTTATTGTTAAAATTAGTAGAATTACATAACAAAAACTGGGTTTAAATTGCCAAAAAGATACCAAACAGAACAAGTAAACAAGTGAGAGAAAGATTTATAAACAAGTTAAATCCAGAAATCAATCAAGAACCATTCTCAGTTGCTGAAGACAAGTTAATTATAGATGGCTTCAAGAGTTTTGGATCCAAATGGTGTAAAATCTCCAAGCTGCTTCAAAATAGACCGGTATTAAATTTAAATATTTAGGAAAATGTTATCAAAAATAGATTCTATTCTTACCTACGAAAGCAATATTTGAAAATAGATAATCCATACTATGTAATACCTCAACAAAATTAAGAAGTCTCTCATTCAATCCCCCAGAATTAAGGGTGCAAACAAAGCAAAAAAAAGAAGTTACATAAAAAAGTATATTTATATATCTTAAACGTTACTTAAGTTGTCACAATAAATAGAAAATACAGAGAACAACAATGAATAGAATAAATAAAGTTACTGTGGGGATGTACATAGTAAAATATCCAAAAAATCTTATAAAAAAATTAATAAAAGGTTCCCTTAGGCATCCAATTGTAAACAATATTAAGAATACTGTAGCGATTATAAAAATTAGCGAATAGCTGGAGGGTTTTTAAATGAACCCTTTGAAATAGTTAAAGAAGAATAATAATAAGAAAATTAGTATTATCATCCAATCCTGCATAAGGATAATTTAGAACAACTACCAGCTAATTATTATTCAACTTCTTTTACTTTAAATGCTATATAACCTTATAAAATAATATATTGCTACCCCCCTTAGTTTGGAACACCTTACATTCCGCCATATTTTATGGAAAATCAAATGATATAATATGAAGTGGCAAATCAAGAAGCATTACTATAAAGGTCTCAGGATAACTAAAAGAACCATTAAAATTAATGATCTTTAATAATTATTCAATTAATTTTATTTAAATATAATTATTATTAAAAAAAGTTAGGACATAACCCTTGGATTTGAATCTTAAATATGTTTTATTTTAAATTCTAATAAATTAATAACCAAAAGTTATGCTACATTTTTGTTGATCTAATTCACAAATTATTTTGTTACAATTTTATTTATTAATTTAAATTCTTAAACCGTTTAAAACTCCTAATAATCTATCGCCTCCCTTTCATACAAATATAAAATCTAGTTAATCTCTCTTATTTGTCTTTCCTTCAATTCTAACGATTTACCACAATTTCTTTTACCCATCGTAAATAGATTCAGCCTTAAAAAATGGGAATTCCATTTCTTTCACTCTTATGACTTTTAATTCCACAATGTTGTCATATATCCATAAGTAAATAATAAGAAATATTTTAATCTATTTATTTAGATGAGAATAATTTAATTCTAAATTCTTTTATAAATCAATGTGACTGCTCTTCATTTATATTAAAATTGATCATAATTATTATTCGCACGATAATTAAAATGCAAATTTACGATTATTTATTATCTATAAATTCAATGATTGTAAAATGATAAAATTATATAGGAAAAAATAATTTATATATTTAATGGATAATTATATAAATAATATTAATTACCAAAAGTAAATAATAGAGCAAAGTTTGTCTACAAACTTACTTCGTTAGTTGAATAATAGTGAGCAATAGAATTCATTTGATACAGAATCAAATGCTATGCTTTTTTAATATTAAGAAGATATTTTTAAAATTGAGTATGCTTAAAGCCAATTTAATATAACAAAGTTTGAATTCAGGTTAAGCTATAAAAAATATGAAATTGGGTAAATCTAGTTATTTAGCAATAATAAGGAGGTAAAATAGAACTAATTTCAACAAGAAAATTTTAAGTTTAAATTCAAAAACCGCACTTTAATCATTGGAATTATGGAAAATGATCTCATATATGATATTTATTTCGGCAAATGCACTTTTCCTAATATTTCGCTACATAAACTCACAGAAACCTAATAATCAAGTAAAATTTCCTTTGTTTAAAATTCAAATAAAATTGAATATTAGCAGATTGAAATTCACCCATCTATTGAGAATATGTTAATTATTTTATCAATGTAATAAACTGGGCAATAATTTTCAATATACTAATTGCAAGATAGCTCAATCTTGAATCTGTTCTCTCTTAAATCAGAGAACATGCTTCTTTGTGAAATAATCAATTTCAATATTGATTATTTTAACCATAGCAATATATATTTTACAAACATTTTTGGCCATCTCTTTTAAATTAACTTTACCGAAATACTTGAATAAAAATAAAGATCGGACTCTACAATTAATAATTAATAATATCTATATAAGAAACTTCATATTTTTCACTATAAGAGTTTATAGTTTCAAGTGTACTCTTAAACAATTAATGAAAAAAAGGGTGGAGATTGTATTTATTTTTAAAAGTTGCCTAAAAATGAGGATATTTTTTTATTCTTTTTTTAAGCACAAGATATGATAGAGTTAATGCTAATAAGATTCAATTTAAGCAAAACTATTATTTTATTAAATAAAAAAATATCAGCTATTCAGGAGTTAGAAGAAAAACTGTAAAGATGCAAAGAGAAATCTTAAATAAGTGATCTTGATGCTTATACATTAAAGAATTAGAAAAGTCGATAAAGATAGTTGATAGTTCCGATCTAAAAATATCTTCAAAATCAAATAGAGATCGATTATTTGTACTTCTATTGCAAATAAATTCTAATCTAAATAAAAATCACTGAGGAAATCAGTGTTAGGACAATGTCTTTTGACGATAAAGATGCAGATTTAGACTCTATAATATTTTCTATCAATCAAGCTATTCCTTTGGATTATTGCTACTTTCATTTTCTTATCCTTGACATTAATATTGAAGATTATAGTAAATCTGATTTCTCTAATAAATAGAGCCAATATATACTATTTTAATATCATATTCTAGAGGAACCCTTGCTTTATGAAAGAACTATGGAAAATAGATATCAATATGATACATATAAGAAGAACAAAATGACAGTTTAATATTTGAGGGAGATGATAGAGAAATGTATTTAATAACATTATGTATAGATAAATAAGAGATTGCTTAGATATAAAGTGTTGAAAAGTTAAATGACATCGAAGGAGAAATCTACGCATAAGTTTCTAATGAATTACTACCTATAGAGGAAGTGCTTGGTGGGAAAAGGGTTATAGGAAGTAAAAAAAAAATAAATGAACTTATCTTTCAAATATATCAAAACAATAATGAAATTATTCGAATATTAAATAAATTTGATTTTTAGGCTAATGTAAGAAAATTTGAATTGAGTTAAATTAAAATAACTCTATTGTTTGATTAGTATTAGATTCAGCAGAATTAATATAGAAAAATAAAAGAACAAAATGAATAAAGAAAATAAAGAGACGAAGCTAATTTGAGGAAGTAAATAATAAACAAAATATTATCTTTACAATGCTAATAAAATTAAGATAGTTTTAATTGATTAAATAATTAAATATGTTTTAATAAACTATTAATTCTAAAGTACAATAAATTTAATTTTATGGAATTCCTAGTTCATTTTTTTGCTTTTGCAAATCCAACTGAATCGTTTTCCCTGTCAAAAATACTATAGTATTTTCTAAGAAAAATATCACCCAAAATCCAAGCTGGTCCTTGAGGTTACTAAATGTCTAATGGTATGAAAGCAGCTATGCAATCCCAATTGTTTACTTCAATAAGAGCCTCTAATAAGATAAAAAAGATTCTTTACATAAATCATCCCCTTCGTTTAATTCTGCTAGTTGAGCACCATCAAAATTCGTAGGTTTTATGTATTCATTGGGTTCCAAAGTGTAATCAACATTGTCAATTTAAAATGTGATAATTGGCAAGGTGTTGATTTCATGGCAATGAGACCTCACATTCAATTCTCTTAATAATGTTCCTAAATCATCAAAGGGTGCACTCATAATAGATGAACCAGTGTCAACAACGAGTCTACATGAGCGATTGCACAACCCTATATCTTTATTATTAACTAGAATGTTATCTGCTTTGATCATCCAATAATATTTGTCTATAACTTTATGATAGTGAATATCTCCATCAACATGAGATGGATTGTACCCTCCCAAAGTAAATTCACTATGTGAAATATCATTAGCATCTTTGGCGAAATAAAATGCAAATTGATTTCTTTGTAAGACCCCTTGTTCCATCATGTTGTCAAAGACTGGATTGAAATCTTTAGGAGCCATCTTTGGATAAGCTAAACCTAATATGCCATCAAAATCCAAGTCTCTAAATATGGCTCCATTTTCACTGGTGATTTCAGCTAAATTTTATTTTGGCAAAGTGACTTCCCCAAAAAAGATCGTGTCAGCATTGACAATGCCTTTGAGATCTCCACTACCAAATTCTACATTTAATTCTTAGTTTAAGGGTAGAAATGACTGACTATCCTCATGTTTATATTGTTTATGTCTAATACAACCTTCTTCTTGGCATCTATCTGAATCTATCCATAAGTTAGCACTTCCAGTATCCAACACAACTTTAAATGTGTTACCTGGTGATCCGATTCCTATATCTGCAGTATATTAGATGTTCTTATAATTGTGCATTTTCATATATTAGGAACCCTGCTTGGAGATCTAAGCAAATGAAGGATCTTTTAATTGGTTTTAGTTGAGAGCCACCAATTTGTAAAAACTTTGGGTGTCATGCACTTTGGTTTCTTTTTCTTGTAATCGAATATGGTAGACCTTGTTGGGATCTGGTTCCAAGAATTTCTGACGACTTTCACTTATAATCAACAATCCAATATTACATATTCATAGAATAAGATATATAAACAACTAGACATTAGAGGTAAAAGGTGTTCATCATTTGAAATAACGATTTTGGTATATTAATAAATCATAAATAAATTAACTCATGAAAGCATTAATTCTTGTGGGAGGATATGGAACTAGATTGAGACCTCTTACATTTAAATGTCCCAAGCCCCTTGTTGAATTTGCAAATAAACCAATCCTCATGCATCAGATTGAAGCATTAGTATATATAACATAAAACCTTAGGTAAAAGTTGGAGTGTAGGAAATTATTTTAGCCATCAATTACCAACCTGACACCATGAAAGAATAAATCAATAAATTATAAGATCTCTATAAAGTCAAAATCATCTGCTCTTAAGAAACTGAGCCTTTGGGAACAGCTGGCCCTATTAGACTTGCAAAAGATCATATTGTCAAGGATAATCCTGATGGTTTGTTCTTTGTTCTTAACAGTGACATTATTTGTGAATTTCCACTTGATAAATTGTTGCAATTCCACAAATAGCATAATCATGAAGGGTTTAAAATATTTATATTTATAGAACCATATTCGTCAATGAAGTCGATGATCCATCAAAGTATGGCGTCATCTTGGCTGATGAAACAGGCAGAATCAAGGATTTCATTGAGAAACCCTAAGAATTCATTAGTAACAAGATCAATTCTGGACTCTATCTATTCAATGTGAGCATGATTGACAGGATTCCTGTAATTTACATCGCTATATCATTAGCTAAAACCAACATCAATAGAAAGAGAGATCTTCCCAATTATGGCTAAGGAAGGACAACTATACCAATATATTCTACCAGGATTTTGGAAGGATGTTGGACAACCCAAAGATTACTTGGCTGGCACAGTTCTCATCTTGGAAAGCTATAGAACTCATACACCTGATATATTAGCAAAGGGTAACAACATTGTAGGAAATGTTTTGATTGATGCTTCAGCTTAAATCGATCCTAATGCTGTTATAGGACCTAATGTTGTGATTGGACCTGATTGCCAAGTCAAAGAAGGAGTCAGATTGAAGAATTGTGTTCTTTTAAAAGGAGTAGTAATCAATGCAAATAGTTGGATCAACGAATCCATTATTGGATGGTCATCAACAATAGGTAAATGGGTTAGAATTGAAGGTGTTTCTGTATGTGGTGAAGATGTCTAGGTAAAAGATGAAGTCTATATTAATTAAAGTTTTATCTTACCACATAGAGGTATTACAAGTAACATCTATAACAAAAATACAGTTATAATGTGAAATATTATATTCAAAAATATATTGATGTATTTTAAGCATATTTATTGTTAACTCAAATAAGAACAATTTCTATCTCTTCTGGTCGAATCATGTTGCTTTCTAATTTCTAATTGTATTAAATATACTTTAAAATTTTTTAATGGTCCATTACATCTAACCCATTAAAACATCTTATTCTTGATATTTAGCTAAAATTAATGCATCCTACATTAATTGTACAAAAGGTGTTTAAGTTGCAAAATTATAATAGGAATATACTACCTTAAATTATTTATTTATAAATTATATTCAAGCACTTATCTTGGTATTAAGAAATCTGTATTATGCCCATTTTTCATTTTCTAGGTCATAGATTGTAATCACATCTTTTCTAAGTAAGAATAAAAGGTCGACTTTTTCTTCAGTATTTTCAAAATATAACTTAATATTTTTAAATAAATAGAATTTATTTACTTTAAATATTCATTTAATAACTTAGTAACCTAAGCCACATCATTATTTTTGATTGGTCTAAGTCCTGGAGTCTTTGGTTCTTCAGGTAATTTATAATATTTTTGTTCTCTTGATGTGGTCTATCTACCTGATAAGAATGAAAATCCAATTTCAATAACTTTTATAGTAATATGTAGCCTAAGAAATTTGGACTTGAGAGAACTGTACCTACAGTGTATATAGCTTACTACATATTTTTTGCGAACTCTTCTAGTTATTTGTTTTATTAAAACAGGAGTTAATCGATTCATCATTAGCTTTTATGGACTCATAAAAAACTAATTTTTGTCATTTTCAACTTATTTTATTTGATACTGGAATATCTGTGATGAATATAACTATTCCTGATTATTTATACCGCAAACATATTATGATCATCCTCAACATAATTCTAATTCAAAAAGTGTAAACCTAACTAATGATATTGATTCTAAATGAGTTTATATTAAAATATTCAAAATTGCTTCATTTAAATGAGACCAGGCTGGATATTTATCTCTCTTATTGATATTGGGGATTAGTTGCTTTGACCATAATTGATGATGTCTATTTAACTTTTCAATTAATGATTAGCTCTATGGAGTAATTTTTTTGGGTACAATTTATTATTATTATCATTTTAGATTTCCTTTTATTCATCATTTACTTCCTATTTCTCTTTTTGTTGCATTTTAAAATAAAAAATTAAATTTTTAATCCTACAAAGAATTTATGTGATTAAAATGAATTTAATTAATTATTTAAAACTACCCACTACTACTTTTAGATTTCTATAATTAATGCATTTGTATCGATTCAACATTATTATGATTCGATAAAATAGTATAAGATTAAAATTCCTATTTCAACTGATATCCTCTAAGACCAACACAAAGCAATAAATAGATTTCGAAAGTTAAGTGGTTTCTGATGATCTTCAGAACTATTAAGAAATAGAAGTTATTTAAGGTCTAAATTTGAATTCTATTAAGTTTTCCATTAAATTTAGATGCTTAATATTTTTATACTCCTATCAATAATTTATAATAATTTCTAACAATTTTCCTATTTGAATTCAACACTTATTCTGCACTAGTTTTCTTTCGATTATACATATCAGTTTATTATATTATTGATCAGGTTTCTAATTGTTTATTGATGGCTAACATTAATTGAAAACTATGAAAATGGAACTAAGTTAAATTTTAACTTAGAGCGAATATAAGAATAAATGTAATAGTGAGTTTAAGGCGATAAAAATTAAAATCAACTTTTGCAGATCTCAGCAGAACTTTGTGAAAATGCTAATTTTTGATTATAATATAGTTTAAGTCTGGAATTAATTTATTGGTGGTTAAATACTGCATCAATTTATTTATTAATTTTTTATAGGGAAAAATTATATATCGTAATGTAGAAGAATCTTTATAAAAAATTAATAATGGTTTTAGGTATTTAAAGGCCGATTAATTTGTGCAAGAATTATATAATATTAAAACTATTTATCAAATCTAATGAGTAAATCAATAAATATGAGTAAAACATCATATCAGTTTGAAAGTTCTTAGTAAAACTTTTAATCCTAAAACAACCAAGGGAAAATTGAGGTAAAATTTAATGATTTTATTTTTTAGGAGGAATTCTAGTAAATGGAAGGTTATTTTCACAGTGACGGAGGGAAAATTTATGCTTAGTAACTTTAAAGTAATGGTGGAGAGATTAAGTAAAAAGTAAAAATAGTCATTAATGTCAGTTCTTAAATTCAAGTAAAAATGAGCACGAAACAATACAATTCGGCTCCTCTCAAGAACAAAATAGCTAATCTGCTCTAACAAATGGAAATGTATTACCATATTCATAATTAGATTTCATCAACGAGACAACAACATGTGAAAGAAGATCACGGGTAGAGTGATGGGGGAATGCAAGTCCAAAGTAAATGCTAACTAAATGCTCAAACATCTTCTGTAATATATATCCTAATTGTAGAGCGCCTAATAGACAAGTTATTAAACTCAAACTATAGTAACAAAAACAATCACAACATCGTCACATTAGATATCCAAGTCATAAGATTAAGAATAAGTATCAACAGTATAATATATTTAGTTTGAAAATGCTGGATTTGAATTGATGAGTGGCCAAGGTAACATCGAAGGAGAAGCTAATGGGATTGCGTCAGAAGTAAATCTATATCATTAACTATTTAGTCATTGTATAAATATGGTGGGTACAACCTCAAAGCTGATCATGCTTAGCTTGGGGGAGAGTTAAAGCTTAATAAATATAATTTTTCAGATGCGTCTTTAAAGGTTAATATAAATTTATTAATATTAGGATAAATAATTTAAGAGTTCAGCAGGTAAAATTTAGATGGCATGCGATATCGCTATGGCTGCTGCTCTAAGAAAATAAGAAGAATAAGCATCTACAGGTGGAGCTATAGCTAATTGGGAATTATAAATGAAATCCATGGCAGAATTAAAGGCCTAATATTAAATATCAGCTAAAGTTTCAATATCATAGCGATCTCATCTTTTGTATGGCTATGGCTTTCAAGGAAAAGATGGCAAACCATAACAATGTGAGGAAGGAGATTTGGAGAAAAAGAAAGAGCCTTTGAATTTGGCTGTTTGTGATGCTGAATGCATTGAAAAACCTAAGAAGAAACTAGAAGAGTTAGCAAGTGCTCCATAGGATCCGGAAGAGTTTAGTAAAAGCAAATATATACCCATTGTTCAATCACCTGATACATATTTTAAACCCAGAAGTGAAGATTTTATAAGAATAATCCCAAAAAGCCAATAATAAATAGTCTATCCAGTTAATTCAGTTAGAAGCATTATTACACCACAATTTGTAACTTGCGAATAAGTTCAAGTACTTTTTAACTCAAATTTTAGGTTGCTAAATAATCAATTCGAACTAAATGTTCAAGTGTTAGATAGCCTGTCATCATCTAAGAAGAGACTGCACCTACAATTCTACAAAGAACATATGGAGCTCCAAATTCAGTAAGACATTAGGAATCCTTTTTTACAGTCTAATCTGTATAATAACAGCTGGTGGCAGTCTAACCTTAGGTTATCCAGTAATAAGCTATTATCTAAGTTCAACCCTAACCTATTATTCAATAATAAGTGGTTTAAGTCTAAGAAATACAACCATTATAATAAGTTATTATGGTCCAACAAACTCAAAATGCTGAAACATATTCATAATAGCATATTCAAATCTAATAACCTCATTTAATTGGTCAAACTGTATAACTAATTGGCCAATAAACTTAATTTGTAAATACTTAAGCACTTTAGATGACAACTTAATAACCTTAACTAGTTGTCGCTTAACCCTAATAAGTAGTATCTGTTGCACAACAAGGAGTTTTAATCTAAGGAATATAATAAGAGATCGTTCCTCAAGTGGCTGTACAATAATAATAAATCGTTTCACACAAACAATTAGTATAACAAGATGCAATTTCACCTATCAGATAAACCCAAATTATTTAATAGCCATAAGTAGTCTTGCAACCATCGTCTTAATAATAAATAATGTTAGTCTCAAACTAGCCCTTAGTCTAATAATAAACTGCTTAAATACAATAATCTGTTTATTAAATACAGCCCTAATAGACTATTTAATAAATTTAATCATTTCAATAAGTAAATACTTATACTAAACTCTAGGTAACTTCACCTTTAAGATAATAACATTTGGTTTTATAAGCTTAAATACCATAAAGCTATACGACATAGCCAGTTGAATTTTTGTAACCAATCTAATCCCCTAACACTATTCCAATCAGTTAACAGTAATTTGGCTTTTAATGTATCCTCCAAAAAGTGTGAAAATTCAATTATATAATTATTACAATATAATCAATTTATATCATTTTGTGGTTGGCTCATAAAACTGATGTTTTGTGAAGAAATAAAGTTTACTTAGTTGAATGTTTGAGTAGGAAATATGAGGAATCAAATTATAATCTATTGGTTTATATTTATCTAATTATTATAATAACTTCAAATTATTAAGAAATTAAGAATTATATTCAGATTTTAATTATTATTAATGGCTCATATAATTTACTTTGTTATAAATTTCTAATAAATTTGAATTCAAATGGATAGTTAAGCCAAGTGGAGATATCAATTTATTCAGATAATTAAAATGTATTTAAAGGAATGTATAGAGTTTGGTTGATTAGAATCTATTGAATTGAAAATGTATTATGGCCAAATTAATTTATCAAAAATATGAAAGCTCGGTTATTATGAGTTAATTATATTAATTTTTTATTAAAATTTAAGGAATAAGTTTTCTTTTGAAGTTTATCAAGGCTTTCAAAGCATATTAACTACTAATATATTTTCATTATTTAGATTATTTCTTTGAATAAGACACATTTTTGAATTAATTATTAAAGGTATGCTAATAATTATCTTTACTGCTGTCTCTTACTTTTGATATTTTTCTTAGATAAAAATTTATTACTGTTATGAAAAATCCTTAAGTAATCTGGTTATACGAAGGAGATGGCAAAAGAACTTTAATTTAATGATGTGATTTTAAGATTAAAAGTTAATATGATTTAGAAAATATCCGTTGGTCATTATGTAAATATAAATTCAAATTTAATAATATAACTAATGAATTATAATTCAAGGGATGCCCCTTCTTTTTTGAATAAATATTTGTAGAAAGACACAAACCCTAAGCGACCATTTGAGAGCCAAAATAAATCCTATTAAAAATATGATGCGTCTCCATTAATAAAGCAACCTGTGAAAAAAACATTAGAGTTAAATTTTTCAAGTTTGGAAGAGTAATCATTCAAAAAATAAACTGTCTTGCCTAATTATGAACCAACAAAATGCTCATCAGGTCGAAATGGGATAATTAGAGCTTATGCTGCTAATACAAATTAAGGAATTGTTAGAGATTATAATGAAGATAGAGTCTCTATAATTTTGAATATAGTGAAACCATAAAATAGAGCAACAGAAAACTGGCCTAAATGTTCATTTTTTGGAGTTTATGATGGTCATGGAGGAGCAGCTTGTGCTGACTTTTTGAGAGATACTTTACATTAATTTGTAATAAAAGAACCTGAATTTCCTTGGAACCCTGTAGGAGCAATAAGAAAAGGATTTGAAGCAGCAGAAAATCATTTTTTAGCTTTTGCATTAGATCAATATTCAAAAGGAATTCAAGAAAGAAGTGGTTCATGCGCAATAGTTTGTTTAATTGTTGGAGACATTTGCTATGTTGCTAATGTTGGAGATAGTAGAGCTGTACTAAGTTCTCAAAAAGGGAAAAGAGTGACAAATTTATCGATTGATCATAAACCAGAAACAGAAGCAGAGAGAATCCAGAGAGGAGGAGGAAAAATATATCAAACATAAGGAATTAATGAAGAAGGAACTTAAGTTACAGGACCAGTTAGAGTTATGCCAGGGAGGTTATCAGTGTCAAGAACTTTTGGAGACATTGAAGCTAAATTTGAATAGTTTGGTGGAAATTCAAAAGTTGTGATATCTGAACCAGATGTCAAAATATTTAAAATTAATTAAGATCATGATTTCATTGTTTTGGGATGTAAATAATATTCGCTTATGTTTAGGTGATGGAATCTTTGATAAAATGTCATCTGGAGATGTAGTTAATATAATTTGGCAAGATATTTAAAATAATACAAAATCTAACTTACATTCAGTATTATCTACGGCTGTTGATTCTGTATTGAAAGAAGCAATCAATAAAAAAAGTAGTGATAATGTTACTTTGTTGATTGTTGCTTTTTAAATAAATGCCTAAAAAGAAGAGTAGAAAGAAATCAGATGTACCTATAGTAATTCTGTTGAAAGAATTGAAGAAACCTATCATATCAATAGTAGACCAAGAATAAGGTAATTTTTTAATTTATACTAAATAGCCAACAAATCCCAAAAAGAAATGATGAAAACTTTTCGTAATTTAGCAGTCTAAATTATTGCAATTAAAATACTTCCATAAATAATAATATCAAATCAGCCTTAGTCCAAAACTTTTAGCATCGAATATTAAAATAACAATAAAACAAAAAATCCTGTTAGGATGAATAAACAAATAAAGTCAAATCTAGCTATATCATTTGATAATAATTAATTAATAAACAATTAATTTAAAAACTTAATCATTTTCATAATATAAAATAAAACACATTTAAGAAATATCTGTTATCTTCTTTTTCCCTTCTTTGGAGATAACTAAATATAGATTAAAACTCATAACATTGAGATAATAAGAAAGATTTTCGAGATAAGTGAATTTTAAAATTCTCTAACTAAGGAACAGAATTCTGTATAAAAACAATAGAATTGAAGATAAAAAAAATACAATTTCTGATTCTTAATGTTCAAAATCTGATGTTTTTATAATAAGTTCTAAAAAATGTATCTTCATTCTAAATGACAGAAAATATATCTTCTATTAGACGAAAAGGTTATAGCTATTTATAAGAATCCTAAATTTAATATTTTATTGAAACAATTCATAAATTTATTTTTGAATAGGAATTTATAAATTATTATTTTATTCTTAAATTCTATTTAAAAAATTATAATGAATAGAATCATTTAATCATTAAATAATCAGGTTTCTTAGAGAAATAGTGAAAAGATAGAACAAACAAGAATCATAGCTTTTATAATTATCATTTTGCGTTAATATTTAAAATTTAAAATCTAGGAAATTAAATGAAATCTCTGCGAAAAGTTAAATGGATATGACACGTTTAATTGAATGAAATATTGAGGAAGTAAAAAATATTTTAGAAAATGTAGATATAATGAAAGGAAATGTGATGTGCTTAAATAAAATAAATAGTTTCGAAGTTTGAAAATTACATAATACCAAAGTGCATTGTGAAGATAACTAAGTTACAATTTTGGATAATCTAAATCATATAGATGTATTTGTTTCTAATATTAAAGAGTATTATTATTTTGCCTTTAAAAAATCATCAGCATTATATATCTATGAAAAAAATGAAAATAATAAGATTTACTCTTAACATATTCAAAGATACCAAATGATTATCTAATAGATTCCTAATCAAGAGCATTACGTAATTATGATTTTAAAAAATACCTAAATTTATACACTAAAAATACTCATGTATGTATTTAATGTTAAAAAGTGTAAAAGAAAAAACTCAATTTAAGCATATTAAAATTAAGCTCAGAATGCTAGCCTTCTCTTATCTAAATCCCAAAAAATTCATGAGGGACAATAAGATTGACTAAATAAACAAAGAATTAAACTTTTTTCAATTATATTAAATTAAAATACAATTTTCAAACAACTTAATAATGAATAAACTCAAATATCGAATGAGTGTCTTTTATAGAGATTATTTTATGTTTGTAGATCATAAAGGATTCCTTTATTTAGAAGAAACAGAACCTAAAAACTTTACCTCAAGTATTAAGGATGCCAGATTTTTTGTATGATTTAAGAAATAATAATAGTAATTCTTTTACAAGAACTTGACAAAAAATAAGACTGGAAGACATGAAGATTATAAATATGTATCTAAATGTTGGGGAGAATTCAATTTTGTCAAAGTACATTCCACTCCAATAATATATAATGATATTTAACTTTTAGATAATTAATGGAAAATAGTAATGTGAATGATATATATTAGATAGCATAGAATGGATATTCAGAAAACTTCGAAGCAAATTAATTGTTTATAAAGGATAATTTACTTTATTATAAAGTGAGTCTAAATGATCTTGAATTTGGAATATTGTCAACTGATCTGGCTATAAAGTTAGGAGATAACATTAATGAATGTAATACTTTTAGATGGGATAATAATGTATATTAATTGTGAGTCTATTATATATAAATAATTTCTAACCATATTCATTTAGTTAGGAATCAGGTTATTCTAAAAATAAATAATAACAATAGAATATATTCAATTAAAAATAGCATAGATACATACTTTTTAAATTATATTCTTAAATTCAAGAATTTTACCAATTATCTTCAAATCAAATTTCATTTTAATAATTTTGGTAAGATTTCTTCTGATTTTCCCTTTATTTGATAAGTATTTCCAACTTCAATAATAGGTTCTGGGTTAATTTCAATTATAGTGGCCTTTTTTTTAATAAACTTACAAACTGTTGATTTAGCACATCCTGTTTCAAGCATTGTGCCAACTACAATGATAGTATCATAGGCATCATACTTTTCCTATAACTACTGAATCCTACAATTTTCGTTAGTATAGGATTCATCAAAGAATAAAATATGAGGTCTTGCATCTTCTCCACAATTTGGGCATTTTGGTCTTAACTACTTAGTTAGATCGGGCATATCATATAGAATGGCTAATTGATCTTTTTCTAGAGTGCATTCTTTGGAGCATCTCATATATTTGATGTTACCATGGATTTCATATATGGATTCATAATGGCCATGCTTGATTTATTTTTAAGGAAGTATAGAGGTAAGAATATTATCAATATTTTATGACACTATTAATGTATTTGGATTCTTTTTTTTATAATTTGCAATTGCGATATGTCCTGCGTTAGGCTTTTTATTAATTAGCATTTTTTAAAAGTCTTTATGCCACTCCCAACATAAGTCTGGGTTGCTTATTAAAAACTCTTTTGTCAATACCTTTTGGCATTCGAATGTATCTTTTCCTTTTGTCCAGTACCCATCTTCGCCTCTAAACGTTGGAACACCGCTTGCATGACTTAAACCAGCTCCACATAATATTAAGACATTCTTAGTCATAAGTTTTTACGCTTATTCAACAGTAACTTCTTGGGCAGTTTTAGGATTTTATTCATCTGATTTAATCACATTGGCCCCAAATGATCTTCCAATATTATCCAATAATTTATCCATAGCATCACTGAACTGTTTTTTAAACTTATCAATGTTATTGACAGTTTATCTAGCTTAAGCTTTTGCTTCATCAAGATTCTTGAATGTGATCTCCAAGCTATCTAAAGTTTGTTTTGATCTTTCCTATGTTTCTTGAATCTCTTTTGATATTCTATCATACTATTCTTTTTCAATAGCTCTTTTTCTATTAAATTCTTCCCAATCAAATTTTTAGTATTATTTTGGTTCCTAATAGTCCATAATAGTTAATTAAAATTATCCTTCTTTTGCATTAATTCATTTAACTCTTAGCAATATTGAAAAGTATCTGATGAATACTATAGTAATGTAACTGCTTGAGATAAAATAAATATACTAATATGTTCATATTTCGTGTGGGCATAATATTAGAAATAATTCAATTTATGCTAATATATTGTGATTGCAATATATTCATTATGCAAATTATATTGATTTGGTTCATCAGTTAAGAGAGAAATTAATATTTAAAACAGTAATACTTTTAGGAATTTTGATTGATGATAATTATTTAAAATATTAATTTAAACAAAATACTTCATTAATTATGATGATAACATTGTAATTCTATGAATTTGAATTTGATAGTGGATTTGAATTTAAAGATTTATTAATCTATTTGGCTATTTGGTATTAATTTCCCTAGAATAAAAGTTATAAAAAGAAAGAATGCTACATATTTATTGAACATAAACATCTATTATTAAATATGGTATCAAGGAAATTCAAACATAAATATTCAACATCTATAAATATATAAAAGATTGAATTTTATTGTATTTTTCTGTTTTTACAAAAATGAAATTTTATTTATTAAAATATTTCACATTTTAATCACAAATCTTTGTAAAAAATGAAGGATAATAATGAATTTAATTGGAAACTTGTAGTATCAAGAGGTAAATCTTATATAGATAAGGAGGATAAGTTCGTAATTTCAGATAATGACTCATTATTTTCATATAGGAGATAAGATAGATTAACTAAGAAAGTAGTAGCTAGAAATTAAGGTTGAAATATAGAGGTTTAAAAGCAGTCCAATGGATTTAATAAATTTTGAAGGACAGAAAAAATATTATTGAAAATATATTTATTTATAATTACATTTGGCAATAGTAGAAATGAGTCGATAAATTTATGTAGGAAGATTGGGATCTAAAATAAGGCGGGAAGATTTGTAGCAGGAGTTTGAGAAGTATGGGAAGATAAAGGATATTGATCTACGAAGCACACATGCCTTCATTGAATTTGAAGCTTCAGATGAGGCTAAGTAGGCAATATCATAAACGGACGGGCGAAGGATAGGTGGTGATCGTGTCACTGTTAAACAAAGAGGTAGGATGACATTTGATCGTGTGATGATAAGATGATCGACCTTCAGGTGTAAGAGGACCAACAGCCAGAGATGTGTGTTTCAATTGTGGACGCAAAGGCCATTGGGCAAATGAATGCAAGGAAGGTTTGAGTTATCATCATAAATCAAGGCGATTTGCGAGAAACATGCTACAGATGTTACAAGAAAGGCCACATCAAAAAGGAATGTCCTATGTCAAGAACTCCGAGTGATGCTAAAAGGTAATGTATGTTACAAAAGAATTAAGATAAAGAAGAGATAGAAAAAGAAGAAGATCATCCTCTTCATCCAAATCTTCTTCTTCTTCATCAAAATCTAGAAGAAGAAGTAGGAATTTCAAAAAAAACAGATAAAATAGAAGGTAATCCAGGAAATCATCAAGTGAAAGTAGAAAATCCAACTCATCATAAACATCAAGAAGTTCAAGGTAATTAATAACCCCAATATCATAGTAAAAATTCATGATAAAATGCATAAATTATATATAATTATATATATGTTAAATAATATTCTGCAATGATAATACATAACTAATTATAATTAGAGAATTTTGGCTTTGATTGAGATAAACAAAATCGTTTATTCTAAAATTTCGTATTCTAACCTTGTAAGTAGTTGAACCAATCTTGAAAACGTATCAATTCATATAATAGATATTCTTATAACTATATTCTTGTTTGAATTAATGATAATATTAGTTTATTCTAAAAATGTAGTTTTCATCTTTTTGATTGATTCTATGATATCTGATATATTAAGTTTTTATTAATTAGGTTATTACGATTATTAATGAATTGAATCTTGAAGATACAGAGTTATGACTAATATGCTATTGTAAATATCGAAAATTATCCACTTTGATGAAGAAATTGGTTGTAATTTGGGTGATTGATAAAATTTATAATTTCATTATATATGTATTTGATTTTTCAAAGAATTTTGACTGGATTGTTTAAGCTATTGTCAGTTATTAGATGTCTCAGATCGACTATAGTTCAATACGTTGCGTTCAACCCCCCAGAAGTAGGTTATTTAATACGAAACAGAAATGAAGTAATAAAAACTATTACTCTGTCCCCAATGCAAGAAGACAGATCTAGGACTTTAGATGAACCACAATCACCGCTAATACAAGTCAAATAGCCGATTAGACAGTCGCATCAATTAACGAAGGAACATCTTTCCATTATTTCCCCAAGGATTAAATACTACAATACTCTATAAAGTGCAGAATATAAGTAACAATTAAGAAACCCAAAGAATTAAGAGTATGAACAATATAATACATAAGTTAATATCCCTCACAAGAGTTTAATTTTATAAGCAATGAATTGAAGGCTATGGAGATTGATAATAATCCTGGATTGCCTATTTCTAGCTATGTGTTAGAGTCCAAGTCTGGCAATTTGATTGCGTCTATTTATATTGAATTTTAAAACAGCGAATAGATTATTCTATACAGTCACGGCAATTCTACAGATATCGGTTTGATGTTTGATACGTATGTTGATATCGTCATGGAGTGTAAAATCAACCTATTCTCCTATGATTATTCGGGCTATGGCTAAAGCACTGGTTATCCTACTGATATAAACTTGCTATATGACATTGAATCAGCCTACATCTTTTTAGTCGATCAATTGCAATTTGAACCAAGGAACATTATAATCTATGGCTATAGTATTGGATCTGGACCAAGCACTAACCTAGCCTCGAGGCATGATGTTGGAGGATTGATCATTCATTCTGGTTTGTCAAGTGGACTGAGAGTGATTGACCCTACCATTGATCACACATCATATAATGATATATTTCCTAATCTTGATTACATAGTTGACGTGACAGCCCCGGTCTACTTACTCCATGGAGGAGCTGACTCTATGATTAATGTTGTTCATGCTGAACAATTAGCTTAGAATGCCCATCATTTATTCTCGGTTTGGTTGGTGGAAAATGGAGGTCATGGAGACATCGATTCCCAATGGAAGGAATTGTACTTCAAAAGATTACAGAGATTTCTACAATGTACATTTCTAGTTATTTTAGATTGCTAAACTGCTTATGTGATTAGACCACTTTAAAAATAAAACAAAAGAACAATTAAGCATATCTATGATGAATGTAATTTCGAAAAAGAAATCTTTTAAATAAGTCTACTAGAAATGTGAATATATATATGATAATCAATTGAAATCATTTAAGTTTACAATTTAAAGTATTTAAATTTGAATTCTCATGTCAGTATCACTGTAAATATATGATGTAACCATATAATTATTATAAAATTTATTAAGGTTAAAATAACCATTTAAATATCTTATTTGATGTACTCCTCATTATAAACAATAGTAATATAATTTAAATATTATAATAGTTAGTAGGTTCGGATGATGTAACCATAACAAAAGATGGGGAGAAGTGGAAAATAAGAAGTTGTAATGATATTTGTGGAAAATGATACTATATATTATCAAGACGTATCATTGGTCTCATCTTCTTCAATTATCTCACCTAATAGAGTCTAATATATACCTTCCTCTTGCTAATACCCTTCTCCGTCTTCGCCTTCTCCTTCGCCTTCCTCCTCCAATTAATTAGGATCAATTCCAAACAAGTGTAAGTTTTACTATTTCACTTATTATTAATAATACACTAAATATTTCTCTGAATTGATTATTCTCATTTGCCAATTTTTCATTCTCTTCCATAATGACTTATTTTTCATCCAACATATGCTAGTACAATTATTTGAAGTTCTCAATTAAGTCCTCCAGTTTCTTGATTTCTTAATCCTTCTGCTCTATCTAAGCTATGATTTCTTCCTTATCTCCATCTTATCCATCCCCATTCTAATGGCCTTCGCCTTTTTACAATTGGGTTTGCAATTATTCAATAATCTAGTCTTTCATATTGATATCATTTGCCATCTCTTCCATTTTAGCCTAAATATCTTCTAGATTGTAATTCTAGAATTCTTAAGCAATCTCATCAATTTATTATTGTTTTTCATTTATAGTCTATTCCATTTCTTGCATTTACTTTTCATATTATTTCTTTTGTTAATCCAACTTCTTTTGGGTTTAAGCTTCAGCATTCTTCAATTGGTCTTTCAACTTTTTAACATCCTCACTCAACTACTAAGTTTTCTTTTTCTCTTCAGCCCCTTCCTTCTTTAAATCATTAAGTTTTTTCTCAAGATCCTATTGGGATGCCTTGCTAAAGAATTAAATCAATGCTATTTACATCTTCTTCTCAACTTCTTTATTTAGGGAATTCAATTAATCTTAAGCTTATTTTAGTTCTTTTTTAAGTTGTTGACATGTATCTTGTTCCTCCTTCAATTGGTTATTTAATGAAGCCTTTTAGTCCTATTAGAGGTAATGATACATCAATTACCGAATTCTTTTGTGAACTATTGTATTGTTCCTCTTCTTTTTAATCATATCTTGGCTTATTGTTTGATCTTGTGCCAGAGAAATTGATTTCCCTTGTAGCAGGTTGTTGAAGTGGTTTTGCCACATTTGTTACTGGCTTCTAAGCGAATTAGGGTGGTTCTTATTTAGTGGTGGCTGCAAATTTAAATTGCCCCTAAGATTATTATGACTGTTAAGGTTATTATTTTTTTTGAGCATTTTGAGTATTTTCAAATTTATTTCCCAAGTTTGTTTAGCCTGCTGATTGTGGAGCTTTTTAATACATTTCTACGACACATTATATTTGCATTATTACCTTAATAAGGAATGATTTCTGTCTTATGTTGCTAACCAATAGGTCCCTATCTATTATGCACCTGTGAATCACAGCTGTAGCATAATCTTACAACTTAGCCAATTTTACACTATTGACATTTTATTGTTGCTGGTCTTTGATTGCATTATAAACATTTGACAAAGAGGGAGCTCATCCAAATTTGAATTAATAAAATTAATGATATTTTTAATACTCTAAACAGATTTAACCAAATTCACTTAAAAAAATGAAAAAATTCACTACTGCACACCAAAGATTAAGAAATTGATGGATAATTTATCTATATACCCAGATTTACAAATAATCAACTCAATAAGACAGATGGCAAAAATTAATAAAATATAATTCTAATTTCTTTGTTATTCAAACAAATTAATGTTGTTATTATTTATTAACTAATCCTTTTTTTAAAATTAAATAAACTTATATAGGTTGGTCATTTTTAATTCTACAATCTCAACTCTTCATTTTGAAATAACAACTTTGAAATTATAAATTGTCTTATCCCATTTATATACTTGCTACAGATTTTCAGATATTTTAATATTAATCAAAAATAAAAGGGATTGCAAATAACCTCTTCAATTTAGTTGATCTTTTCTAATAAGATGTTGAAATAGAAATTTCAATTCTTTATTTTATTTAATATTTATTTAAAGTATATGTCAAATAATTTAATCGTTTTTAAAATTTGCAAAAAAGGATTCTCCATTAGGTTCTGTTATTTTAGCTTCTCCATTTAATTTCCCTTCCTCCCATTCTCCTTCAATAGATCTACCGTTTGCTTGAATGAATTTTCCTAATCCATGTTTTTTATCATTCTTAAAATGACCTAGAATATTTAACTGCAATACCTATATATTTATCTCCATTTGGGTATCTCATCTCTCCTTTACCATTCATGTAGTTGTTTATCCATTCTCCTCCATAAGTTCGACCATCACTCCATCTGTATTCTCCAATACCCTCATAACGATCTTCCACAAAATTTCCTTTGTATTAGGAATTATCTGAATATTTTACTAAGCCTGATCCATGTTTCCGTCCATTTTTGAATTGTCCTTCATAAGTAGTTCCGTTGGTTTTCTTCTCATAGCCTTGTCCATTCTGAATACAAAATAAAAATACTTATAAATCATCTTCCCACTTTCCTATGTAAGTCAACTGCTTAGTAACTAAGGTTCCTTCACCATGCGTTTGTCCTAGTCTCCATTCTCCTATGTAATATTCGCCATCTGCATAGATGATTCTGCCAAATCCATCGTGCTTGTTATGGCACCAGTGACCTTCATAAATTGAACCATCAGGATAGTATTGGATTCCAGCTCCATTTCTTTTTTGTTTATACCATTAGCCTTCATAAATGACAATTGAATTGATATCTCCATTTGGTTTGTAATTTACAATTTATATGGGCTGATAAATTGGATACTCAGAGTCATAATTTAGTTTGATAGAGCCAAGTTATTGTCGAATTGATTCCGCTATTTGATTATCTTGTTTAGGAATTTCGTTTAGTTTCATAGCATCCGATGGTAAATGCTCATCTTCAATTATATTTCGGTTGCTTTAATCATCATTGAAACCCTAACTGACTTCTTCTAGCGCATATTTAGTGGTTTAAATTCCTTGATAATCGACTTGTTCTGGAGTATAAATGTTTATTGGTATCTAATCAGGAATATAGCCACTTTTGAGATTACAACACTATTGTCCCATTTAGTTATAATAAAAATTGAGGGTAGATATAAATAATAATTAATGTAAAAATTAAGGAACATCTATAAGAATTTTTATGAGAATGTTGTAAAAGGAGGATAGAAGATAGACGCTCCTCCCAAATACAATTTCAAAGGACAGAAACAGGATTTCAAAGATTTTCAAAGAGGTCCCCAATTGACTCGAGAACAATTGGCTCAAAAGTAAATGCACAATTAATCGATAGTCAGAAGCTGGATGAAGAATTGAAACCATAATCAAGAGAATTAAGGTTGAAAAATGCTTTTTATTTTTGCATTTATATGGGATGGTTTGCTGGAGTAATATTGTTTGTGATGTATCGTTTGGGAAGTGATGAAATTGGAGATATGGAAAGATCAGCAAAAGAAAGGTAGCTATTTATTTGAAATAAAGAATTCGTTTACGTGAGAGCTTAAAGAAAGAAAACTAAAGATGATTTAAAATGGCATTCTTAATTTCACAATTAATTTTAAGAAATCAAAATTTTTATATAAAAATTGTTCATTTAATTAAATAGAAATCTAATCAGATGTCTAAGTCATTGTCCTTAATCACATGTTTTCTTGATATTCCTTTTTGAATAAATTGATAGCGTCTACATTTATAAAATTTTGAGTGTATAATTAGTTAGTTTGTGATGAGAGTTTTCCAAAATTACTAATATTAAATATCCATATAGTATATATAATGTTGATTTAGAAACATAATGATATTCAAGAATTATGATATTTTAATTGAATAAGCAATTCTTAAATATTTACCTTGTTAATTTTGCTTAAATTAATATTATTTAGCTTAATATATGAACAATATCAGTGAGATTGTGTATGATAACGCATCTTTCTAGATGGTTTGTCAACGTAGAAACACCCGCAAGGAAATCACATACTTTTTGTATGTAATGGATAACAGTTTGATTTTGACTCAAGTATTTCACATATAATATTAGTAAGGAGCTGAATTCCCAATAACCAAAATATGTTCTCGAAATCAGTCTTTAATTGAAAATCTACTGGAACCAGGAAAGACAGAAAATTACTCAAATGGGATTTGAAAGCAAAGACGAAGTTAAGTATTTCGATGGAAACTGTGAAGAATTTAAATAATTAAAGAGATTACTAAGAAATAGAGTAATGTATAGAGATGTCAGTGATTTCTATCTGCCTATCAAATAATTAGGAAGAGGAGGTTCTTCAAGAGTACTCTATTATTTATTATATACAAAGGTTTATCTTGTTATGGATAAATGCGAGAAGTATGAATTCGCATCCAAAAATGTTGAAAAGAGATACCTAAGAGAAGATGGAGGCTTTGTATAAATATGTGTTTATAATCAAATTAGGAAGCGTTGTTCAATGAAATTAATTTGATGGCAGCACTTGATCATGAAAATATAGTGAAGATGGAAGAAGTATACGAAGGAGAAACTACATTTTATCTCATATTAGAATACTTGAAAGGAAACTCACTTCATGATTTGATTTCCAAGGGTATCATCTAATTGGATTGGGATGAAATTAGGTCTATCATGTTTGTAATTAAATTACGTAATTCCTTAGTCAATCCTAACTGCCGTGGCTCACATGCATTCTTTGAACATAATGCATCGAGATTTAAAACCAGAAAATATTATGTTTAAGAAACAAAATGATATTCATGGGGTGAGAATTGTAGACTTTGGATTAGCCACTTGGCAAACCGCTGCTACATACCCTTTTCCAAAATGTGGTACTCCTGGATATGTAGCACCAGAGATAGCCAATCTTAAAGATCTTACATTTAAGTATGATAAGATATGCGATATGTTCAGCGTTGGCTGTATATTCTATAAATTGTACTATTATCCTAACCCTTAGAATTACATCCAAAGATTTGTTTCCAGGGAACGACTATCATGAAATTCTCAAGCTGAACAAAAAATGCATAATAAATTTAGATACTCTCAGTCTCTATTCAACTCCTTAATTAGCCATTGATCTAATATCTTAAATGCTGTAGGCTGTTCCACACCAAAGAATTTCTGCATAGTAGGCTTTGGATCATCCATTTTTCACTGGAACATTCATTGATAGAAAAATGAAATTTCAATCATCTAAAAAATAACTTAACAATAATAGCAAACCATGGTAAACATCAACCTTCAAAACTGAAAAATCTGATAGGTTATAATTACCAGAAATCAAATAAAGATCTAGACAAAAAGATGATGATAACGCAGATGAAGAAACCCCCAGAATGAGAGTTCCTACCTTAAATAGTCCCAGACTAGCATAACATGCAAAAAAAAAGAATTTGGCCCTAAATGATAATTCACCAACTGAATTTCCTAAGAAAAGTGCTTTTAAGAAGTTTTCCACCTAAGATTTTGATCCACTAACACCAGACACTTAGTCACCTGATTCAGGGAGAATGAATTTTAGTAATAGTCCTCGACTCATTTAACAAAGTGTTATAAAAAGGAAATTCACATACTCGAAATTCAATTAATAAAGATAGTAGGCCATATATGAAGTTGATGATGAATAGAAGCATTGAATCTATTAATTAATGTTTATTATGATCATTATGGAATCTTTTAGATTTGAAACCTGTAATTTTAATCATTTCTCAATTAAGTTTGATTATCTATTTCAATAAGATCAGATACTAATTTAAACTTTCATTTTTAAATCATTTAATTGTTGTATCTTTATTATCTTATGATTGTAAACCTTTTTATTTAATTTCCTTTATATTAGTGAGATTTTGTAGAATCCTATAACAAATTTAAATTATTGTTCAATTTTAATTTAGAAAAAAGCTTATTCAGAGATGATAATCTATTAATTTTTTGCTTTGTTCAGTAGGACTAATATTTTCAAAAAAAATCCCATGAATTTTGGTTTTTTGAGTTATAGGTGTAAATCGAAAATAATCTAAAAGAGGAGTCTAATTGCCTAATAATTATGAAATAACTTTAGGATGTAACTAAAAGAATTGGATATGATTAGATGCCAAAACATAATTATATAAATTTATTTAATTTATTTATCTTATTTAAAATAATAACAATTTGCAAATATGGGTACATCAATTTGTGTTAAAGGATCCAAATAAACTCAAGAGGAAATAAAAACAAGGTCGTAATGCTTAAGTAAAATAATTGGCCCACCCCATTTATTTAAACCTACTCCAGTTATCAGTATTTTAATAACTGATGAATAGGTTGAGAAGGAGGAATCTCCAAAAAATGAATTATCTCAATCATAAAATGGCAGACGGAGTGAACAGCTCTAGTTTTATACAGCTTAACAATCTGAAGAGATTGACAGCTAACAATAAAATCCCTGGATAAAGAAAAATTTTGCCATTGAAGCCATCAATATATCCAAATTTAAAAATGATGATATGAATAATTCTAACAATGGCAATCTAAATGGCAATCTAAATAATTCTTTTGAACAAAAAAATCCAATGGCTGAACCCTCTAAACATAAGCCTGCACTTAGGAAAAGGAGTGGATAAGAGAGTTCAAATATTTCAATTTCTGTTGGCTCTTAAAGATCCATTAAAAAGGTTTCTTTTGACAAAAAATAACAAGTTGTATACACAAAATACAAAAATTGAATCATATAAAGATACTTTTTGTTTAATTAATATATCTAAAAACCTTTATAAAATATCATAAAATCAAAATAATGAACTAGCTAAATAATTTATGAATAGACACACTAACCAAATGTTATTTGTCAACTTAAACATATCTCAAAATATAATAAATTTAAAATACTTTTCATTGCTTAAGACCCTAAACAATCTTATATTTGGAGTATATTAAATAGAATGATTGAAACAAAGTATAAAATAACGCAAGCTACTGCGAATGCATAACTAGCCCCATTTAAAATGCAAATAATAACCACTGCCAATTGAGGAAAAATTCTACTTGTAATACTTAGTGACTTTTTGTAAAATTCCTCTAATTTTGTCTAATATTGATTTTTAAACATACAGGTGGTTCTTTATTTTATTAAGCAGTCGATTATAATTATCCAGAATTTGAAACATTTTAATCTACCATATGAATCTCCTGTGCATCTCCTTATTAAGACGGAACTTAATATTTAACTGATGTGTGATTCGAATTCAAATTCTCAATATCTAAATGAATATCCTTTTTCAATCTGAATTTAGCATAAGCAGCAAAAAAAAAGAAAACAAATGTTAGCAGTAACCAAAAAAACTCAATAATCTTGGCACAAGTCAAAAACTCATCACTCATCTCCAAATTATATATTTATATATAAAATTAACTATACAGGGTTCTAATATTCTGATTAAATAAAAAAGCAATATAAAATCATTTCATTAACTCAGAATCTCTCCATTAGTTGATTTTGTACTAATCAATGTTAATAAAACTTATTGAAATTATTACAATTTAGTCTACAACTTGGTGAATTTTATTAAAATTAAAAAAAAACCATTAAATTCTATTTATACTTAATACCTATCAAAAGGAAAAAGAAAAATATTAATGTTCAATTTCTCTTTTACTTCTTGAATAGTCGATTAATTCAATAGATGAATGTTTAGGAATCATAAAACATTTAATTTATTATTATAATTTAGCATAAACAAAACTATGAATTGAAATTAAATGAATTCTTACGATATCCACTATTTTTGAGGGCCTTCATTTATTTCTATAAATCAAAAACACATCTTCATTAAGAGATTAAGGTATATTTTAAAAGTTATATAATTATAGTAATATTTTTTTTTAATGAGTATTCTTAGTAGAGAGTTTCTTTCAATTTATTATTTTTGAATAGATAATTGATGCTTTTGTTATAATATTAATACGGATTTTAAAATTACCTATATAAACAATACTTTCTGAAAAAAGCTTTAAAATAAGCTTGATTTTCTACAACATTATAAAAATATTAAGTTTTAATTATATGATTTCGATTTTATATCATCTGTATATATATGTCAAAAAATTCTATTAACATTATATTAATTAATAAATACTATTAACAAAGAAGACATTGTAAAATGATATGGAATTGATTTCTTGTTTAACTAAATAATATGTGAATGATATTATTATTTACCTTAATAGTAAATCCTAAGAAAGATTTGAGTGGAGGGCGAATATAAGTCTCTTTTATTGATTGATAAAGCTTTTTAAATGATTTTAGAAATTATTTATATTATTTTATAATTAATAACATGCTAAATTTAAAAGAAAGTCAGGACTGGAAAAAAGGAAGAAAGTTTGATTCCGCTACTTTGATACAAATTTTTTGCTTTTTTTTATTGTTGGTGAATCAAAATTTAAATGGAATGACTCAACATTCGGAAGCAAGCATTTTTTAAGCTGATCAATTTCGTATTCCAGAAGAACACTCATTTACGGGTGAATATTTTAATTTCGGAGACACTAATAACTTTGCATTCTCTGACCTTGATTATGAGAGAAATAAATTTTTGCCTATTGGTAGTTATAACCATATTATTAAGATAAGAATTCTCATATATTGATAATATGGACTTGGAAGATTAGTTTAGTACTGGGTAGCAACAACCACAATAATTGAAACCAACATCAATGTAGTAATAATATGACATTTTATTTGAATTTAAGAGCTCAATCAAGAGTAAAATAATTGGAGGATCTGATTTTTTCTCTAAAGTATTAGATTACGCCAATAAATTATAAATGAACAAATTCAAGTCAAGTAAATTTGTTCTATTTACCTTAGTCCCCAAAATTAATGATAAAACTCAAAAAAAGAACAGCCACTCAGCTAGAATTAAAGGGGATAAGCAGCATAAGTTTATGATTTCTAAATTAGAATCTTGGGATGTCCATCTAAAATCAATTCGAACACATTTTATGTAAAAAATTTTTAATAAATTGTGGAAAGTACCTACTTAATAGATCCTCAAAACTCATTGCTTTTCAGGCAATAGTAGTTAATAAAATAAAATTCATATAATAGTGTATTTATAAAATGAAATGGAACAAATAGAAATTTAATATTCTGATTTCTAACTTAAATAAGAAATTTACTAAAACATAATATAAAGAATGATATTCTGCTTAGATTTAGCAATTTAATTAAATAATTAAGCAGACGATCTTATTTTTGATGTCTTATTTAAAGGATTTATTGCCGAATTATTTCATTATTGATTAATAAATATTAATATAATTAAATTAATTTCATTAGATCAAAATACAAAATTTAGTAATAATAGTTTTTTAAATGAAAAGTATCATTTTACAATAAGATAATCTACAATTTCAAGGAAGAAACCTAAATTTTCTAATCATTAAATATGGTTTGCTAATTTAAGTCAATAAAAATTAAAGATGTAAGATCAATTATATAAAACATTTAAAAACTTAACAGCGTTTCTACCTTTAATAAGAATTAATTGTTGTTAAATTTATTGGTATATATATTAAAACACCGTTTTAATAAAATGAAGAAGATTTTGAATCTAAAGTACAAATATTTAAAAAATATTAAATCTGTCTTAAACTAAAGATGAGGATTATATAATTTAATTTAAAAATGATTTATGAAATATTAAATGTGGAACTGTTAAAACTAAAAGATACATTGAAGGAATTTGATAGCATTTGAATAGTTTTCTTAAGTTATTTTTCTTGACTGGAATAACAATTATGATTAAGAGCTTAACAGTGCAATTTAATTTTATTTATCAATCAATTTTCTCAATAATGAATTGTTTTCAAACCTCTCTTTGTTTATTATATCAAATAATTCAAATTATAATACATATGTGCTTTCTTAGGTTCCCATTTTTTCTCTATAATTTTAGGTAATTCTACACTTGAATTATCAGTAATTGTTCTGGATCTCAATTTGTGTCTTTATTCTCTTTTTGGAAATGCTTTCGTAATTTATTCATTTTATTCAACTGTCTAAACAATTTTAGGGGTGGTTTTCCTTTTATGCATAGTTAAAGCGTAAAAAGGATTATCAGATATCTTTTTAGGTTTAATGATTGGAACTTAACGAAACGATGATATATGATATTTTGATATCTCCTCAGTAATATATAGATAGTCGAATGCTGATGCCTAATTTCTTTATTGGTCTTTCATTTTAACTAACAGATTATTCAGCCTTATTATAATTACTTATAATATTTGATGGATGATAATTATTTTGAAATAAAATGATTTATGATTTATATTAAAAGACTCATTCTAATCAAGAAGATGGATAATGATTTACATTAAAATGCTAATCAAAATAATTAGAAGAAAATAAGTTATTTGTACATATTCTTTGAATTTATATTACAGAGCTCACAAATCATTTCTTTTTTTTGCTAACACTAAATATTTAAATTAAGGATACTTTTTAATTTAAGTGCTTATAATTGTTCATCTTCTTCTGAATCCTATTCATCTGGAGACTATTCTTCATTATTTTCTAATTCTTTTTCTTTTTCCTTCTCTTTTTCCTTTTCTTTATCTTAATCTTTTTCTTTCTCCTTCTATAATTATTAAGTTTTTAGAATTGCTTTTATTGAAGCAATCAAATCCTATTTACTCTATAATGGCAATTACACTTTCAATTATTCTTTTTCATCATGCAACTATTGTGGCTGCTAAACGTCATTAATAACATGTTATGCTGAAGGATATGGTTCTTTATTTGTCTATTCAGCAATAGGTATTTGGCACAATTAGTCATCCTTTTTTAATTCGTTACCTGTGCTTGATTACGAGATATTATTGTTGTTGCTTTTTATATTGTTGTTGCAATCATTTGGCGTCTCAATGTCCATTTTGGTTTCAATTTAATTTACATCCTATTAGATAACTATCTCAGATTCTTTGTTCTTACTTTTCTCTTATCCTTCCTGATCTTTTTTATTTTTATTCTTCTTTTTATCTTTCTTTGATTATTTTTTTTCATTTGACTTACTTCTAGATCTACTTCTAATAATATAGTAATTATATAGTTACTTCTTTTTTTTATCTTTTTTTTCTTTCTTTTTATCCTTTTCTTTCTTCTTCTTTTTCTCAGATTTATTCTTTTTATCCTTACTTTTTTTTTCATTAGACCTACTTCTTTTTTTCATGCTTTTCTTATCGACTGGTGATTTTTATTATTCTGCTTTAGTATTTTATTATTATTATTATTATTACTATTATTATTACTATTATTATTCTTATTATTATGGGGTTGGTTTAATAGCTTCTAATGGCTTTTCAATTTTCTCTGGAATACCATAAATTTCACTATGTTAAATTACATAAGCTACTCTATTGGCTTTTGCTAGAATTCTTCTTGCCTATCGAAAATCAATCTTTTCGAATTCATATATATTATATATAGTTGCAGCCACTTACTCAATCTAATCCAAAGTAGCTTCTAATAGAATCCACCATGGTTAAGAAGGCATTGGATGATTACAGATCCTCAATGCTAAGTACAGAGCTCCCGCTGCAATAACTTAGGGTGGAAAATGTACACATAAATCAGTCATGTATGAGTCGTTCAAGTAACACCATGCCTTTTGAGCTACCTGCTTGTTGACCTTAATAAAATGATAAAATGATTCTATGAACTTGTGCGGATGATCTGAAACTCTAAATAATTCAAACCCAAGTTCCCTAAGTATCAATTTTTCCTATTTTATTATTATATCCCTATTTAATATCTCTATCATTCTTACAACGGAGTTTATTTTTATTTTTAAAACACAGAGCTGAAAGTACTAGCAATGTACCAGGTTTTCAGCACTGTTTCTTCTACTTTGCCTGCCAAATATATGGAAGCCATTGAAATTTCACGATAATCGTAATCAACAAAAGAATTCCTAACACCTAAAGTCATAATTTACTTTGCAAAGAATCTGTGATAAATCACCAAACTTGTAATGGCAGTAGTTAAAGGTAATTTTAAGTGACTGCAGGCTTGAAAACATATTTGAGCTCCATGCATTCTTAGGGCTTACTCATCCTCATAACTAAGGCCATCTGCCTGCGTTGGAGTTTGAATATCCATGGGAATATAAATATTTTCATGTCCTTCTGGAGTGATTGTCTCTAATGATAAATCAGAGCTATGTAAAAATCTCTCCTTTAATCGATGAAATAAATATTTTTTTTCATACTACTCTTTTGTCAGACCAACACTTGCTTCGACCTTCAATATTTTTTATCGATCATAACTTTTGGATGACATTAATTTTCTTTATTTAATAATTATATTGATAAGCAATATATTTTAATAAATAATTTACTAGATTTTTTATAACTAACCAAGAAAAAAACTTAAAATCTCAACGAATTTATAATGCAATTATTTAGAATATCGGATTCTTTTGTAATTGTGTACAAAATGATATTTATTTAATATTATTATGATGCTTACAAAAGTGATGTATTATTTTATTGGTCAAAACTTTTTAGAATTTCCTTTGTGCTTTTATTACCATTATGTCGCTTCATCATATACAGCTGATTGTAATATCTCCTTTTTTAATTCCATTTTATCCCAGGACCAATCAAAAACAGAATCACAGATCGGTTCATCATCTTTAGAATGCAATCCATCAAAATATGGATGATTCAAGCATTATTCAACAGTGTACCTTTAAAAAGGGCTAAAAGTCAGCATCTTGGATAAAAGATCTAAACATGTCGGATTTACTTTTTAAAATAAAGTACTAAAGTTCTATTTAGTTCTTTTTGGCAAAGATCTAAAATCACATAATCAATTACTTAATGTATTTGATGGCACCTTCGTTGGTAATATATTTCATTTCATCATTTGAGGGTGTTCCTAGAACGGCGATGATCCTCTATATTTATTCTAAATAGTCTTTTCCAGGGAAAAGAGGTGTACGACCAAGAAGCTCAGCAAAAATGCATCCAACACTCCATATATCAATTGCCTTAGTGTATTCCGAAGCTTAAAGGATTACTTCTGGAGCTCGATACCATCTTGTAACTACATATCTATAAATAAATAATAGAATGATTACTCAGTCTTATTTTCGTCTTCTATTTCAAAACCTCTAGCTAACCCTAAATCGCATATTTTCAAATCACAATTTTTGTTGACTAAAATATTGCTTGGTTTCAAATCTCTATGCATCACATTTGCTGAATGAATGTAGAGCAATCCTCTCAGTGTTTGATACATAAAATATTGGATGTGCTCATCAGTTAATTCTTATCTGGAATAGATGACTCTATGTAAATCGGTTTCCATCAGTTCAGTTATTATGTAAATATCATTATATCCAGTTCTTGATTCAGGTTTTAAAATGTCAACTAAGCTGATAACATTCTCGTGTTAAAAAAACTGAAGTAGCTTGATTTCTCTCACAATTCGTTTTGCATCTATAAGATCTTCGAAAGCATTTTAAATCTAATTATGGGAGCTTTAATACTTTTTTTATCGCAACCTTTTTATTTTTAACTAAATCAACTCCTGAACATACAACTCCGTAAGCTCCATGTCCTATTTGCTTATGACATTCATAGCGCTCATCGACAACAAATTGGGTTCCTTAAATTAATATTATATTTACCCCCAATTTCATATATATTTCTTCCATTAATACTCTTCTTTTTCTGGTGCTTGGTATTTAAGTTAATTTACTACAATGGTTGAGATTTCATAATCAAATTATTAACGGTATTATAAATAATTAAATAATGCAAATATAATAAATGACATCTATTTTATTATTTATAATATTGGAGAATAGAAGTAACATGAAAGTTCAGACAATTGGATGTTATCTAAAAAGAATTCATCTATATTGAAATTGTAGAATAACTCTTATTATCAAATGCATATCATAATGAAGCATGGCCTTCTCAATTAAAAAACATTAATAGACATATAGAGCAATATTTGGCAGCTATGGAAATTGAATATCTACTTATTTTGATTAATTAATTAATTGTTATATATTATCTTATTGAGAACTAAGTTTAATTTTTATTTAAGTTTAATAAAATTTATTTGATCATGTACCTCTCTTAGAAAACATAATTGAGATTAGCAAATTTAATTACCATTATTGCTGAAGGGGAGAAGAAAACAGAAATATTCAGATAAGTGTTGGCTGAATAGAAAATGTTTGAGCCCTACACAGCTTTCAAAAGATTAGATTAATTAAGAACTGGTGAATTAACTGTTTCAGATTTGGTTGATTTCCTAATGGACAATAAAATAACTGTGTCTAAAGCTTAAGCGGATTATTTATTTTCAAAATTAGATTAAAACCTAGATGGTAAAATCACATATCCAGAGTAAACCAATATTTCTATGAGTCTAGTTTTGTTAAGGCTATACTACCAAAAGAAGACTCAAGACTGAGGTAAATCGCATCCCTAAGGGATTCTTACGCGTTGGAAGTTAACATGCTATTACCTACTGAAGTCGAATGGGGACTTTCTAAAGTCTTCTCTTAAGAAGTTTAAAATTATAGGTACTTTCATTCTTTTTGAGATTAGTTCTATTGCAACAGCACAAGAAATTTTGACTGGAAGTGCAGATTTTACATCGCTCGATGCATTAAGATGCATTGATCAAACCCTTCTAGGATACATTACAATTGAGACGTGAGATAATTGTATATTTTCTTTAGGCTTTCAGAATTCCTGAAATAAAATGGAGTAAGACTGTCCTTCGATGATTTACTTGCATTTTTTAGAGTTGTGGATAAGGATTCAGATGGGAAGATCAATTATTCTGAATTATTAGAAGCAATTACTTTTACGCCAGATTATTTTTAGTAGGAGAGATAAATTGTGGCTGAATTGAAAAAGAGTAGAGAGCGTATAGTCCAATTAGAAAAGGATAAAGAAGAAATTAATGTACTTAAAAGAAGTAGAGAAAGAATAGATGAGCTCAAAAAAAGCAGAGAATATTTAGATTAATTAGAAGAACTAAAAAGAAGCAGAGAAAAAATAGAGTAATTAGAGGAATTAAGGTAGAGTCGCGAAAGATTGGAGGATCTCAAAAAAAGTAGAGAGGTACAAGAAGCCCTAAAGAATAGCGGAGAAAAAACATAAGATCTATAGAAGAGTAGAGAAAGATTAGAAGAATTAAAAAAAAGTAGAGAAAGATTAAATCAATTGGAGGAATTAAGGAAAAGTAGATAGCAAATGGAAGAATTAGATGAATTAAAAAAAAGCAGAGAAAGACAAGCCTAAATTGATGAATTGAAGAAAAGCAGAGAACGCCTAGAAGACTTAAGAAAGAGTAGAGAAACTCTATAACAACTTGAAAAGGAGAGGAAAAATCAGGAGAAAATAGAAGAACAAAAAAAATCTAGAGAAAGGATTGAAGAACTTTAAAAGTAAAGAAAAAGAATAGAGGAACTAAGAACCTACTAGGAGGCGCTAGAATTGTAAAAGAAAGAAAGAGAAGAGTTGGACTTGAAGAGAAGTCAAGAAAGATTGTCAGAATTGAAAAAAAGCAGAGAGAGAATAGACTAAATAGAGGCATTGAGAAAGAGCAGAGAATAGGAAAAAACAATATAAGAGATCAAATAAAGTAGAGAGAAAATCGAATAGATTAGAGAATCTGAGTTAAGGATTTAGCAATTAGAAAATTAGCGTCGAAGCATCGAAAGAAGCAGAGAATTGGAGAAGATAGAAAGAGATTTAGAATATGAAAGATAAAAGAGTTAAGAAAGAATATAAAGATTAGAATTAGAGGCTGAAATTGAACGAAAGTAAAGAGAAAGAGTCTTAGATGATGAAATCAATTTTGTGTAAAGTAGAATTTATGATACACCAAAGAGAAGATATTGACTTTCCATTGAAATAATAAAGACTAAGCTTATTATATAATTATTCTGTGTTTAAGTTTAGAAATTAACAGATATAAATCAACTTATTTTCAATAACAATTAAGTTAACATAAATATACATCTTATTGATTCATTTCGCCATAGTGCCATCAACCCAAATTCCGTTTATGACGTCTCCATTTTTATTAGTGAATTTCCCATATCCATTTTGTTTATTTTTCTTCCATTCTCCAACATAAATAGAACCATCTGAATAATGAAATTCTCCTTATCCTTCCTTTTAATCTTCAACCCAATTTCCTAAAATGAATTAAATCAATATACCTATGTAGTATCTTCCATCAGGAAACCAAAATTCACCATGGCCATGTATTTTAGTTCCTTTGATTTAACCTTTATATCTTCTTCCATCATTCCATCTATATTCTCCATCAACCATTAATCCATTTTCGAATTGACCCTCAAAGACAACATCAGCCATAATCAATTTTCCTTTTCCATGTCTTGTTCCATTGTAGAAATCTCCTTCATATGTTTCTCCATTAGCTAAAATTTCTTTGCCAAAACCATGCTAAAAAGGAATAAGAGTAAGTCAAATTACTTTTAAATCATTAAGGAACCTTCCCTCATAGATACCTCCATCTGAGTACCAATATTTTCCTCTTCCGTGTTGTCTGTCATCCAACCACTCGCCTTCCTTATTAAATTTAGTTTTTATACATATGCATCTCCATCAGTATATATCAATCTACCATGTCCAGATTTTGCTCCTTTATTAAAAAGCCCACAGTAGTAGGTTCCATCATCCCAATAGATTTCTCCATACCCTTGAAACAAGTCATTTTTTAAGCCCCCAACATAGACAGAACCATCATCAAATTAAATAGGAGGTGTAACATCTAAACCTTCATTTGTAATGGATTATGGAATTTGGTATTCTCCTAATTTCCCAAGCATTTCTTTGACTAATCCATTGTGAATAACAGGAATTTGAACTTGTTGATTTTGAATTGAGATTGTTGGTTGCAAAAGGTGGGTTCTGATTTCTTGATTAGACTTAGTTTATGGGCTTCTTGGCGGCATGTTTTCAGCATGTGAGAATATTGGTTTATTGGGGGCATTTCTAATTTCTTTGTTAGTTTCTAAATTTTCATCTTTACAGCAAGATCCTCCCATATGAATTCGTTAATAAATTTATTATATTAATGATTAACATATAACCAAGGACAAGACAAGAAAGAGTACTTAACTTTAATTCATAATTAGGAAGCGTTGCGAGATAAAGATAGAATAGAGAAGAGCAGGATCGATTTGAGAGGTAATTCAAACATATAAAAGTAAAACAGTTGGATTTGAGGCTAGAGGATTGGGAGTTGGAACATTGATCCATCAAGCACCTCCCTAGTCTACTTTATATGTTCCAGGTATGAATAGACTAATTCTAGAAAACGAGAGATTTGATAAAGATTATGCTGTAGCAGACAAAAAACAAAGAGAACACGAAGTTTGGCAAAGGGAAAAGATCATTGAAAGAAAGAGACTGGAGGGATTGGATAGAGAAACGAAAAAATGGGATTATTAAGAAAAAGTGGAAACCAAAGATTAAGTGAAACTAATGAGTCACACTCAATAATTAACTCAAGGGAAAAGGAATTAAAATGGGTAAATCAGGAATTTATTGTTTTGATTAGACTCGCTTATAATCCAATTACTTTAAAATATGATAACAGTGAATAAGGCAATTTATTGAGACAATTTGATGAGAAAGCCAAAGTGAGATAATTTGTAAGAGCCCATAATTTAGATACAAGAGGGAATACTGGTTTTAACATTTTAACAGGTGAATAAAGGGGAGGAGTAGATTAAATTGTACCTAATCATTTGCGAACCAATTATTAATAGAGACTTAGAGAGGCAGATGAATAATAAAACATAAAACACTATGCTATTTAATAATAGTTATTGAATTAATATGAATGATTATTAGCAACAAATATTAAAGTAATTTTGTAGAATTTACAAAATCTATTATTAAAGTCAAATAAATTAAATGATAATATGCTGAAATAAATAAACTGTATGTAAAATCATCTTTATTTTTTTTGCTATTATTATTGTTGTTAAACTTTAAATTTCTTTTTAGGTTGTTTATCATCATCATCATCCTCATCATCATCATCATCATCATCTTCATCATCTACTTCTTCTTCATCCTCATCTTCAATTTCGTCTTCATCTTCATCATCATCATCATCCTATTTCTAAGGGACTTTTTATTGTTATTATTTTTGTTGAGTTTACTTCTTCATTTTTTGTTAATTATCATCCTCATCTTCATCATTATCTGGAATTTGATCTCTTTGTTATAAATAGGCCTATATATCTATACTGGAATGAGAAGAGGTTTAAATACCTAAATAATTATAGAATTAGTTACCATCATCTTCAACTTCTTCATCTTCCTCTTATTGTGAATCAATTTGAAATTCATCATCATTCTCATCATTACTTTTCTTTTGCTCTTCATTTCTCTTAACCTTTTTCACTATTTATTCCTCTTCTGAATCTTACTCAAATTGATTTTTATTTATTTTAGCGCTCATATTAATTTTAATAATTATTTTTATAATTTGATTGGTTATATATTATTATTCTTGTGTGATTCATTAAATTCTCACTTGTTCTCCAGCATTAACTTTATTTCTTGATCATCTGTAACATCCCCAGGAGTAAGATTCCTCTAACAATCAAAGAAATTTACGTACCGAATTTTTGCAATGAATTGATGCTCCTTTTGCTAGTAAAAATTATACTAATTTTTTATCTCTTTTAAAAGCTGCATAGTGGAGAAGAGTATCATCCATCTAATTATGATACCCAAGATTTCATACTTGATTTATTCTTTTATCAATTGTGAATGTTTAATCAGATAATTTCTATTCTATCAATTTTGTCAATTTTTCATAATTCTGCATATGTAATTAAACAACCAAGTTATTTGATGGCAGATTCTAATATTATAACCCATTATTTTACAGATTATTCTTATCCCATTGTTGTATATTAAATTAATTAATTACAAAACTCAATATTAAAGATAGAAAATACATTCCTCCTGTGTACTATTTATAATTTTATTTAGGTGGTTTGGTTATCAATTAACTCCTCATTGTAATGATGATGTTAATTGAAAAATAATGAGGAAGCTAAAATTTTAGGTTACAAGAATTAATTCTTAAAAAATTGCAAAAAAAGAAAATAATTAGTACATATATCAAAATTTTATTGAAATGAGGAAAGCATATTAAAAGTTATAGATATTTGATCTCTATTAATAGAAAGCACAAGTCTCTTTCATACTAATAGTATTTCGATAATAAAAGTTGCAAATTTGTTGATTAGATAATTCAATAGGAATTTTATTGTTTTCGAAAGGAAACTTTTAATTTTTAGGCTTTATTAAATGTGGAATTAAAACACTTGATTTTAACCTACTTTACTCATAAGTTAATATATGTCTAAATTGTAACAAATAAATGCAAGCTATCAAAGAATTGTTGACAACATAAAAGTTAGGATTTTTTAAATTTGCATAATATCAGGGAAAATATAATGGATGAAAATAATCGACCTAAGAGGTTATCTAATCATTAGGTTTATAGTTAGAAATCATTAATGTAGATGATTGAATAATAGAATTGATAATAAAAATTAGAATGATTGAATACGTTCTGGTGTTTTTAAAGAATAATCTATTAATTCAATAGATAACAAATAAATTTCATATTATAATCAATTATATCTAGACAACCAATTACATCTGTCTTAATAAAAGCGTTCAATTAGTTTATTATTATATCTTGGAAATTCAAATAGATCCATATATTAGTGTATAGTTTTTGGATTTGGAAATATACATGAAAAGTTTTTTCCTTTTCTTTTGACTTCTTCTACAGTCTGAATGAGCATATTAAAATCATTTTACGATAGTTTGCTTAGGCAATTAGAAGTATTGATATTCGGGATCTCCTTTATATTCCTTTAATTGTATTTAGGAGGAGATGCAACTTTCTAGTTGCTCTTGTCCCAAAGAGGAACTCCAACTAAATGTAAGACATCAGAAATTAACGAAGTTTTAATCTTTTTATCTAGTGGTGAACTGGAATTAAGAGAAGGTGAGACGTTAACTTCTAATACCCATGGTTTGAGATTTTCATCAATGAGTACATCGAACCCATATAATTCAAAATACCCATTTCTGTGTTCTTGAGATTTGGCATTACTATCCAACATAAATGGCTCTGTTGCAATACAAGTTTTTAGTACTACATCTTTGATCCTACTGAACAGTTCTCTAGAATCAACTCCTAAATCATCTAACTTTTTTCGATAGGCAAGATGAGACCATTTTGATCCTTCATCGTCCTTTTAAGAGTCTTTATTCTTTACAAAATTGGGTGATAATTTATTCACAGCAAAATTGGTCAAGTGAATATACCTCTTGGTTAGATCCTTTGAATTTGTAGAATACTTCTGAGTAGCAAATCTTACCAGACCATCCTTGTACATATACACTCTCAAGGGATCAAAACATGATATCAATACATAGACTCGTAGATCATATTTAAATCCATTAATTAAATGAGGATTATAAATGTAATCCATAATTAAACAGTTTTTATCTTTTTTAACCTTCGACTTTTTGCTTATCATTGTAATGCCTCTTCCTCTAGAATCTGCACAAGGCTTCTTAATCCACAACGTATCCTTCTAAGCAGATTCCTAAGCCATTATAAATCTATCGTAATCATATTGCAATAAATAAGTGTTTGGAATAAAATTATATTCTTTAGGGTACTTTCTCTTGAATTTACTTAAATTTATCCACAATAGATCCTTTCTACCCATATTCCAACATCCAGGGAAGTGATTAATTTTCTGATATCTATTCATATTTCTCAAAGTTATTTTGTTGCCAATTCCCCATTAAACATTCCATTCTTCATATTCATCTTCATCTTCATCATCTTCATCTATTCTTTTAAAACCTGCCCAATCAAACGATGTTAATACACATTTATAAGGAGCAGACCCCAATACCTTGCAAGTTAATGAATATTTCTTGACTTCCTCAACTGTCATAGGCCTAGCATTCACTAAAGGTCGTTTATCTTCGCAAACAGGTGGGTACTAAAAAAATATTGTTGGTTCAGTGTTCTTCAAAAATGGTAGTTATATTATTGGCCATTTCTGAGGTATCTCTTTCTGAAATACAACAGTTGATTAACTATGTGACCTTCCCTATATAATTTATTATTATTAAGGTTATTATTATTATTATTGTTGAGTCTGTCCATATTATAGACTTAAAGGGGTCTAAATTACATGACTCAAGAATAATCTTCTTCCTTATACTGGAGATTTTTATCTCTGATTTGAATTTCTTCTTTAAATCACTGATTAAGAGAGTGAAGTGTCTCCTTTAAGTTATAATTTTTATCTCATATATAAAATTTAATAAAAATTAATAATCAAATTTAATAATTTTCTTTTCTAAATTACTGTTGTCCTGCTGTTTTATAATGAATTTACTGAAACTTTTTGGCAATTTTTGCTTTCTAAATTGCTATATGATGAGACAAAATTTAGCAATGTCTTTAATCATTATAACTATTATTTATTATATTGCTCCCATTATTAGAGTCAGCAATTTGTTTCATCTCTCTCCTCTATTTCATTAGAACTGATACATCTTAAAATTCCATAGGCTCAGCTATTGGACCTAGAATAAAATAATCAATATTTACTGCAATCATGTAATTCTGCATGTTCAGTATGTTTTTAAGTCGGTGATTCTAATCCCATCTCTTATATAAAATTCACCTTTATCCTATCATTTATTTCTTGGACTGGAGATTACATAGATGCTAAAATTGAAGCTGCTGAGCACTTTTTTGATATTCTTAATTTAGAATTTGAGCTGCTATTTAATCTTTTTTTCTCTGAATTTTTGGCTATTGGTGATAAATTAGACTTGTTTTTCAACATTCTTAGAGTATCTGATCCCGTTTCTTCCATTATTGTTTTTAAGAGATTAGATATCTTTTCTTAGGCGGCCTATTCCTTGGTTGTTTGAGGAACAAAGTCTATTTAAGATTATTAGGTCTATGATGAAGGGATGGGAAGAGATGTTAATGACTATTATTACGAATAAAACTAAGATGAGTATTGTGACTCAATAGGAGAATGGTAAGTATGCAAAGAGGATTTGAATTACTGTAACTATTATTATTATTATTGAGATTGATGTAGAGAATACTCCTTCATTTCATAAAAGGATTTGATCTGTCTAATTTTTAATATTGAAGTAATTTTTCTAACTAATAATGTCACTCCTTAATTAAATAGACATTTCTATTACTTTTTCTTAATGAATTGAATTTCTTCATCTGAGTCTGAGTCGCTTTTGTTGATTTAGGTACTATGATCGCATTTTTCTTTTTAAAAATATTGTGATTAGCAATTAAAGTTAAAAATCCTTTTGTTCTAATCAGTTTACGATAACCATTACTCAAATGAGGATTGATTCATTTGATTTGATTAGGTGGATTATAATTAATTTAACTATTGATAATCTTATTTAATTTATTAGAACTAAATTTCGCAAGTTACATAAGAATCTGGTTTGAATTTTGTTTCCTCATTGTTACTAATCTAAGTGGGGATTCTTAGGTTTGCTGTGTCTTCAGAATATTACAGATTGCATTCTGTAATCCCTGTAGCATTTTCAATTATCCTAATATCAGGCTATCCTGCTTCAACCTCTTCTTCTACTCTGATAAAATTTGTATTCATCTAATTATTTTATTGAATCTACGTTGGTTCTGTTATAGGAACAGATAACTATGACCTATTACTAGTCAGAGCAAAATCCTATTAACTAGTGATTGCCTCATTTTATTTCAATTAAACATCCTGAGTTTCATTCTATTTCTCAATGATTTGTTAAATTTCCAGTTAGAATCTATTTGTATCTACTGAAAATTAAGTGCCAGAACAGGGTTTACTTAATTCAATATTGTCAAAATTTAAGGCTTGAATAATCTTTGGAATTTCTATAGTATTTAGCTTATTCTCAAACCTTTCCCCTTATTTATTCTCTTATTCTTAATTGACATATTTAGGTTTGTATCCAAATTGGCTCTCAAGATTCTCCTTATTATTTAAAGTACTTTTTAGATATACTGGAGACACAATGTCAGGTTGATTCAGTTTCAATATTAATTTATCCTTAGATTCTTCCTCTCCACTTGATTTAAATGAATTTCTCTCTTTATTTTAAAAATATTATTCATTTGATCTAACAGAAAATCTTTCCTTATTGAAATCTAAATTGGATAAGATTCCATCCTTGCCACCTATTTCGTTGGAAGTAACTGAAAATCTTTCATTTTCTGATAGTCTTTCTTTCTTGATTTCTTCGATGTTCACTTAGAATTTGTCCTTATTTTCATCATTTACATTAGTAGAATACCTTGCTTTTTATAGAAATTCACTTCTTCGACTCATTCTTCCTGAATTTTTAGTTTTTTATAAAGAGTCTTCATTTGAATATTGCTATTACAACATTTATTAAAAAGGCAATTAATATTCCGATGTTACTGATTATTCTACTTAATAATATGGATTTTATGATTATTAAGGAGAAGTTTATTATATTGTGTTTTAAACTTAATATTATTCTTATAACTTTCTTCTTGAATTATCACTACTATCTAATTTTTATTATTAATAATTTTAAGAATTATTTTAATCATTATATTATTAATAGCTTTCTTAATGTTGTTTCTATCTTTAGGAATTTAATTGTACTAAATTATCCTCTTATAATGAAACTTAAATTCCAACATCCAATGTTGAACAACTTCGTATTGATCGAAGCTTGTTAATTCTGTGATTCAATCTATTGCTTGTAGAATCTCTTCCAACACTGACTCTTTAATCCAAGAATTACCTAAATTCAACTGATTTATTTCTTAAATTTCCAGAACTTTAATCAACGTCTGATTGATACTAACTTTCATATTTAATATCTTTATTAGATTCATCAGCATTAGTTCCTAATTGTTAATCAATAAATTCTCTGATTTGATTAATTCTACTGAATATATTTTATTTGTGTGCACTATTTTCAATGAGTTTCTATTCGGATTAACATTTCTGTATTTCTTGTTTTTTTACAGACCTCTTTTTGAGTTCTTAAAATGATTCTATGATTTATTCAGCAATTGGATCATATACTACTTATTTTTAATTACAATTTTCAACTTATTTTTAGTATTTATTGATAATAGTAGATAAGGTCAATTCATCTGGATGTTATTTTTTGGCAGAACTTTAATATTATTACTGTTGTTATTGTTAGGTAATTTGGGACTAGAAATGATAATAAATTGATTTGTTTTTTTCAGGAGTTCCTTGATTATAGAGTGAATCCACTAAGTTGCGTATAATGCTTTTTCTTTCGCTAGTTCTTGATCTTTACTATGATTACGAGTTATTTTGCCTTGGCTGAAAAGTTTGAAGTAGTTTTTCTTTTTCCTGTCTCCAATAGACTGATTTACTCTTGTATTGAGTTTTTAATTGTTCTGATAGCATGTTGGACATTACCATAAAAGAAATCATCCGTTAAATAATTTATTTATAATTTATGTAATAATAGGAAATCAACCATGCACTAAAAAATCCATTTTAGCCAATTCTTAAGAAGGTTTTAAAGGTTGACGAGGAGTTGGAGAGATTGTCATCAGAAACATTCTATAATCCTTTCGATGTACTGTATTTGGGAATGGAAGCTACAGATGAAGATATCAAGAAAATGTTTAACTCTTTCTCTAAATTATTACATCCAGACAAATGTCAAGATCCTAGAGCTAAAGACTGTTGGTAAATAGTCGATTAAGCATACAAAACTTTGATGGAACCTGAGAAGAGAAAGGTTTACATTAGAATTATGAGAGAAGCCAGGGAGAAAACTGAATTCGAAAGACTTAGAGAAAACAAGAGAAGAGAGAAAACTGGAGTTGCTCCTTTGCCACGTAGAATTTTGAATTTAATTTTAAGCTGATACTTTCGAGAGTGATTTTTAAAAATAATGCAAGAATCTATTTAGTGAAATAGAAGACAGAAAATAACACCTTACGAGATTGGAGTAATCATAAAAGAGATACAAATTAGATGAGTATGAAAGAAGGAAAATGTTGGAATAGTATAAGATATTGACTGAGGAGGAGTGGGAAAAGACCAGAGATGATAGGGTTAATAAATGGAGAGAATTTAATAACAAGAAAACTGCTATTGGGACCAAGTAATCTAATAAGGTAGCTTATTTAATTCTATATATTTCTAGGGGATTAGGCCTCCTACTGAAAATATTGAGGCTCGACCATTCGAAGTACCAACTAAAAAAGGAGATTTTAAAAATATTAAATTGGATTGATCATTGGTTTTGTAATTCATATGAGAATATAAATTTAACAGAAGAAAAAAAAAATATAGAAATCATCCATTTCTTCATTAAAAAACAATATTGCTATTATTTTTAATTGCATTATTATGAGTACCCTAAACTTTTATTAATTTACTTAACTTAGTTTAATAATAATTGCTTAGTTGACGAAATTCTCTGGGTTAGGGAGAGCTTTTTGTTGATTAACTATATTGTTGAATTGGTTGACGTGCAGATTGCAGTTATAAAGGCATTCGACTTTAATTTTTGTTATTGTTTTTTATCTCCTTTTGTAGTTGAACTATTTAACTGGAATTTTCCTCCTCTTTTTTTATTAATTATAGAAGCATTTATTGATTTTATTCTTAAATTTGAGTTTGTTTTTTTAGTAATTCTTGAATGAGTTTGGTTTTGGATTCCAATTCATTTTTTTGGTTAGAAATTTATTATTTAAATAGCAATATTTCATTTTCCAAATCATGATTTTATGGAACTTTCTAATCATTAATTCTGATATCCTCTAAAATCATCAATGACTAAACCAATTCTAGTGCATCAGAATCCCTAGACAATTTTAATAGATGCTGATAATCCTATCCCATATGAGTAATCACTAATCGCCAATACTTTTATAATTCTTCTATTAATTCCTCATTCTTTATTTAATAATTATTTACCTTATGATGACTGTCGGCTGTATCCGTATTATCATTTTCATACATAATTTTTATTTATTAATTTTATGATAGTTAAATAAATACATCCTTGGTAAATTTCGATTATATTATTTTCAACTTATTGCACCTCAATGCTTTTATTTGTAATTCCTTTTGATTTAATTAAGATAAACAATATTTTTATAAGATGATAATTTCAATTTTCCTTCACACGTAATACTCATGATATGGTCTCTCCTCCTTTCTTATGTCATCATATATGTGTTTTCTGGGTTCGTCAGTAACTTATACTAAGTACTCTCCTCTTTTCTTCCTCTCCAACTTAAAGGCTGATACAAACAAATCCGCATCCTTCTCCTCTTCAGGCCAATATTTGATTTATTCTAAATCGATACAATACTAATACTTTTCCTCCTTTGTAAATATTGCTTACAGAACTGGTTGTAATATTTATAAGTAAAGTGCAAATGAGAAACATATTTAGGGTGATACAGCACATTCTCCTGTTGCAAAGCGTGGACTATTGGATTTTCCATCAATAGCATGTCTGCATAGTATGTTCCAGTAAACATCTTCCCATTAAAATAAAGCAAGGCCTTCATCATTCGATAAATATTCGCATCCACATGATTGTTATCGAGCTAATTGCTAATCTCATTGTTTATTGTAGTCATATTCATCAAATAATTGAACTTGTTGCATTCTAATTTACTGAAGGATTCAAACCACCTCTCCATTTCGAATTCATCATTTGTTACAGCTTACTTAGTCAATTAATGCCACGCTTATAATGAGCCTCCAAGGCGTTCATAAATTAAATCAATCTCCTCTCTAAATTAGTTTCTAAGCTTTACTATGTAAATATTCCTTCTATCTAACTTTTAATCTATTCTTTATTAATATCAGATATGTCTAAGTGCAATACTGTACTTAATTCAATATTCATCATCTCCATCATATCCCTGTTAAAGAATTTGCTATTGCTAGATTCAATTACCAAAGGAAAGTGGTTTCGAATGCCATACGGATTATATGTTCTTAAAATTAAGTGATCAAAGAAGTCTATAGTCTCAGCATCATATTTATAATATTCCAATAGTTTGTCTATGTTCAATAAAACGAGAGAAACCTCCTTCTTCTTATTGCTGCTCTTATCGAATCCTGAAGCATAATTTAGGATGTCAAAGAGAAAGTCTGTTTACTATTAAGCTACAAATTAGTACAAATATGAATACCTGCAATTGTGGCATTAATTTTAATAGGGTTATCAATTTTATCGATTTCTATCTATTGGATTAGATCCATCATTAAATTTAAACATCCAAAACACTAATCATCTTTGTAAATTAACTTTGCTAATTAAAAGAAACTATTTTCAACATTTAATGAATTATAAGAATTCATTTATATTTATTTTGCATCCTCTTCCCAAAACTCCAACTCCCCTGTATCCCAATCTAATTTGGTTATTTAGCTTCCTTAGTTTACATTTACTTTTAATTCCTATCTAACACTCTCAGTTAATTAATCTCTAATATATTAATTAAAATATATGTCCAAGTATTAAGGCAAATATCTTCTTAATGCAATTTAGAGTATCTCTTGATTTGTGATCAACTTTTGCTCAGAAACATATTTTATTATCTCCATCCTCATCTGATCAAAAAATGATTGAAAATTTATATGCGAATTATCTATCACTATTGAATTCTTGCATGTATTCCTTAAAAACCAACTTTTACCGATTCCCTTAGCTCCAACAACAAACACAGTATTCTTAGAGTTCACTTATTATTTGAATATATTCTCTTCGTAAGATATAAAATGTTTTATTTTCTCAATTTCCAAAGACCTCTAAAAAAATGGCCATACGATTGGGCCTTCCAAAGTCCTTGGAATTAATTTTTTAGGTTATCCATAGAGTAGTTTAAATACTGCATCATGAATTATTTTGAAATACTAAGTATTTCCCAACATAATTAAATTTTAATATAAATTCTTAAAACTTTTAGTATTTTTGTAATTACAGAAGAAAGCAATTTAAGATTTTATCCTCAATGAAGAGCTGACACTATAAAACTTCATATCATTTAAATTCTTTCGATGCAGGAGTGTTAATAGATATTAGAATAAAATTATTGAGAAAAGATGAAAATATCATTTGATAAATCTACTCATACTTTGTATAGCTTATGCATTTACATTTCCTATTTGAAATAGTTTAAAAAAAAGGTGGAAAATTACAAGAATTTGAGATGTCTTAAAATGAAATATTAATTATTTTCTGGGAGAATTCTAGATTAAATCTCAATAAAAAATGAAACTTATACATTCAATATTGTTATTCAACGAGATATACTCAATATTGACTCTTATCAATGCAATTCTAATATTGTATAAGAAATAATTATTTTAGAATTTGAGAAAAATGCATAGATTATATCAAAGAACAAAATGAAAGGCTACTTTAAGTTGTTATTTATATTATTTTGTACACATTCATCATTCATAAACCCATCCGTGGTCATTGGTATTCCAGTTTACCAATTCTTAAGGTTAGAACCATAAACTGATTTCTCTGTTGGCTGAATCGACTGAGTCTGATCCGTGAATAACATTTCTTCCAACATCAATAGCAAAATCTCCTCTGATTGTGCCTGGTTTTGAAGCAAGTGGGTTGGTTTCACCTAACATGACTCTTCCTGTCTTGACGGCTATGTAATATAAATACAATTTTCTACCGTCCTTTCCTTCCCAAACCATAGCGGCAACTGGGCCTGAACTGACATATTTTAAGAGACTTGGGAAGAAGGGTCTTTCCTTCAAATCAGCATAGTGCTAAGTCAAAAGACCTTAGTCTGGAGCAACGAATTTAAGGGCAACGAGTTTGAATCCTCTGTCTTCGAATCTTTGAATGATTTTTCCGACAAGTCTTCTTTAGACTCCGTCTGGTTTGACCATGATGAAGGTTCTTTCTTGGTTATTCATAAATTTATTTAAATTTAATTTATGTTCAGATTTATATCTTTTTTTATTAATCAATATTATTGTTTTAAGAAATTTAATACTGCGTCATGACTTTTTAAGTAATCTTAATGCAGAACATCACAAGGTTCACTACTTTCCAAATTTTGCAACTTAATCTTTTCTATAGCTTGATTTAGTTCCTTAATCTATTGTTTTGCCAATTAAAGCTCTGTATATAATATTTGCTTTTCTTTGTTCAAAGCTTTCTGCTTTTGGTATTCATCTTAAACATAAAGTCTCTGATTTTCTAATTCCTAATTTTATGGTTTCAATTAATACTTAAATCATCGCTATGATAAGATCATTTTTTCCTTCATTTTAAAACGAAGTTTCTTTAAGCTCATCTATTTATGTTAGCAGCTGTTTTATTTTATTAGATTGATTTTCAACCATATTTGTTAATCGTTCATTGTCATCAATTAAGGAGGTAATTTGATCGATTGGCAATTTTTTGTAAGCATCCAATTATTGCTCTAATTATTTATTCTTTGATTCCAAACTTGCTATCTTTGTTTTAAAATCTTATTATTCTAGTTGTTTTATTTTTATTTATAATGTTTCATTTTCTTTTTTTAACTAATTTACTTATTTTGTCAGTCTCACCGTTTCTCGATCATTAGATTAGCATTGTGCAAATCCAGTTGGAGTTTCTTAACTTAACTACCTTGACATCTAAAACGGTGTTGGACACTTATTAGAATCACTTAAAACTCTAATCAGTTAGGATTTTTACATTATTGATAATTAAAATTTATAGATAGTTGTTATAAATAGTAATCTGATTAAGAATAATATTATTTATTAAATAAAACAGGTAAAGTAGGACCATTTAAAATCTATTTTAGTTTTGAATTGTCATTTTGCTTTAATCTCAATTAGTTATATGTTTTATTTAATTAAGATGGAATAATAATTTAATAAGATTGTCAAATTCAAAATTATTTCCAATTTTAACTTATTTTAGGTAGTAAATTGATTAAATAATTATATTAATTCAAATCACTTTATTGTACTTAAGTTCTAAAGCTAAGGAAGTTTAGTTTTTGCATCTATTTTGGTTAGGTTCATTTTTAAGAATCTCCTCTTATATTTTTTTGTTGCAAAACCAATCTTTTAATAAAACCTTCTTAAATGTGGACAATTATCACCACATCGAGCATGAATTTATCTCATTTTTTTCATGTATTCTCGAAATTCTTCAACAGATATTTATTCATTTCCTATTATTATTTTAAATAGATATTTACCTTGTTTTCCTAATTAATTTCTAATTTATCTCAGAACTTCCCCCATTTACCCATTTTTAGACTGCATTAATCTTAAATAAAGTTTGTCTGATTAATCTTCTTCTGCTTAATCTTCATCCAAAGAATCTAAGGATTTACTAGATTAAGCAGATGAAGGTCTAGGTTTTAATACTTCCTCATCCGAGTCATGTTATTATACTAGCTATTGTTATTTTGTTGTTCTCTTAACTTGCAGTTGTTATTTAAGCATAACCCAATTTTTAATTTATTCTTGTTTACTTCTTTCCAAACCCATACCACCCAACTACTCTAAAATCTAATCTAATAATGACTATGACTTGTCACTAAAATCAAAGATCCCTTCAGTCTAAATTTCTCTATCTTCTGTACCTAGTTTAATTATTTTTACAGTTTTAGTTCCATTCGAAGATATTTGAGTTTCTTCTACAATAATATTACCATTCTTATCTTTATTGAATTTCTTTATTATTTTTTCAACCTTACCATCCTTACCAATTCGAGTTTCTTCTATGATCTATTCTCCATTTAACCCTTTCTTAGTTCTAATAACAACCTTGTTTCCATCTGCATCAATAGTTTCTATTTCTGTAATTTCAAGTCCATCTTTATCTTTATATTACTTTTTCTTCACTGTCATCTTGCTTCCATCAGCATTAGTAGTTACTTCTTCAATAATGTTATTTCCATCCTTATCTTTGATAACTCTGGTCTTGATTAATCTTTTATTTCCTTATTCATCTGTTATAATTTCTTCTTTGATTTCATTTCCATTCCTATCTTTATAAACCTTCTTTTATACAGTTTGTTGCTACCCATTTTCCCCTCTTACTATTTCAACTTCAATAGGATGACCATCTTTATCAATTTAGACTTGCTTTTAAGTATTAGTAATTTTTCCATCAGCCCCAACTATTTGCTTTTACACAATTTCCTTTCCATTTTAATCCTTCAAAGTTTTAGTTATAATCTTTGCACCTGTTTATGGATCAACAGATTCTTCTTCAGTAATGATATTTCCATTTTTATCTTTATATTAACGTTGCTTAACAATTGTGACATTACCATTTTAATCCATGATTTCTGTTTCTATAGTGAATGTACCATCAGCATTCTGTTTCTTTTTAGATGTTTTAATAGTTATAGATCCATCAGCATTAATTGTTTCTTCTTCAATAATATCATTTCCATTTTCATCTTTCTTGATTTTAGTCCTTTTTATTATTTTATTTCCGTGCTCATCTAACATAACTTCTTCTGTAATAGCAATTCCATTTTCCACAACCATTTTTTTCTCCACTTACTATATTTTTCCATTTTTATCTATAATCTATTCTTGAATGATATCTTATCCAAATTAATTCTTTTTGATAGTAGCAATAGTTTTATTTCCATTTGCATCAGTTCTTTCTTCTATAATAACTTAATTTCCATTTGCATCTCTCACTATCTTTCTTTTGACTGTTGTTACATTACCAAACTAATCGATTACCTCCTCTTCAACAACTTCATTACCATCTTTATCTTTATAAACCTTTTACTTTTTGGTTGTTCTATTACCCTATTCATCAATTGTGATTTCTTCAATAATCTCATTACCATCTTTGTCTTTAGTGACTCTCTAAATTTTATGATTAAATAAATACCTTAGCCACTTTTTGTTTTCTACCCTTTTCATCCACAAACTCTTCTTCAACATAATCATTTCCATTTTTATCCTTCTTAACTTTCATTTATTTTATCCTTATTTATTTTTTTCCATTCTCATCTATATACTCTTCTTGTACTTCATATGTCTCTTCTCCATCTTTGGCTTAAACTTTCCTCACCTTTTTACCAGAACTATCTTCAAACCATTCATTTAATTGTACTTAACGACCATCCTTAGTTATTGGCTTTGTTGGTATCTTTATCTTAGCTCCTCCAACAGCAAATCCACCAAATTACTCTAAAAATTATTAAGTTTATTTTGATTATTAAACCATAATTGGTTTATCTCTAGCCCTTAATTCTTCTCCTTATGCATTGACAACAACTTCCTCTTCTACCTCTGTCTCTTCCTCTACCCATTCTCCTTAACTGTTTTACCTTTTGACAAGTTTCATGACTTTTCTCGTGATTATTTTTTCTCCCGGATTCAAAAATTCAGGATCAAACAAAGGATCATAGAATGGCACTTTTGCCAATTTTTATTTTCTGGTTAATTCATCCTTTTTAACTTATCTAGTTATAGCAGAAATATCAGATCCGCAGATCTATTTAAATAGAGGATCTTTCAATAAATCATCAACTACCATTAATTCTTTCATCTCTTATAAATTTAATTTCTCATTAAAATCAATCCTCAACAGATTGTCCAATGAATTCAAAATCAATTTCTTTTGATCCTCACTTATATTGGAATTCTAAATAAATAATCTGAACCTTTCTAAACTTCTATTATACTCCTTCTCTAAACCTGCAACACTATCTATAAGATTCTTTATTCTGAACTTCATCTTTATATTATCCTCAACTAATTTTCTTATTTTTTCTGAATCTGTCTTATTAATAACAGCTTATTATTCACTACTAACCTTTTCTTTTGATTTCAATTATTCCTATAGTTTCCTACTTTCCAAATTAGCTTTTGTTAATTAATTGTTAATATTGCTCAATTGTTGAATATATGCTTCCTTTTCAATACCTAAATCTTTAACTCTTCTCTCCAATTATAAGATCTTGGATTCTCTCTCTGCCCCTTCTTTCCTATGTTATTGCATCTTTTCTTAGAATTCAATTTCAATTTTCATTTTATCAGTCTAACTTGCCACTCCTTCCATGTAAACCAATTATCCATTCTTCATCAATGCCCTACCTGCTTTAATATCTTATATTGCTTTCTCTTAGGCTTATTTTTACACTCCTCTAATGCTGTCCATAAGAGTGTTTTCTAAATTAAATATCTATTCTCTCTCTTTTTGTTATTACTCCTCAATTTCTGCAGCCTCATCATCAATTTCATGCGTAATTCTTTTTTTCTTCCCTAAGTCCTTCAAAACTTCTTTCAAATTGGCTTATGCTTTAGATTCTCCAACAGCCATTAAATCAAGTTTTCTATTTTTTAAGAATTCTGATATCTTCTAACTTTCCTCATCTAAATCATCTTAAATATCCATTAATTCCTTTTATTTTTTCATAAGATGATCTTGATTCCTGGCATTTTTCATATCTTCTCCCGTATCAGTCCCTTTTTCTTCAAATACTTTCTTGAGCATCTTCTTAACAACAGGTTACAGTTACACTATTGAATGAGCCATTTTATTGGTTTCTCGTTCTTCAGGTTAATCAACAGATTTTCTTCTTGTCTATATCATATTTTTCTATAAACTTTCAAGCATTTTATCTGGCTGCACTTCAAAATTAGTATTTATTCTATTTTATGAACAAACACATACTTTAATATATAATGAACAATCAAATTCTACCCATTATAAATTTTATTCAAAGTTTATCTCAATTCACTAAAGTGTGCAACTTCTAACATTTCACTAATTTCATATAGAACGATCTAATAAATTTCATGCATGGTTTTCATTAATTCCATTAACTTTGGTTTTGTCAAATCCTTAGATTATTTTTATTTGAAATCATGATCCACCTTTGATAGTAGCTTATCTAATTTGGCTATTTTTTAAAAATCTAAGCCTCCAGCAAATTGATTATCAATATCTGAAAATCTAGCTTCAGCCATTAAAATAGATTATAAAATTATAATTATTAATAATTACTATGTCTAAACTATTTAAATACAAAAAAGTTGGAAATAACATGATGGTTATTACCAAAGATTCTAATGAATTGATGGAACAATTAAGAATAGAGCACTCTAATCTTTGCAAGTCCATTTCTGAACTTGAGATGAAGAGATAGTTGATAGAGGATAAAATGAGAGAATTATCAATCAAGTTAAATTCCTCCTCATAGCCTAGTGATCAACCAGACATCCCCAAACTTATATATAAATTTCCTTGTGATTCCCAATAAGATCAAAGAACATTAGATGAAGAAGTAATCTTTCAAACTAATGATTATTAAGAATTCATTCCTGATTTTTAAGCAAGTGAAACGAAAACTAAAAAAGAATTATTTAATTATTTTAGTTATAAATCAGATGTCAAAGATCTATTCAACGATCTTAATGATGCTAATAATCTTAAAAGGCTTGCAGAAGAATTTGGAGTTAAATCAAATAACAACAATAAAATGAAATAACAAGTTCAAATGATTTAGAATTACTTATAAAACCAATCGTTTCCATCTAAATGGAATAATATCTATAATGCAGAATTATTTGATAAATTAGAAATTTGATCTATACATCATAACTAGTTATATATATAATTATAGTTCAATTTTTTCTGTGTAAATCTATTTTTTCTCCCCATCTTTTCTCAAGTCTTTCTAAATTTGCAACAGTTTCATCATATTTCCTCTTCAAAATATGATATTCCTCATTTCTTTCGGATAATTCTCTTGACTTTCTATTCATTTCATTTGACAAACCATTGACTTTTTGTTGTAAACTTAAATTCTCTCTAGATAGATTTTCTAGAGCAATCTAAAGATCTTATTGTCTCAAAGCTGATCCTATAAATTAATAAATTTAAATAAGTACTCCTACTATCATCAGATATTTTCTTGCTTTACAATTCTTTCCTCATATCCTCCAAATTTTAATGCAATTAATCTGTTTCCTCTTTTCTCTTTTTTAACATCTCACTCAAATGCTATTATTCTTATCTAGATTGAGTTAACTCATTTTTATAATTTGCAATTGTGGCTTAATGTTGATTCAGTAACATTCCTTATCTTAATAGTTCTTCTTAAACATTAAAATTATTGCTTCTCACCTTCTCAACCTCTGATTTCAAGGCCTCTATTTAATCATTCTTACTCAAGAGTTCAGCTTATAGTTGTTACTCGCGTTAATCGTAATCAAATGAAGAAAGAGCATTTCTCTTATCTAACATTTTTATTTGTTAATCCATAGTTTATTTCAAGTCTAGAATTTCCTGTTCTTTTACCTGTAAAAGTTCTTCCTATTGTAATCTTAAATTTTTCAATCTTCTTTCAAGATCATTTACATTTTCTTAGCAAACTTTCTTTTAGACCTCATATTAATCTCTCATTCCACCCATTTCTTCAATTAATTCATTTAGTTATCTCTCTTTTTCTTATGTTTTTCTCGCTTATAATGATATCATCTCATTCAACTCTGTAACCTGATACTTCATCTCAGATTTTACAGCTTGCATTTGTTTTTCTAGTTTCTCATATTCCATTCTAACTTACTATTCATTTTACTTTAATCCATCAATTTATTAAAGTAACTGTTATTATAATGATGTCTACTATTATAATTACTAATTCATTTGATCATATTATGTTTAAAGTTAATGATTTCTATCAGTAGATTTCTTTAATTCACCTCTAGTAAAGGCCAATTCTTGATTTAATGAATCAAGTTTCTTTTCAGTATTCCTCAAATCTTCCTACAATTTACCTTTTCTAAGATCAATTTGTTTAAACTCTTCTAACAGCTTTTAATAATCTTGTTTTGCCATCTAAACTTTATCCTCTGTTCCCTTTAACATTTAATTTAAAGTATTAATTTAATTTCTATACTCTCTCTCTAACTCATTTTTCTATTTTGACAAATTGGATAGTTCGATTTCCTTGTTTTAAAGTCCATTCTTTAATTATTCATTCATAATTTCAAGATTATGGCATATCTAAATAGATTGTTCCTCAGAGATGCTCTTTTCTTTGAGAATGGATTTTATTTTATCTTCCAATTTCTAAATCATATCATTCTTGCTGTCAATCACCTTAGAATCAACTTGATTATGAGCCATTTCTGCTTTTAAATTGTCATTCTCTATTTATAATTAAAGTAATTTTAATTCCAATTGTTCTGATTATTTGCTAGTGCTAGAATGAATTGATTTAATGATTAATGGGGACTTTGGAATCTCTTTTTAATTATTCTTTTCTGTTAATAATTACTTGTATTTCACTTCCAATTATTCTAATTCATTTTAGAGTTATTGATTTTTCATTTTATAAGTATTAATTTCATCATTTTATACCCTATTGTTGGTTTAACATGATAAGCTCTTAAAGCTTTCTGATTACATAAGTTTATTTTTTAGTTCTTCATTTTCCTTTTAATTGATTTGGAGACACTCAAAGACTCTATTAAATTCTTTATTAGCTTGACTAGCCTTATCTTCAGCTAATTATTTCTTTCTAATCTCTTCTGTGACTTTTTATTCTTGTTCAATCAAATTTTTATTCAACTAAAAATATTTATTGATTATATTACTTTCTAATTCTCTTAAACTAATGCAGTCATCTTGGTCTATAATTGTTCAAGGATATTTTTCAATTTGTTGTAGTCCTCAGCCATTGTAGATATCTTTGAATCATTATCCACAGGCTCATTATTAGCTATTTCTTCTAGTTTTCTAAAATTTGCTAAAATTTCAATCATTTTATCATTTATTTGATCTGGTAGTCTACCATCACCCATCATCTTCTGTATTGATGACATCAGTTCTCTCAAAGCTCCTGAGATTCTAAATATTTCAGTTTATAGCTTGGGTTTTGATTATATTAGATTAATATTTTAGGAAGATAATCTACTGTTACCAACAGTTGGATGATTATCTGTTAATAAGGATTTAGCTTAAAATTATTAGTAGTTTTCTTTGGAATCAATAAGAGTTGTTCCATCTTTTTTTGAGGTATTGCTTTTTCTTTCTGTTATTTATTCTCTATTTGCATCACTTTAAAAAGTACCAGCAAAGGTTTTGTTGTATTCATACTTATAAGTTTCATATTGTGGTTTAATTTCATTCTAAGATTTAATCACCTCTTATTGATTGTGAGGCTTAAAAATGTCATTAATCGACCCATTCTTCATACTAGGCTTGTATTGATAGGAATTTTCTAATTTTTAAGGTGGAGAAGGTTAAATGATAACGTTATTCTAACTTACTTATTTACCATCAAATTAAGGCGATTGCATGTATGGTGATGGCCCATATTGTTGGATCTTGGCTTGTGATTATGTTTTTGGGCAATAGATTTATTTATCTGGAGATTACATAGAAAAATTTCCCATATCTTTGGACACAGAGAATTGCCTATTCATTGCTGAAATTTAGGATGGCTTCTATACGCTTTTCATTATATGCTGTTAAATAACTTTATTTATTTTTCTGTTAAAATTAATATATTATTTTACTATTATTAATGTAAATACGAAATTCCTGCGTTTTTAATCTAATTTTATTAAGGGATTATATATATATCCAATATTCTTAATTAGAATGAAGTATAACACCTATCAAATAGATTTCATGTTTGTTTATTAAAGAATTAAAAATAGATATAAAAATATGATGTATGAAGAAAAGTGCACTTCAATGAGTTTTGAAATCTTTCTAGAAAATTCAATAAAAATCAATCAAGAAATATCAATCTAAGACACTTTGAAAGCACTCAGTTCTGTAATATCTTTGGCCAACTTAAAAGGTAATTTATTTCCATTTGGGTCATTTTGCAATGGATTCCAAGGAAATAATAGTGACTTAGATTGTGTTCTCGTGACGGATTCAGAATTGAGTATTGAAACGATTTTAAGAAATCTTAGGAAGGCAGTGAAGGAATACAAATACACCTATTAGACGCCTTTATTAATTTTTGATGAATTGATTTTATATGCAAAGGTAAATAGCATCACTTATAATAAGGTCCCAATAATCAAGATTACTGACATAACAAATAATATAGCTATCGATTTAAGCATAAATAATATAAATGGGGTGTTGAATTCTAAGCTTTTAAAAGAATATTCTCAAATGCATCCCAAAATCCAATAATTAGGACAGTTATTAAAACTATGGGGGAAGAATTAACGTCTGATAGTAACTGGATAATTAACATCATATGCCATTTTGTTAACATTAATCCATTTTCTTTAATGCAAATATGATGTGCCATATTTATCAGATATTGAACTTACTAAGGAATAGTAATCAGTTTTAGAATATTTTGGTGTTCAGCCATTCTTTAAATTAGGACTCAAACCCAACTTGCACAGACTCTCAAATACAACTCTATAATAACTATTATTTGAGTACTTTTAATATTATGAACCATACGGAGAATTCGAATAGAAATAGATTTGTGTTTCTCTTCATTCTATTCAAAGACCAAATAAAGATTTTCAAAAAAGAACATTGAAAATTTTAGATCCCATTGATCCCAGAATTGATCCAAGTAAAAATATCAAAAGCAAATGTTATCGAATACAATAACATTTTTTAAGAGCCAAAGAACTGATATCAAAGGATCAAAAGTCATTTTTATATCAATGTTAGGCTGTCAAAACTGGAAACAATCGTGTTAAAAGGAACTACTCAAAAGGAGAATCAAAATATAAGAAAAAAAACAATTTTAGAAGAAGATGATGAGAATATTGAGATTGTAGGAGTATGAATCTCATCATATTATTAAATTATTTTATACATAATATTAGTAATAAATATTCTACAATTCGGAAATTTGATGTAATATAATTACAGCTAAGTTTTCGAGGATCAATTGCTGAGTTTAATTAATTAGGAAATACCTAATACTTTACACTTATCTCTAGAAGCATTAGGTAAGGCACTTAAGATGACAAAATTAAAAGGGGCCTTGTATCCTTTTGGGTCTTATTGTAATGGATTTGGAAGCGAAATTAAAGATTTAGACTGTGTCTTCCTAACTCCCTGTGATGATAAACCTTCAAGTTTATTAAGGTAGGTTCAAGCAGGAATTAGAGCTTATAACCAAGAAAATCTATAGCCTACATTAACAGTTCAAGCAAATATCACTCATGCCAAGGTATGATCAAATATGCTAAAAGGTTCCGATTATTAAATTGGTCGATACTACAAATAATGTTGAAATAGATTTGAGTGTTAATAATATTAATGGGATTGCTAATTCCAAATTACTCTATGAATTTTCAGAACTGCATCCTAAAATTAAACAGATGGGACTATTATTAAAATTATGGGGCAAAAGAAATAGATTAATCAAAACTGGCTCTTTAACATCTTATAGTATTATTATCTTTATGATACACTTTTTATAAGTAAAATATAAAGTTCCTTACTTATCTGACTTTGAATTGAGTGAATAGCAACTAAAAGACTTAGAACATTTAGAAAACAATCCCTTTTTTTAAATAGGTTTAAAAGTTGATTTACCTGAACTCACCTAAACTTCTTTATAATAGTTAATGTATGAATTCTTCTTGTATTATTAACCTAAGGGTGAATTTGAATTAAAAAACATTTGTATATCAATTCATAGAGTGCCTATTTAAAATATTCACCCTAATTTTACCTTGAAGATTTAGGATCCCATTAATATGAGATATGATCCAAGCAAAAGGTTTGAACATTAATGTTTTGAGTTTTAGAATGCTTTTCTTTAGGCCAAAACATTGATATAGTAACATGATATACGAGCATTTGATTATAATGATATTAAAAAATCTAAAGGTAATAAGGGTATCAAAGTGTATTAATAAGTTCAATAGTTCTGAATAGAAGTGGATTATTTGAAGATTATATAAATTAACATTTGATATTTATTTATTCAATTAATTCAATATTTTACAACTCCAGCTTATAACATATGAAAGTCAAGTACTTCTACTTCTGTTTGATTCAAATTTCCATTATGACCACATCCCAAAGGAATTAAGGAACCTAACTAATTCTTTAATGATTCATTAATTTTTGATGCTTCTTAAATTAAATAAATTACTTGATTTTTTTTCTTCTGCCTCCTTCATTTCGATTTAAATTGATTGATGTGATGGTTATTGAAGTTAATTTCTCATTGTTTTTTTAAAGTTTTCTCTTATCAATTTAAATCTTTAAATAATTAATTCCAAATCTTAAATTAACTATTTTATAGTAATTCATAATTACTCTAGTTCCATTAGGAGAATCTAAATTGCTTTTTTCATTCTTAATTAGAGTTTCAATTTTATTAATGTTGGAAGTAAATCTCGCGAAAGCTAACTTTTAACAAACAACAGTATTCATTTTTTTTTTTGGAATGTTTTTGAGAGGAAGGTAAGATCCCCAAAAGAAGATACTTAGTAGGTAATCCAAAAAGACCTCATATTGTTGTGATTCTTTGAAGATTGAAAACACATCATTCAAAGTCATAGAAGCGGTTTCGAAGGATTCAAAACATTCCCAAATTTTCTTTATGAAATTGAGGAGATTTTCATTAGATTTCTCTTATTCAGATAAATTATAAGGTCCTGCCAATTAAGTAACCTTGATCATAGTAATTACAATCTTTCATACCTCATCAATATCAACAGTTGAATTTTGACTCTATGAAAATTACTTCTCGATTTCCTGTGACTCATTTAAATAAGTTGAATAAGAATCATCTAAGGTTTTTTTGATTCTTTCAGTTTCTAATTATTTCATGATAGATTGGATTCTATTATGATATCAAAAATTTACCTTTTGTTTGCATCAAAAAATGTGAGCATTTCTTATTTATTTAATAACTGAGTATACCAAATATCATAGAAAGTAGTACTCCCTGATTTTGACATCCACGGTATATATCTTAAGACTTTTTATAAAAATGTATCGCTATGATCACTTTATTTAAACTAATAATAGAATATTAGCAAGTACATTCTCATCATTTTAATATTAGCTTCCAAATTCTCTCAAGAATATCTATCTAGTGACGTCAACTTTTAGTGATGAAAGATATGGAATGACTTCATCTTTTTAATCTAAGGCTAAAATCTTATAGCTTTAGCATTCGACATAAGATTTGGCAGAATCATAATTCCATGATGTTAACAATTTAAACAAAAAGCTAGCGTATTTTGAAAATCCAACTTAAGCAATATTGCTTATACTTGAGAATGTTCTGTCTGCAAATAGTAAGTTACATTGTCTGACTCTACCCAAATGACATGCAACCATTCCTCCTAGAGATTCACCGTGAAATATCAATTAACTCACTTTTAATTGAGATGTTACAAAATCACAAATGGATTCTGCATCCTTCATGATATCCTTTGTATTTGGCAATCCTTAACTGTCACAATAGCCTCTATAATTCCATAAAAACATGGATATCCCACGCCTTAAGTAATAATCAATCCATTCTGATTCATAATACATGTATTCATAATATCCAGCATTCGGTTAACAAAATATAACTGCTTTGTCGTTCTCCATGTCATCTTCGTTGGCACATATATACAAACTTTGATAGTCTAATCTATTATTACCAATCAATCAATTTCCGATCGTATCCTTGCACTTTTAATCTTCTAGTTTTAAATGTATTTTCCAATTCGACTCTCATTTGATCAACTGTTCCAAGAGTCTTATTAAAGATCCATCTTTCAGCTTCTAAAATAAAGTTTTTGGGCATATATATTTCTTATAATTGCTGAGTTAGCTTTTCCAAAATTATGAGCAAATTAGATAATTGTTCTGAATCGACTTGCACACTTTATTTGGAATAGTTAATTAAATCCTATGGATTATCTAAGTGATCATAGAGAGATTTAGATTGGATTAGAACATCCTTTAAGAACTGTTCTAATTATTGACATAAGCCAAAGAGATGTTGTTATTATTCATTCAATTCTTTTCTATAGTTTAATGATGAAAAAGTATTTAAAAATGACTATAGAGTTTTTTTTATTGGTATTAAATCTTCAACTTTGATTTCTTTTGTGCTAATTTACCTTAAATAAATTACTCAGGTATCAATAGTAATATCCTTATCAAATTTTATAAATCCTCCATTCTTTTATTTGCCCTTTTAGCTAAAGCCTTAGCATATCTATTTTCCACATTCCTTCTCCATAACCAATAGGAACCTGGAAATACAAATAATCTGATTGTATTCTTTATGAAAACATATAAACCAACAACAAAGATCTAAAATTTAATTAATGAATTTTGAATTACAAAGTGACCCAGAACTCCAAATTGCAATACAATCAGCCAATCTACAAGATATAAGATTCCAAGTAATAATATAATAACTCCTATGATAGCCATTATTTTCTTTTTCTCATCCGTAATTTACATAATTAATATTAAAAATAATATTTTGCATAATCTAATTCAAAAATTCCGTAATCTAAGTAAGTCTTTCCCATCCATCCAATAATATAGGTACCAGAATTACCGACCTTATATTAAAAGCCAGCATCAACTCTCACTTTACTGTTTAGGATTTCTAAAAATAGAGAATGACAGACAGAATTACAATATAATGATGAATTTATTAAATTAATTAAATTTAAGCCTTTATTATTTAAAATAGAATTTTACATGTATAAAATATTATGGCTTAAGAAAAGAGGTCTACATGTAAAGCAGAAAACTTCGGAATATTATGTAAACCTTGATTAAAAAAATTAATTGATTTTCATAATTTATTATCAAAATTAAATATTATGTTTCTTAAAGATTTCCTTATTGATGACATCAAATAATAATAATCATAGAATCAAGTTTATGGGTAATCATAAGTTGATGATAATTAAAATTCAGTAAATCTATAAATTAAATAGAAAAGAAAATTTAGGCAGATGTCATAATTCGAAATAGAACATACACAAAAAATTTGGGAACAAATGAGGCGTAGTATGATTTGTAGGAGGTCGATTTTAATTCAGTAAATTGATTCAATATACTTAGATTCTATTTGAAAATGAGAATGAGAATAAAGACTAATTGCTATTCCAAATTTAGACAATTAATTCGACTAATTCAATGAATTAACCAGAAATCGTCGATTTTGAATAATGTAGAGCTTCCATAGAAGAAGGTTGTTAGGAGAGAGATTAGTAGTAATAATTAAAGAATTAAGAAGTATTAGAATAAGAAATTCCAAATTAAAATACAATTAGCGAAAGTGAATAAGAGTAGGTTTAAAATGAAGAAATTGCATTTAAAAGTGAGGATAAAAACTTTGAAGTTCTTAATTTTACTGAAATTTAAATCCCTGAACAAACTAAAGTTATGCAATCTAAACCTTATTCAGAAATAATAAGGAGTTTGGATTAGACTGATTATATGGGGGAGTTCTTAGTTGCTCCATTGAAATAGGCTGGAATGTTGTAATGTGTAATTAGGAGGGAGAGTTCTGGTTTAAATAGTTTTAAACCAAAATATAAATTGTATTGGTAAGAAAAAAAGTAGTTTTTGATATCAGCGAGGAAATAATTGAATAAACATAAATATAAGTTGTCATAGGACCCAGATTTTTCATCTAAATTTGATGCTGCTTTGATAGGAAGAGTAGAATAAAGCAAGTAATCAAAAGCAGATTACTTTCTATTTGACAATGGAGTAAAAACAGATAAGGAGAAACATTCAATTATCAATACTAAACCTAGGATATAGTTGGGAGGAGTGTTCTTTGAAACTAACCAAGTTGGATTAAAATAACCGAGGAAAATGATGGTGTTATTGAAATAGAATGGAAATGAAAATTAGATTACAACATTTGAAAATAGATAACCAGTTCTTAAGAAACAATTTGATTGTAATTAAATAAATAACAATAGAAACCATTTACACTCTTGACTTTTTTGGGAGAGTTAAACAAGCTTCTGTTAAAAATACTTAGTTAATTATGAAAAATGAGACTAAGGATTTGATTTATTTTCAATTAGGAAAAGTTAATGATTAGTAATTTAATTTAGATTTCATGAGTCCTTTTAGTCCCCTATTGGCATTTTAAGTTGCATTAACTATATTCGATTTTTAATCAAAATGATTCAATATTTATTTAATTATGTAAAAAGTATATTTTCCTGGTGAATTAATAAAGCATAAGAATGAATTATAAAGTGGCATTGGCACATACGTGAAAGATGATAAAATATTTGCATCAATGAAGGGAAGTCTAACCATGAATGAATAACTAATATCCATATTCCCATCCCATCAATAAGATCCTGAATTAAAAATAGGGGCCATCATAATTGGCTAAGTCAATAGCATTCGAGAAGACAGAGTATTTGTTAGAATTTTAAAGATAAATGGGGTGAAAGTTAATAACTACATTGAAGGTGTATTGAGGTATTGAAGTTAAGTAAATATTAGAAAATAAAACATAAGATTACATGAAATTGACTTGTTGGAAATGAATAAATGTTACTTGCCAGGAGACATCATAAAGGCAAGAATGATCTCTTACGGAGATTCATTAAAATTGTATTTGAGTACAGCAGAGGATGAATTAGGAGTACTTTTTGCTAAACACTAAGAAACACAGAAATTGATGATTCCCTTATCCTGGGATGAAATGCTTTGTGTAGAAAGTGGTTTGAAAGAGAAAAGAAAAGTAGCTAAGCCTAATTTCAATTAATTGGTCTGATTTGTCCATAATTTATATAATCGTTTATATGTATCTAATCCTCATTTTTTACTTTTTGGTTTGCTTGAAAAGATCTTCACTTTCTATTCCCCTGATTTAGCTTCATGCATAATGTGTTAAGCATCAGTTTACACTTATTTTTATGGAGGACTCGTTGTTGTTGTTGCAACATCATTATTCAAATCAGCTCTATCTTAAACAACAGCTTTAACAATAGTTTAGATATTCATGTTATTTTATCTCTCTAATATTGTTCCAGGCAAGTATTTAGGAATTCCAAATATTCTAAGTTAAATAGTCTTATTTACTTTCTGATCTTCTCTTGTCTTGCTAGAGCTGTAATAATTAAATGGCAGAATGCAGAGGAGCACCAATAAAGATTAACGCCAGCTGGGAAAAAGATAACAACAGGAATAGAAAAGAAGGGCAAGAACCTAACATATCTGTAATACTTTGCAAAAGGTACAGTAGATTATGATTACATGTTAGGATTCAAAGAGATGTTCCAAAATGTGAAAAAGGAACTCATAATGGGCAATATTCCGTAAGGATCATACTCACTTAAATCTTGGAACCTGTTAATTAATACTATTATTACCATAAAAATCCTTGACTTTTTAGTCCCTCATATTTATCCGGCAAAGAACAGACATATCTCAATGATAAAAACCATGTGAATAGGAAGGGCATTTGTAGTATTGACAATCCAGGAATAAGCATATTGATGTTATGCTTTCTTTTGAACAGTTTAAATTATTTTTATGCTGCTCTACTAGCCTTGAAGTCCTGTGCTCTCATTGCTCGTTAAATCATATTTTAAAAGTTTTTAGATTCAGGTTCGATTAATTTCATGCGACAAGCATTTAATTATGCAGAAAACATTAGAGGTGTAAATGCTATCTTTATACCCATTGATATTGCTAAGATTCCCCATCCCATTCCCCAACTCTTTTAAATAAATATGCAATATTTACTAAATCATTAGCCAAATAAAGTAGTAATTCTCTTGAGTATTCATCTAATGAATTGTACATGTTGGTAGGAGTATATGCAGAGAATCTTGTAATCAAGTCTTCTACCATAATACTAGAAGGAGCAGTCAACCCTTATTATACATTGGCAAAATCAAAGACACCTGTAGGTATTTTGCTTGAGAATTTGTATAACTTAAGTGTTCTCGATATCATAAATATAATTTTATCATTTTATAAAATTTTGTTTAGTTCACTTTACATAATGTGAGGAGACTATAATTCGAATATTGCAGTTTTCATTTGCTTTAAACATCAAAATGAACAAATTTGAGTATCTTCTGGTTTTCAAAAAATAAAGAAACTTAATTAGAAGTTCAATATAGAATAAAAAATCAAGATGATTAAAATTATAAAGTAGATGTTCAAATAAATGTCTAGAAAGGATCTAGAATAGTAATGAGATAATAAATTAGGCAGCTATCTCATTTTAAAAAATGATAAATGATAAATTGAATTTGAATTGTTTTTTTTTATTTTATCGATCTGCATTTAATTGGGATTGTAGTTATGTTTATTTTGTTATAGTTGCAATCGTTCGGCTTACTCTCACAGTCAGTTAATAAATAATAAATAATATTAATATTGGAATATATTAAAATTCAAAATTAATGTAATATAGATCAAGTAAACCTCCTCAATCGGTGAAGAACAAACCGGGGTCATTCTTTCCAAAGCAACCCTACTCACCAGCAAAGTCACATATAGAACACTTTGTATCTGAAAATCCTACACCCCATTATCGAAAATAATAATAGGCTTATCCTACAAGACAAAATTCGTTTAATATGTCAAGTGGGGAAAGTCTAGAATAATTTCATAGAAAGCGTTAAAATTCCAATTTTAGTTAAGATAAGAAAGCAAAAAATTAACTGTATAATATTTTATTCAATAACACAAATCGTAATGGTAGTTTTTGCCAAGACACCATGTAAAATATGATCATATACAATTAGGAAGAAGCAAACTAGACAAGGCTCATTCAATAGTTAAGGGTAAAACTGGTACCTCCCAAGCAAATAGAAGTTATCCTAAACTATGTAAAAAAAGCTATCCAAGAATAACAACAGCATGGATGGGTAGCAGACGTTTGATATTAGTTTCGAAAACAATGTAATCAAAGGTTATTAGGACTATAGTGGTTTTTAGAGTGACACAACCAAACCTTCAGAAGAATACAATCCTAGATCAATCAAGTTATTTGAAAAGGGTAAATAATTGTTAAGAGAAAAGTAAATTGATGAGGCTATTGAGTAAACAATTCATTTATTCCAAGTTTATTAAAAAAATGCATAGAAGTGGACACCAGATTGTTAGAGGGCCATTATTTTTTGGGAATAGGTTATTTGGGGACTCAAATGTATTAAAAAGCTATTGAAGAATTCTAGCACGTAATTTAGTAGGATGCAGTTCATCGCAAAAACATTTATCTCCTATTAGCCATTTCTCATAAAAAGTTGAATGAAGTAGATTAGGCTATTCAAATACTCAATAAAGTGATAGGGATGTTCCCTCGATATTACGACGCTTACATATACAGAGGCAAGTTATATATCAAACTCAATCAAATTGATAAGGCTGAATAGGATTTTAATATCGCCATTTAATTAAGTCCACAGAAAGGTCTAGGTTATTTGGGTAAAGCAGATTGCTTGAGAATGTAAAGCTAATACAAAGAAGCAATTAAATCTTACTAAAAAGCCATCAATTGCGAATAAGCAGTTGGAAATGCGGCTATGCTTAAGAAGGCCATTACCTTATTCGAAAGCTAATAATATGAAGAATGTGCAAAAGATTTAACAAAACTGTTAGAAACTGACCCAACTAATTCAGAAGCCTATTATTTCAAAGGATTAAGTAGATTGAAAATAAGTAATTCACTTTTTTTATTTTAGAGAATGCAACTGAAGCATTATTATGTTTTGAATAAGCTATAAAACACAACAATTCTAAAAAAGCTGTTACCAAATCGTTGTACGAAATAGCTAAGATGAAAATTGAATAAAGAGACTTTTATGCTGCTTATCACACATTAAATAGATCTTCAATGTTGGACACAGAGAAAAGTTATTTAGAAAAATTTCGATTGTTCACGGAAGTACATTAATAAGTTAAACTAGGCTGTAATATTTTTGATGAAAAGAAAATTCTAAGAAAGCATGCTTAATTTTCAAGAAATCTAAAATAACCATTAATTAAATGATTTTTTAAAGCCCTTATTTTTTGCGTATAGAGCGTATGGATACTTTTGCTTGTCTAAACATTAAAAAGCACTGGATGATTATAAATATCTATTAGAAATCTAACCAGCTGAGTCAAGTATTCATTATAACAAGTTTTTATGCGAAGGAATCTTAAAAGTGTAATCAGGGTTATTCACTGCAGGTATGGAGTTCTTTTAAAGAGCTTAGAAGATATTTTAAAAGAAGATGGAACCTACATTCTATCTGGCTGTAACTTATATTAATTAATCTTTCAAAAAAAAAAGTGATTAGTATAAAGATGTTATCAAAGGACTAGAACTATTAGACAAAGCCAACAGTATGAACGATTAGAATGCCAATTTATATTATATTCGATCTATTGTGAAGTGTTTTTTAGGCTAAGTGAACGAAGCTCTGATGGATATAGAGTCTGCAATCCAAAAGTCAGAAGATAACATCGCTAAGTATTTCTATTTCAGAGGAATGGTTTTTGGATTACTTAAATAATATAAGCATTCTTTAAATGACTTTAGTATTTGTTTGACACTTGATGAAACCTTTGCTGATGCTTATTTAAATAGAGCCAAATGCCATTTTTTAAGTGGGGATTCGAATTCTGCTTTTTAAGATTTGCAATAGTGCATTCAGATTCTATAAGATGATCCAAGAATGCATGTATGGGCTGGTAATTTTTTGTTTGCGAATGCTGCAATTGAAGATGCCATAAAAGCTTATTCAAATAACAAAGACTATAAAAATAATCCTAAATTATTAGAATTACGATCTGAATGCTATATGGTTTTAGGTGATCTGAATTAATGTTAAGAGAATATTAATAGGTTGTATAAATTAACAAAAGAGAAAACTGCTGAATTTGATAAGGATATGCTACAAGCTTTAAGATTAGTGTTCAAAGATGACTAGTAAATATATTTCAATGAGGAGAGTGAAAATGAGTAAATTGAGTTCAAAAATAACCTTAATAAAGCAATTAATAGTTTGAAATTATGTAGAGGAAATGGTAAATTGTTTCAGTAGTTTCACGTTTTCATTTTTAGAGGAGTCTTCCTGTTTCATTTAGAAAAATATGAGGAGGCTCTAAGAGACTTTTAAATGGCAAGTAGTTAAAAAGAACTCTCTATCACAGAGAAGAGATTGAAACAAAGGAGAAGCGAGTCAGATATTTTTAATGAAGAAGATTTTCATGAGCTAACCGAAGATGAGGAAGATGCTGATTTGTTAGAAATGTTAGAAATTCAATTTAATGAATTAATTTGTTTAGTTATACTCAAGTAATTCAAGAAAGCCAAGGAAAAATGCAAATAATTGATTGAGAATATTAATGAAGCAAAGTAAGAGGGTTTATAAATTTTATTGATGCATATTGAATAAATCCTTATGAAAGATTAACAAAATATTGATTATTAAAGAGTAATTTGTCTTTATGATGAACCTAAAGAGAATATTATTTGCTTTTAAGTACCAATAGTTTTTGTAAGTGGATTGAAAATACGTTTATCATTTAGTTTACCAAAATTATCTCCTCCATCTTTATCCATAACTTTTGATAGAAAATTAGTTTAAGACATTGGAGTATTATATTCTCATTTATTATTTTAGCCATTATCTGTTGAAAATAAGCCAGAAGCTCCTTGGATAAGAAGAGAATAATAAGATGACATGATCATTTTTACAGAAAATGTTTAATTAGTAGATGATATTAGATTAGAGACTGAAAAAGATGATGAGTAACCTCAATAACAATAATAAATGTTAGAAATTACTTAAATTAAAAATAATCTTATGTTAGATAAAGATATTGAAGAAAAACTGTAAAGATTTTTCGAAAAAAAAAATAAATAAAAATGATTTATTATATAATTAAATATCTAAAATTTTCACTGACTAGAAATAATAATTTTAAAAGAAAATTCTATTCTTTATCAAAGATTGTATTTCAGATATATTATGCAAGAGAATATTATATAGATTTATTTTATCCATATCCATAATTTTTTTATCCTATTATATAGGAAAATAGTTACTATTTAATTCTTTTATTTTTAACACTTTCCTTTTGATTCAAATTGAATATAAATCCATTTAACTACAATTCTAATATCTTATATACACACTCCAAAGAGATTAAATCATAAATGTAATTAAAAATTTGTTTGATTAATATTTTTGTTTATTCATAAATTATTAGAGAGATTCAATTCAATAGGTATTAATGGCCAGCTATCATCTGAACAATATATATTTCTATATTCAATTATGGTGTGACGAGTAGTCATTAAAAATTTTAAATTAAATTAAATCTTTTATACAAATAAATGTCTTTGGTTTTGGAAAAGGCTGATTCATTCAGACACATTATTCGTATTTTGAACACAAACGTTGATGGAAAATAAAGACTTGCTTATGGTATTAGAAGCATTAAAGGTATCGGCAGAAGATTTGCTATCTAAATTTGCAAGGTATTTAATGTTTTTAATCATTCTATAGGTCCTCCGTCTTGATCTTACAAAGAGAGCTGGTGAATTGACTGACGATGAGGCTCACAAAATCACAGAAGTCATCAAATCACCAGAAGCTTATAACATCCCAAGATGGTTTTTGAATAGACAAAGAGATTTTAAGGATGGCAAAAATTATTAAGTCACAACAAACGAATTGGAAACCAAATTAAGAGAAGATTTAGAAAGAATGAAGAAAATCAAGTATATCAATTAAATTATGTTAAGGTGTAATCGTGGTTTGAGACATCATTGGGGATTGAGAGTCAGAGGACAACATACTAAAACCACTGGTAGAGGAGGATAAACTCTTGGAGTTGAAAGAAAGAAGAAGTGATTAATAATTTATTAAGTACATTAAAAATAATAAATGGACTAATTATGGTTTAATGAATGGTATAACTTCTAATTTATTTGTTAAAATTAATAATACAGAATATCAAAATTCGTGTATATTTTGATCCTCTAATGTCCTCAACCTATATGAAATACATTATTTCAAACTTTCATGCATTATTTAGTATTTTATATAACAATTACTACCAAGAAATTGTTAATAAGATCACAATTAGAGTTAATAATTGAGTCTGAAAATCACACTTTTTTGATAGTTTAAGAGGATCGATTATTGCGCAGCTGAAACTCTCATTTTTTATATTGGATGACTTATTAATAAAATTTCTATTTTAAGAATCAAACTATTCTATTTTCTTTTACCAATAGAATTTGATTAATATTAAAAAGTAAAAATACTATGATAAGAAATATGAAATTCTATTTATATATTAGGGTAGGGTAGACAATGCTACTCTGTTGAAGTAACAAATTGCTGAGGAAAAATAACTATTGGTAGATTTCATGATTTAGTATGGAAATAATTATGAAGAATACTAATATTATTATATACTGTAAAATTATTTCAATTAGATTACTATAAAATATTAGAAAATTATACGAGCTTATTCTCATATAATATATATATTTATCATTTTAAAGTTTATCCTATAACTACATTGAATGTATTCAGTTATTAGAATAGTTTAATAGTATTTTTATATATTCTTTGTTTCTGTCATCAAAGTTCGATTGAATTTATAGTATTAGAGTTTAAGAATATGAGTTGTTCTTGCATTTTCATTTATAATCACAATGAATATTATTCTAACAAATATTTATTTAGCTTATACTGCTTTTCCGGATGGATAATGTGTTTTTAGAAGGAGGGAAGTTTATGAATACACAATTTAAATGAGATAACGATGATTTATGAATAAATTAATTAAAATAAACATAATTTATCAGAATTAAAGCTATCATCCCTGATCAGGGATATTAAATTAATATAATTTATAAATTTAATGACAGACACAGTTACATAAAGTATTCCAAGAAGAGAAAAAACATGGGCAGAATTAGCCGAAGAAGAAGATGATTATTTGGAAGAATTATAAAATTAAGTTTAATTTTTAAATTATACTTAGAATAAAAATGAATCAAGTCAATTAGCGGGAAAATAATTAACTAACTTTCAGAAAAGAATGATCGAAAGGATACAAAAATGTGATAAACCCATAGAAGTAGGTCTATAATAAGTTCGAGATACTATAACGATGGAAGAAATTATTATTGCATTTAAAAAATACAATATAAGAGATTGCTATTTTAAAAATGACAATTGCTTCTTTTATTTGCCAAAGGAGTAATCCATTAAATTAGTCGAAGAGAGCAATCTAAGAATCACTATAAACGGTAGGAGTATTTTGATAGTGATCCTACCATTAAAAATTTGATTGATATATAACATTTTATATCTACTTAGTGATATCACATTAATTGTTCTAATTAACTATAACTAATAGATCCTGGTTTTCTTTCTATATAAAGCTCAGGTTGGGAAACTTTTTAAAACTATTTATAATCTACTGGATAGTCTAACACTTTCTGTATCAGATCTTAATATCCCATTAACCCTTGAAAGATAAATGCATGCATTTATAACTATTTATAAATTTAAACAATTACATCTTCTGGTAAGAGTTGTTCTAGCTTGTCAAATTTAATAAATTAGAAATTCTATTTGATTTCTGTTATACTCAATCTTAAATATTATAGGGCTGTCTTGTAAAAGGAATCTGATTCAAGTAAATGATTATTGCATAGCACTCCAATTATTAAATCTTTTTGGAAATCTAGTTTGAATTATCAAATAATTTACTATTTTTATTGGCTAATTTTAAGGTTTTGTCAAAATGTCTCAAATACTTCTATTGATATTCAGAAATTGCTTAACAGAATCTTTTATATGATTCACTCTTTCTGTAGTTATCAAAATCATTCAAATAAAATATATTTTCTACTTTGTTCTCTTTGTCTAAGATTGTAGATAACTTATTTATTTTAATTGCCATATTTTTACCCATTAAAAATAACAATTTGTCCCTAATTTCAGTTGGAAATACCTTTAAGGTTGCCAAATGTTATGAAAATTTATAAAGGAAACGACAGAAATTGATTTAACAGAATAGAATCTCATTATTTTATTTAAACTCTAGAGTTATAGATTTTTATTTCATTAAAGGTGGAGTAGGTTGCACCTATTCTTCAAAAGCATTGGTTTTAACTATTTTTTAAGGTAGAAGTAATTAATTTTAGCTAGAGGATCGTTATATTTATGCTTCTAGCTTTTTTTAATTTTCCTCATGTAATTTGCGCTTCTCTTCTATCTATTGAGGTTTGAAATCTCTAATTGCATTATCTTTGATGTTCTAACTTTAACTTCTTTGAATTTTCTTTACTTAAGAGTTTTCAGTTGGCAAAGTGATATTTTGAATTTCTTTTAAGGGTTTTCTTTGTTCGATAGGACTTAAATTTCTTGATTGCATAATAGTATGTTCTGTCATATCCTTAACTCGCCATCTCTTAAATTCATCTACCTGTAAACATTTACGAATGAAATCCTTTGATTCATCAGAAACCATGGGTGAAGAAGGTAGAACCAATTATTAATGCTAAATGTTGGAAATTAGAGCTGCTTCAGAAGATGCATTATATGGTGTTCTGCCTATCACTATATAAATAATGCATTACCATATAGCATTTCAAAAAATACAATACCAATAGCCCAAACATCTCCTTTTTCAGTGTGTCCTTACTATCTTAAAGCTTAAGGAGACATATATAAAGGAGTTCCTACATTAAAGTTTCGGCCTTGGATTCTAGCTTCATAGGCAGGGACTGCAAATCCAAAATCAGCTAATTTTGGTTGCTTGTCGTTGAGTAAAATGTTAGCTGGTTTTATATCTCTATGGATATAACCTTTCTTGTTCATTTCATTTAATGCACTAACAACTGCTTGCAATATTCGTATAGCTTCAGATTCATCTATTCTTCCTTTCTTCTTGATGTAATTATTGAGATCGCCCTGAATATTATATGAGACAATACCGAGTCGCAAAATTCTGTGATGATATATGTATTATTTTAGGTTTAAAATACATCATAGAGTTTCATAATATTTTTGTGATTGAAAGCCTTGAGTGCATTGATCTCATTTTTTAATAGCTGGGAATGAATTGATTGCTTCACCATCTTCATATCAATCACCTGAAATTTAAGTCATTATGTTACTTTAACAGCCACATTTTCTGTTGTGTTTTCATCTCTCCCCTTATAGACTCTACTGCTAAATCCTCTCCCTATTTCCTCATTAATGGCATAGGAATAGTGATCAATTGCTTTCCTTGTTTCACTTCCTGTTTTATTATGAACTGATTTATTTTGAATATAATTACAATGCGTCCTATATGCAGACTAGGATGTGGCATAAGAAGGTAAATGAGGGCGGGTTTAGAACATTATTTGAAAATAATTAAATTTCCTTATTAACGATTTTCTAAATAAATATAATCGAATTAATTATTATAAAAATAGCCACTACATTTAAATCTCATTTTAGAATAGAAATATTGTAAAAATCAATTTTCATTAGAAGTAATCAACTTTTGTCTTTTTGAATGACTTTTTATTAAACAACCCCGAAGTGTTAATTTCTTCATTTTTATTGTTCTTTTATTACATTTATGGTAGAATGTCTTTTAATTCAACATCCTTGTCTGCCAATTCAATTAATTTTTATTACAATATTCTGTTTTTGTCCTTTCCAATTTACCCAAATATTAAGACTTCCTTAACAAGTTCTTACTAATTTTTGATTGTGCCTTCCTTAATATCTTATTCAATCTTCTCTGCTAACTACTCTTCATGATTAAATTCTGCTTCTCCTTCTTCTGACTCAGACGTTTCTACCTTAAATTTCTTTAAAAAAGTGTCTTCAGTTTTAACAACTTCCCACTAACCAACCTTCACAACTAATTCTTTATCTACATTTTCAACAGGGTTCTATTGATATTCTTCCCATGCTTCTTCTTCATAATCTTCTAACATCAACCCCATAGGTTTTTCATAATTGATTGTTCCAGTAATTGTATTTCTAAATCTCAATTTTCCTGTATCATCTTCTTTTTCTAATATCCACACTTTGCCTTCTGCAAAAAATCCCAATTGATCTGCTACTTTTGATTATTATTATTAATTTTCTCCTGTATACTCATTTTCAACAGCTTAATGATAATTATGTTCCTCCTTTTTCTAATTCTAATTTTTAAAGCCTTTAGAAGGCTAAGGGATTGTATCATATGCTTTATTATATTATTTATGTTCAATTCTTGCCTTCTTGTTCAATTCTCTTAAATGATATTCCTTGTTCTTTTTATGTTTAGCAGTATTCTCATGATCCTGAATAGCAGCTCTTGTGTATGGTATTAACATCTTGCAGACTTCACACCATTTCTTTCTTTCACTCATTATTTTTCAATTTAATTTATACTTGTTATAATATTAATCGTTTTTGCAATATAATAACAATGCCTTAACTCTTTTATTAGATTTAGCTATCATTTGTCTTATTGATACTATTAGTTGGTATCCCTACTTTCGCTTAATAACAGAATACTATTTAGGTTGGAGAAGCAAAGACATCAACAAACAATTATAATTTCATAGAATTGGAAAACGAAAAGCATCAAGGGGCTATTATTAAACCTTTAATAGATCCAAAATCCTACAAATATATTGAATTGGAAAACAAGTTAAAAGTATTACTTATACACGATCCGAACTCAGAAATTGCTTCTGCTGCTATGGATGTGTCAGTAGGATCTTGGAATGAACCAAGCGAATATCCTGGTTTAGCACATTTTTGTGAGCATATGTTGTTTGTTGGCTCCGCTAAATATCCCAGACCTGATTACTTCGATGAATTATTGGCGAAAGGATCTGGAAGTTCTAATGCATACACTGATGCTACTAATACCAATTATTATTTTGAAATTACATCATAATACTTAGATAAAGCTTTAGATACATTTGCTCACTTTTTTATCGACCCTCTTTTTAATGAAGATTTAGTAGATAGAGAGAAAAACGCTGTCAATTCAGAATACGAGATAGATGTGTCCTCAGAAGAATGGAAAATCTAAAATTTATTTACTTTGTTTGCTGATCCTAAACACCCTGCAAGTAGATTTAGTCTAGGTAATAATGAAGTTTTGAAAAAGAAGGGTATTGAAAATGCATTACAGTCATTTTTTGAATAATATTATTCCTCAAACTTAATGAGTTTGGTTATTTAGAGTAGAATCGGTTTATAAGAAATGGAACGATTGATTAAGCCTTTTAATCGTATCAAGAATTTAAATTTATAACCTCCACAATTTCCAGCATTTCCATTCTAATTTGGAATTTTATGCAAATATAAAACTGAAAAAGAATAATTAACATTAAATTGGCAGCTTAAAGGAAGAGAAAAGTTCACTCATTAAAAACCAATTGAATTTTTAGATTACATTATATAAAATGGAAATCTAATAGATTACTTGAAGGAGTAAAACTTAATTATTTCACTTTCCTCTGAAGTTTTCATGGAAGAGTCCTCATTTACAAATTACATGATGGAGATAGTCTTAACAGAGAAATCTAAAGAGAATGAGGAAGTTGTTGCTGAAATCACTAAAATTATATTCAATTATATCCAAAAATTAGAAGAATGGTTATCTGACGACGAATATATCAACCAAGTATTCAAAGAGTAAAGCAAGATTTCTAAATTGAATTTCAACTATCTAACCTAATAATTGGATACATCAACTATGGCCAAAGTGTTAAACAGATAGAAACCAAAGGAAGTACTTTCCTCAGAATTCATTATTGAGACTTTGGATAAGGATTTAATATTAGATTATATAGGATAATTAAAGAATACATAAAATTTAATCGTTTTGATAGGTGACCATCAATATTTTTATACTAATGAAAAAGAAGATGATAACAAGAATAATAAATAATTTCTATAGGATAAGTAGCTATATGAAAAAAATAATTTATATAGACTTGTTTATTCAAAATAGAAATTTGATGAGCATTTTATTAATTTTATATCTAAAAAGGATGAAAAATTATAGGATATATTTGAAAAACCTAAATAAAATGAATTTATTCCTGATAATGTGGAATTAATCTCTTTATGTGAATCATCGGAATCAAAATTGCCAAAAATAGTTCATTCTGATAAACTAAAGACTTTGGATTAGCAAAGTAAATTAAACTTGTTTTTGATGGCAGGTTAAGATTTGAATCAATATAGTGATGAGTAATGTTCATTAGAAGAACATAAATACTAAAAATAAAATCACTATCCAATTTTACTCAACAAAGAATAGCAAGAATGGTGGAAGAGCTAAACCTCTTATAAAGTACCATTTATTTTTGGGGCTTTGTAAATGAAGTATCAAAAAACTTTGAGTTTACGACAATTCACTTCATTAAGGTTGTATAACTTTATGGCAGATGAAATCATATCAAAGGAATTAAAATTACCTTTATCTACTGGATATTCTTATGAATTGGATATGAATAAGAAGACTCAAATAAAGGTTTATGGATTTAGTGAACATGTGAGAAATCTATTTAAGAAACTATGTTCCTGTTTGAATCCATTTAGGGATAAATCTAAAAGTTTCGTTGAACTTACTGAGTCAAAAAGATTTGAAATAGCCAAATAATCATTGCTGTTGTCAATTAAGAATATGTATCAAGATAATTTATTTGAATAAGCCATCTAAATATATTTACCCTAATTATTACAAAAGGATTCTCATGATCCTGCCAAAGTTATAGAAGAGATTGATTAAATTACATAATCGGAAATGCTTAAAGATGTTAGAGATATCATGAATAATGTGTAATACTCTAGTTTGTTTATTGGAAATATTGATTAATCTGAAGCAACTAAGATTTCGGATGAGGTTCAATCATGTACAAATAACAGAGAGTAATCATCTGTTTCTGATAATATTCAAGATAAGGTGGCAATCATAAATTTAAAAGGAAAAAACCTTATAGATTCGAGATTTATAGAATCAGGAAATGATGATGATATTAATGGAGTCACTTTAAATTATTATTAAATTGGATAAAGAAAGTAGATGAATTAGGCATTTATTAAATTATTAGAACCAATTCTTAATTAATAAGCTTATAATTATTTACGAACTGATTTATAATTAGGCTATGTTGTAGCAGTAGAATTTAAAACAGCAGGCTGTGTGGATGGAGCTTTGATTTTAGTGTAAGGAAGCACAGAAATTCCAATGAAAGTTAATCAAATTATTGATGATTTCTTAGATAAATTCTCAGTCTATTTGGAGTAAATGAACAATAGAGAATTCCAACATCTTAAACATGGAGTAATTACTGATTTAAAGGAAAACCCATAAAGTTTGAGTGAAGAAGGTGATCGCCTTTGGAAATATATTAGTGCTGGAACTATTGAATTTGAGGATAGATAAGTTGCAATTGAAGAAATAAAGAAAATATCAAAATAGGAACTGATTGAGTTTTATAGAAATTCATTCATTGACAACAAATCAAAATTAAGTTTACAATTATATGGGTAATAATTATTATTATTCCTGTTAGTTAAGGTATGGTAACATAGATGATGAACTTGGAGACTTAGTCTGAGTTTAACGAGTTTGTATCTAATACAAAGCCTAAGGATGCGGAATTGTTTGATCCCCTTTAAGCATCTTATTATTAATGTGAGTTTGAAGCTACTTAAATTTGAGTAATTTGATATTTACAAATAAATTTAATCTACTCAGAATTTTCTTAAGAATAATTATGTATATTAGTAAATTATTACTGACATGCTTGTGATCGTACAACTGATGATACATAGATATGAAATTGGATTTAAACTACTTAATGAGAATAGTTATTAATTATTAACTATTTTCTATTCATCAGTATTTTTAAACAGATTATAATTTATTAAAGTTTTCATTTAATAATCAAAATTATTATGGATTAGCTTCTCAATATAAAGTATAGTGCCAGGTCTTTACATTTCAGATCGTCTCCATGTTCAAAATAATCTTTCTAAAGTGAAGATGATGTGGATACAACACTTTCATTTGATTTCACTCCAAAACCAAAACCAAAGCCATTATAAGGTTTGAGTTCTATGGCTTCGCCATTTGACAATGAGGATAGTGAAAAAAGCAGTTCAAAAGGGGAGTCAGTTCCAAAAACATTTAGTAACGATATTTATTTGAATATTAGTTCCAAAACTATCACGCTTTAGTACTCAGAGAGTAATAACTATGAATGAAGGCGATAAAGATGAAGAACCAGAAGTAATTGAAAAAGAAATTAAATAAAGTTTGAATATCCAATCACAATAACCAGATGAATAAAATAAAACTATGGAAGAACAACTTAGAAAGATTTAAGAGAAAATAAAAGTTAACCCTAAGTTGAAATAAATGAAATCCAAACCTATGTCAATGAAGAGTCTAAAACAAGTTGAATAATCAAAGGAGGACAAGTTGATGGAACACCCATTTCGTCATTTGATATTCAGTCCAAAAGTAGATGAGTTAGTATTCGAAAAACATTTAATTGTAACTTAAAGAGGGCTAATTTATTCGAGAAAATGTCTCAAAGGGCCTTCAGAATAATTCGTCGAAAAGAAAAAAGTAACCTTAAACAAAATCAATCCAAATAAAGTAAACACAATATTCCTTGATCTTGATGAAACATTGATTCATGCTTGTCATTCAAGAGAGACACCATCCGTTAAGTTGAAATAATAAAATGATGATGGATCTGAAACAGATGTACATATATAATTTAATGTAGGTTGGAATAAATATCAGACCATATACAAGCTACTTTTTGCAAGAGTTGGCCTAATATTATACAATCTATATTTATACAGCTTCGTCTTAATAGTATGCCTAAACTATTGTGAATTATCTTGATCCTCTGAAATAATATATCAGTGGAATCCTATCTAGGGCTAATTGTATGGAAACAAAAAATGGTTTTTTTATCAAGGACTTGAGAATCATAAAGGATTTAGACTTGGATAGGTCTCTAATAATCGACAACCTTGTTCATTCTTTCGGTTTGCAGGTTGAGAACGGAATCCCAATTTTGGAATGGCATGATAATTAGGAAGATTCAGAACTCAAATATCTATTAGAATATTTGATAGAAGCTTCCGAATAGCCAAATTTGAAGGATTTCAATATTACTCATTTGTAATTAGATAATTTAATAGATTATGTCATTAAGCAATGAGATTTATATCTTCATTTATAATCCTTCAAACTCAACATATAAAATATAACAATCATAATTCATCTAAATTTATATAGATGTGATAATTATTTCCATTCTCCTTGTGTTCTTAATTCAATTTCCTCAATTTTTAAATTATTGTAAGTGCTGTCCTAAGATAAGTGAGGAGCATACTTGAGTAGCGAAATCATAGGGGATGACTTCACCCTTTGTGTTAAAAATGTACATCATTCCCTAATCTTTCTTTGCTGCGAATAATAGATGACCTTAATCAAAGAGACTTTAAGTTTATAAATTAGTAGGTTGATTAATTTAGAGAATGAAATATCTCTTAGGAGTAACTACTGTCATTCGATAAAAGGGAATCAGCAGCATATTCTTCATATTTAATTAAATATTGAAATAGTGTTATCAAGCTAATAATGACAAATATAATAGTTTAGAAATTATTAAGTGAGAAAGTTTAAATAAGATTAATTTATAGTGAAATAATTTAAATGCAAATAATTATTGGAAAAGAGAAGGATTCAAAATTTGGAAATAAAATGTGTGAATGAATGATTTCAAAAAAATTTTTAATCTTTTATATTTTATTTAAATAAAAATGGGCAGAAGACCAGCAAGATGCTATAGAGTGAGTAATGGTAAACCATTCCCCAAGTCCAGATATAACAGAGGTGTTCCAGATGCTAAAATTAGAATCTATGATGTCGGAAGAAAGAAGGCCAACGTTGATGAATTCCCAGTATTGAATAATTAATATGAATTAGGCTGCCATCCACATTGTTTCAGATGAAAAGGAACAAATCTCATCAGAAGCCTTAGAAGCATGCAGAGTCGCCATCAATAAATATATGATTAAGAAAGTCGGAAAAGACGCATTCCATCTTAGATGCAGAGTCCACCCATGGCACGTACTCAGAATCAACAAGATGCTTTCATGTGCTGGTGCAGATAGACTTTAAACTGGTATGAGAGGTGCCTTCGGTAAACCAAATGGATTATGTGCCAGAGTCAAAATTGGCAGCATTCTTTACTCTTTGAGATGCAAGGATGCTTCAATCAATCACGCTATGGAAGCTTTGAGAAGAGGAAAGAACAAGTTCCCAGGAAGATAAAAGATTGTTGTCTCAGCCAAATGGGGATTCACTAACTATTTCAGATCTGACTATCTCAAATATAAGGCTAATGTAATAATACAATATATTAATATATAGGATGAATTATAATACTATGGTACTCACGTTCACAAATTGAGATAACATGGTAAATTGGATAAATTGAAGATTTTCTAAGCCCTAAGAAAATGATTTGTTGAAATAATCACATAATAAATATATTAAATTATTTTATTTGTTTAATGTCCTATTTGCAATATCAAAATCCCAAAATTGCAAAAAGTAATAATGGCATCAATATTAATTAAGAAAACTCAGGATCATCCTCTATAACAAGTTATCTGGATTTGAATGTGATCTAAGTACCATTTAAATTACCCACTGCCAATTAAGAACTTGTATTCTCTTAAAGAGCTCTTCTCCTTCTGCTACCTGCTGCATTTGGATTTATGATTTTGGCTGTAACAGCAAGTCCATTACCCTTCTCTCCTTTGATAGCCAATCTAACAGTGTAAATTATTTCACCTTCCCCTATAACAGTCTCCAAAATCGGTAGATTAACTAGGGTTCCTGTTCCCTATAATTTTACATAGCCTTATTCCAATTTCCAATTCTTAAGATTTGAATCTTTAATTGTCAACCTAACCTTGAATTTTTAATTAAGAACTAAAGTAATTTTGCCTGTTGTCCATTAGCAATCATTTGCATTCTCGCAGTAATCAAGTTGTTATTCAATAGTAATGACCAATGCTGGTGGATTAAGAGTTTTAGGTGGTACCTATAAACTTGTGATACTTGATTTTGAATAATCAATTGTAGCAGTCCAATTTCTTTCATACATGATTTGCTCATTAAAATGCACATTGAAATGGAAGGAGCATGTAAAGATATTAGAATTGTCATGTTATTTGCAATTAGCAGTTGTCATATTGTATTAATTTAAAATTAATTTGGCTGTGGAGGCTGTTTCATAGGAGAATATTAATTCTGTAAATTTGCCGTCTTCCATGCCTAGAGTTACCCATTAAGCAGGCCAACAAGCTTGAAAATCATAACCTGGTATTTTAATTGTAGCTGAATAAGTAGTAGAGGTTGAACTCTCCACTAAAGAATCCTTAGAATAAGGGATAGATAGTTCTAAACTGTCTCCACAATCCGACTTATAGCATTTACCTTCAAGCCATCTGTAAGGGTCTTAACAACTTGTGCAATCGTAAAAGGTTGTGCATTTCTCACACTTGGCTGTGCAATTCTTATTGTAATAAACAAGTATTTTAGTAATATAATAGGCTCCTTCTGTGTTTTCATTCACAAAATCTTAAAATACCAAAGACAATAAAGATTAATTCTTTGTTTTTAAAGTTTTCGACGGAATTGTGTATTTAATCTACAATATTAATATTTAAAAATACAGTTTTCCAGTCATTTAGAAGGTCTTGTATCAAGACAGATTCATCATTAGGACATAAATAAGCTTGATCAGTCTTTTAGGAAGTTTAATTAAAAAAGTCGCTGTAGTACGAATAACCCGAAGCAAACCAGCAAAATCCGCTTTTCTTGTCATCAGTGTTATCAGTATAGCCAACAAATAATCCAGAATGCACTCCTCTATTAGGAGTGGATTTTGTTAGATATTTAAATTCTATTGTAACATCTTATTCCATTTCAATCCCAAAAGGCATTGATTTTAATCCACCACCATATGACTTCCTGACAATGTTCACACAATAGTCATTTGTTGTTCCAGGACAAGGAACTATTTTTGCAACATCAGATTTTTCCCATAATTATGCATTAATTTCACCAGCGTTAAAATCATCTTAAAAAATAATGTGTTGAGCATAAGCCAACGAGGCTAGCAATACTAAAAGCATTTATATAAATAATAATTATGAAATCGAATTATTTTCTTATTCTGATTTAAACAACAAGATTTAGGATATCATTTATTCTATTTGAAAGTATTGATTTCAGCCTTACATACTTTCATCCATTGACTTCGTTTTTAGAAAATAACATTATTGAATTGATTGTATCCCCTAAAAAGCCATCCATTTTCTATCGTTAAAAGTACTTTACCAAAAATTAATAAAACTTCAAACCCAATATAAACTTAAATTCTTTTTTATTCTTAAATGGCACTTTCTAATTTGTTCACATTTTAAACTAATTTCCATATAGCAATCAAAAAGTGAGAATTACTTTCTTTGTATTTATGTATAATCATAGCTTACTTAATTTATCTTTCATTTGAACCCAAACAGATAATTATTATTATCTTCCTTCCTTATGATACTCTTTGTAAAACAGCAATTAGCTTGAAAGTCTCTTATAATCAAATTTATTTTGTCCACCTTTTAAAATATATACAACTATGATTGTCAAAAATAAATATCAAAAATATCAACTGATAATGAAATACAAATTTCACATTTGTAATAATCAACATACAAGGAAGAGATCGTTTATGAAATCAATTTTTGGTTACAATTAAATACCAATTGTTAATTCTATCTCCACATGCAATTATAGAGGGAATAAAATATTAACACATCAAATATATACTCATTTTTCGAATTAGAAACAAAATATGTAAATAACTACTTGTTCAATTTTTATTATTAAAGGAAGTTTATATTAATTTAAATGAGTCTCAGTTCTTATGAGATTGAGTTACCCGTCAATAAGGAGTCCCCTTATTAATAATTATATAGAGGGAGACATGATAATGACTTGATTTATATGTTACACATATTTCCAAAGCAAACATTAACTCCGTAAATGTAGCAATAGATTTTTGAAAGGGCAGAAGAATTCAATTTTATATTTGAAAAACTGGATTTTGAGGATTTTATTTTAATATCCTATAAGGATAGCACTTTGTGGACAAACTTGGAGTAAAAAGTTAAAACAGAATCCCTCAAATCCTTTTATCTTAAATTGTACTAATCGTATTCGAAACTTAAAGGAATTGTAGATTTCGATTAAGATTATGTTTTTGTATAAGAGGATGAAGTTTTTATCATTGATTATGGTATTAATCAACATGTAATGAAAAAGCATAAAGATCTAGAATATACGACGAAAACTAAATCTTATCTTTTTGGTTAACTAATTTTTAACTTGTTAAACAATAGAGATATTAGCGACAGATTATTATAGTGCACTGACCAATATCAAATAGATGCTATTATTCATTAAGCAGCGGAAAATTAAAAAATTAATAATGAAGTTTTAGAATGCTTATTAAAACTGCTCAAATTAGATCCCAATTAAAGACCGACTTTTGAAGAAGTTGGGTAATGGAAATTGTTCTATTCCAAAAAAGATTTTTCTAAAGTTACCTCAAGTGTACTTGATTTCTCAAATACGAAAATTGGCACATAAACCAATCGTTAAAATTAAACACAAAGATCGGCCAGACCATAATCTTATGATTAGAAAATTATGAACTCGGCCCATAATTAATCAGTCAAAGCTGCCATCTAAAAATAAAGAAGATAGGCTCCATCAACAAATAAAGTATGCTCTTCTTACGTATTTGCATCTTAAATAATCACTAATAATATTAAAAATAAAAAGTACTAATCAAACATAGCTAACCTTGCAACCCAATAATCATTCTTCCAATAAACTGGCTAACATTTATACACTTCCGATATGAATTAAATTTAATATCCAAAAACTCAAAATCAGTTCTTTTCACAATAGCCTGATTAATACTAGTAGACATCTTAAAAGAGTTTTAAGGAATAAAATAATACTAATAATTAATCATAACAAAAACAAAGGATAGAAAAAAAGTCTCCGTTTTTATTTGATGGATCTCAACCCCCTATCATAAGTATTACAAAGCCTTAGAATCCATAACCTGTAATTGGCTAAAACCGTAATTTGAATTAAGAAGCTAGCTTTTTTAATACTAATAGTTCAATTCCCTCAAATTATACATCTCCGAAATAAAATATCTATTAAAATCAGAATACATAATAACAATAATAATAATAATAACAATAACAATAATACTAATAATAGTAACAGTAATATTAATAATAGTAATAATAATAATAATAATAATAATTTATAACCCACATTCCTCAGAAATAAACTTAATTTCAATAATAATAATAAAATTAAGTTATAGATGATAATCAAAGTTTTCATTTTAAATCACTTCCATCAGAGGCGTCTAGTTAAAATTAAAAATAATAAAAAGATGATAAATAATAACCAAAGTTAAAAACTCCCTTTTAATTAGCCCAAAATACTAATGAAGATGATGTTGATGATATTAAACTACATCAAACTAATAGTTTAAATCCAAATTAGAATAAAAATTAACCTTAAGGAAATGAGAAAGAAAAAAAGTAAGAATTTTTCAAAAAACCATAGCAGGATAATAAATTAACATCAAATTCAACATTTTCCAAAAAGGAAGAAGATCTAACTAATAATATAAAGAATTAAAAGGCTTAATCCATCAACGATATTGAAGAACCTCCAATTATAAGACCTAACAAATCACTCCAACAAGATGTTTCAAAACAATAGAAACCCTCTGTTGATACTATTCAAAGTCCTAAAGTTAATTAGGTAGATCTAAACTAGACTTTTAATGAATATGTATAGAAGTAAAATGTTATGACTAATAAGATATTATTCGTATTTAGCGATTATTTAATACATAACAATTGCTGTGGCAGATTTGAATGAAAAACTGAGCATTCATGGACCAATTTGGATAGTACCATTATGCATTATTTTCAAAGTAATTGCTTGATTAATTAAATTTTAGAGAGCTTATGAGATTAGAAAAATAACTGAAAAAGATATGGAAAAATAAAAAAATATTTTTGAACTTAAAGATTTTATAAAATTCAAATCTTCGCCTCAATACGCATAATTATTAGAGAATATTGTAGAGTAGAACAAAGTAATGGAAAAGGAGTTTTTAGAGATGCTAGAGCTTGCTCAAAGGAGCATGACGGCTAAAAAAAAATTGGATGAAATTTCATAATAAAAAATGGCAGCTCTTCTTAACCTAGATATCAAGAAATCAATAAAGGATTAGGCTGAAAAATATCTATATACTCAAATATACCCAAGAGTTGTATCATCAATTGGAAAAATCAGAGCAAATACATTAGCAAATAATAAATTTTCTGAATTAGATTGGGTTCAAACTAGATTATTGAGTTTGTATTCAATTTTAATAATGGAATTAGATTTTTACACATTTGAATCTCCTTTGTTTAAAGAAGCAGATCTAATAAAATATAGAAAAATGTAAAATGTTGATGAAATTGATTAAATTTGTAATCAAATAGAAAATTAGATCAGGGAACTTCCAATATTCATAAAATGATTATAATATTGTTGTCAAATCAGTTATAATGTAACTTACGATTAAGTCCTTGCTCTTTAAATCTTACTTGTTTTTTCATAGGTGAGTTAGTCTCAATATCTGAATCTTTTCTCTTTAAAATTGAAGTAGGAGTATAAGTTCTTAGTTTCGTAGGACTATAATTCTCAACTCCTATTATATAATTGTGATCATCACATATATCACTAATTTTTCTTCTCATCACTTGCGATCTCTCTTTTTAAATAGGAGCATCCGAATATTTCCTTTTTAGTTTCATCTCTTACTATTGATTTCCTTTTTTAGTTTATTCCATGCTCTTTTTTGTTTTGATTTAAACTTTTGAACTTTAATAATAGGGAGAATGCGATCGGCATTTTATTTATTATTGCACTTATGGACTAGGAGATTAGAAGTTAGGACTTTAAGCTTGATTCTATTTTGTTTTTCGTTTAAGAGAAGATTTCAGAACCATAAGAGGTTTTGATTTTTTCGACTATTGGTAGATAGAGTTATTTTCTTGTTCATTTACTTTTTCTGCATTTAATTGTGACAAAAATAGACTTTCTTCAGACGGAACTCTAACTAATGAACGAATTTCATTTTGTTTAGGGATGAATGGTTTAGTAGGCGACTGAAGCATAGCATTGGGTATTTCCATTTAAGTTAGCTGGCTTATGTTTATTAAACTATCTGATTTAGATTTTGATGTTCCTTTCAAATTGCTTTTCAAATTTAGTGAATCAAATTGAGTTTTATCGCTCGTTTATTATTTATAAGAGCAATTATTTCCCATTTATGATTTTTTAATATTAATAATTTATTGATTATGTTAAATTTGTCGCATCATTATCTAACTTACTTAATTCCTATACTCCAAGTTTTTTAAGATTCCAAATAAAAATCAAATTACTCTATTTATTATCGACTTTTCTTATATAAATCTTTCAATTTTTAACATTTAAAATAAATAAGATAAGAATTATGAATTAAGAAAAAAATTTAATGAAAAATAGTTGATAATTTAGGTTTTTTTATCATATAATTATTTTTGAAAATCAATTTTTATTAAATCGCCAATAAGAAATGTACTACATCTTGTCCTTAACTCCTTAATAGACTTATCAATATATTTTACATTCATAATCTTCATTCTAAGGCAATTTATTAAAACCGTATTATTATAAAACTTTATTATAATAGTTTTTCTGATTTCTAATTTGCTTTGCTTAGCAATTACATAGTTTTCATGAAAGACCCTAGTCTTTTGTGTAGTATTCTTTGATTTATATTTATTGATAAAGTATATTAGTTAGAAATTGATTGATAAAATCATTTTATAGGTCGAGTAACATAAACCATAAATCATCACTTTTAAGATTAGTTTTTCTGTTTTTGATTAAAACCTGTTAATAATTTAAGCTATGTAGTTAGTCCAATCAATATTTAAGTTTTATATTGTCTCCGATATTAATTGAAAGAAGTAGAGAGTTTAAGTTCAATTGAAACGTTTTCTAATAGTCCAAGTCAATATTTAAATAAATCCTGCACAATCAATAATTATAATTTAATTAATAAAATGCCAAAAATTGAAAATACTACAGGAATGCCTATACATTTGATTATAGATGAATTAAAAAGTGATGATATAAGAAAAAGAATTCATTCAGTCAAGCATTTAGATTTGATTGCCAGTACTATAGGTCCAGAGAGAACGAAAAGTGAATTAATCCCTTTCATATAAGGTATGCTCAAATATCATTTAGAATTGCTCGATGATGACGACGAGGTTTTGATTGAATTGGTTGAATCTTTATCTAAAAATTTCATTGAGCTAGTAGGTGGATAGGCATAAGTTTTACTACCTACTTTCGAAGCATTATGTAGAGTGGAAGATGCTTCAGTAAGGGAGAAAGTAATGAATGCATTATATCGAGGCTGCTAATCAATTGAAGAAATGTTTTACTTTGTTGCCTGATTAAAAGAAGATTGAGGAATTGTCAATGGGGATTATAAAAAGATTGAATGATAGCGATTATTATATGGCCAAGAACGCAGTTGTGATATTGGTGCCAGCTATTATTAATTAAGTCTCTCAGAACAATTAGAATGATTTGATTAACATCATACTAAAAATTTCATAAGACCAAATTCCTTAAGTTAGAAAATTTTCATCAATGTATTTTTAAGTATTTTGTTACATAATTGCAGGATTTAGTGAAGCATTTTCCAATAGTAAATGAAACCTTCATTTAAAATACATTGAATTCATTCATTAAAGACGAATAAGATTTTATTAGAATGTATATAGTTGATGCATTGATTGCCTCGAGTAAAACTGCATTTTTTTAAAAACAATAAAACTTTGTTCTCAATATGTTCAAACAATTGGCGGAAGATCAATCATGGAGAGTGAGATATTATTTCTGTGATAAATTGGCTGAAGTATACAGGAATGAATAAATATTAGATTGGAGAATCAGTAGGTAAAGACAGTTATAGAAAAAACTTTTAAAATTACCATTTGAAGTTTTTGTAGGATAGTGAGCCTGAGATGAAGTCTATTGCAGCATTGAAAATAGAAAAGTTAAGTTCGCTAATGGATGCAGAGGAAATTATGAATAAATTAATTCCACTTTTGAAATCAATTCAATCAGATTCAAACTCCTTTGTTAGAAGTATAAAGTTACTTATAATGCACTTATAGATTCCTTAGCTTCTTCTGTCTTGTCATTATCACCTATTATTGGTAAGAAAAATACAAGTGAATAAATTTTGCCAATCTTCTTAACCTTACTAAAAGATCAAGATTCGGAAGTTAGAATCACTTTATTCAAAAAATTAAGTCTTCTCACAAGTGTACTAGGAGTTGATTCTTTGTCTTAAAGTGTCATTCCAGCTCTAACAGAATTAGCTTAAGATAAGAATTGGAGAATTCGAGCATCTACAATAGAAGTTCTAAGCTTCTTTGCCAGAGCAATAGGTCCAGAATTCTTATCGGATAAAGTCCTTAAATTACTCTTAGATTGGCTTGGTGATAAAGTGTACTCTGTGCGATAAACAGCAATTCAATAAACTGCTTAATTGATCTAAATTCTTGGTATTGCATGGGCTGATAGAAATTTGTTAACTAAAATTTGGGGATTTCAATCTATACAAAATTATCTTCAGAGACTCACAGTGCTATTTACAATAACTGTATTACTATTGATTTATTGTTGTTTAGCAAATAGCATCTTCATTGAACAATGATTACATATTGAAAACAATTCTTCCTCTTTTATAATAAATGTCAAAGGATTCAGTTGCCAATGTCAGAAGCAATGTTTGCAAGACAGCTATCTTATTAGCAAAAGAGAAAGGGGGAAATGTTGTAGAGCCATTGAAAAAAGTTTTATAATCTCTTTGTGATGATTAAGATGCAGAGGTTAAATACTAAGCAAAAAGTGCATTAGAATCATTATGAATTCAATAATGATTAATATATTTTATGAAATATTAAATAAATAATTTCATCTTTCCAGAATTTTAAATGTATATATATATATTGGATAGAGAATGACAAGATATTGTTATTTATTTATTATTATATATTTTTGTATGATTCATTATCAATATTATTTTTGAATACTGCTGCTACCAACTGTTGATCTTGTTACAGTTCTCTTTTCCACAACTACTTCCTAATTACTATAAATATTGAATCATACCTTCTTTTATTACTTCTGAAGAGCCTCTAATTCTGCTTATGCCATCATCAATTGTTCTTAACATTCATTATAATCATGATTAATTTTGATGAACTTCTATTTCCAGACTTCAATTTCTGAACTTAAGAAAGTGACCTTTTCTTAGACAACGGTAGTTCCTTATTCTTCCAAATATTAGATTCTCATATGCAAATCATCAATTTCATGATCCTTATTGGCTAACAATTATCTTAATTTTTCAATTTCAGTTTTCAATCTCAAAATTTCTTACTCCAAATCACTAATTTAGAATCTGTATTAATTAAGTTTAGAACTATATTCTTTGTCATTAAGTGCTAATTGATTTCTTAAGTCTTCACATTCAGTAGTTCTCTAATACAATAAACCCTTCAAATTATTAACTTCCATTTCCAATTCCCTAATTCTTGATTAAGCATCTCTACTCTCATTGGCTGCTGATCTCA